TATCCCATAATCCATTGGAAAAGAAAAACGGGTTATTAGATTGCAGGAGGTAGTACTCCGTAGAGTGACTACGAAAAGAAAAGAAAGGGAAGACCACGTTTTGTGCTACTTGGTCACATATCTAGTTGTTATTGCTTTCGGCATACAACTGGACAGGAATTAGTATTTCGACCGGAAAGAAAACGTCGGGAAGATACTTACTAGACAGGATCTACTTCTTCAACACCGTCGTATTTCAGGAGACTCAGGCCAGCGATGGCGAAGTGAGTATGGAAGACATCAACCATGTGGCCTGGCCGATCAGAAAATCCACCGGCTTCCGGATCCTAGCTCGAGTTAATAGAGATTCGAGGAATGACATCATAGCAACACACACCTGACAGCGCAAAATGAAAGAAGCAAGCTTCCCACCGTCAAGCCAATGAAGCCTGTCGATCATGGCCAAGCTTGCCCCAACCCACCAGCTATAACACGCATCTTCTAGCTTTTCGGGGCGCCCATTCAGGCCACCCTTATCTACCTGGCGCTCGCTTAGCCAGCCGCCCAAGCGGTCCTTGTTCACCAAATCAAGTCTCCCGGCGATTGCCAAAGCCCCTACACAGGTGAAGATCTGTCCCGCATGGGATTCAGCTCCCGGACGAATGCCGTAGCCTCCGTCCAAGTTTTCACACCTTTGGACATAGGCGACGGATTTCGAGACATCGACCATATCAAGGAGGCCCATGAGCGACAAGGCGTTGAATGCACCGTATAAAAAGCGGGTGTCTTGTTCACCCCACTCGTCGCCCATGAATGCGCCGGTGTCCCTGTCCTGAAGTCCTGCGATGACTGTGATTGTTTAGCGCGCTTTGCCGGGCGGTAAGAGGCAGGGTTGTAATGAACAGAAAGGGTCAAGCCATACAAGAACCAACTTTCTGTCGGCCTCCAAGCCCACGTGTTTCCAATTCATCCAACGCGTCCATTAGTACGAGGATCTGCACAGCCGAGACGGTGTAGAGCATGTGCGCATCATGGCCCGGTGCAGCTCCGAAGCCACCATTATCACGGCGGCATGAAAGCACAAAGTCGACGGTATCTTCCCGAGGGAGGCCCTCGGGACAGCCGAGAAGGTGCAGGGCCGTTAAGCCCCAGTAAACCCCGTTCAGCCGAAGATGCTCGGTGAGCCAATATTCTAGCTCATCCCTCCTCTAGCATCACCTGTCAACCATTTTCCCCGTCATGAAGAGAAAAGCCATGGTTTGGATCAAAAATGACGCACGCTGTCCAAATTCTTAATGTAATCCACATGTTTTTGGCTGCACAACTGCTGGTCGGAGGAGCCGCCAACGGCTCTACCAGGACCTGAAGCCAGGGACATTTTGGATCCAAGATCAGATTGACGTGTTTACGAGATATGATTGCTGCTGGATATGCGGGTGTTAGTGCCTTGAGGGAAGCACACAAAGTGCTTAGCTCGTAAGCCTCAGGGGATGTTGGGGATTACACAGCCCGCTTTCCCTGATTTTTCTTGCAAAGAAAAAAAATCTCTCCAAAAATGAACCAAATCAAGTTTGGAGGCAGGCTAGCAAGGACAGTGCACGGCGGAGATAAGAAAGGTGAGAAAATCAGTAACACCAGCGCTGCAAGATGGCTAACTGGTGAAGTCAGATTCTGCACGCCTCTGGGCAGGCGAGGGGGAAGGAAAGGCAGGGATAAATCGAATGAAAGAAGGAATTATGCTGGTTGCGTGCCGAGCCTCGGAGGGCTGGGAGAGCACGTGACCTAGGCGCCACCGAAGGAGCCGAAAGCGGGGCGATGTTTCAGGCGGGCGTTTGGGGCAGGAAGAGGAAGAGGATCGCCCGTGTGACTAAAGTGTAACCCCTGAAGTCATGTCGTGTACTTACGGTGGCTGGCTCAGGCTGAGGAGCCCAGATCGATCCATCTACCGGTGTACATAATATAATTATAATGATTGCTATTATTCAATAATATTATCACGGTGTCTTTGTAGTCTATACTCTTTTCTCATTCCCACGTGCGTCGTCCGTATTCGTTAACGCTTCCTGCGTGTGGAATCGATGTCTGACCATGATCACCGAGCCACCGTTTTTCTCCACTCTCTGTCTTTTGTCGTGCTCCGTAGGATGGGAATCAATATCTTACTGCGTAACGGACTATCTCGTATGGAGTCCATTATTGCCTCACTCAGAGACCCAGAGTACTCCGTAGTAAGTACGGTGTACTATATATTCCGTAGTATCTGAGTGAGGGGACGCCGTCCTGTTGTCGGTTTGAGTGACCGGGGCTATTACGCATCCCTATTGGTCTTTCCTTTTAGTTTAATGGTTCTGTATGCGCTGGACAAATAATGCGTCCCTGGTACCTGATTAGAGAAAAGAAAAGATAATGAGAATAATCCATTATCCTTGGTTTACCCACGCGCCTTGGTCCTTCGTACCTGGTCAGGTCTCCCGTACCAGAGAACGGTTTGCTCGATTCTTTGGAGGACCGGAAAAAAAAGAGGTCCACTTGCCTTTCCATTTCTTGGACCTCGTTACGGTCGGTGGATGGTTGGCGGGGCACAGATGATAATAATAATAATAGTAAACTAAAATAGCACCTCGTTCTCCGGCTCATATTACTTTTTTTTTTTTTTGAACCAACCCCACCGGGTTGTATCAAATGCCAATTGCGATCCATGGTCGCATGCTTTTCACGATGAAGCTCTGAATGAATCTCAAACGCAAATCCTTCCTGGAATGTTCTCTCTGCTTCTTTGTGCTGCAAACGCACTCTCGTACCGTGTTCTTCCGGGGGCTGTCAACGGCAGTCGATGATCACAAAGATCACCGAAAAGGATCCAAATCCCAATAATGGAATGCTCTGACCTCTGCTTCGTCAGGGACGGGAATCCGATTCGCCCATGGAATGGACCTCTGCCCCCCATCTAGCGACAGATGGTTGGCCAATCCATCGTCGCAATCAGAGCATCGGAGCCGGGGCGTACATCATCCCGCCCAAGGCACCAACTGCCAGACCCGATCTTTCTGGCCAGTCAACTGTCCGCCCTTTCAGCAGTTCAATGGGTCCTCCCGATCTTTCGGTGTATATCCTTGTCCGCAGTCACTGCAGGGGAAAACCAACGGGGAAACAGGAAAACAAACACACGAGCGAGGGATAGAGAAGACGGATAGACCCAACAGAGAGAGGGAGGAGGGAAGAAGAGAAAGAGCGAGAGAGGGGGGGAGAGAGAATTAGGGCTGAGGTAGAAGGAAGAGGGGCTTACATTTCCTCCCTCTTCTTTTCCCCCTCCGTCCGCCAGCAGCATTTCTGTTTCTCCGGAATACGTTGTTGATCAGTTTTATGTGGGTTAACCCAACGTCATCCTCCTCTCACAAGCCACCGACTTGCATTGGAATTCTTTTTGCCTGCTTTCCATCCTCCCCTCCCTCCCCCTTTTTTTTTTCGGTCACGGATGCATTGAATTGAATTTGGCTTATCCGGACGGAATCACTGCTCATGACGCCAGAAGAGAATTTAATTTCTGTTTAACTCTGTCGATGGTCAAATAGACGCAGTGGCTTTTCCCTTCCCTTCCCTCGAAGCCTCGTCATTTACCAGACAAGCGCCAGCCAGTCTGTGCACCAACCAGATAGACTTTCCATACTTCCATAATCCATAGTCCCTCTGAAGCTACGCCGTAGTAACCTTTCTGGAGCCTTGCACAACGCCATCTCCACCGTCGGTTCGCCCCTTAAAAAAAAGACGGGGGGCTTCTTAGCCTGACACACAGCCGTGCTTGCATAACGCTGTCAACGAAGGTGTCGCCGCGACACTTCGAGTCTGAGCGCTTTTGGAACCGTGCGGTCATCTCCTTCTCCCTCTCCGAACTCTCGTGCCTCGTTAACCTCTTCCCCCGACGTCTCTCTGGGGAATTATTACTTCTTACCGCAGGGGGGAAAAGATACTTGACTCCATTTCTATTTTATTTATTTTCTATTTTCTATTCCCCATTTATTTTTGTTTGTCTTTTACTTCGCTTTTTATCTCCCCTTCTTTGACCGTGTTCTCTTTTGTGTCCGATCTTCTTTCAATTGAATTGCCTTTCCTTTCCCTTCCCTTCCCTTCCCTTCCCTTCCTTTATTTTCTTTTTCGTTTTCCCTTTTCCCTTACAACGCCTATTCCCTAGTCACTAGTCGCCGGAGCTTTTAGCCTGTCTCTCCTTGGTTTCGGCTTCCTTTTACCGACCGCCCTCTCTCACGGCCGTACACACCGAGGGGCAAAAACAAGCAAGCCCTCGATTTCATTCTCGACTTCCTAGGTATTGATTGAGGGGGAAAGCGACGGTTGTTGTCGATCTCATAACGAGGTGGAGTCAACGAGGTACTTTTGAAGAGCTCTTTGGAGAGTGCAGTAACATGAGGGGCGTGGTTTTCTGGTACGTGATGATATTACCTCTTGTTTTTGAACGGTCAGGGCGTTGGTTTTCTTCCCCCCCCATTGTTCACTGGAAGGACGGTTTCACTCCGCTCTTTCACATTGCCCGATGCATACCAAGGGGGTGAATCCGCGACTGTAAAACCTCTGGACGAATCCATCGTCATTGATGCCTTGTACCCCTACTTCTGCCTTTGCGACCATTCCTTCCCACTTGTTGCATTCAAGTACGGTCGCTTTGCCTCAATTATCGGACACTGCTAAAAGCAAGATGCTTGTCTAGACACAAGCGCTCCCATAAATCACCTCTTCCAAGACCGATATTGCCTGCTCTGCCCGTGATAGACGCAGCCGTTGACAACACCACGACCGAGAAAGATTGACAAGGCCGGCTCCGATCCAATCTCATTTCGTCATAAAACAGTCAATTGCTCATACTCGCTATAATCTGGGCCCGGCTGCACCCTTAATCTCCATGCTTGAGGGATTGCGGGATCATCGTATAATATTCTTCCGATCAAGGTACGTTCTGGGTTGGATTTGCGAGTTGAATACCTGATATTTTTTCTTTCTTTTTTAGATTGTCATTTTGCCCTAAAATCGATTCTCACTTACCAACACCTCTGTTGTCCAATGATACTAACAGCTCGGTAAATAGATTTTAGTCTTGCGTCGAAACAGCGGTCCCTAGTTGGTGCCTGGTTTATCAATTATTCTATCGGACTATCCGCCCCCCCCTGACGATTACTCCCGTTCCTATTCCGGGCTGCCAACTAAGACACGAACAACGTCTAAGATGCCGTCAAGACACTCCACTGTTCCCAATTTAGATCTCAGTACTTCCACCTTGCAGGCGAATGCGAAGATCTCGTCCCCACTAACGCCCGGCGCCCAAAGCTCGGATGGGCCGAGTCCCCTGACACCCCGTTCTCCTAAATCGTCGTCTAGTTCACCTTTCTTCAAAGGGGCTACAATTCGCCCTGTCACCCAAGAGTCGAACAGCAAGTCAAACAGCCCTACTCTTCCAGTTTCTCCTAGCCTTGCCGCCGAACCTCCTACTCCGGGCTTCACGGCTATCCCTCAGTACCCACCATCTCCTAAAGATACTCCCAAACACAGCCGTGACCCCTCTCGATCTTTTTTCGCAAATCTCAAGGCCCCCAAGTCTTCGCACAAAGCCCAGCGATCGGACGGCTCGGAATCCGGCGACAAACCCAAGAGTCGTGGCAGCTCCAGGGACCGCAAGACACAGATTTCATCCAAGCTATACGAGTCAACGCCAGACCTTCCTGGCGCCATCGAACGTGCGGCACAAGAGGAGAATAGTAAGTGCTGATATGGTTAGTCCAAGCCGCCTGTGTTAACGTATACCCTCCTAGACGGAAACTCCGAAGACAAATATTCGCACACAACGGAGATCAAGAAAGTCGGCACGGAGACCGAGGCTTCTCAGACCCTTAAGAAGAACAAGCCGCGATTTGCCAACCTCCTCTCCCGCTCCCGCTCGATCAGGATCGACGACTCTTCGATAAACAGAATCGCCAATCGCCGTCCGTCTACCAGCCTCATGAGACTCGAGGAGAGTGGTCGGCGGGAAATGCAAGAATCCCAAAAGGCACCAGTACGTCAGGAGCGCGGAACGAAGAACACGGCGAATGCAACAGTTCGGAACCATGTCGCCGATCGCCCCATCGAAAACAGCGGCGGTCCCGTAAGGAAAGACAGATACCACGGCGGGGCAATGGTTCCGTCCGCTTCGTTAAGTCAAGTGTCCGGCGCCTCTGCTGCGCTTTTCAACAACATTAAACAGTCCTCAAGCGGCGCCGCCGATCGCATCGGCAAAGCGGGCAAAGGATTCTTTGGGAAAATCACCAGGAGCGGAAGCACGAATGAGCGGGAACTCATTAATGACGACAACTATGTCTGCTCCGTGATTAACCTGCCGCTTATAGAGCAAGCACGGCGATCCCGCATCGCAAAGCGACTGGAGGATTGCAAAGACAAGACTGAGTTTTGGATGCCCGCCTTGCCGTACCGTTGTATAGAGTAAGCAGACACCCCTCGGATCACGTGTGTGCGCACAACTGACGGCAGAGCAGTTACCTGAACTTCAAGGGTTGTGAAGAGGAAGGACTTTATCGCGTCCCAGGGAGTGGCAAAGAAGTGAAACATTGGCAGCGACGGTTCGATACTGGTAAGTTTATGAAGATAAATGTGCATATCTCACTGCCGGAGCCATCTCTCATTGATATCTAGAACTTGACATCAACCTGTTTGACGTGCCGGATCTCTACGACATTAACACAATTGGCTCCATGTTCAAAGCTTGGCTTCGCGAATTACCGGACGAGCTTTTCCCCAAGGAAACCCAAGCCATGATTGCCGAAAAATGCGAAGGGGCAACAACGGCCCCCCAGATGTTGAAAGACGAACTATCCAAACTGCCGCCATATCACTACTACCTTCTCTTCGCTATAACGTGTCACCTCAACCTCTTACACTCATACGTCGATCAAAACAAAATGGACTACCGCAATCTTTGCATCTGCTTTCAGCCTTGTATGAAAATTGATGCGTTTTGCTTCCATTTCCTTGTTTGTGACTGGAAGAATTGCTGGCAGGGTTGTTGGACCGAGAAGGAGTACCTCCATATCGAAAAAGAGATGGACGAAAAAGAGAAATTCCCACAGGCGAGAGAAGAATTCGCCCCAATTCCTCAGCAGGCATCATCTGTCGACGAAAGGGCCATCTCTTCCTCTGGCAGCAGTCAGCCTGCCGTTGAAGAGGAACCGCCACGGCCCCAGACAGCGAAAGTTCACAAAACAAGGCCCAAGAACATTGAAACAGCTCACGGCAGAAGCGTTTCTCAGCTTCCTGAACTTGGACCACCGCTTTCTCCGATACAAATCTGAGCTAGGCTCCACCCGCTTCTACCAACATCCGTATCGCATCCAACACATTAACGGCAACACGAACTCTCTTTGATCTGATCTATTGATTGATGCCTTTCATTTCCAAATTACGTGCACTGGGCTTTCAAATCCAGGCTGGCCTACGTTTTTATACCATATTACCTTTCCTTTTTCCCGCACAAGAAATCGCCAATTTTGAAAGTCTCGGACTGGATCCGCAGGTTGAGCATTTTTCTTGAAAATACTTTTAGCCTGAAACACTTGCAATTTGTCTACATCCTTTTCATCATAGCGTGCTTTTGTGTGCTGGGTCCAGATCTCCTTCGACTTCGTGACATTTTCTCAATTTCTTAGCATCTCCTTTACCTATGCCATGACCCTCATCCGACTCCACTGCCTCCCTCCTGCCTCCAATCATCCTTCCGCCTTCACCCTTTCTATCGTCCTCTCCCTCTCTCCCTATATCTTCCTCTATCTCTCTTCCCCTACATCCATTCTGCTGTTATTCTTCTTTTGGGCTATTCCACTCCTACATGCATGTCTTGCGCCCATAGAGTCAGTTGATGTTTTCCAATCTTTGAATTTTTTCACAAGTGTACAAATTGACCTCTAGTCTGTTTTTACTACATATATTTGATGATATGTTGTGCTCATACCTCTGCCCAGTCACTGAAATGTATTGCTTCCTACTATTCCTTTGTGTCTAACCACCGATTCCCCATTGGAGCTTTGTTTCGGCGCTTGCTTACTTGCGTTTCTATCTGATTCCCTTGCTTTGTCGCATCTTCATGGAGTGTGTTGCCGGTACATACATGTAAAATAGGTCCAGGCATGACCGTACGTTGATTTAGTGAATCTTCAGCAAACGAGAACAATAAATAGACCTTGTCTGTCTCACTTGAATATATATCTAGCACAAGCCCGAGAACTAAGACACAAGAAAAGAAAAACATAAACTGTACAAAGGAATGCCGGCCCTTTGGCCGAGCACTGCGTGGAACGGGTGACATTGCTTTTTTTGTGTTTTGCAGTGGATAATCCATGCAGGCGACATTTGACATCCAAGACCGGCGACTCCCAAACCAAACGCCTAAATAAGCCCAGAATTCCAGTGATGTAAGAACAAGCCGAAGTTTAACAAAGAAGTCTTGACTGCCGAATTAATTCATCATCTACTTTTTCTTTTTTTTTTTTTTTTTTCGCTCTCCTTCTCCAATTCTCACCCGCTTCCGGGTTTCCTCGTCTTCCGCTCGTTAGACCGCATCTTGCGCTCGTTTCGGCGGATTCTGTCCTTGCGCTCCGCACGAGACATGCCACGGATCGAGCTTCCCTGGGCGGCGGCATCCTCTTCCTTCTTCCAGTCCTTCTCGTTCACCTCGACCAGCCAGTCATCGTCCGACTTGTTGTTACCCTTGTAACCCCAGCGCGGGACCCAGTCGCCCTTCTCTTCGTCGTAGACCATCTTCTTGCGTCGCTCCTTGTCCGCGAGCGCAGCGCCAGGCTTGGCGCTGTACTTGCCAATACCCTTCTTGCGCGCGAACAGCTCCCACTTGGTCGGGGGCTTGGGCGTGGGCAGTGGCTTGTGGCGGGGCAGGACGGTCGCAGGGGAAGGCAGCGTCAGGAGAACGCCTTGTTGGGAAGAGGTAATGGGGCATGTCGTCAGGAGTTGGTTCAGTAGCGATTGGACGCCATCGCGGGCCGTGGCCTTCAGGGATGCGTTCAGCGGTTCCGAGCGAGAGACTTCGATGGGGTTGGGGTCGTTTGCGAGGAGATGGCCGAGGTCGAAGGTGTAGGGGGTAGGCTTCGACACGGTGATGGGTCTAGAAAATTCCCGGCAGGTTAGAATTTATATACATAGATCGGTCGAGGGCTTTGCTGGATGGTGGTGAAAACTCACAGCTTAGGCTTGGCCTCGGCCGATTTGTTTGTTGTTTCGAATTCCGACATTGCGACGGTGTATCCGGAATCTATCTCAGGAGATCGTCCGGAAATGCGCAAGGGGAATGGGATGAGTAGAAAAGATCTGATCGATTGACCGGGGAAAACTGAAGCGGGTAAGAAAAAAAAAGTTAGTAGATAAAATTATGGGAGGCCGCTTCTGCCACATCAGCTCACCGCCTTAGTGGTTGTCTAGGGCGGCGGCGACGCTAAACCCGAAGGAGCCGCAGAGGAGCCCTCTGGTGAAGCGCCAAAATGTGATGAATTTCATTCCAACAACTCCGGGGTTCGACGAAACCTAGGACGGCACCCTCTCCCGATTCAACCCTCCCACCCTTCCTTTTCTGTCAATTAAGACCCTGGCCACTGTGCCAGTGTGTCGCAACACCATGGTCTCCTCCTTTTGCTGGGGCTGCCTCACACGGCTGCGCCCAACACCCCCGGCTGTTATTCCCCCGATGTCAGTTCCCCGAGCAGCATCGTTCCACACGTCCGCAGTACGCCTTTCGGTCCTCAAGAAGAAGCAAAATGTGATCAAAAGTGGATTCCGTGAATCCAATTCTCCCAAAATGAAGAGGAAGAAGAACGTCGAGCGGGCACGACCGCCCCCGGTCGGAGAACGCAAAGCGATCCGGAAGCGCCTCGTTCTCAGCAACCCCAATGCCCTTGAGGTTCAAGGTATGCAGGACATCTCGGCGGAAACAATGGTGGACTCGCGACTCCGCGGTTCTGTTCTCGGCCTTCCCGTGCCGATGCTCACTCAACTGCGCGCGGTGGAAGCCTTCAAACCGACGCAGGGCTGGTCGATATTCCGTCGCCCCGGGACAGTGGTCAGACGCGAAACGCTGGAGCTGGGTCGATTGATTGATGGGATCTCTAGTGATGGCGCGGATAAAGGGAAATCGGTCAAGAAGATTATCACCGGTGTCCGAGGATCTGGAAAGAGCGTTCACCTGCTACAGGCCATGTCGATGGCTTTCACCAAGAAGTGGGCTGTCTTTACCGTTCCTGAGCGTAAGTTCTAACCAAACGATCTAAACCATCTTCCTTCAGCCGTCTATCAAAAGACCGAGACGGAAGGAAAATCAATGCCTAGATACTAACGATGGATCTTTAGCCCAGGATCTAGTCATCGCGCACACCGGTTACGCGCCACTCTCCGACGAGACGCCCGACTTGTATGTTCAGAACGTGGCAACTGCCGCCCTTCTGTCTCGCACGCTGGCCGCCAACGAAGAGCTCCTCAAGGGTCTGAAAGTGTCGCAAACCCACCCGGCTCTCAAATCTGCTGTTAAGCCTGGCATGACGCTCGCCGATTTCGTCCGGCTGGGTATTCAGGACTTCGCCACTGCCTGGAATGTTTTCCAGGGATTGTGGTCTGAGCTCACCGCGACTGCTGCTGCGCCGGGATTGGAGAGTCATTTCGCGCCTCGCCCCCCAATGCTCGTGACCGTGGATGGCCTGGCTCACTGGATGAAGAACTCCGAGTACCGCACTCCTGAAATGAAACCCATCCATGCCCACGATCTGGTTTTCGTGCGCCATTTCCTTTCGCTCTTGAAGCCCGGGACCGAAAAGGCAACTTTCCCCAATGGTGGCCTGCTCTTGTACGCCACCTCGGCCTCCAACAACCCCTCCGTCTACAGCTTCGAAGCCGCCCTGAAGCAGGTCGAGGCCCGCCACGCCGGCGTGAAACCCTCGGCGCCTGAATTTCCTCAGCCCGATCCTTATAGCCGAGCTGACCAACGCGTGCTGGATGTCTTCGACTCTCCTAAGCCTACCGTCGCCAAGGAGGAGATGCTGGAGCTCCAGTCTCTTAGCGGACTCACTCGGGACGAGGCCCGTGGCTTCCTGGAATACTTTGCTCGCAGCGGTCTTCTGCAGGAGAACATCAACGAAGAGTGGGTGGGTGAGAAGTGGAGTTTGGCCGGCGGCGGCGTGATCGGTGAACTCGAGAAGCTGGGAAGACGCTTGAGAGTCGGTGCTTAAGTGATGCACCGATCGCACCCGAGAAGATGACCTAACTTTCCCACTTTCGAAGCTGTTGATTCAAACTTGGCTACCCTTTTCTTTTTGTGCCACTTATATTATTTTATTGCATCCCTTCCCCATTGTTTGTTCCTAGACCTGTGGACGGTTCTGCGTGATGCCAGGCTCTGTCTTTTCTACTCTATCATTGGGATCGGGACTTGGCTTTAGCCAAACCATGTGTACTCTACTTGTGATGTTGGGCCTTTTGCGTGTTGTTTATTTGTATGCATATAATGGGATTTGAAAAAGACGTGTTGATACTCTGTAATGCGTGTCCTCTCGTACCTCCACTTACTGAGTAGGCGGGAGTTAGGGCTGGTGGCAGCCTCAGGCAGCATCTCCGCACCGCCACGTTTCGGCGGACTTTCCGTCATCATTCTTTGGTCTTTTAGTCTTTAGTAAATAATCCGCGACAAGCTGACCCGGCTTTCTCTTCGTTTGTGTTTCTTTTGTTTTAACTACCATCTTCTGTTTTATTCCCCGACAACTTTCTCTACCTGTGTCAGCTGAGGCGACCGTCGGGGGTAAATCGGTCAGCCGACCTTCGCTTGTCACTCATTCATTCATTCATTCGCTTTCTCCTGACGGCCGGTCGCTTCTCTCTCTCCCCGCAGTTGCCCGCAATTCCAGTAAGCGACCAATCTATACTGACCACTTTGTCTTCACTTTTTGCACCTTAACGCATGAATCATAGAAACTTACGGCTCAAACCCCTACCCTGCCCCTGGTTAACAGATGTCGGGTCCTCCGCAACCCGAATGGCGTCGGCCTGCGACGGCGCAACAGCGCCCTCAAGCGTCGCAACCCCCGCCTCCTCCTCTTCCTCCCTATAATCCAAATACATACGGTCTTATGTCTACTCAATCTCCCGTATCCGGAACAGGGACAAATATGTCGCCATCTACGGGTGTGGACACATCCTCATGGGGGGTGCGATTCAATAGGCAGCAACATATTCAAACCCCTCCTCCGTTGCCTGTGAGTACCTATGTGAAGTCGGGGGCGGATCCCTTAAGACTGCTTGGAAGCTGATAGATCTTGGAAAGCCTCGACCTTCCAGCACTCCTGGACATCCCCCCAGTCCCCAACCTCCTACAGCGACTCCTGTAGATTCCAGCAAGCCTACACAGTATGGAGCCCAGGCTTCTGCACCAGGGCATCATCAGCCTTGGCCGACAAGCACACCATATACACACCAGCAGCCTGCGGGCTCACTTTCGGCACCATCACCACCGCCTCTTCCACCGGCCTATCAGACTGCTGTATCGCAGCCAAGCAGTCAACCGCCGCAGTCTTCGAACCCGTTGTATACAGCGTCCCCTTACAGTCCGCCGGCTGGCCCAGCCTTTCAGCAGCCCAACATCTATTCCCTCTCGGAACGTCCAATACCACAGACTTTCCAATCTGAACAGACACCGGCGTTCGTGGGAAGCCCGGCAATGCATTCAGCGCCGCCGATGACTGCTCCACCTGTTCCTCCCAAAACCAGTGCCAACATCATCCCGGCGGGGCCGGCCTCATTTGGTGCCTTCACTCCTTCAGACTGGGAGCACCTGTCTCCTCAACCGGGAAACGTCGATGACGAAGGTGTCTTCGGGTCTAAACAGAACACTGTCGCGCATGCGCCAACCACCTCGAACTACCCACCGAGCTATGCAAATGCGGCTGTACCCAACCCAGCTTCGCAATCCACAGCTCCGACGCCCCCTTCGGGTGTCTCACCCACTATTCAGCCTACGTACTCTCAGGACACAACGGGGATGCAGGACCAATTCAGAGTCTCGCCTGTTAGCCCAGGAGCTGGCCAGGACACCATACATGACCCGGCTCCACCCCCGCCGCTGCCGCCGCCACCACCACCACCCATCAGAGTGAAGACGGATGACTCTCTATACAGTTCAGTATCCGACACAGAGGCTTCGGAAAGTATCGATGGTGTCATCGAGGCGTGGAAGCAGCCTCTACCCATTGAGACTACATCGCCAAATGCCCAAATCGATTCGCACACCTCTGGTGGACCTTCAACTCCATTGCGACAGCTTACTCCTCTCGACATTCCTCAGTCGAAACAAGAAGCTTTCATACCTCGAGAGGCCACTCCAGCTCACTTCGAGAACACACCGAGCGGGAGGGATGTTATGCCACAACCATCGTCGCCGAACCCTAAGCAAATAGACCCATATGAGGACTTAGACCCCTGGTCCAAGTCTTCGCTGGATCGTTATGTGGCTATGCTACGCAAGGAAGCAGTGGCCGACTCAGACACTGAACGGTTCAAGATATTCACGGCTTTCATGGCCAAAGAGACGAAACTGCGCGAAATTTTGTACAATGTTGATTCCACAGAAGATACCGCTCAAACACCAACGCCAGCCACACAGCCTCCGATTCAAAAGCTTTCTCCTGTCATAGACCCAATGGACTCGGGCCTTATACCAGTAGAGACAGAGGAGGTTGAGGATTCTTCGTCTGATACTCCAGAAGAGCCCGAGGATGGAAAGTATAGTCCAGGAGGGCGTCCGATTCTTCCCCGTCTTCATACGCCGAAAATTACAAGTGTGCGCCGGTCAGCTTCTAACCCGGGCGGCCCCAAATATGGTCCAGAACGTCTGGTGCAGGGTCAGTTCTCGAGATCGACGTCTGTGCCACCTACGAATGATTCAATACATAAACAGGAGCACTCGCCTTTGGCTACCAAACCCCCACAGCCAATCTATACTCCATTTAGTTATACCGAAGGTCCACAGAGAGGCTCTGATCAACTGTCATTTCATCTTCCAGCATACCAAGCATACTCTGCCTTGCGACAGGCATCTGCTACCAGCGGTAGAATAATGTCGAATGCACCAAACCCGCCCTCCGGGGATACCGCCAGCCCCACCGTGCCATCCTCGGCGACACAGAATCAGGACGACGAAACTTTCATCGGCCTCATCAGAGAGAAGAGCGTTGCCTACCGAAAACACGCGCGGAAAACCTCTTCCCCACCACCATTGCCATTGTCCCTCAGACAGGGGAGACCGGCAGGTGTAATTGACGATCTGCGTTCCATAATTTCGTCGCCCTTGGCGAAACAGTCAGAAAGCCCGTGGCACAAGACCACTAGGGAAGGCTTGAGGTCTTACTCGAACGACTTCAAATTCATCATGGAGACAATGAAATCTTGGGAAATTGCGAGCCAATCTCGCAAGGAGGCCCTAGACAAAGAGCGTTTACATCGCCAAGAGGAGTCAGAGAAACACATCGACGCGTTGTTCAATGACAAGGAAATCGGGTATGCCGATATCAACGTCCTGGAGGAAGAATTTCGCCAGACAGAGGCTCGAGTCCAATTGGAGGAAGAACGTCGGGAATTCGAAGATTTCGAGACCAAGGTCTTCAAGAAGCTGGATGAGCGCCTGAACGATGAGCTTTCCGCGCTTCGGACTCAATACGAGTCGGCGCTTGGCCAACTTGACCATGAAAATAGCAGGATCAAGGATTCGGTCACTGACAAATACAATCTTTCCCACACCATGAAGGTCGTGAACGAGATTTACCAAAAGCTCGAGGTCCGCTACCAGAAGCGTCTTGAAATTGCCTTGGATCTTGAGCGCCGACGCAAGAAGACCGAAAGACGGCCGCTGGTCTTCATGGGTGATTCCGCGGCTCTCAAGCGCCTGGACAGTGACTTTGATGAAATGGAAAGGCGGAATGTGCTCGAGGCGGCCAAAGACCGTGATGAGAGGGCCAATCGACTGATGGATTCCTTTGATGACGCAATTATGCACGGGCTGGGCGAAAACCAAAGCCTCCTGGATGAGCTATCTGCTAAGTTGTCGAAAGTTGATGCCACAGTCATTAGTGCCTCTGGATTGGCAGATTCCGAGATCGAGCAGATGTTGAACTCAGTCTACAATATGGTGGAATCACTCCGGGAAGATTCTGAGTCGATTCTCCATAGCTTCGGCATCGTAGACTCGGCTCTCAATAACGCAGACTACCAAGTTTCGGTCGCAGAGGCCCGCTACTCCAATGCCGACGTTGACATTTTCCGCCAGTTGGAGAACGAGAAGAAGAAAGAAGACGCCAAAATCCAGAGCGAACTTCAAACCAAATTGGAGAGCGTTCGTGCTGGTCCGGCTAAGATCACCACTACCATCAACGATCTCCTGAAAATCATAGACAAAGACCCCATTGCAGGGCAGTCCAGCTCGTCGGGAACCGCCACGCCCAGTCATCCTGCTGAATCGCTCATGCCTGGTCCCCCGCCCTCCGCAGTTGCTCCTCGGAAATCGGGCGAAGATACGGCGCATCAGGAACGGCTCCGAAAAGCATTGGAGGATGCGAAAAAGAGAAACGCCGCCCGACATAACCCTTAATCCCAAACCCCTCGAGTGAAGACACTCCTTTACTTCTTTCGCGGTATCAATCATTATTAATATTCCTTAATTAATTACATCCTTTATTGTTGTCTCATTCCGGTCTCTGCTTTTAGTTTGCACTTCATATCACTGTTTCTTAGCTATCGACTTCCAGTGGCTCTACTCACGACTTGACGATTCTCCTTAACAATACCCTCTTTCTATGCTCCCCCTGTTTCTACTTATGTACCTCATTCTAATGGGCTCTAGTATATGAATTTATGTCCCCAAGCGACGGAGGTTGAATCATAACATGCCAAACTCATATCCTGCCACCTTTCATGTATACCTTTAGCAAGCAGTGCATCTTATTCCAACACATATGTTCTCCATTTTCTTCTGATTACCTACATCCAGTATCATGGTAAAATATGCAGATCGCATCATGGCCAGGGAAAAAAATCCCTCTTGCTGTGGCAGGAGCCTAGTAGTGTCAACGGGTGCCATAAACCCCGAGTGGCGGCATCAAACAAGAGAATACGGAGATGCCGCATGCACGAAGACTGAAGTACGGAGTATCGCAACTTAACAAGCGAGGCAATTGGATACAGAGCCGAAGAATGGAACTGATTTCCAGATAACTGCGGCGGATGCGAGCGGACCTGTGTATCGTCGATCGATGACGAGAATAATAAGCGCCCAGGAAGTGGCGCAGAACCTGCGCCGCATAACCACCCGACATGACTTCCTTCAGGACAATTCGATGAAATGATCCGTGACACTTAACTGTCTGGTATTGGACCCAATGATCTCCTAGTTGCACTGGAAATACCTGGAAGGGGTTAGTACGCCTCATCGGATGGCTGTTAGACGCCCGTCAAATTCGCATCTATACCGTGCAAGTTCACAAGGCAGTCTCGGCAGACTATAGTCAGCCTTTTCAGCTCCTGCGCAATTAATCAAAACAATGAATCATCAGCTCCCGTCCAAAGATTATCATCTCCTTGATATCTGCGCCGCAGACCAAGCATCCCGCACGGCTTCATTGCAGGGATCCGTGCTTCGACCCAGTTAGGCTTTGGATCCATCGTGACAGGAGGCTCGAGAACGGTGTAGCCGCAGTGAACGCTGTCAGTATATGTCATTGGAGGCACAGAGGCTCAAAGTCAAATGGAACCCTAAATTTGATAGCTCAGAAGTCCTCCAATCTCGTTGTCCTCCATGACCCTTCCCTCCCTGGGCAGTACCTGCGCCGCCTATATGTCGCATGTAGCCATTAGTTGTTCTTCTCTCGAAAGAGCCTATCCTCATAGATAGGTCCTTTCTATGCTACTGGCGCATTGGCACAGTCTGGGGAGTCCCTCAGCTGATGACCGTTGGCGTTTCGTCATGCGGCAAAGAGAAAAAAGGACACTAACGGTGTGGCTCAAGCCTGAACCAGCCTCTCAGATGGCAGTTTGATCGTTTTGCGTCCGTATGGCACTGTTCTTGCTGTGGCAGCGAGTGGGATAAGTGTGTTGCGGTACTGTCTTGGTCCAAAATACCCGCTCCCACCCGTGGCTCTCGACAAACTCTATATAACTCGGGTCAGTCTTGCATCAACAAGCCTTCTTTTGCCCTCCAGTCACTTACTACTCATCGAGCTTGATCTTTTCATTGATCTTGTTTCAGCTTTTCTCCATGTCCGCCCCTACCAGACAGTTTTGCAAGCTGTCCATCGCTAGCCCCATGTCACGACCGCGGTTCCAGAACCAGAGAGCACGACCTACGGAGGACGATAACAACGACGACAGTGAGAACATTGGAAGTGACAGCGAGGAGAGCGAGATGGAGGCAGGAGACTCCGGTGAATCATTGACTGCGCAAGGGAAATCAGGGATCACGTATGATCTGGCCGGGCTGGATTCCGCGTCAGAGGCCAGAGCGCTGGTTGGATTCTCGAGCCAGTTTGAGGTGATTACCTGCTGCTCCATGCAGACGGGGTATGACTTTCAGCTGGCAGAGAAGGCCCGGGTGCATTTGGGCTCGGATGCCTATACGTGCACCTGTTCAGCATTCTTGAGTCAGTCTAACGTGGCCTGTCAACACATCTTTGTAAGTCAAGAAAAAGGGGGGTTACCTAGTAGGAAGACGAGAATTTTTCCTTCTACTCATCAAGAACTAGTTTGTGCTAACACTTTAGCAAAAGTGGCTCCTTGATCAGCTTTATGCCTGCCTCCTTCCCCAAATCGTATCCTCTGTGGTCCCTCTCGCTAGCGATGGCCGTCTTCCGAATTTTTCGCGCACCGAGCAGCTTCTCGAAGGTAAACTCGAAGCCGTTGCGGACCAACTGGGCTGGGAGTATGTTCGCTCTGAAGCAGTTGGTGGGATGAGTCGTTCTCAGAAAGCTCGAGACCTCCTGTCTGCCTTCAGCATGGGCGTCCTGCCGGAAGATTTCCGCCTCGACCTGGTGGAGGACACGGGGCTGTCACGCACGCCCGAGCAGTGCGTCGTGCAAGGGGACCTCGAAGCCACTTTATTTCGGCTCACCGTGCACGACGACGCTGTCTACTCTAGCTTGTGCAAGGCGATGCCCCCCGGTGCTTGTGCGGCGATCTACTTCGACAAAATCCAGGGCCGATCCCGCAAGCTGTTAGCCGACTTCGACCTCTTCTGCCAGACAGGGAAGAAGCCCGAGAGCGGAACGAACGTGGACGTCGCCAACGTCATCCGGGAATTACAGTACAACGTGGATCGGATCCAGTGGAATATCACCGCGCGCGCGCCGCACGGCATGGAAGGCGCCGCAAAGGCCTTGGTCACGTTGCTGGAAGACATCTGCAACCGCAACAAGGACGCCCTGGATGGCAACCGATGGGGCCGGAGCTCGTTCCACGGAGAAGACGAGGATGAGCGCAACGTGTACCATCAGCTCATCGGCACGACCGACGAGACGGGCCGGTGCTTCATCCTCGATACCCTGGAGCATCTGCAGGGGTCGGATCTCCACCAGTTCGGAGCCAAGCTGCATGCGATCCTGCACAAGAACGAGGTGAACCGAGCACCGAGAGCTTTCCTTCTCAAGTTGAACATGCTGGTGCGTCGAGCCGAGTCGGCCTCGACTGCCTCTGGTCAGAAACGTCCGGCTACGGGAGTGTCTGGAGGGAACAGCAAGCGAACTCGTTGATATACATGCGCTTTTGATGCGATATACCCTTTTGGATTGAATTCTGCCGTTTAATTTCTTCACATCTACATAGCAGACTCTTCCTCTGTTTTTCAGCCCGATGTTTTGGTTTGCTGTGCTGCGTTGTGCTTATTGTGAATTCAAGTACTTCTACATAGTCAAATAATCACCAGCAGGACTGGTCTTTGGTTGTCTTCTATCTCCAGTGTGAATAATTAATCTAAAGAATATTGATGGTCAATACGAATTGCAATCACTCCGGAGACCTTCCCCAGGTAAGGCACGATAACCGACACGACAGCGCAGGGCCACGGTTCCCAGCAAACTTAGAAGCAGCCTTAACTGGCAGGAAGTTGTTGTGATGACGCATCCATTTTCGTTTCCACTCTAAAAGCAGGGCATATAGATGGCAGACAGAATCATGCACTTGGTAGATATAACTACTACTGCGACTTATTCTCAGGTCATGTTTCGAATCGATTTCACCTATTGAAAAACAAACAGACTACAGCAACAATGGAAAATACACGGACATAAGGTCATACTCATAACTGCAGTCGCCGCATCAAGCAGGACTAACTGCATCACTCTCACAAGAGAGATCATACCCATCGCTAATATATGCTTGCACCCGTCTAGGACAAGTCCAGGACCACCCGTCCCTGCACCTTCCCATGATGCATCTCCTCAAAAACGCTGGTTAGCGCCTCCATCTTCTCCGTGCGGAAATGGGCATTGATGACGCCGCGCGCCGCGAAGTTCAACGTCTCGACGGCGTCCGCTCGCGTGCCGACAACCGACCCGGTGATCGTCGCATGCTTAAGGATGATGGATCCCGGGTACGCCGTCGCAATGGGCAGCAGGTCATTCTCCGGTACGCCAACACACACCAGGGTGCCGTTGAAGCGCAGGAAGCCGAGCGACTGGGCATACGCCGCGTTGGAAGCGGTGCACACGATGACCCCGTGGGCACCGAGCCCGTCGGCCAGGGACTTGACGTGCGCGGTGATGGCTTCGCCCTGGTCGTCCGCGGGGAACTTCGTGATGTCCACGAAATGCTCCGCCCCGGACTCCTTGACCAGCTCGGCCTTGCTGCCGTGGTCGACGCCGATCACGCGCAGCCCCATCCCTCGACTGGCCAGCTGCACCGCGATGTGGCCCAGTCCGCCGCCAGCGCCGGAGATCACAATCCACTCGCCCGGTCGCGCGTTGCTGCGCTTCAGAGCGGCGTACACGGTGGTCCCCGCGCAGAGCATGGGCGCTGCTTCGTCCGAGCCCAGTCCGTCGGGGATCGGCGTCACGTAGTTGGCCGGTCCCAGGGTGTACTGTTGAAAGGTGCCCGGGGTATAGTAGCCCGACACTTTCTGGGCGAAGCAGAGTCCATCGGATCCTGCTTGACAGGGAACTATACAATTGTCCCGTTAGAAAGGAATTGTTCCCCCTCGCTCGAAAATTGAAGGGCTGTGAGTTGTTACGTACGGCAGTTTCCACAAGCGCTCGAGATCCATTTCACACCGACTCGGTCGCCGATCTTCAAGCCTGAGGATTCGGCACCTGGACCGAGCTTCACAATCTTCCCTACGCCCTCGTGCCCCCCGACCTGTCCAGGCTGCGTGGGGTAAGGGAGTACTTTCCACTAAATACAATGTTAGCATCCATGGCTCAGACATTTGGAGAGAGTCTTCCATGCGTACAGTATTGGTCATCACTCCATAGTCGGAGTGGCAAACTCCCGAGTGAGTGCTGTTCCGTACGTCAGATTCGATCCAGCCTTCAAGAACTACAGAATCATGCCCCTTCAACGAAGCAAAAATACATACAGGTTGATCAGCACCTCGCCCGCACCGGGCTCGGGGACGTCGATCTCCACTACTTTGGTTGAGACGGTGCCGGGTTGGTCATAGATGACGGCTTTTTGTTTCAGGGGAATTTCCGGAGCGGCCATATTGACAGACAAATCAATCTAAAATTCTGGATGGATGAATCAATGACCAGAAAGGGACCGAGCGACGAGCGAGAGGGGGATCGAGCCCTCTTTTTATGTCGCAACATTCTCCAGGTCGGACGGAAAATTGCGACGCCAAGTCCACGTCGAAAGGCAAAAAAGAGGAGAAGAAGAAAGTGGAGAGAAAATCGCGGGGAAGAACGACAGGCTGGCGCCTACGGTTCATTTCGCATTGTCCAACATCCGAGGATGCCATCATTCTGGCAGGGGCAAACAGTGGCGAGGATCCAGTCGGTGGAGATGAACCTCGGTCTGGGCATGGATCAACCACCGCTCGTGTCTGGCGATCTGAGGTCTGGTAGTCGGATATTTCACGCCAAAATCCTGAACAGGTCTTGACCAGAGCTGCAGGGGGGATCCACGATGACTTTATACCGTCTTCTGTCGGTCTTGATGAGTACCTTTGCGGAATCGTCGATGGCGTTGGAAAGAAGAGCTCGGTCTAAAGCTGCCCGAATCGAATCCACCGTCGTTTTCTGATCTTCCTCTTCTTCTTTCCCGCTTCTTCTTTCTTTCTGTTCTGTTTCATCATTTTTCTGTTCTCTCCGTCCCTTTCTTGTGCTTGTTTGTCTGCGCCGCAATACCGTCGCGAAGTGCATGGAGGATCGACCGGGTTTACCCCGCAGCAAAGGAAATTGGCTTCTCTCCATCAATAATTCCCTCTTGATCGACACCTCCACTTCCTCGACTTCTCGCATTCGCATGTACAATGGCCATCCCCATCGTCGATTCGCACATCCATCTCTTCCCCGGTTCCCATCTGCCAACTCTGGCTTGGTATGGACCGGGTGGCCCTCTTTCCTCCCAGCATTCCGTCGCCGAGTACCGCGATGCGACAAGCTCGGCGTCTACTTCTCCTGAGACCGCGCAAACCACGTATCTACGGGGTTTTGTTTTTGTTGAAACGGACCGTATCTCCTCTGTCGCGGAGTCTGGGAAGGGCTGGTCGCATGCTCTTGATGAAGTCTCCCTGCTGACTCGAGTCATCACGGGAGAGGCTGTCCCCGGAGAAGGGCATCAGAAGGAGGACCGCCACCTCTGTCTAGCTTTCGTTCCTTGGGCGCCCGTACCGGGAGGGCCAGCAGCGCTCGAGAAATACATTGCGCTAGCCAAGGAAAGAACGCAAACGGAGGAGGTATGGAAGAAGTTTCGAGGGGTGCGCTACTTAGTCCAGGATAAACCGGCCGGGGTCATGGTTCAACCAGATTTTATCGCGGGACTGAAATGGTTGGGAGAGCAAGGCTTGACGTTCGATCTCGGGGTGGATGCCCGACAAGGTGGGCTTGCGCAGTTGCGCGAGGCAAACGAGATGCTACGCAAGGCCCACGATAGGATTACGGATGAGAAATTGAAGCCCGTCGTGATCATCAGTAGGTCACCTCAGCTCTCTCCTAGCTACTACGAAGGTTGTTCCTCGTGCTAACACTTCGACTTTAATAGACCATCTGTGTAAGCCCAATCTCCGTCTGCCATACACTTCGCAGGTGTCTATCACCACGCATCCCGACTTCCTGGAGTGGTCCTCCCTCATCACGGCTATGGCGCAGTATCCCAACACCTACATGAAGCTCTCGGGGGCCTTCTCGGAGCTTCCCCCGCTCTCCGCCGATACGGAGCCAAACGTTCCAGAGCTCGTCGAGCAACTCCGCCCGTGGACCGACATAGTCTTTGATACCTTTGGTCCGCAGCGCGTGTTGTTCGGGTCAGACTGGCCCGTCTGTAACGTGGGAGGCGGCGGCAACCCGACGGCCTGGCGTCGCTGGAAGAGCGTGGTGGAGGGCGTCCTGGAGAGACGGGGATTGAGGGAGGAGGAGAAAAGAGGTGTCTGGGGCCAGGTTGCGGTTCGAGCATATGGAATTGATATCTGAAAGCGTGCAATTTATGTACATGGTCATCTACTCTCATCTTTTGCATCACAATCCAATATCACTGGAGATTCACGAACAGTCCTCCATCAACCAGTATCTGCGCGCCCGTCTATGCAAAAAGATTGATTGTCAGCATCACTTCCCATGCCAGATCTGCGTTCGCAGCGACGGATTCAAGACGGAAAAACTCACCACATATCCACTCAACTCCTCGCATGCCAGAAACACTGCCGGGCCCGCCAGATCGGGAGGCTGGCCGAGTCGACCCAACGGGATTCGTCCCTCCATATATGTCCTCTTCTCGGGGTCGCTCATATCCTCGTCGTTCAGCTGGGTGCGGATCGTACCCGGCAGAAGCGCATTGCAGCGGATTCCATGCTTGCCCAGGGCCACGGCGCACGACTGCATCAGACTGAGCACGCCGGCCTTCGTCGGCGTATAATGCGTCTGCTGTCCGCCGCCCACCAGCGCCGAGATCGAACTGATCCCGATGATCGAACCGCCAGGAGGCGACTGCGCCAACGCCATCTGTCGCGCGGCCGCTTGCGCCGCATAGAAGGCGCCGGAGAGGTTCGTTGAGATGGTGTGGCCGAGAAGAGGCGGGTCAACCCTGCACCACAATCAACTTTCAATTCAAACACACGAACGACACTTGTAGTGTCCAGAGTCCAGACACAACTCACTCTAGGAACTCTTCAAACTTGCATACTCCCGCATTGCTCACAAACACGTCCAGTCGTCCAAACGCCTCGACCGTCTTGGCTATGAACTCCCGTCCGGTCTCGGGCTGCGTCACGTCGCCGGCCACCGCGATAAACTTGTTCGCTTCGCCTCCGACAATGTCGGATACGTCCTTCTGCAGGGCTTCTAGAAGGGAGTCCTCCTTGGGGCCTCCTAGGTGGTTGATGGCTACTTTTGCGCCGTGGCGGAGATATTCTAGGGCGATTGCCTAGCGAGGGGAATGGTCATGTTAGTGAGAGTTCATCTTCCGCTTGTAAAGGGCTGGAAGTAGATGAGGAAGATCAAACAGACCCGACCAATACCAGTGAGACCACCCGTGATGGCGGCGACCTTGCCGATGAGGATCTGAGGGAGAGGCATGATGTGGTTCCTGATGCTGTCGATCAACACGAGGAAGAGGGATTCCGCGAGAGAGCTGGATAGACACAAGAGAATGCTCAATGGGCTTCGAGTTTCAACTGCCGACAAGATGCCGATGAGAGACGAGCAGGACAAGACAATTCTTCGGCCTTTGTGAAATAATTACTATTTTTTTTTCCGTTCTGCTCTCTTGGACCCCGCCGGAAGACGAGGCGAAGGCGATGATTTATTGGTGGAGTTTCCTCTCGGGTTTCTCGTGGCAATGATCCCCCGAGGGCCCCCCGCTTTCCCCCACGTCGCCTGGAAATCCCGAGGGGTTTGACTTTTTGTATGTACGTACTTTGTTTGTAGAATCATAAAGTTCAGAATTAATTCCGTTGCCTAATAATAATGTTTATCTTGTATTCATGTCTACATACGCGCATAGATGCCAATCTTTGGTAAAACATGTCCATGAAAAATAAGTATAAAAAAAGACCAGCCAATTGTATGTATGTTTATAGATCTAGATCTCCCTCGTTCCAGTCACATTTCCACCCTCTCAATGGCTTCCATTAGCTCCCTGCTCCTGATCAGTCGTCGCAGGCAAGCTTCTTTGAGGCGCGGGAGTCAGGATGTTGGCGGCCGGAATCAAGGGAGCGGACGGATTCAGCTCCAGACCAAACCCGGGCTTGTCCAGGACAGAAACGTCGAGGTATCCCTTGGTGGGGATGGGCTCGTTCAGGAAGAGGTTTCCAAACACAGGCTCTACGGTGTGACCGTCGGCCGAGTTGGCCAGATACTCTTGGAAGGGGGTGTTGGGCTGCGAGACCACGTAGTGGTAGGAGTAAGGACCCGAGGCATGGGGCACGACGGGCAGGTCGTAGGCCGCGGCCAGCGCAGAGACCTTGAGCAGTTCGGTCAGACCGCCAACCCACATCACGTCCGGCTGCAGGATATCGAGGTTCCGGCCCTCGACCAGCTTGCGGAAGCCGAACCGGGAGTACTCGTGCTCGCCGGTGGTGAACTTCACGGTGGGATGCGCTCTCTTCAGCAGGGCCTGGCCGTCGAAGTCATCAGGGGTAAGGCACTCCTCCCACCAGTCAATGTTGATTCCTTCCGCCTCGGCCCGCTTGACCAGCTCGATCGTGTAGGGCACGTTCAGGGACATGTAGCAGTCCACGCGCAGGGGGAAGTCGGGTCCGACACTCTCACGCTGCTTGCGCAGGTACGCCAGGTTCTTCAGGAGTCCCTCCGTTCCCTCGTCAGGGCCGTGGGGGAGGGCGACCTTGGCGCCGGAGAAACCCATGGCCTTGGCGGAGGCCGGCTGGGGTCCGGTGCAGTAGAAGTTGAGTCGCGACCGAGTAGCACCGCCGATCATCTTGTATACGGGCTCGTTGCGGATCTTGCCCACCAGATCCCAGAGGGCCAGGTCGATCACCGAGATGACGGCAACGGGGAGACCCTTGCGCCCGTAGAACATAGAGGCCCGGTACATCTTTTCAAACAGTTCGTTCACATCGCGAGGGTCTATGATAACATGTCTTGGGTTAGCCTGGGCAGATCTCGTCTCGGCGGTGGGGGAATGCCCTCGGTTATTCGTTACCTGCGCCGATCAAGAATCGCTCAAAGTGCTGCTGCACCAACCAACAGGCCGGAGGACCACCGAATCCCGTCGCAAAGCCCTTGGTGCCGTCGGTGGCCTCGACTTCGACGCAGAATGACCCCAGAACGTTGATACCCCACGAGGTGCGGGAGCCACGGTACTGTGCCCATCGGGTCATGGGAGTCGAGATGTCGCTGTCCACCAGCCAATGGCCTCCTTTGACCTGGTATATGTTTAGTGTCTGACATAACCATGTAGACATTGCGTATGAATAATTCTATAGATCACTTACATTGTGGTAATCACCGCCAGAGCCCACACCATCAATGAGGAAAGTGCGCACCTCTTTGATGCGGGGAAAGGTTGCTGTAGAGCCCATGATGTGCGGAGGTCAATGATATCGGATATACAGATCGTAAGAACAACAACTCGACACCTGTGAGAAGCGGAAGGATAAGGAGAAGAGAAAGACAAGAATGAAGAAAAAGAAAAAAGAAGGAGGGCGCCGGGGTTATTTGAAAGGCCGCAGCAGTCCCCGTGCTGCCTCGGGGTAGAACTACCCCGAGAGCCCGCGACCCAAAGTGACTTAGCGCCTCCGCGTCTCCGCAGTCTTAGTCAGCGCCCCGTTTTGCGGGGTTGAACGCCCGTTGGTTGCCTGAGGCAGGCAGTCATGTTGCACCGTCGCTTTTTCTCCCTCGGCCATCTTTTCCTTTCTCCCTCGCTTTCGACTTTCCTCCCCCCTCTTTCTCTCCCCGTCTCGGTCTCAATTCTCGGTTCAAGACCATCTCGGGAAAGAAGTACGGCTCTCGCTTTTTATCCCTTCTTTGCGACCGGATCGCCGAGCCCCATCGAGCTACTAGGATGTTGGTTTGCACGTCATTGTTGATGGAGTTGTTATAACCCCGGATCTCGCTAGAGTACGATGCCGAACGCTGCTGCAACTGTCTCTGCTCAGCAGACTCCACCGTCTTCCCGACTCGTCGGGGACCAAGATAGAGACCACAGCGCCGACGAATCCTGGTCTGCAGCTGATAGCGATCTCGATCGCTTCCCTACGAATGGCTCGTCGGCCTCTAATGCGCTGAAGCGGAAACGTCCCCTCACTGTGTCGTATGTACTCTTTTCCGCCCCTGTTCTCGGAAAATGAAGCCGCTATTCTCCTCGTCACCACCCCCAATCCCCCTGACAATCCTCTCTCTCGCGCATCACCCCCCGGCGTGTTACCCGCCTCTAAACGTCAGTCTCTCGTGCAAGTCGCCCTACTGACCAACTAAAGATGCGAGCTATGTAAGCAGAGGAAAGTTAAATGCGGTGAGTAGCTCTGCCGCACGTGTATCTCCACCCATCTGACAATGTTAGACCGAGCCCAGCCTAGCTGCGGATGGTGCACCCGCAACGGTCAGATATGTGAGTACAAGGAGCGAAAGAAACCTGGCCTTCGCGCTGGATACGGGAAGGAGTTGGAACAGCGCCTTGGTATGCTCTCCCCCCTTTCCTCGGAGACTTTGTTCTTGCGGGAACAGTTGCTTATGCGGTGCACAGACAGGCTGGAGGAGGTCATTCAGACGCAAGCTCGTCTTATTGAAACGCATATCATCCATGGCCAACCTCAGTTCAACACCGAGCTTGCGCATGCGGCGCCTCTTTCATACAGCTCTCCATCGGAGCCATCTGCTGCCCACGGACCTAGTCCTCGAAATCCATTCTATTTTCAAGACACGTCGTCGGTGCCAGTACCTCCCCATCAACATGAGGCATCTATCACTAGCCCGTCCGACATGTCAGTCAAGAACACCATGCATGCTCATCTGCCCACCGGCATTCACGCTGCGGCCCCTCTACCCCCCATCCCTAACAACACTTCTCAAAATGATTATACGGGAAATGAATCGTCATTGAAGGTACCGGTCAATCTCTTTGCAAACCAGGAGCAATCACTTGCCGACCCAGAACTTGACCTGCCGCCATACGATCTGCTTTACGCTCTGGTGGACCTGTACTTTGAGCACATCAATACCTGGTGTCCCATACTACACCGTCGCACCACCTTGGATATATTCTTTGGTCCATCGCCGCTTGATGAAGCTGACCGAATCGTTCTCTATGCCATTGTTGCAACCACACTCCGGTTCTCAAGCGATAGCCGACTCAACGAGCAGAATCGCAAGAGATTTCACGACTCATCGAAGCAGAAAGTCCTTCTTTACGGTCTCGAAAATTCATCGGTCAAGGCTCTTCAGGCTCTCGTAATCTTAGCTTTGGACTTAGTAGGCTCTTCTAACGGGCCTCCCGGGTGGAAATTGTTGGCTCTGATTACGCGATCGGTGGTCCAGCTAGGTCTAGCCGCCGAGTCTAAATCATCGCTCATTGCGCCGATCTATCCTTCCATCTATACTCTGAGAGCAGTAACGCTTCCAGAATCGGACTCCTGGGTTGAGGATGAGGGTAGACGCAGACTCTTCTGGATGGTATACCTACTGGACCGATATTCCACGATCGCTACGGCCTTTGACTTTGCCTTAAATGACAAGGATATTGACCGCAAGCTTCCTTGCAAGGATGAGTACTTTGCCAAAAACCAGCCCGTGGAAACCAGGTGGTTTCACCACTCAAGTGAACGAACAGACTACCTGAGTCATGCCGAGAACGTTGGATCCTTTGGCCTCTACGTGGAGATACTCGGCATTCTATCCCGGATACATATCTTTCTGAAACGGCCCGTGGATATCGGGGCTCTGTCTGACGTCGAGGAATGGCAGACAATGTATCGCAATTTGGACAGCGAGTTAACATCATGGGAGTTCGGTCTTCCTGCCGAGTATGCCTACGAGAATGCCTCACGGCTATTCAACGGATCGAAGCACAGCAAGAGTGTTCCCTGTGACTGGGTCCAACTTCATACCACCTATCAAACGTCAGTCTCAACGGCCTATGGCATCTTCTCTCCTCTTCTCATCTGATGTCACATACTAATTTCCAACGTTGTCACAGTGCGGTCATCAGACTTCATTCGTCCGCTGCTTACCCAACCACCCGCTCTCCGATTTTCACGCCGTCGTACAGTGCCAGTCAACGCTGTCTATTGGCAGTCGATAACATTCTCTCCGTGACTCGGTTTGTAGTCGACAATAACATGCTCGACAAGCTGGGGCCCCCGTTTGCCTTCACCCTCTGGGTGTCTGCTCGGCTACTACTTGTCCATGGCTCCACCATCGCGCATACTGTGAGTCCAGATATAATCTTCTTCGTGGACACGTTAGCTCGCATGGGGAAATACTGGAAGGTGGCGGAGCGTTACAGCTGTATCCTCCAGCGAGTTCTCGACGAGTACGGCGAATACCAGCAATCTGGCGCCGACGACAGCGAGCGCGTCACCCCGTCCACCGTCAAAATCCTAGCAGACATGCGCCGCTGCGCCTTTGATCTGGATTTCTTGATTTCGCGGCAGCCGCGTTCGTCTCCGGCGGGCAGCCAGCCAGCGCCGCAACCCTCGGTGACGCAGTCGCGCAACCTCGCGCCCAACGAACTGGAGTATCTCGATGTCTTCGGTTTCTTCAACGTCCCGCGCGTGCCGCCGGCGCGGGCCCCGGATATCAGCAGCATCGACATCAGCGAGGCGGTCGACAACCCAATGTCAATTCATGGGTTGACAGGAGCCAGCACCAACAACACTGTCGTCGACGGAGCGCCTCCGAATGCGAACGAATTCAATATCACGAACTATTTGATTCCCACCCCCGAGACTGACTGGCTGTTCCGCCCTGCAGGATAATAGGCTTTATGTTACACTTTGAAAGCTAAAAAAAAAAACAAAATCCTGGATCTCCAATGGTATCTCAAACCGCCTTACCTAGTCCATAACCATGGATTTCATAAGGGATATTCCCCATGACCCGGACTGTATATTTCTTGATCCTCTCTTACGTTTATGACCGATCCCAACTCCTTCCCAAGATAGCTTAATCGATGGGCTGTTCCTACTGTCCCAATGAGGACTCTTCAGATTCAAAAATGGAAGCGCAAGACCTCCTTCCTACCAAGAGCCTGGATTAAGGAGCACAGCATCCATCTATTGCGCCCTTGCAACCACCTCTCCCCCAAATACAGTATCCTGAACTCATCCAACATACAATACAAGCCTAAACGATTGCAACGTCCTGCCGATACCGAAAAACATATACCCCCTTTGTTTCAAGAGCAACGTCGCTTTAACTTAATGTGTACCCGAATAATGTAATGCTATTGTGGAACTGCGGCTACATGATTGATATCTCTGTCTTATAACATCCATAAAGTCATTTCCTTATCGATCCGATCAGGAGAGTAACTGTGCTTCAACTCCAAACACTTTTTGTGTAGTTTGAAATGCCGGTATAATCCGAAACACCCATGTAAATACATCTTTAAAAACCTCAAGCTTTTTCTCGCTTTCGCTTCTAATCTTCTTATTTTGCTGACCTCCTCCCCTAGTACAACACAAAGAAAAAGAAAAGGAATGGAATGGAATGTTAAGTTAAAGACAGAAAAGAGAAAGGCCGAAGTGATCGATTATTGAACATTGAGGAGGATCCAGCTCGGAAAGCACAACAAACACAAATGAAAAGAGAAAAACTAAACAAGGACGTGAAGTTCACATATCATGACACGCATATTCAAATCGCTGTAGGCAGTAGCTATCTGTTCTACCATTCAAAACATGTCTTTCATCTGATACACTCATGTCGACGGCAGAGTCAAACGTGAACGCTTCACTTATGGAAATGTTTCATGAAAAGGGATCAAACAACGCCGGAGGATAAAATGCCGTTGGTAGAAATGCCGTGAGAAGAATGGAAGTGCCGGCTTAGAGCGCCATTATTGTCTTGTCGAAGTTGATTCTTCGTCAGGCTCGATCCGAACGAGAACCTCTTCGAGGAACCCTTCCAGAAACGAGTTGACATGCGCTCCCATTCCGATGGGAGCTTCGTTATCCCAGCGCTCAATACGGGCAAACATGCCGCTCAAATCGCTGACCATAGATTCTATCATTCCGTGGACATACTCTCGCCGGGACTGAAGCTCAAAGGAATCCATTCGGTTTTCACTTCCTTCCGGGGGCATGTTGCGCGAGAGAAGTTCCAGGCGACGGGCACGACGACGGGTGGCCGCTTTGAGAGCAGGCAGGATGACACTGTTTAATGCCGTCACCTCACCCGACGGCATTGTGCCTTCCTGACTTTGTAAACTGGCGTCGATTGTTTGATGCAGCTGATGGAAATTTTGCTTGGCAGCGGGTGGGTGCGGTTCACGCAGGGGGAATTGCTGAGGCCTTTGCGGATTCGGCTGGGGTGAAATGTGCCGTGGAGTCGGTAGAGGGCGCGGCTGTGGTTGAGGAGGCAATTGATGGTGAGGGCGTGATTCCAGAACTGACCTTTGGTGCTGGTCTGGGATATTCCGGATGGGTTGCGTGGGTTGTGAGGGCGCTTTCGTCGACAGAGGTTTAGATTCGTGCATGACTGGTGCGGCATTTCGATAGTTCGGCGCAGGCGCGGGGGCCTTTGGGGAACTTTCGAGCTGCAAGAAAGAGAGATCCTGCGCAAGGGACTTTTGCAGCGCTTTGTCATAATCACTACCAGGGCTTTCCCTAGCATGTTGAGGAACCGGCCTCTGAAGGCGAGAAGGCGTCTGGGGTGAACTTTCTGCGGGTGACTGTTTCACTGGTGATGGCGGTAGTGGGACTTTAGTTGGTGAGGTCTGTGGTGCAGGAGCTCGAACGTCTTTCGTATACATCGGCCTCTGCGGAATGGCATGGGTCGGTCCCTTCTGAGGTACGTCTTTCAAATCCCACTCGGTTGTTTCACGATCGCGGGTATTCACGTCTGTCTCCTTCATCGGCTTCAATCCTGGTGGTCGTCCAACAGGGCGAACAGTACCGAAGTCCCAAAGGTCATCTTCTTCTTCGGTCCTTGGGGTGTGCGAGGAGGGCTCGGGTAGAAAGTCCTCGTCATCATCGGCGTTCTTGTTGCCGTTCTTCATATTCCAGCGCTCGTAGGTCTCAATGAGCTCTGTCAGATACGTTGTCCTCCGTCCCCGTTTTATGAAAGGATGTTCTAGCAGTTCCTTTGCAGAGGGTCGCTCTCGAGGATCTCGGCGCAAACACAGTTCGACAAAGCTTTTGAAAGCTTTGCTGTAATTACCGTGCAAAGTAGGAGGCGGGTTTTTAGGAATGAGAAATAACACCTTCATAGGGTGGATGTCCGAGTAAGGAGGCTCCCCGTTGGCCAACTCAATGGCTGTGATCCCTAGGGACCAGATGTCGGCCTTGTAATCATAGCCTGATTGTTTTATCACCTCCGGTGCCATCCAGAAAGGAGTGCCCACGAACGTATTTTTCTTTGTCATTGTGGCCGAAAGCTGACTGGAAACCCCAAAATCTGCCAATTTTACTTGACCGTTGGCTGTGAGAAGGATGTTTGCAGCTGCCAGGGAGGTCAATGGAATGCCAGTTTAGCAGTGTGAAGAGAAATCGTTGTACCTTTGATATCACGATGCAGTTTCTTGTCGCTGTGTAGGTAGTCTAGCCCTCGTAGGAGCTCTCTTAGAATGATCGTAATATAGTCCTCGGTGAGTTTCCCTGCACGCATCAAGTCGGAGCAGCTACCGCCGGAGCAAAACTCCATGACAATCCATAAGCTCGATCCCTTTAAAAACGAGCCATGGTATTTAGTGACGTAGGGGGAGTTTAGTTCCGACAAGATAGCGATTTCTTGAATAATGTCCTCGACCTCGTCTTCAGCATTTTCCACATCGATGATCTTAATCGCGACAGAATCGCCGCTGCGTCTGTCGAGTCTGTGGAGAAAGCGCGTTAGAATGACCCACGGAATGGATTCAGAGACTCAGGCCCGGGTTTGGTGAAGAATACCCTTTATAGACACGTCCGAAGCTTCCACCTCCTGCATGCATATTAGGGAAACGCATTTCACACTCTCAAGCAGGCTGATACGGACCAATGCAATTTTGCTTCATATAGATTGTCTCTGGATCCACTAAGCCTTCCATGTTGGAGGTGCGCAAAAGATATCGGCAAGTACTTGGTCCTGTAGGATGTAGAAATGATACATTAGGTTACGGCCGCCACAGATCGAGGTTCAAGACAAACAAATCAGGGAGCCAAAAAAGGATCCGAGTAACATATTTAAACTGGAATGCAAAAGTTGATTATGGTGACGCATTTAGAGAAAACAGCAAGATCGAGTGCAGATCTAGGATGCAGCGACCAAATGGACAACTAACCGATTGACGGCCTAGAACGGGCCAGGGAGAATGGGGAACGGAACGGGTGGAATTCTAGATGAACCACAAACGGAAATAAGACAATGGTAGGGTCGTCGAAGGGATTGTATTATTGAAAATCGACTTGCAGATCATGCTTGAGTGTAGCGACGACGATCTGGTTATTCCACTTACTATTGTTCTGAGATAGAGAGACCCCTTGCCCGATGCGAGTTGGGGCAGTCGGCCATGAAGGGAGATGAAGTAAATAAATAAATAAATAACAATAACTACGCCCGAGCGGTTGTCTCGCCGGGGTTGAGAGCTAGTTTCCTTGCTTCAAGACAAACGGGTGTCCACGTCAGAGAGTGCCGGACTAGAGGACAGACTAGCGGGTCTAGTCGACAGGGGACGAGAGGAGAAAGGGAGAAAGTCTGAATGGAAGGGGGAGTGACAGAGAGAGAGAGAGAGCGTGAAGGAAAGAGAGGGAGAGAGGAAGAGGAAGATGGCAGGAAGGGATGGGCGATACGACGAAATCCCACTGATTGGCGCCCGCGCGGGGTTGATTCTGCCGGGCGGTCAAAAGGGCGGTGTCCAGCTTATCTCTCATCGTATCGCCTCGTATCTATCGAGTCTCTATCAGGATATAGTCACTATTATCATATCTGCAATTGATCTACCATAAGTGTTCCCAAAGCCTTAGCATCCCGAGGAATTGCCAGCCCTGTCTAAAACCATCCTGGGCGAATGTTACGATGAAAGTGCTTGGAAATATCAAGAAAGGACAGGAGGGACGCCCAGGAAGCTTCATCAATGTCTCTCATCAATTAAGAAAAATGCCGTATCCTCAGTCGAAGCCGTTCCCCTTACTCCTCCATAAACCCAATCATCACGGTGCCATTCTTTAATCCGGCATCTTCCACAGTCATACCGAGGGAATCGATCAAGTTGCGGCCCAAAGAGTTGAGCTCGAACTCCACGCCTGCTTTCTCTGGCAACGGCGGCTCAGCCTTGAGCCATTCGTATATGCGCTGAACAGGATCAGACAACGAAAAGCGCCGAATTACCCTCCCGGACGGATGGCGGAACTGAATGCGCGTTGTCGTGGCAGGGTCTGCAGGAGGTTCGGTGTGCGGCCGATTGTCGGGGATGGATGAGAAAGGAGAAGCAGCGATAGCGGCAGATTCACCTTGATCGTCCATATCGACATCCCCCGCATCGGCAGCTCGGCCCTTGCCCTTGACATCCTCGGTACTGCGAGTCAGATCGTCTGGATCCTCCATCTTAGGAGCCTGCGTTGCCTCTGTTCCGAGACTGTTCCTCATGGCCATCTCCATCATCTCCTCCTCAGTCATCGCGTCGATGCTCTTCTCTTTTTGCTCGGGCTTTCGCCTGGCCACGGGATTTCGGACGTTGTGCTTGAGGCTGTATCGATCGAGGAATTCGTGAAGCTGCATCAGAAAGTCCGCCGCCTTAATAACGGGCGGCCCCGACCAGACCTTCATCTGTTCCCCAGTCCGTGGATCCACGATGGCAATGTTAGGATAATTATCGGACACGTCGCTGCCCTGGAAATAGTATTGCAAGTAAGGAGAAGCCCGGGGATCGTCCTTGGAATATTGCAGGAATATGAAATGTTCTTTGACCGTGTCCCTAACGCCCGCGTCTTTCCAGAGATCTCTATTCAGCACCTGGCAGTCAAAGACGGATGAGTCCTGAATGTTGACCAAGAGCCACTTCTCGGTGTCGCGTCCTTCTTGCCGGGCCAGGTCCCATGGGAGCCTAGACATGATCTCGAATGGCGGGCGATACATTTCAGCGAGCATATTCGACTTGTTTGACGAGTCGGAAGCCCCGCCCGTTGCCGCCGAGAGTCTTTCACGACGGGCCCTTTCGTCGTCGTCATCGTCTCCTGTCCAGATCGACGCGCTGTCTCTCTGGTTGAAGATACCGGGCCGATCTAAATGTTCAAGCTGGTAAGCAACTTGCGTGGAAGGATAGAAGGACATAAGGGAAAAGGAAGAGCAATCGCTCCGTATACTCACTGCCTCGTTGGCGGGCACGTAGTTGACCTAATATACTTGCGTGCATATCACCATCGTCCAACTCTGCCTCTGGGCCGACAAGTGTTTCCGTCGTTCGGGCCATTGGAGCACGCACCCCATCGGAATTATCTTCCCCACCATACATTTCCTCTTGGAGTCGACGGGCCATAGCAGCATCATCATCAAATGTAGAACCCTGCGGGTGTTGATTCGGACGCGCCGACCGGGCTTCGTCCACCGTGACATCGTCATCCGAATCGACATTCACAATCCCAGACTCACGTTCGCGCCCCGCAGTGTGAGGGGCAGCATGAGGGGCCGAAGTTGATGGTATGGGTTCTTCCGTCAAGGGTGCACCGCCATTTTCGAAATAAAGCTGCATGGCCTGCTCAATGTTGAAATCGGTTAGTTGCAGATACTGAGTCGCCAGCTGAGGGCTCGAGCCGGTGATCTCAGTGAACTGGGCCACCACATCGCCGTCCATGGCGGGCAAAGAGCGTTTTCGATGACGTTTAGTTGAAATTCGAGGATGAACACGAGAAAAGAAGGGCGTATTAAGCTGCTTAAGATGGAAGAGAGCTTGCAGCAAGCTTTATCGACTGGGGGCAAGGTTGTGATGCAAACAGCTGCAAAGTGGAATACGGATGGTTATAATATGATGATGAATGATAGCAGCTCAAAGAGAGGCAGGAGCCGAAAATCAGACGTGAATCCAAATAAAGGGGAGAGATCCGAACAGAGCCAGTATGCCAGCTAGTGATAGGCGGATAAAGAGAGATTGAGGATTGAGGATTGAGGATTAATATTGAAATGCGTGATGTGATCATCCGCCAGGCGCCCGGGCGGTGACGCATTTGTTGCGGGACTGCCACTCTCGGGCATCCAGGCTACGGCGTCCGGCAGCGCCCCTCCCCGCTGTTTGCGCCAATGGTTTCTGTCCCGCGCCCGAGAGCCAACGCGGTGCACGTGACGGGTCTAGACGCGCGACACGAAACGCGGTGTCGCGCGACCTGAGAAGGGCGGGAAATTCAATTAAGCCTCCTTTGGGTTGAAGTATGTTCTTAGCGCTTCCCTCCTTCTCCGTACTTTCTCAACCTTTCTTAGCTGCCATCTATCCATATCCACCCCCCCCCCCTCTAAGCTGCTCCTGCCTTCTCTACGCCTGGTAGCTCTTCCAGCATGGCAGCCTCGGTTCTAGGAAAGCGCCAACGCGGTGCTATTGACACAGAAGGTAAGCCATTGCACTTGCCCTCTTGATCCATGAGCGAACAATAATCGGGCTCGTACCAATACTGATCGTTATTTCCGTGTTAGCCCCGTCATTGCCACTGCGCAGCGCAAGCAAGCGCCGGACACAACCCCCGCGGATTCTTCGGGAAGATTCCAAGGCGTCTTTGTCGTCATCTCGCCAACTGCGATCGAGAGCGAGGAAACCGGACGCGCCACAACACGACTACCAAACAGATACCAAAGAGTTTGCCAATGGGAATGTGCTGCCTAAATCTGTGGGTAAGGAGGAGGAAGAAAAGGAAGAGGAGGAGCCATCCTGTGTCTCGGAATCGGTCAATGGTAAGTTAATGACACTTGGCTAAGTTGAATAGGTATTAATGGGCACAGATGAAAACACCAAGCCCGTTCAACTCAAAACTCCGTCCAAGTCGAGGTTCCGGGACGCTCTGGACTCTCCGCCCATTACACCCAGGCACAGAGTTCAAGTCGGGGGAAAATCGTTTACTCCGCGCACTCCTCGACAGACTTCTACTCCTACAATGACCCAAACAATATACACGAATGCCAGGCAATTGTTCGCACGAGGCGCAAACTCGGTTCAAATAGTTGGTCGAGATGCAGAGCGGGAGAAGTTGACGTCGTTTATCCAAGACGGTGTAAAGTCCCGCCATGGTGATTGTTTATACGTTAGTGGTCCTCCCGGCACTGGCAAGAGTGCTTTGGTGCAGGAGGTGTGTCGTGAGTTGGAACTCGAGTCTGTGAAGGTTGCACATATCAACTGCGCAAGTATGCGGACTGCGCGCGATGTTTACAGCAAACTTATTGAAGATCTTTGCGAAGATGATCTGGTCTTTAAGAAAAGCGAGACCGAGCGGCTGAAGAGTCTGTTCATTCCGGATAAGAAACAGAATGGGTTCTTCCTTGTCACTCTGGATGAGATAGACCATCTTCTTACGGCAGATGCTGGGGTTCTCCAATCCCTATTTGAATGGGCATTGCACACCAAGTCTAAGCTGATGCTTATCGGTATTGCTAACGCCTTGGACCTGACCGATCGATCACTACCACAACTGAAAGCGAAAAACTTGAAACCTCAACTTCTTCCTTTCCTGCCATATAACGCCAGCCAAATTGCGGGTGTAATCACCAATCGACTTCGGTCACTGCTGCCGCAAGGTCAGCACCAAGACCCGGCCTTCGTCCCTTTTGCCCAGCCGGCCGCCATAATGCTGTGCGCGAAGAAAGTCGCATCTCAAACCGGAGATTTACGAAAAGCCTTTGAACTGGTCAAACGTGCCATCGATCTCATCGAGCAGGAGACCCTCGAAAAGCTTGAGAAGCAGGCTACCTGCCCAGAATCCCCCTCCAAAACTATTCTCGTCGAGAACAACAACCTCTCATCTCCGACTAAGACCAAGCAAAACCCGACTTCAACCTACACAGTCTTCACAGCGCCACGGGCTAGCATCGCTCATGTGGCCCGCATTACCTCGTCTGCTTTCGGCCAAGGAACAGTCCAGCGTCTTAAAAACCTCAACCTTCAGCAAAAGGCGGCAATCTGTGTTCTGATTGCCCTTGATCGGAAAAAGCGCGAAGGAGAGCACCTGGGTACCCCGTCAAAGACTCGGCATTCCGTCCCGACCATCAAGCAAATTTTTGACACCTACTGTGTCTTATGTCGTAGAGACAATCTCCTCCACCCGCTTACTGCGACAGAATTCAAAGATGTTATCAGCAACCTGGAGACGTTGGGGCTGGTGGGTGAATACCAGGGTCGGGGTCGAGGCGGCACGGTTTCTGGTGGCTCGGACGTTAGGCGCACACCTTCCAAGTCGGGTAATGGACCTATGACCCCGAGTAAATCGCTGGATGAGCAGGGTCTCGTTTGCTTTGTTTCTCAAAAGGAGATTGAGAGTCAGATTGCAGGGCCAGGTGAGGGCATCCTCAGAAGCTTACTCGGGGGCCAAGGTCTGTGATACCCAGAGTCTCACTTGTCTATGAAGTCCGCTCTATCATGTTTGATTTCTTTTGTTCCTGGTGACCTTTGTCACCTTGCATAGCGTTGCGATAGATACACCCATTACCCTACTTGGATACAGCACTGCATAGTCGAGTGATGGCGAACGTTGCTCACTACATTGGCTATGGTATTATGACGAAATAATAAATAAACATTTCACGATACACTTCTACGCCGTCTTTCTTGTCTTACTCAGTTATCGTAGATGAATTCTCAAGAGTCAGCGTCATACAGTCGCTTGTATTGATAAGATGGGGTAAAGAAAACATCAGAATGAAACATAGGTAGTAGACGGCGGAGCCAAAAACACAAAGAAAAAAAGTGAAAGTCAATGAAAAGTAGTTGGTGACATTTATGCATACAAAGCAAATGAATATAAACATACAGAAAGAAAAAAAAATTGGGTATGTGAAGTATAATGATAGACTTTATACTTGAATACAAAAAAAAAAGAAGAGAACAGAAGCTGCCACCACAGTCATCCCAACTTACAAGGCCTGCTGAAAGTATGAGGATTCAAAAAGTGGTGACATACATGTCCTATCCATCAACAACGATGAAGCTGGGGAAGCTTCATAATAATGATAGATGATAGATATGCTGAGCTGCTGTTCAAAAACGGGAGAGACCGTCAAGAAAAAGGGAAAAGGAAAGTCTTGTCCACGTGCAAACGTATGATTTGAGGGTTTCTTTTTCTTGTCCCTTTCTGGTTGCCGCAAATCAAATCAAGGTGAGGAGTATCGACGTCGACGCATTTAATCATCCATGGGTTTATCTTCCAGAGTCACGCCTTTGGGTGGCTCATTCTCGACCAGACTATTTCTCTGGCTGCCCGGCTCTGACTCCCCGCTTGCAACGGTGGGGAAGCTGGACCTGTTGCCGAGACCGGGTTTCCGGGTGTAGATGCCACTAGAGCGAGTGGAAGCGCGCTTTTCGGCATCTTGGGCTGGTGTGGGCGTGGGCGTGGGAGAATCTTCGGGCACAGCCGGTGGTGGAGGGCTAGACGTGCCAGAAGAAGGGCTTCCACTAGCGGCAGCGGAGGCCTGAGAGTCACTAGAGGTACCGTTGGTGGCAGGCTCAGCGGAGTTGATGTTGACCGTAGACAGTTGTTCAGCTCCCGTTGGAGAGCTGTTGCTGCTGGGAACATCAAGGCTGTTTCGGACGATGGTCCTCCTCTCGGTCGGGCTGGTGACGTTGACGGGGAAGCGTCCAGCCTCAGAAGCGCCACTGGATCGGTCACGACGGTGTTTCCGAGGAGGCGCTGGGCTATTAGCGCGAGTGCGATCAACGATAGCGCGAGCGCGAGCCTCCATGGCTGCCCGACGATTGCTCTCGTCGGTGCTAATAGCGCGAGGACGATTGTTGGACGGGCCTGCGATTCCAAGCGCACTTGATTGCCGCTTCAGCTCGCCAAAGATGGCATCCTTGTGGGCGAACAAGTCCCGGATCAGACGATAACTGTGCCGTTCATTCATCGTAAGGCTGCTTTCTGTGCGCGGACGAAGGACACAAGGAGCCAATGATTGAGCAAGAGAAGAAACGTAGGCGTCGTCAGCAGACGTGAGATCTATCAGGCGCGTGAAATGAGTCATGATGGCGTCAAGGGTAGCTATGTTGTTGAGACGAAGTTGGCCCAGTGTGCTCTGCAAGACCTTAATCCGTCCTTCTTCCGTGGTCTCATGAGCAGTGGTAGAATAGATAGTCTTGACAATTTCGTAAACTTGAGAGGAAACAAGAGAGTCTGAGGTTCGAGTTAGCAGTTGTATCAAGTTGTCCAACAAATACAGAACGCACCTGGCAACTCCAAAAGATACAGCTTCAACACACTCGCAATAATGGGCATCTCGTATTTCGGCAACAACTCCCCGTAGTCGACCTTGGAGTTGTTCAGAGCACCCCGCAGGTGGTGTGTTGCTGCCAGAGGAACATCGAAAAGCCAAATTGCGCGCCGCGCCTCATCGCCCTCGAGTTCGGGGTATCCTAGGGAAAAAACTCCTTTAGCATCCATCGCGTTCCTCTGCAGAGCGCCGACTTACGGTTATCCAAATAGGTCAGAATGGTGGTCACCAGAATAGGAACGCGTTTACGGTCGGCCCTCGCTCTGGCCTCAAGATCCACACCGAAAATTTGATCTAGCCATGTTAGCAACCGACTTGTCTGTTCATGAACTAGAAGCGTAGACACTTACCTTCTACGGACCCATAGTAGTTTTCATAGGCTTGTACTCGGGGCACAAAACCTCCCGTGCGGTAGTTCTCGAGCAGATATCTCAAATCTCCGAGAGGTTGGATTGTTTCCTGGTACAGCATCATATGATCCACCGTGCTTTGCAGGTTGGGAATCACGTTGCTAACTGCGCCAGAGAAATCCAAGACAACAGCCTTGATTGCTTTCAGTCGGTCCAGTTCGCACTGCTCCATAAAGCGGAGGTTCTCCACAATCTCTTCTTCGAGCTTGCATCGGATCTGGTCCAATTTCCGAATAGCACTCTTGTATCGCTCGTCAGCCTCACGCGCCTCCCTGCGCAGCTTCTCGGCCGGCGTCTCGTTCGGATGGGGGTTGTTGAGCGGATTCCAGACTGCCAGCATCTCCGAAACGGAGGAAATCGGGGATTCACTGCCGTCTTCGCTCGACGCAATCGAGGTCACCCGCATCAACGGCGTCTTCTTGTCGGGGATGCCGGTGATTTGGAACACCCTAGGACGCCACTGGTATCGCATTTTGGAGCTGTTGGCAAAGGTACTGCCCATGTTGCCCACTAATCGGAGAATGCCACCATCAACAAGGTCCTGTCCGATTCTCTCAGCATAGGTGATGCTGGTTGCATTCATATGCTTCTGGGTGTATTCCACAATATCGGAGCCAGTCGACGTGTTTTGATAGGTTCCGATAATGGGCACCTTAACGTCACCCAATTTGATGTTGTCCAGCATGTGCAGCAGCAGCTTTTTGAGATCCTCGGGAGTGTACATGCGATCCCCAATCTCAAGCGGTTCTTCCTCCGGCTCCTGTTCCTCCGGAAGAACGATTTTGGGAGCGTTGGCCTTCGGGCTGGTTTCAGGAGCCTGGAAGGCAAGCTTGTTCTCCTCCTCGAGATCCTCCACCACGCGGCACTTGTTGAAATAGTGGCTTCGCAGTTTCTTGACCAGTTCCACTTGTTTTGTGTGTTCCTTGATGCGAGACTGAAGGTCGTCGTGGGAGATCTGGATCCGAGCCTCGTGTTGGTCGCACCAGCGCCGAAACGGCGTGACGACTAGTTCACGGATGTTCGATGCGATCTTCTGATGATTTTTGGCCGATTCAACCATTTCCGTACGAACCCCCTCGTATGCCTGTGATGAGAATAATACCATGTTAGTAGTCAGAAGCATGGAAGAGGGGAAAGCACCCGCCATCCACACATGGGGACAATCCACCCACCTTTCGCACACTGGCCCCATCATCCTTCGCAAATCCGGTCGTCATGCGATCCACGCTCGGCGCAATGTCCCCAAGCTTGTTGCCATACAGATCTTCCGCATCCGCACGCATAGAGGCAATTGTGTAGATCTGCCTGTTTTCAACAACGCCTTGTTGGAGTTTCCCGTAGAGCACCCCGAGCCCCGTGGCGTAGTCGGGCGTCCAGAAGGAATCCGAAAAGCCAGGCATTGTGACCGCTGGGTGACAAGTCGAACGAATTCAAAAAAGTGCTGATCTAATGTGGAACACTGCGCGGGTGGTAAAGGGGCATGGAAACTTCCCCTCAAAAATGTAAAAGAAATGAGCACGGAAACCAAAAGGAAGTCACCCAAAAAGCCAGCCCGGGGGCGCTTCAGCCGAATAGATGCCCGAAGAGCAACGAGGAAATCTCAAGACGAGGGGTAGAAAGAGCGACCAGCCTCGATCCCAGCGCCTGGAGGAATTAAGCCTTTGCGATTCCTATCGTAACACGGAGCGGCTGCGAAGCAAACCAGCATAGGCCCGAGAAGTAAGGTAGTTATGCGAGGGCGCCTGCGAGTGGGAATCTAGGAGAGAAAGCGCCGGGTAGGAGTCGATCAGGTCACAAGAAGGGCGGCAACAGAGCAGGGGAGGCTGAGATCGATGGGAAGGGGGAGGCGAGAGGAGAGAAAACCCAGGTGGTGTCCGTAAGGGTGGGAATAGGACGTAGATAGGTAAGGTAGATGACAACAGATGCTTTTGTTGGCCGAGCGAGATCTTTGATGGGCGCTTCTCTTCCCGCCGGTCCTTTTGGGATCCTTCATCGGTAATTTACCGTCCTGAAACTACGGTAGCTGCCTCAGCCTCACGTGTTCTCCGCCGGATGGTCTATTTTTGGTCGCGCCGTGAAAGATTACCGACTGAGACATGGTAAATTTGCCAATTTGCTATTCCAGACTATTGACCCCTGGCCCGCAACTGTCTGGTTACCTGGGCGCTACCTCTTTTCAAGTACCAAGCAATACTCGAGGATTAAGTACCGCTAATGTACCCTTGCCCGTGGTAACCACGGCGTATGATTTTCGCCCTCGTACCCGTTTTACTGTACCACCCGCGTTAGCGCCCATCTGGACCGTTTCTCCAGCTCTGGATCTACGGAGTACGGGAGTAGTGAGTACGCTGGCGGAATGCTGGTTCTAGCAGTGTTTCAATTCAACCATAACCATTATCATAATCATACATCATTTGGAAGTCGAAGAAGGTTTGGGGAGAAGAAGAAGAAGAAGAAAGAAGGAAAGAAAGAATTAAAATGTAAATCAGAATTGTGCTTAATGCTCGGGAATTGGAAAGCATCGCTAACAGAAAAATTTGTAAAGCTTCTTCCACGCCGGCCACTCTGCCTGTTCAGCACGCTCCTGTTCGATCAGATATTGGATATCGAGATCCCGACGCCCGGTATGCAAGTCCATGTCCTTGGCTCGGAGGAAAGGCGTCCGATAATAGATCTTGTATGGGATGTAGCAGACCAACACAACCGGGGCGGCCAGGTACACAGAGAAGAAGTTGTTGACCAGCTCCTTCGTCGTCATATCTTTGTATCCGATGGGAGCAAAGCCGACCCAGAACTGGGCCACAAGCACAAGACAATTGAACCCGAACCCGATCCAAGATCCGATCAGGCCGGGCTGGGAGGTAAAGGCTAACTCATTCAGGCTGTGACCTTGCACCTTCCAGGCACGACGGAAGCGGATGTGGGAAAGGCAGACTGAGCCCCAGGTAAAGATAGACGACAGTCCCGAGATGGCCATCATCCACTCGAATGCGATTTCTTGCTTGTCCGAGGCAGCCAAGAAACCAAGCAGGCCAAGGGCCGAGGCAATCAGGATGGCCCAGAGAGGACGGCCCTTGCGATCGATGTAAGCCAGGAACCGGGGCGCTTGTCCTTGCTCGGCGAGCGCTGCCAGAGTTCGCGAAGAGCCATAGACAGACGAGTTACCGACGGACAGAACCGCGATCATGATTACAACGTTCATGATTGAATCAAGCACGGAGATTCCGGCGTTCTTGATAGCAATCACAAAGGGGGATGCTTTGGCGTCGGCGCTGGAAACGCCGCTCAGCAGCTGGTCGTTGTCATATGGCACGAGGAGGCCGATCAGAGTGAGCGAAACGATATAGAAGAGAGTGATACGCCAGAACACCTGCTTCACAGCGGTAGGGAGGGACTTCCGAGGGTTCGCTGTCTCGGCAGCAGCTAAACCAACCAGTTCAGTACCCGAAAAGGCAAAAGCGGCGTTGACGAAGACGCTACAAAGACCCTTGAAGCCGTTGTGGAACGCGCCAGGGCTGTGCCAATACTTCCCACCGATATATCCGCCTTGTGGGCCACCGCCGCAGTTAAGAATGATTCCGAGAATACTGCTCTCACGTCAGTTTGCCTGTACCCGTCGGTGTGAGGCGATAACCCGGTCGGGTTCACTTACATAAAACCAATGACCGCAATGACCTTTATCAGAGAAAAGACGAACTCGGCTTCACCGTAACCCTTAACACCGAACAAATTGATGGACACGATTACTGCCCAGAAGATAGCCACCCATGCTGCGTTGGAAACACTAGACTCCCAGTAGTCGACTGTAATTGATGCAGCAACAATCTCCAATGGCAGAACCACAAGCCATTGCACAGCATAGTTCCAGCCCATGGCGAAGCCCCAGGCAGGATCGATGAAACGGGTCGAGAAGTGGGCGAAGGAACCGGCAACCGGGAAGATGACTGACATTTCTCCCAGAGCATGCACTGTACAATAAAGCATGCAGCCGATCAAGGCGTAAGCGATAAGAACCGATGCTGGACCACCCGTGGCCAACACTTTTCCGGAACCGACGAAGAGACCCGTGCCTGTCATCACACAAAGGGGGGTCAGCGTGGTGCTATCGGACACAGCGACACAGATAGAAGGTACATACCGATCGAACCACCGATAGCGATCATCTGCAGATGGCGGGATTTGAGGCTGCGCTGCAGCGGGGAGGCCGCAGTCTGTTCCGCCGCATGTTCGATATCGAAGGACTTCCCGTTCGCTCCGGACGAGGTATGGGAGACATGAGCATTGGGATCCCTCTTGAAACTATCCAGGATGCGCCGGCCAACGCTTCCTCGAGTGACTTCTGTTTCGCCATAGGTTGGCGGCGGAGGTGTGTCAGCGGACACCGAAGGCTGGGCCTTGGGCTCAATCGCGTCCTTCTCCATGGATACGTTCACCAGGGGTCCGTGCAAAGATCAAAGACCGGCAATGGACCAGAATCCAAGAACAAGCCGCGAGCACCGCAGATCGCAATAATGTTTGGAGATGGATTTCTGGACGACAGTTAAGGACAAGGGAGGTAGAGCGAAGAAGAGGCGAAGGAAAAAGCTAAGCCGATGAGGGGGGGAAGACTATTAGGTATCGGCCAGTCAATCAAGTCTTTCCGGCCAATAAAAGAAAATGCCCAGGAAAATAAGAGAAAGGGTCAGTTTCGTCGAAGCAAGAGGGCAAGCAGACGGCTGGGCGCATCAACCAGAGCGACGGAGATTGGAGGGAGCAGGGGAGTATTTAAATCAAGCAAGCAAGTAAGCCACGAGGGTCGCGATTACAACCGGATCAACATCCAGCTGGACCGGGCCAGCATTATGCGCACGACGGGCTGACCGACGGAGAGACTAGGCTCTCGAGATGGACATGCAGTATATCCAGAGGAGGTATCCACGGCGTGGTTCACTATGGGGAAACCTAAAATCCCCGGTCGGATTAATTTAATTTAATTCTGATTAGACTATCGGCGGTGTAATCGCATTACTATTACTTGACGGGAATTGATTTATTATCCATCATACTCCTTTGATAAGTCCGGACATGCGGGACCTCCGCGCCACCCAAGAAGCGACCAGGGTTCGCTGATCTAAAACGACCAGGACGCGACCCCGAAAGGAGATAACATCCAGAAAAGGATTCAAGTGTTAATTAAGTCTTACGTCTTGACCAGGTGAATACTTGGAGGTAAGTCCGAGTTGATCTTTTAAACAGTCCTGCCGACCGAGTAGCATCGAGCGACCAATGGACACGGGTCGGTCAACCTTGGAACGAGTCGACCAACTCTCGTCGTGTGATCTGATGCGATCTCATTATTATTCCTAAGGTTACATTCTCCTCCTCTACCCGCTGCCCGTTCGTCTTTCAGGGTCCACCAAAGAGTGGAGTGATCGGAATGGTAGATACTGTAGATTCAGATGTCAGAAACGGCGCTGCGTCAATGATAGATCATACCCTGATATGGGCTACTGGCCTACTGTTGATAGTTGATTACCTGCCTATCAGCCTACCTATCGGAGAATCGATTCATAATGGCCACTGGTAACAACTACATAGCAATCCCTTCAATCTTAGGTTGCAACCTGAATCCCTAGACTCTTACACCGTACACGGATCGCAGGCCAAAAGGGCTAGATCTGGCCGAACAAATCCTGCTACTTTGTAGTACTCCCTACTTACCCCTATTATTGGTGGCTTGAATACCACCGCTTCTAGGTAGCGCTTTTGTTAGAATTCCAGAATGAGTTGTAGAGCTGCATCCGGATATGATCGGTTGTTGCCACTGAGCAGGAAGATTCGGAGGAGGGGGAGACAAAACACGAAGATGAATAAAAAATCATTATAGAAAAACAGAGAAAAAGATGTGAGAAAATAATTTATCAAAGTAGAAAAGAATCCGGAAATTCAAAATCCAACATTCGAAGCATTCGGCCCCGTGCGGATGAACCCTTGACGTGCTTCAAGATAACCCCGAACTCCAATCAGAGTCCCTGTTGGACCATCGAGATAAGAGAGTCTGCGTACACCTTGAGTTAAGGAGCTCCGAACCGGTCCTCCTGCAGGTCCCTTGGATTCCTCTTGACGTACGCCGGCTGGCGTGGCCCACTACTAGTTGGCGCTGATAACGTTTCGGCCCAAAGCGCGCCTTTGTCCCCCAAAGGATGGCTTGCCCATGTACCGGTGTATGATTCGTATCTCCCTCCCATCTCCCATAAGAATAATGGCTTTCTTGATGGCTCCCCTTGGGCTCTCTGCGACCCTGTCATTTCTTGTGATCAAGCTTTTTCTTTTCCTCGAACCATCGAGAGACCCCAAGAGCCAATCCACCAACAGCCAGCAAATGCATAGAAGCACGGGAGAAAACATCCATCACTACGCAGTAACCCGGCTAATGCACAAACTCTATGACCCCCTCACCTGAATCAGACTTTCTTTATTTGATTTTGTCTTTACTTAATATTATTTTATTTATTTATTTTTCTTTCAAAAAAATATTGAAGAACAAATCCCTTTGGAGGGGGGCGGAACCACGTTGAACTAGATCATTCCAGTAACGCCACTGGGGAGGTCAACAAGCCAACCTCGCGGTGTCGCAAATTGCCATAGGTACTCAGCTCTACGTGGATGCTTGTTCGGTAGTAGACTCCTTTTTCAGCCTTGTTTAATAGACCAGGGCTGTTTAGGGGTCAGTTCTCTCATCCCTGGAGGCCCATGCGGCTTGCCGGTCACAAGCAATTTTCGAATAGACGTAGCTGTACATTTGATGCTGCCTCGGCGCAGCCAAGTGAAACGTGGAGGTTTTACAGAGGCACCATGTCGTCGAGGAGCTCTGGAAAGCCTGTGACCATTCACGGCGTTCCCGAAAATACGAGCTCAAATTCCACGCTCGTCCAGGCGATTTCCTTTCTTTCAGAACCATGAAAAACCAGCTCAGTACCATATGATGGGAAAGGGGTGCTCGTCTGTCACTGGCTTGAGGAACTCCTCGTTCACGTCGTATATTGCTCACCTCCCGTAGAAAAGCCTGGCGCCACTCGTGGCCACCAAGGCGCCATGGGGAGACTAATGGGGAGGCTAAGCAACTCCAGCGAGTAATAGGCATGTGCAACCATCCTTACTCGACTGCGAATATCGTGGCTTGTGGCGGCTGACCAGTAATCGCTCTGCGTGGACATATGTAGTGCCACTCTAACGGTTGAACGAAGGAGTTCCGGTTGGCGACTTTGGTGTCCTGTACTCAGTAAGTATTTAAATCCCGCATCTCTATGATCTCCGAGTATTGTAGGTCTGCCCTACCTACAGTCTAGAGATCCCGTTGTTCCACGACGGAAATATGCAAGTTCGGTCCATCAACCGGGAAGTAGCCGGTCAGTTACCACCCAATATGCATGTCTTCTTGTCAAACCTTACCATCTTCCACGACGACATTATCACGCAGCAATTTCGCAAAACTGGACGAAAGACGAGCGTCATTCTGACCGCTCTTGTTTACGAGGTTGGAAGGAAAGTAAGTTAGAGTTACTTTTCCCCGCTGCCCGTCGCTGCAAAACGCGGGGGCTGGCGGAACCTGTTATGTAACAGATTCCACTTGGGATCCGGGGTAGAACCACCCTATCCAACACCGTCTGGATATTCTTCCCTAGCTTCGCTCAACGATCTTTACCCCGACCTTGACCGGCCCGGCCCAAGAAGCCCCAGATACCCCAGTGCGGGTCGACTCAAGGCAACACAGTAATGCTTATGATCCATGAATCAGAATCATGCTTTGCGATAGCCGTCGTTGCTGAATTGGGGCCTCTATCCCCGAATTAGGGCCATGAGCATTACAGAATAGATTCCTTTCTATTTCGGCTTGTAATTGACTGCTTATTAACTCCACTTCTGTCTGGTCCACTTTGCGACTCATCCTCCTTCGTTTCCAAGCAGAGAACAAAAAGAAGGGACCGTTTGCTGGATCTGGTGCCTATGAGACATATCCATCGGCCAAATGCGTTAGATACATCTGAGGCATTTGCCAAATCATTCTCTCAAGATCCTTCTTCAGTCAGCTTAATGTCTAGTCTCTCAAATTACGCAATGACCATTCAGTTCGACTTTCTCAGCGTGAGCTCTCCGTTCGTCAACCAAACTTCATTCTTATAGGTGTTGAGTTGCCCATGTCTTGAATGATAGAGCAACCCCCCAGCATCATTCTTCTCTCGATACATCGTACTCTTCCTCTTCTTCTCTTATTTGCCTCCATTCCAACATTTGTGTAAAGTCTAGAGTACCTTGCTCCCCTTGCTCACTAATGTTAAAGCATAGTCAACAATGTCAAAAGCACCGGGGATTCCCATATAGTGCCACTGCCAACGTCAATGATGCGAAGCTTCGAACTGCGAGACAGTAACCTTTAGGCCAAATATCAAGAACAACTCGATAAAAACCGCCAGGTGACCTCGGTGCCTTTCCCCCGAAGGAATAAAGCCAGAGACCAAGCTGGCAATGGGAAAAAGTTGGCCAGAGATCATAATTCTGTTATTTAATTACAGCAGATTCTATTTGACATAATTTTGACGGTCATTCAGAATGGTTCTCATCATCGCAAGAAAAAGAAAGACATGGATATCATGGGCTTATGCGCTACCAACCGGCCCTTCGCCACCCGGAATCAACTGGAGGTAGGTGGTCAGTGTGAAAGGAATGGAGATTGTTCGAGGAGTTACAGTTCTTACCATGCAAACGTTATTCCCGTTGAGCAAGATTTTGGGGAGCTTGACTTGGGATCCGGTATAATCGCTGATCGTCTTGTTAACGAGGCAGGCTGAAGTAGGAAACCGAACCATCAGCTCTCTGGACTGAGGGGCTTGAAGATACTCACAACTCGGTCACGTCTTCCAACACCATGTCTAAAGTAGATTAACATATGATTGAAGTCTGAGATGGACGATGGGTTAAAACTCACTGACGTAGTCATCGAAACCGAGCAAAGTGCCGGAGAATTCTGTGCGGGTGTTAGTACATCGCCATACTGAAGTCTCAAGAGTGCTGACCCTTGTCATTCTTCATGATGACCCAAATCCTCGAGCCGACACACTTGTCAATCAATTCTAGCATGTTGGTTAGCGAGGGGTCACATGTATATGTAAGCCATTCGGGCCACTTACCTAGGGGAAGAAGTTGCGACGCCATTCTGGTCTACCGGTAGAGACAATGCCTGAGACTATGAGACAGGGTCAGAAAGAGGAGTCGTCCGGGGGGGAAAGCTCAACACCTTCCTCACGTACAGGGAATATAGAAATTGATGCGGTTGGGCAGAGCAGATCTTCGATTATTGCCGGTCGGACAATCTTGGCGCACCGCATGGACGTCGGGTTTATCCGTTCCGCCGGCCTAGCGCCAATCAGGTCAACTGCCGCGGCTTCGGCCTCATTGTTTGTTCCTGAACCTTGACAATATGCCTTCTTCTTAACGCCTTCTAGTAATTCGATGATCCTATTGTTGGGATTATTTTATCATGTATGCTGCAGCAAAACATGGGAGCTTTTAAGACATGTCCCGGAAGGTTTAGTGTGAGTTGCGGAAGCTATAGTGTCGGTACATTAGTCGTTAGCCTGTCTAGCTCCGTCAGTACCAGGTATGCAGAGCTGTTTGATTTCCGATCTTTGGGATTTTACTGACAGGATCTTAGCTGCTTCAATGGTACAGCATCCAAAGTGCAACGAAGACTGTTAATGTCTTCCTCTTCGTCTTTTCCTAGTTACCCGTGTACCAAGAAAGCATCTCAGGGCCAGAAGAAGCTGTTGGTGATGTTATACCACACCAAAAGCTTTAATAGGGGTGCTGCGATAGTAGCCCATGCTGCTCGGAAAGTAATTAGCGAACCGAGACTTGGAAGATCATGTCTCCCTACGCTTGAGCGCAAGTTTCTTCGCCACTCAAAGGAACAAAAGCGCTTTTTTGAATCTTCAAGTTATTGTCCCAAATCACAGTCTAAGATACCGGTCCTTGCGCGTGCCCATTGCTCATTTAACTCAAGGGTCGGTGTTTCCAGCAAAGCTAGGCCTCACAGGGTCGGACAAGCAAACAGATACTATTCATCCGATGCTTGCACTGAACCGATAACTGGACAGCCCACTGGCCCTGGCGAGTACGCCTGTATCAGTCGGACTAGTTCTCTGGTTCAAGATGGGCCTCCCAAAGCAGCACCGCCACTTGATGACTTAACCCCTGATGAAAGCCCAGATTCCTTGCCGGAATTTTGGAGCTATAGCTCCCAGAAGAGTCCCGATGGGAAAGACATCGTTGTACATTATTGCAAATCATTGAAGAACATGGAGAAGGTAGCAAAGCTCTTCTCAAATGATAAAGTCCTTGGGTTTGATATGGAGTGGAAAGCTCAGGCCTCTGCCTCTGACAGCCTCCAAAGCAACGTCTCCTTAATACAAATTGCAAACAGAAGCCGCATCGCGTTATTTCAAGTGGCAATGTTTAAACCGGCGAAGGGGGTCAAAGACCTGGTTGCTCCTACTTTAAAGAAAATCCTCGAGTCGCCAGATATCACCAAAGTTGGGGTGTCCATAAAAGCAGATTGCACTCGCCTGCGAAGATTCCTCAAAATCGATACGCGCGCCATTTTTGAGCTTAGCCATTTGCATAAGCTGGTCAAATACTGTCATTCAAATCCGCGCTTGATCAATAAGAGACTTGTTAGTTTGAACGACCAAGTGGAAGAACATTTTGGGCTACCGTTGGTGAAAGATGAGTCTGTCCGCTGCAGTGACTGGACTGTTGCCCTTAATTACCCCCAAGTACAATGTGAGTCCGCCTATGCCCACTGTCTCGATGCGATCTGCCTACTCAATGTTAACACTCTCTTTCTTTTCTAGATGCTGCCACAGATCCATATGCATGCATTTGTCTATTCGATGCTCTAAATGCCAAAAGGCAATCTTTAGATCCCATGCCCCCTCTACCAGCACATGCCGAGCTGGACCTACCAATTCGAGTAGTAGATGAATCCGCTGAGAATATCGACTCTGATGACGTCGAGTTAGTCGACCAGGAAACAGAGACGCCAGCCAAGGAAGACACATAGCATGTCAAGTTGGAAGCGCGAGGATGGTTGCGCGACTATTTGTGGTTTTCATGAACGCACAAGTGCAGAGTTCGATAGTGTACCGTGTGTTATTAATTTCTTGTGGTTCCCCTTTTTGACATTTTGGATACCAAAATCTGCTATTTAGGAGCGACCATACATGGCAAGAGATTTAGACCTTTCCTGCTGTATATAATCAAATTCAACTCACGCCGAGAAATTCTTTGGGTAATCTCCACTATTGAACATGCTGTCCATGGATTGAACGGGCTATTACATATACAGTGGGTATATTTGTCTAAGCACAAGTTTCAAGAAGAGACAAAAAAGCTGAAAGAAGGGCATGACACTCATATACAAAAAAAAGACGCTAGATGAGAAAGGATCGCGAATAAACAGATGCGCACGTTAAAATGTCTGAGCCTTAACACCTGAACAGGCTACCCTCTCAAGGGCAGTACTTTCGATAGGAGAACCTCTTGCCGGCAAAGGGGACACTCGGGCTTCTCGCGCACCCAGTCTCGGACGCATGTCCAACAGAAGACATGGCCACATGTTGTAACGCTTGGATCCTTGAAGGATTCTAGACAAAGCGTGCATTTGCGCTGCTGACCCGAGGGTATCCAGGGAATGGCGTTGGGGTCCTCCCCTAGATCATACCGGGCGTCATCAGCTGGTAGATGCGGGAGTGAAGAAGGATTTTCGATTGACTGGAGTAAAGACTTGTCCTGCCGATTCGAATCGCCTGACCCCAATTCGACACTTTCTTCTTGCTGCAGACTGACCCCGACCTTTTGGATATGCAGAACACTCTGCACGGCGATCTGCAAGACTAGTAGCACACCTAGCACTTCATATCCAACCCGTTGTTCGTTTTCTTCGAGCTTCTTCGTAAACACGTAGCGGAGACCCCAGAAGCGCTTCGACAGATGGTAGTATGACCCGGTGAAATAGAAGGTCGCGATACTGAGAGCATAGATGGGAGAAAGTGACGTGATGGAGTCAAGATGCTCAAGAATATATTTCTGAATGCGCAGCTTTGTAAAAAAGCCCGCTTTCTTCGAGGAATTGCTCTTCGAGTTGCTCAATGCTTCCCGAGTTTGCTGAGCCTTGAGTTGTTGTCGAGCGATACTACGCTCTAACTTGGCACGCAGTTTTTGACGAAGGACGGGGAGGGTTTTCTGCAGAATCCATGGAGATAAGATACTACTCAAGACGTACCCAGCACGCCGCACGATAGATGGGAGTCTGAGAGTGTCGTCCTCCAGCTGAACAAGATCACAGTATTCCTCTCCCAACGTCCGGTTACCGATCAATGTTGTTAAGGAAAAGTAGAGGATCTCGGTGAGGTTCTTTATGGTATCCGAGTAGGTGTGAGCGAATCGGGCTCCGCGGAGGGATCGAGCTATGGATTGAGCCTGATACACCAGACTCGACGTAAGAAAGACATCTTTTTCATGGGAACGAATGATGTCCGGGGACGTCGCAAATGGATAAAAATGGGCCGAGGGGCTGGGAACCGACGACGACGGAGGAGTGGATAGAGAGAGGTCTTCGTCTGCCATTATGGTGGATGGGGTGTAAGGCGCAATGCGAGAAAGGCGACGGGGTGAATGGGGAGATGGATAGCTTCATCGGCGACAGCGGCGGCCATCGGCTATCTTGCTCGCTCGCTCGCCGTCTCTCCTCTCTACCCCGGACGGCGGGTCGACGATTGGGACCTCGGCAGGTTCCACGTGATACAGGCCACGTGACTACTCACGTGAGTTAAGTGGATCCCGTTTTGGAAGCCGAGCGGCTAAGACGCAAGCGGATAAGCGTGACCCGAGACCTCCAGTGAATGCCGCGCGGAGCCGCCTGGACTCTGAAACCGTCCCTGAGCTTCTTCACCTTTGGGCTGCTAGTCATGAATGAGTATTTCGGTTTTCAGACTCACCCTTAGTCACTCTTTTGGCCTATCTTACCTTCTTCTTCGTCCTTCTATTTTTTGTCTTTTTCGTTTCTTTTCTTTCGGTTCTTGTGTTCTGCTCTTGTTTCTTTGACCTTATCTCCGCTCAGGTGCTGATTCTCCCGGCGCCGCTTCAATGGAATATGGGTCCTGATCAGCATGCTCAACTGGACGACATCAGTCTTGTCCTTCCATTCCCCTGTCGCGTGGCTGTGATTCTGGTTGCTGGTATGCTACCTTGCTCTGGCAATCTAATGGCCTTGTCTACCCTTTCAGATCGCCATATTGATTTCAACGACTAGGTTTCTGGGGTTGGGGAGTTAATCTGCATTATCTCCTGAAGAGAAATATTGTGGGTGAACCGCCCCCCTCCCCCCCCCTTTGGATCACGAGAATTCCAACTGACAGATTGCATTTCTAGGATGTCCCTGCCCTTATTCGATATCCCGCCCGGCATTCTTCCCATCAACGACCCCATCACTCCTCGACGTACCATTTAGCGACCCTTCTGACCATTCCCCTTGTTTTAACCCTTCTGATATTCTGGGCCGCCACTCATGGATCTAAGGAACGAGTGGAAGCGCTGGACTACATTCCCCAGTCGTACCTCTTCATTTACATCATCATTATCCTTCTCCCGTACAACCGCCTTGCGCGAACCGGACGACACCGACTACTCGTGACCTTGAGACGAATCAGTGTGGGTGGGCTAGCGGAGGCCCAGGATGGCAAATTTGGCGACATTCTCTTGGCCGACGCCCTGACCAGCTACGCTAAGGTCTTGGGAGACTTTGTCGTTACCTTCTGCATGTTCTTTGGATCCGACGTCTCCAGCACATCCAAGCCCCATCGCAAATGCGGCAACGACTACCTCACCCCTCTCATCATTGCGACTCCCAGTCTTATCCGACTTCGACAATGTTTAATCGAGTACCTCCGGGTCCATCGCAGTGGCCCCAAGAGAGAAAGTACGGGCTTTCAGCACTTGGCTAACGCCTTGAAATATGCGACCGCATTTCCCGTCATCGTCCTGTCCGCCAAATTGAGGAATTACAATCCCCTTGAGATGTACGGATATAGTGAAATGAGCCTATCCCGCCTCTTGTACGTATCACTGCGGTCTGCGCGGCGTGGGACGGTTTGGTTAATCGATGTTCTAGGTATATCTGTACCTTTATCAACTCTGCCTACTCTTTCTACTGGGATGTGACCAAGGATTGGGATCTAACCCTCTTCACACCATCCCGCCTCGACCCAGACCATCCTTATGGATTACGTCGCCATCGCTACTTTTCCGACCGACAGTACTATGCTGCCATCTTGCTGGATTTAGGCATTCGCTTCGCATGGATTTCCAGGTTCGTGCCAGGATTTCTCTGGCTTACCGAGACCGAGGGGGGTCTTTTCACCCTGATGTTCCTCGAGGTTGCCCGTCGATGGATGTGGATTTTCCTTCGAGTAGAGGCCGAATGGAGTTAGTGCTTTATCTATGCCCGTGTGAATGATCATCAAGAATTGTCGAGCTAACTCCTAACAGTCAGGAATAACCGTGGCCCAGCACCCGATGATATCCTTCTCGGCGAGTTCAACGGCAAACTAGACGCCGATTGACAACATCCACCGAAAAACCTCGACAAATCGCCCTTTTCTTCGATAAGAAAAGAAAATAAATGTCATGACTTGTATTTACATGTAGACAGGACCGAGTGTTATTGTTGAACTTACGTACGCCTTTGTTGTTGTTTTTATTGTCATTATTTGCTACGCCTTTGAAGCCTACTATCGCTTGTTCCTTGTTTTTTCCCCAGGTTTACACCCTTTCTTATCTCTCTATATAACTACACCTCCAGCTAGGGGATGGCTAGCTTTCCGATAGACTCATATTCACTGTCCTTTCAGCTTGTATCATATGGGCGAGCGCGATCCGGAGCTGCTTTGTGCATAAAAAAGATCGTTTCGGTCCTTTGTTTCTTTCATAATTGGGGTTTCTGGGGGATGTTGGGATGGACGGGTAATCACTAATTGCATGTGAAGGGCTTCTCTTTCCTTTCACAAGACACAAAATCAAGAACAATCAAAAATATAATCATGCAAATTTTTCCAAAGGAAATACAGTTAAGCGTTGATCCAATAAACTCCATCGCCGGATATATCACAAAATCAAGCGGTTAGATACATGATTCGTAGGAAGGGAAAGATGCTGAAAGGATATACAAGATACATGCACATGGACAGGAGGTGAACGATCCAAGACTTGAAACGAGAGAAAAGAAAAAAAAATAGGTACCAAAGAGATAAATGAACCGCGTGAAGGCTATCGTCGCTCGTCGAAGCATTTGTTCACTAAGCAAATCTAGGGCCGTCTTTGAGGAGGGTGGTTCTCGAATAGGTCTTCTAAGTATGCACTTGGTGTTCTTCCTGGGTGAGGAGAGGAGAGGTTCACACTGCTAGTAGAGGCGCCGACATACGACTGCCTGCCGGGATGATGATGAGGGTCATACGCACCGCTTGCAGGCGGTGTTCCCGGTGGGCTTGGGCCTGATCTAGTTTGAGAATAACCCTGAGACTGCGGACCCAGGCCCGACAGGTCGGACGTTGAGAAACGAGTAGTCGAGCCGCCAACGCCGCCAGCGGCAGCGTTTCCGGCAGCATAGTATCCGGCGGGAAGATAGCTTGAGCCTCTATTCCCGCCACTGTGCATTCCGGCAGTGGGCGAAAAGAACAATCCGCTGTTGGAGCTGGGACCTTTGGATGGCCGGCGGTGGGAGTGGCTTGAACGATGTTTCCCGCTCATCTTCTCGAGCGATACGGCGGGCGGAGCTCCATGCGCATGGCTTGATCGCTTCTTCCGCTTATGGTGAAGCAGTCCCTTTGTTTCAGACGAATGTGCGATCGCAGCCTGACGGACGGATCGGTTCACAGACCATGCGACAAGCCCACGCCAGGCGAGAACGGAAAGGCCAATAAATCCCAAGGCTGCTCCGACGGCAATGAACACGGTGCCTTCAGGAGTGTCGGACTTTTGCATATAGGGAGCATCGCTTGTTGGCGGTACCGTCACTACGGGGTGGTTGCTCGTCGATGATGACGAAGAACTGCTCGCAGATTCGGTGGATGTCGATTCGGAGTCGGTCGTCGTCGTCGCTGATGATTCCCTAGTTCGCGAGCGGGTGGTGGTAGATTCATCGCTCGTACTGGTCGCAGCATTGGTAGTGGTCGCAGCGTCGGTGGTTGTCGCATCGTCGACCGTCGTGGTCGCTCGGTCCCGATCATCACTGGTGCGTTGAGCCACCGATAATTGAGCGAAGAAGATCAAAACGAGTAGCACGAGCACCACAAATGAGCGTCGACGGGCCTTGCGAGGGCCCACAGGGAGAAAAACCATGGCCAGTGTAGATATGATCCGATTCGACGAAAAAGACGTATATGTCGATACTTTGTGTGTCCAGCGCGCCAACGGAGATAACCGCAACGAGATCAAAGACTGTCGCAAAATCTCGCAACGTTCAAGTAAACGAAAGACTTGCCCAGTATGTGGCGGGCAGGGAATGGGGGCGTAGATCTTTATCGGATAAGCTCCACCCAAACACCGGGTCAACAATCAAGAACCTAGAGATGAGACGACGAGCGTCTAAGATAGATCAGAAGACAGAATGAAGGACTGCCACCATCAAGCAGGGGTTTGTGTCGGGCGGAATCTGGCAAGGAAGTGAGGGACAAGCCCGAGAGCTGAGAATGCAAGACGGACGCAGAGATCAGCGGACAGGCAAAGAAGAGAAGAGTCGAGCCATTTTGGCGTCGGTTGCCCCGTGCCCACGCCGGATGCCCCAGGCACCGACTGCGGAGGCGGAGCCCGACACGTGATGCCTATATTTAGGTGGATTGCATATGTAAGGCAATCACCCATCTTCCTACGAAGATCGACAAGAGAAACACCGAAACATAGAGATACAATTTATATATGACAGTTAGAACATTAAATGACAAAGAAAAGCCATCCATGCTTATCCCCAAACAATGCCCAAAAGAAAAACGAAACAGAGAAACGGCGTCATCATCAACTGTTATCACTGCTGCTTCTTCTGGACAGCTGAGGAGCTATCCTTCTCAAAGGCGGCATAAGGGACCTGCAAGCTCATGAGAGCACTAAGACCGACATACAAGATGGTCAGACAGACGAAGGAAGCCATCAGCCCCATGAAGATGCCTGCACATGGTTAGCAATTAAGATACTCTCAACATATCCCCAAGGAACCGCATCGAGCGGGCGAGAACATACCGGGCGTGAAGTATTGGTATTCTTGAAACAAGGATTTGTTGGAGGCGGCTCCATCCTGACGAGCTCTCACCGAATGGTCACGCTTTAGGTCCATATGGATGGGATCCTGGTAAGGGTTGCTTTCTGAGTGATAGAGACTGGGATCGGACTCGTCGAACTCCCTTGGCGAAGTCACATATAGGACTGAATATTTCTTTGATTCGGGGAGCCGCTCAATGATGTCGGATAAAAGTCCATCTGCAGTCTAGCATCAGCAAACATTCCGGCCTCGTTATTGCTGAGCCTGGGTGGACAGACCGTTGTCTACAAGTTGCTGGGCTCGATCAGATCCCGAGGGAAGGACGGGAAAGTCAATGAACAGAACGCGGGGGGCAGTTCCCAGATCCGAAGGATAAGAGCCAGCTAAGAAGTTACGTTAGTCTCATCACGCATCCCTCAATCGGATTCGAGATACGGAAGAACTCACAAGCCCCATCGACGACTGTGGATTGGGCGCCGCACTCCCGCTCAAGGACATTTTGGATCTGTTTCGCGTCCAGCACGCCAGCAACCTCATGGATTGTCATTGTCGACCGGATGTCCTTATCCTTCCCCGTCATCTTCGCGCCGAGGCGGGGTGCGGACTTGCGGGTAGAGAAATCGGTGCTATGCACACCGGGCTGAGAGGCGATGACATAGTAGTCCGAAGGGCAGGAGCTCAGCTCAGAAGAAATGTCCTGTAGCAGCGACGTCGCGGTTTTCAGTCGGGCCGAGGAGGCGAGGATCCTTCAGAGGAAGCTAGTTAGCTGCGGTGTCTGGAGAAGCTGGTGAGGTCACAACCCACTCGGAAGTCGAAGCTAGGAAAAAGGGGGAGGTGTCCCGGAAGGCGTTGGCAGTTGCTGCTCCAAGAGCAAGTAGCGAGAGCCCACCGAAATGCATCGTGGCGAAAAGTATGTGTACGTATGGTGCCTGGGAGTATCTAGACAGGCGCGGTGCTGTCCGAGAGGCCGCAGAATGATGGTTGGAGCCAGGCTGGTGCCGTCGGTCTCGGAGGCGGTCGAGCCGCCCGACAAGGCGGCGGACCTTAGCTTGGCCCAGAGAAAAAAAAAGAAAGAAAAAACTTCCAAGTTACCCCAATACGTTTACGCTCCCCCTCCCGGTATCCAATATATTGCGATCCTTTTCCTGTTATTTGTTCTTCTTCTTCTTCTTTTCTTGTTAATTGCCGTCCATTACAGGAGGTTGTCGGAACTATGGGTCCTATGGCGAAACGGCGAAAAGTGCAAAGCAAAACCGAGGAGATCAACTTCGATCCCTCCGCTCGTCATACATTCTTAACGGGCTTTCGCAAACGAAAGCAACAACGGGTGAAGCATGCGCAGGAAGTGGCAGAGCAAAAATATAAAGAACAGAAAAGAGAGGAAAGAAAAAGGGTTCGTTACGAAGCCATCCTGCCCGCCTCGAGGCAACACGGGCCAAAGCAAGCCTGAGGACTAATGCGTGCTCTCCGTTTAGATTCGGCAAGAACGAACCGAAGGATTTCAGCGTGCGATCGAGGAGCACCAAAGGCAATTGAAGAAGATCAACGATGAGAACCGTGACAGTGACGATTCCGAATCTGGCAGTGACGACGAGGCGGAGAATCAGGAATGGGAAGGGTTTGCAGAGCCGCCAGCGGTGGATTACGAAGCAGAGTACATCGACGAGGATAAATACACGACGGTGACGGTGGAGGAGATGGATCCTTCGAGAGAAGGTTTGTTGAGGTCTCAAGAAGACGACAACTCGAGTGAAGCGGACGAGCAAACAGAGGCGGCGCCCGAAGCCGAGACCAAACAGTCGGCCGGACCGACAAAAAAGCGGATATCCGATAACAAGGTCCAGAAGAAGAAGAAGAAAAAGTTCCGGTACGAAAGCAAGGAGGAGCGCAGGCTGACGCGGGCAAAGCAGCGCCAGTCGAACCACAGGAAAGCGCAGGCCCGGCGAGAGCGAGGATGAAATACAGAGTTAATCAGCCGGGCACAGATACAACCCCGGCGGCAATTCAATTAAATATGTTCTATGTACCTTTCCATGAGGAAGTATATGTTTGGTTCAAAATAGAATGGAGACAAATAGGACAGACAAGCGGCATAGCAACAACGAGTCCCGCCAACGCACAGGAGGCAATACGTCCAGCCGGCTCTCCCGTCGACGGATGGCAGTAAAGGAAACTGCAATACGCAGGTAACTGAAAGGGAAGTCTGTTGGAATCAAGGTCGAATCGAATATTTCCAGATAAACTCTACGCCCGTACCCGTAGTCCGTACTTAGACGTTGCTGATGGAAACCTCGAGGTCGTGGAGATCCTTCTCGAGCTCGCTGTGCTTCTTGGCCATCTCCTCGTACTTGCTCTCCCACTGGTCACGAGACGCTTCGAGGGCCTGGACTTTACGCTCGTAGTGGCCGGCCTTGACGTCGGTTTGGCGGAGTCTATCACACAGGTATTGTCAGCAACGTGGTCCCACGGAAGGTGAATAGGGGTCTGATTCGGGGACATACTTCTCGTTGGTCTCGCGCAGATTCCGATCGGCTTCCTCAGCCTCTTCCTCCAGCAGCTGCAGGCGTCTCTGAAGGGCTTCGTTCTGGGTGTCGTGCTGGGCACTCTGGGTGGCAGAGTCCTTGGCCTCCTTCACGGCGAGTTCCAACTTCTCCACCTCACCCTCCAAGAGCTGGTTTCGGTGGTTGAGGGATGTGATTTCCTGCTCCTTGGCCAGGTTCTCCTGTTCCAGCGTCCTCACTTTGACCTTCAACTCCTCAACCTTGGCCTGGGCATCGTCAGCCTCCAGGCGGAGGTTGTTCATTCTCTAGAACATAATCTGTTAGTTTCGATGCTTGAAACCGGAACCAAAATGATCTGAACAGGTGGACGGATATCCCATTTCTGTGATGCATGAAGCGGCCAAAAGATAGGAGATAGGGGTCGGGACAGTCGGGACAACGGAATGTGCATGTGCATTTCTAGGAGCTTCCAAGCTACCCCGCCAAAGGGGGGGGGAAGGGGAATGTCAACTCACCTCCTTGATCTTGTCCATGGTGAGTGATGAGGTCTATGTAAGGGAACGAGAAAGTATGTATTGAAGAAGATGGAAGATGGAGATGTAGCAGCGGCAGATATACGGGACTGAAAGGCTTTCGCCAGCGAGAAACCAGGAGAAAATGATGGGAAATAATAAAGGGAAAGACCAAGTGGAGAGAGAGAAAGAGACCGACTGCCTGGCGGTCAGCCGCCCTAAACTCTTTCGGGCTGTCAGGTACTTACCAGTCACGGGAGCCCCCTGAGTCAGCATGTCTCCCGGTACGCCCGCCATACACGTACGGTACAGCCGGTACTGTTACCCCTACTAGTTAGCTACCTAAGGAGTACTTCCGCGCTGTCCGTCCCATGGAAATGGGAAGGATACGCCCCCGGGAGCCTCCCGCGTCTCCACGGGCAACCGTCGACAAAAACACCTGCCAATCTAGAACCACCTAAGGTAGCTAACTTCTACCCTCACCGCATCCTCATCCCACCATTCACCCGTCGTCCCATCTCTCCCTCCAATATTGATCCACCTCATCCCAGTGCATGAAACAACTCGCCGCATAACCGCCGCCATGCTGGCTCTTCGGGATCAAGAGAACTTGGTGCACGCCCATCAAACCGTCGCCGCCTCCAAGCCTCTGAACCAGGGCGGAAAACAACAGCTGCAACCGAAAACTCCGGGAGCTCGAGCTCCGAAGACCCCTTTCAAAGTCCCGCTGAATGACGAGAACGACCCCTTGGCCTTTGGGAAGAAAACCGTGAAGGGCACCGGTAAACAAAAGGAAAATGGAAAGCCGTCAGTCAAGGATGCATTTGTCACACCACTGGGTATGCTTAGCAAGGACAAGGCCATACCGCGACAGGCGGAATATTATTAACCGTGGCGTCGCGTAGCTAACGACATTATATAGCGGACCCTCGTCAACGCGCCCCTTTGGGCATGAAAACGACCAATGCCAAAGCCAAGGGATTACAGACCCCCGCCCCTCCCGCAGGGACCGTGAAGCCGGAAAGAACGACAAAAAGAGGCTCCACGCAGAGAGTGAAAAGGTTTACTCCCTTGGTCGAGCAGAGCCAAACGAAGACTCAGGATAAGCCGGCCCAGGACGATGTTCCTGACATTGAATATATGCCGCCTAAACCTAAAGGTGGGCCATCGCTCTGCTTTGTTCTCAAAGGGAATTTTCCGTCGCTAACGCCGTACAGAGCTCCCCGATATTCCAGACGATATCACGTACGATACCACGTTCCCTCAATTCCATCCGAAGAATCTCGCCCTTGGTTTGGAGAGCGTGTATGGAGATAATGAGGTTGGAAAGGACGGCCTTACGAAGAGAGATCGCAAACTGCAGCAGGATTCAATCGCATGCGACAAGATGATGGATGACATGATCCTCGAACAAATTGCGAACATCGGATTTGAGGAAGCCGGCGGAGCGGAGCAGCGGGACGAGTCTCACCGGAAGGACGTCTCGAGGGCCCGTCGAGTGCGAGCTCCCAGCACGAGGATCAAGCAGACCAGCAATCTCTCGACTGTGCGGGCTCGGGATGCTGCCGCGGCTCTGTCGGGGACCGACCGTTCCCTTCCACGAACGAGGCAGGCCGCTAACCCAAAGATAAAACCGAGAGTGACTTCATCCCTGTTTTCGTCGAAAAAGCCACGCGCTCCTGCCAATCCATCGTCCATGCGCCATACGGCGGCGACTGCGAGCTCCCGAACAACCGTCGGATACACCAAAGGTCGGGACGTTTCGTCGAAATTGCATGGCAATCCTCCCGATGCCGCAGCGCAGCCTGTCCACAAGGGAATTCTATCGCCGGAGACCTATATGCAGCCCGACGAGGCACCATCTGAGACCGTCTTGGATGCCGGCTTTGGCGAGTACGAAACAGACGGGGTGCCTGCGGAAGTCGAGACCGAGCTTCCGACTTACGAAGAAGACGAAGAAACGCAGAATTTCCAGCTGACTCTGTAAGATCGGGTCATCTCTACTCTCCAGGTTAACTCTTACGGTTTATTCTCAATGCGGCGCACGAATGGTCATCAGGGGGTCAGGGGTTCTCGGAAGGCAGGCAGGTATCGGGGCGTTTCATCATGCGTATGAGGTTATTATTGTTTTTCTTTTACGACAAACACCAGCTCGTGCTGGATGAATGTACACAGTATATGTACGGTACGGGACCTACCTGAGTTTATGTTATTCAATTTTGCAATTTGCAGTCCAGCGGGTGTAATCATACGGTACGAACCAAGTACATGTAGGTACAGGTACTTTGGTCGAGGACTAGAGGTACTTGTTCAAGTCCCTTTCACCGCTCCAGGCCAAGAAGAGAAAAAGAACAATAAAAATCAAAAGTAATAATCACAAAACAATGTCGAAGTCTCACAAACCTGGTAGCTCCCAAATAATTGCATCACTCTGTCATGCTGTAGCACAATGATCGCATTGGAATTCCTAATCATGGAACTGGTCGAATAATTTGCCTTGGTGGCTGCCCCCGTCGGCGGATCCCCCCCGGCCCCGTTGGCCCAGCTCCGGACACTCTTGCTTCTTCCTCTCCTACTCTCTTCTTCTCTTTTTCTTCTTCCTCTCTCCCTAACCCCCACCCCAATTTTGCCGCCAATTCTTTCCAGTCATGGCGACAAATATCCACCCCGAGTCTCTGGAGGACTTCGAGTTCATCCAGACTCCGCCCGCCCCTTGTACCACCCCAGCTGAGGACTGCGGTGTGCGGACAACTTCGGTAGGTTCCGAAACCCATACCCCAATTGCGAATCTTTGGGGAGCTTGATCATGGCACATTCCGAAGGAAACCATCAATTCCAGTAGGGCTAACGATTGGAACGTTCTAACACAGTACCCCGCCATCAAAAATGCCCCCGTCCCGGCGGATTCGGCTGGCAGTGACAGCTTCTCCAACATCCTGCTGTTCTCCCTGCTGCTCCTCGTCCCCTGGTACTCGGCTCGCCAGGTGGGTGGAGGTTTCTACACCACCATTTTCTTTGCCATCTTCACCACCATCCCCATCCTGATGGTGTTTTGGTCCGTGGCTTCCTCCATCTCGCCCCGCAAGAACGAGAAGGCCAAGTATGCCGGTCGCCCCGTCGAGCACTATCTGGATTTCCACAGCGAGCATGACCGCGCTACGTACCACGGAAAGAGCAAGGTTCCCATGGAGGTCTTCTACGAGAAGTACTTCAATGGCGAGGTTGACTTCAAGGGTGATGCCCTGGAGATGCTCGAGTTCCGACACGACTGGGCCAACTTCCGCTTCACCATGGGTCTTTTCAAGCACTTTCTCTTTGGTTTCATTCCCGAATTGCTCGTTCACTCCCGTTCTCAAGGTGAGCTTTCTTCCCCCGAGGCAAAGCACCTCGAAAATTTGTGGGAGCTTTTCTAACGTTACCTCCCAGACGAAGAGCAGGTGCGTGACCACTACGACCGCGGCGACGACTTCTACGCTTGGTTCTTGGGCCCTCGGATGATCTACACCTCTGGTATTATTGGCGATGTCAACCGGGAAGAGACCCTGGAAGAGCTTCAGGATAACAAGCTGGCTGTCGTTTGCGAGAAGATTGGTGTGAAGCCCGGCGATACCATCCTCGACCTGGGTTGCGGCTGGGGTACCCTCGCTAAGTACGCTTCGGTTCATTACGGCGCCCAAGTTACCGGTATCACGCTTGGTCGTAACCAGACTGCCTGGGGTAACAAGGGTCTTCGCAGCGCTGGCATTGAAGATTCTCAGAGCCGTGTTTTGTGTTTGGACTACCGCGATGCTCCTCGTGTGGATGGCGGCTATAAAAAGATCACTTGTTTGGAGATGGCCGAGCACGTCGGTGTGCGTCACTTCAGTACTTTCTTGTCTCAGGTTTACGATATGCTGGACGACGACGGTGTCTTCTTCTTGCAGATCGCTGGTATCCGCAAGTCCTGGCAGTACGAGGATCTGATCTGGGGTCTGTTCATGAACAAGTACATCTTCCCCGGCGCTGACGCTAGTACTCCTCTGGGTTTCGTCGTCGACCGACTTGAGGCCGCTGGATTTGAGATTAAGGCTGTTGATACCATTGGCGTTCACTATTCTGCCACTCTCTGGCGCTGGTACCGCAACTGGATGGGTAACCGTGAGAAGGTCGAGGCTAAGTACGGCAAAAGATGGTTCCGCGTGAGTATCCCCCCGGATGATGGGACAATTCCCTGATTTCTTCGATTCATGTTCTAATCAACAGAGTACAGATCTGGGAATACTTCCTGGCATCCTCCACCATCACCTCCCGCCAGGGCGGTGCTACCTGCTGGCAGCTTACCCTGGTCAAGAATATCAACTCTACTCACCGCGTTGAGGGGATCCAAAGCCAATTCGGCCTTAACGCGGCCCGTGAGGCGGCTGCTCAGAACGTGGGCAATGGCACCCGCCCCAGCGCTCACGTTCCTAACAAGGCGTAAATGCAACGTCTCACTAGGCGCGTCAGTGCTACCTTGGATGTCATTCATCTGATAATTTGCCTCGGACTCTCGCCTATTGGCGCAAGAGCCCGTTACATGGCCCCCGGGGCTCGGTGAATCGAACCGAAGGCTGGAAAGAACAGACTCCGGTTTATTAGCAAGACTGAGAAGCAAGGAATGGACAGTTTGGCAATGAGTTGTCAGGAACCCGCTTCGTGTGAGAGAGATGCTTCTGGTTTAGAATCCGTTGTCGCTCGATTACGAGCAACCGGGTAGTAAATCTTTACCAGAAGAGATGTATGTATTAATGAGAGATAGACAATCTGATATGTAATTATGGATGGCTACCTATTCTGTCTTCTTTCTTTTCTGGTATCATGTATGTACAGTTCATTAAGAGAAAGGCTGGCTCGGCTACATATGTTCATCATACAACAATAGGAGGCTATGTCGTAAAAGTTGATGGCCTGCTAGACCAACTAGCCAACGGTGACAAGTTCTTAGTCCATTCGCTTGTAGAGCTTGGCCTTGCTACCCCCCGCACTAGAGCAGCATGAAACCTCCGTTTTCTCCGGTTCTCTATGCAGAGTAGATTTGTTGAAAGACTGAGACGATGGGGTCACATCCAACGCCGGGTTTTTGGTGAAGAATCCGTCAGGTCGTAACATCATACTAATTCGCTCCATTGGCATGACGGGGAAGTCTTCGATCCGAGGATTATGCGTTAGGCCGAATGCTAAACAATGCAATCGTTAGTTTTGCTGATCTCTCTCTCTTTTCCTCGCTCAAGAACGAGATTCTCGAGTCATGTTTATATATACTTACAGTGCCATAGAACCACATCTTCGTCTTCGGTCTTGTCGTTTCTTTGCACCCATGTCTCAACACCATGGGCCTTTGTGCTCTGGTTGGTAAACTCGCCGGCGGCGAACAGTTCATCGTCCTGGTATTTAGTGACCCAGATGGGTTTGCTAGCAAATTCGGCCCGGCGGTAGCCCATGGCCTTCGGGCTCAGGAGCAACATCTGGCTGGGCACTGTTACCAGCTTGTATGAGATGGGTTTGTAGGTAATGGGGTTGATGACATTGTCATTGCGGATTTTGAAGACCCGGTGACGGTTCACGTCGGTGTTCGCGCTGCTAGAGTTCCGAATGACGGTCTGCTCGGTTGTGTATCCGACAAGGTACGGGTTGTTCTCGTCCTCGGGAAGTGGGACGCTGTCCTCGTAGTAGACGGTATTCTTGAAGCCATCGATCGCTGGGTCAATTCTCACAGAGAACATATGCTGGTGAAAGGGAGCCATGACTCCCGGTCCAACGTTGGTACCCCAAGCGACGGTTTCTCCGTTTTCGTTGTCGAAAGGGACCGTTGAGAGGATTCCAGTCGCCCGGACTTCAAGCTCGATGTTGGCCGCCTGGTCAAAAATGTAGGCAAAGATATACTCGTAATTTGCAACGGTGCAGATCATCTGGAGGACAAGCTGGCGGTTGCGCGAAACACTGGCAGTCCCGGTTCTGTAGTTGGTGTGCTTGTACTGAAGGCCGTTGTCTTGTTCGTGCATGCAAATAACATTCTGCAGAAGGATCGGGTTTCCCTTCGCATCTGCCCTGTAACCATTGAAATATTTGATGTGGCCTAGACAATCACATCCCAGTGACAACTGATTGGCATTGAGTCCGAAGCCAACATCTCCAACATCGAAGGCCTGCTTGCGATGATAGGGCGCCCGAGGGTCTAGCATATCAGGGAGCATTGGTTAGTATAAGAAATATGGCCATCTTCCAAGCAAGCTTACTCACCTCCATAGGGAACAGTCATTTCTGAGACTGACAGGCGATAAAAGACATTGCGGTTATCATAGGTCACGTTATGGATGACCAGACCCTCGCGGTTGTTGAATCCCACTCGAAATCGCCACTTCTGCCAGTAGATGGAGTTACCGTCTGCAGAAAATGACGGGCCTTCTGGCTGCTGAACAATGTACGGCTTGAGGTCCTTGCGGAGGGGCTCATCCAAAAGATCATGTGCATACTGAACCGTTTTGACAGGTTTCCACGGCTGGGTCTCGACAGTAGCAGTGTCTACACCACCCGGGAGATAATCGATTCGCACCAGTTTCTTGGTGGGACCGTCGAAAACTGGACAGAACTTGCATGGCAAAGAATAATGGTTGTTTTCGGGGTGGTCCACCGCAACCATGTACATGAAACATTGGAATAGCCGGCGTTTTTCGTTTTCATTATCGGTGCCGTACATCCAAGGGTCGTTGCACACCGACATGCCCGGTGGCAATTTGAGTTTCTCGATCTCGGCCTGGACTGCTGGATGTTCCATGCATACCCGTTCAATATCGGCCAATTCGTCGACATCCATCGGTGGCTAGGGAATTGTAAGCGGGAAACGTCAAACAATGTCGGGTGGGAAGAAAAAGAGAAAGCTTACCTGCACCCCCTCTGGCAGTTCCTTCGTGTAAATGATTGATTTGCTGTCTGCATTGATTAAAGTCTTGCAGCACACTCCGCTGTCAAGACGGTGGAAGTAAGAATACAAAAGACGTGCTGGTTTAGGCGGCAAAGGCTTTCTCAGCCGTTCAGCCTCGATGTATGGAAGGACGTCTTTCTTAATGGGCTCCGAGATATCAATTCTGTTGTATCGAAGGGGGATGCCAGGGAAAGCAGCCTCCAAGATCCGGACAGCCAGCCGAATCTCTTCAGGCGTGACAGGATCGAATGGGTGGAGCACCATGATGTTGGTAGGTCTGTAGAGCGGAAGGATAAAGAGGACAGGTCCAGAGAAGTTGCTTGGACGACCCTTCCGGACGAGGGCCTTCCAGCCCTTTATATAGAAGACATGCTCGCCTCGTTCCACCGGGGACAGGACGGCGATGACAAGGAAGTATGGATTATGGAGAGGCTCCTCCACAATGGGCAGGATGGACATGCCATTTTGGGTCAAGTAACCGCCAGTGGTGGGGCGCGTTTAATCGATTGACGCTAAAACCTCTCGACCACCGAGGACGGAGTAAGTCTGGGGCACTTTGAAAGAAGACTTGACGTCGGCCGATTTCGAGTTGGTCATCGTCGGCGAATCACATGAGGCCGTCGGTCACGATCTCCTTGCCATTCCCCTTCAGGCCTAGCGCCATTCGCCCCTCCCGTGACTGCCCAGGGGTCACGGGATCCCGGCGGAATTTGTTCTGATTGACTGCTTGTACTCCTCCTACGAACTACTAACTACTGCTAACTTACTACTTCCACTTACTCCGAGACGATAATGATTCCCCCAAAGCCCCCATAAGCAACGTCCCGATTGGGTATAAACCGTCAATCCAATGGTCTGCAGCCGGAGCAATATCGTCCGCTACAGTATACCCTTGTCTATACGATAAGATTAGCATGCGATGATCTGCATCTACATAAATTCTCAGCATGAACCAATTTGCCGTTAGCACTCTGTCGAGTGTCTCCCACAGCGACAATGCTCAACCCTCCACAAACAAAAGATCTAGAAGAACCGGTGCAAAATGGACTCGCTCGGGTTGTTTGACTTGCAAGAGGCGCCGAAAACGATGTGACGAAGCAAAGCCCAGGTAAATATAGACCACAATCCCACATTGATCACCAATCAGCTCGTTTAACTTGGATTGGTAGCTGCCGCAACTGCGTGCGATTGGGATTCACCTGCGAAGGCTACGGCTCAATGTGGGCGCAACCCTTAGACCCGTCGGCTCAGGTCTTTCAGTCGGTTATGCCACCAAAGCGACGAAGACTCAGTGCGTCGCCTGTGTCCGTCTGCTCCCCGGCATCCATGGAATCTGGGGATCTTACCAGATCTTCCTTGTCAGTCTGTCATGCATCATCTAGCGCCTCTTCTCCGTTGAACTCCGGCTACACCGAGACTCATTCGCCAAGTACTGGGATCAGTGACCTTAATGAGAATGATGACATTGCATCCAATGCTGCAAATATAAAGGACCTTTCAGTCGTCTCTCCAAAACTCCGCGGACATATCAGTCACATTTCAACTCTTGAAGCCCACTATCTTCAATATCATATGGAACAAGGTTCCAGACTGCTGGCAAATTTAGAAAGCGATGAAAATCCGCTGCGATCACTGCTTATCCCCCGGGCTTTCTCATCTCCCATATTGATGAAGGCGCTGTGTGCTGTTTCCGCAGTTCACCTTGCAAACCGCTCTCAAAACAGCCTGGATGCTCAAACGGCCGCAGCCAATTACTACATCCGTACAATGAGCGGACTGCGTTCCGCGCTAACCGAATTCCCTCACAAACAATTTTCTGACGAGTCGATATTAGCTGTGGCTTTACTCTGCAAGTATGAAATAGTGCGGGGGAGTGTCAAGCAGTGGTCGGTGCATCTGGATGCCCTGGAAAAGCTAGTCATCTCCCGCGGCGGATTGACCTCTTTTGACAAGGATACGGCAGATTTTCTCTGGGGACTGTATGAAATGTTTTCCCTTCAAAGTACAAGAGGCTACACATGGACACTGACACTCTGTCGCTATAGTTTCCTGTACACGCACAATGTGGCCAAAATGACCAATCGCCGGCCAATTGCCCCTATTCCCGGAGCAGAAAATTTCAGTTTCACCAAGCTAGATATTTACATCGGCTATACCGAAGAGATCATCAAGATATGTGCGCGAATTGCAGATCTGCCTCTTCTTAGCCATGATCCAGTCGCTTTGGGGTTGGAGATACACACGATGTAAGTTCACCTCGCAAGAAAAAGAGAACCGAAAAGCTAAATGGAACCCCTCAGAGACACGTCTCTCCGTGATTGGACACATACCGCAACGCACTACACAGTTCCCCGAGGAACAACAGAGGCTACTCTGCGTCGCCTTCGCATGGTAGCCGAGTGTTTTCGTGACGCGGCATACATCTATCTCCACTCCACTCTGAATCGAATGAGTAATCAAAATCACACCACTCATTGCCTACCCTCGTCATGGCCGGATCTGATTACCTTGTCAAAGGATGAAGCTCTCGAGCGTTGTCTAGAGCGGGTCAGGTCAAATCCACTCGATCAACATTGCGAATATTCCGCTCTCACTTTCCCTCTCTTTATCACTGGCTGCGAGAGCCAGGACCCTGAGGCCAGAGAACTTGTCATCGAGTCACTTACAAAATTAGAGGCTAACTTCGGGATTGGGAATGTCAAGCGAGCGAAAGAGTTGTTGAGAATCTTGTGGCAGGGGGCGCAGATGCACTGGTTAGATGTTTTGGAGCAATTGAAATGGGGTTTGATACTTGCTTAGGGCCGTATTGTCGACGGAGTATTACAGGAACACGTGCCCGGCAATCAGATTACTATCATTTTTGATGTATATATTCTTTTCTTTGTATCTATTACGTGGGATGGTGGTCATGTCGCTAACGTCGGGTTTCATTTTTGGCATGAATATATATATTAACACGAAAGAAGCACTCGGCAACCATACTGGTCGATGTCCCCGAGTCCAGTTCCCAAAATCCACATCGAAATGATTTGACCAATTGTATATTTTCGTTACGAAAGGTATCAACTTAATCCCATATTAACCTCGTCACCCAAACCCAGTTCTCGCTCCGCTCGTTCGGTGCCTCCAGCGGCTCGAGTACCCCAGCGATCGAGATGATCTTGCGCGTGTGCAATCTCCTTTTCTCGCAAACTTGTACTTTCACTGGTAGCGTTGCTTCCCTGCGCACTTCCATCCAAGCCATGACTGCCGCTCGAACTCCGGGAATAATTGGATAGCTTTCGGGCCGGGATGCTGATCGGCCTGGAGGTGCTTTTGCCGAGGTTGGAACCAGGAGCCGACGTTATTCTGCCGAGATCTACGGACGAGTTATTGTTGGAGGCTGTTGGTGCAGAGGAGATGCTGCTGGCTTTGTCGCTTACACTCTTCGAGCTCCCAAACCATCGTCGTCTCCGCGTTTTGGAGGAGGTAGACGGGGCGAGACTCTGGGAATCAGCATCGGCTGTTGAAGCGTCAAGGGCGCCGGATTCCTTCTGTTTCTGCTGCTCTAATGCCTGGGTTAAGCCGGACGTGGCCTCTGCAGATGATTTATCCGATCCCAAAGGGATTTCCACCAGCTCGGCATCACGACACCATTTCCTGCGCCGAGTGTATCGATCCCAGCCATCCTGGCCACGACGACCGTCGTTCCACTTTTTAAAAGTGTCCCCACAGTCAGCCAACAGTACCATAATGGTGAAACACTGATGCAAGGGGGTGACGACTAACCTTGTTATCATAGTAGATCCAACCACCGCCATCAGAGGTCTTAGTGTCCGCTTTGCTGTGTGACTCGTCGGCACCTTCAATACGCCACTCACTGCCCTCGACCCATCGCCACGTGGCGCTGCCATTTTGCACTTCGGGCAGCTCGAATTCGTCTTTGGCGGGAACGTGGTTCAGGTGCTCATCCGTCCAAGAAGCACGTTCCGAGGGGAACAGAGAGTAGGTCCACCCTATTCCAAGCCATCGACGTTGGTTTTCATATATTATGAAGGTAAAGCGCACGCCTGAAGAATCTCTATGCCGCCGAGTTGCAATGTTCATGGCATGACCATGACTCTGCGTCCGCGATGACGTTTTGTCGACGTTCATCGCGAATGAAAGGCCTGTGATTATGGAAAATATGCGGCGGACCGTTAAGGATCGCCAGAGGATAACGCGTGATACCCTTGCCGGGCGGGAATGGTAAGTGAGAATGACGGTGCCTAGGATTAGGATGACACGACGAGTAGTAATGAGATGTAAAGGAGGGAGAGTCAGCGCAACCCAGATTGGGGTCACAAACAAGATACGGAAGAAGAGAGTGGTGAGAGCCGGTCTGGTGGTGGCAGAGGTGGCCGTCCTTTGAGTGGACAGGAAGTCGGTCAGTTCCAAAAGGGGCTCCAATAAGATATTGCACCGCGTGGTAAAGGTGCGCATGGTTTCCACAATTTCATCGAGGCTGTCATGGTGACGCAGGGAGCCATCGGAGGCAACTCTTTGATGGCCCGGTTTCTCCCCGGAGAAAGCTCTCGATGACAGGGGAGAATAGCGCCTCCAATACATGCCCAGGATGAGGCCGGTCACGAGCAACGGCGGACCAGCAAAGAGGATAATGGCATCGCCATATAGAACAATCGCCCAGAAGGCCGACACGAGGAGGAAACTCTGCCATGCATCACCGCTGGTCCAAGTCAACAAACCCACCAATTTATTCAGGGGTAAAATGAACGGGTGCGAGTAGGCCAATGCTCGCGTGACGGGCGGCGGCGTAGCTACCAGCAGCGGAGATTTACGGTGAACGATGATGCTGGAGCGTTGCTTGGATGTCAAGGACGAGCCGGAAATGGTGGTGGGAGAAAAGGCAGCGACCGTCGGAGGCTGAAGGTCCGTTTGGTCCTGCGAGTAAGTTGAGGGTGCCATGGAATCTATCCACGGAATATCGTCTATCAAAGCATGAGCATCCGTATGAGCGAGGGTCCACGGACCTTCCTCTCCGGGGAATTGCAAAGGACTCCCTGCAGAGATGGGACCGAACACGAGGAGGGATGGGGTTGAGAAGTAGGAAGTAGACATACCGAGAGCTGCCATCCAACAGAGACGTCATATGCATCCAGCAAGGTCATCGCGGGCGGTGAGGGGAAAGAGGAGAGAACGAGAAAGAGAGGAAGAGAGGAAGGAGGGAGGGAGGGAGGAGAAAAGAAGGAGCAGCGGAGGAGAGAAACAGGCACAAGAGCTCAAGAACAGCGAAAGACCCGCATGGAAGGCAGCGCGCTCTGATCGTCTGCGGGGAAAAGCAAAATTCACCCAAAAAAGAAGTGAAGCTTTTCTGCTCGGGACATGTGACTGCCCGGCCTGAGGTGTCCAGACAAGGCCCCTAGCGTCGACGGCCTCGGTGCCTCGGTGCCTGGGGCAGGAACGCGGACTAAATCCCGCCGAATTTTTCCATTCTTCCGTTTGTTTCCACCGCCCAAACACCTCCGTCTTCCTCGCCATCTCCACGTCCATCTTTTTCTTTCCGGTCATCGGGATTTTCCCAATTGAATCTTTTCTTTCTTTTTCCTTCGTCGACATGGTAAGTGGTTCCTGCAGAATCTCCGTCAAACAAGTTGACTCCCGAGAAAAGGGACTCGTGCTGATTGATATCCACTGAATAGGCCCATCGCCTCGTTACTCAAGTCGTCGTTACCGGTGCCCGAGTCTTCGGACGAGCCTTTGCCGAGGCCTACAAGCAGGCGTCGGCCGCATCGAAGCATAGCAAAGGCGCCGCGGGCGGAAAGTCGGGGGCCTTCACGTCGTCGGGACTGACGCTGGACGAGGCATGCAAGATCCTCAACGTGAAACCTCCCCAGGGTGAGGCCAACCTGGAGCAGGTGATGGAGCGGTTCAAGAAGCTGTTCGATCTCAACGACCCCCAGAAGGGTGGCAGCTTTTACCTCCAAAGCAAGATTCTCCGGGCCCGTGAGAGGATAGAGATGGAAGTCCGACAAGCCGAGCGCAAGGTGGCCCAAGACAAGGAACTACAAGAGGGCTGGAAGCCCAAGGTGTACAAGGACCGGTGATCTGCTTCCAAGCTATCGATTACAACCCCCCGCGACGTTTTCAGTCCGACTGCGACCCCGGTATCCAGCCGATTTCGAAACTTCAGCGCGCCGAGGGCACACGCCACGGACACTGTGACCTCGCGCATCTCTTGTCCCTCTCGGCATTCTTTATCTGCAGCATAGCATGGCGTTTTTGGTGATTCCAAGATCTAGATTGGCAAGAAGTCTAGATCTCCTTTATTCTTACCCTCTATTATTGCGCCGAAAGACGGATTCGCCGCCTAAGCGACCTCCTTCGATTCCGGCATTTTCTCCGCTCTTACATTCCGAAAGACTAGGATTGGCTCATGTATTATAAATAAATGTTTTGTGTATATTCTGTATACAATGAAGAAGAGAGTTGAAGGCGACGACTAAGACCCTTTAAGAAAAAGCCATTGTTAAGAGCAAGCAAACCCCTTCCGAGCGCAGTTCCGCTCGGCGGCGTTTAGGAGGCAAAAGCCGAAAATTTCCCTTTTTCCACCCCTCACCCCTCGACATCCTCCACCACCACTTCCTCCTCTTCTTTCCCCCTTCCACGACTTCACGACTTCACGAATCTACGATCAAAATGGGCCGTCCTTCCGTTCCTTTGTCGGCCACACTCCCGCCGTTGGTTATGGGCACGGCGACGTTCAATTCGCAATACAACCCGGATCCCTATGCGCTCCCGACGACCGAACTAGTTCATCGGGCCTTTGCCAGCGGCGTGCGCGCCTTCGACACTTCGCCCTACTACGGTCCCGCCGAGGAGCTGCTCGGCCGCGCGCTAGCCACCGACTTCGTGCGCTCGACGTACCCACGCGACTCCTACCGGCTGCTCACCAAGGTCGGCCGCGTCGCCGGCTCGGCCTTTGACTACTCGCCGCGGTGGGTGCGCCAGAGCGTGCGGCGCAGCCTGGCCCGCCTACACACCGAATACCTGGATGCGGTCTACTGCCACGACGTGGAGTTCGTGTCGCCGGCAGAGGTGCTGGCCGCCGTGCGGGAGTTGCGGCGCATCCGCGACGTCGACGGCACCGTGCGCTACGTCGGTATCTCGGGATACCCCGTCGACGTGCTCTGCGACCTGGCGGAGATGATTCTGCGCGAGACCGGCGAGCCCCTCGACGTCGTCATGTCCTACGCCAACTTCACCCTGCAGAACACCCTCCTGCTGTCCCAGGGTCTCCCGCGTCTGCTGGCCGCCGGCGTCGACGTCGTCCCCAATGCGTCGCCGCTGGGCATGGGTCTTCTGCGCCGCACGGGTGTCCCGATCGGCAGCATGGGCGATTTCCACCCGGCGCCGGACGCCTTGCGGACCGTTATCCAGGAGGCTAGCCGCTTCGCCGACTCGCAGGGCGAGAAACTCGAGGTTATCGCCATTCGCTTTGCGCTGGAGTCCTGGCTGCGTGAGGGCAGCAAGGTCGGCGCCCTGGGCCCGCCTCTGGCCCGCTCCCCCGAAGCCGACCCGGGCTTCTTGTCCGTCGTGAACGTGGGCACCGGCGAGCGCCTGGGTGTCAGCGTCATGGGCGTGAGTAATGTCGACGAGCTAAACGAGTCCCTGCGCGTGTGGCGTAGCATCGTCGAGGGACTGGAGAATCAGGACGAGGATGCCGAGGAGGTCCGCAACGCACAGGGTTCGTCGACCCTGGAGCCGACGGCGTCGAACGCCCCGGCCGTCCTGACCCCCTCGGATGGCGTTATCACCGATCGTGCCTGGTCTCGCGATCGCCGAGACCGCATCCTATCCCTTACCCGACAGATCCAGTCCATCCTCGGTCCGGACTGGGTCGATTATACGTGGCTCAGCCCGGGCCCTGATTTCGTCAACTCGCTGCCGGCCGAGCACCTAGCGGCGTTAGAACAGGAAGATGAGCAGGAGCAGCTAATAACGGTTCCCCAGGATGCTCGGGAGCGTACTATAATGACTCCTCCCTTGGATGTATAGTGGACTTGAAGATACCCGCGTACTTTCGTTCGCAGACCTTATTATAGACTTGCGTGATTTTCGAAGTGGGAACTGGACTAATATTGCCTCCTTGACGACAAGGATCAACATCTGACCTCAATTATGTTTGTAAATAGAAAATTTTCTGGGGCCGTTCGATCTACTATTGCTGTGCACCTCTGGTCTCGTTGGATATAGCATTTGTCATCCGATCGAGGAAATAACTAGAGCAGGGGAAGAAGCCACGAATCGACACTGGCCTTCTCACCTATTAGCTGTAAACACTCAGCAACCCTGAATCCGATCCGTAAGCATCCTCTCCAAGCAATCGCATATAGCGCTTCCTTGATGAGAAAGAGGTGGAAAGGAAACTTTCGTAGAAGGGAGAATGAAGACTCGATCGTCCCCATCGGTTTGCCATTCGATTTTGCTTCTAACTTAACTGTCTGTCTGGTTCATTCAACTAGCGAATGCCAGCTAACGGGACGAACATGTGGGGATCCGACATTTTTCTTTCTTATTTTTCGACTGCTTGCTGCGTTTGAAAGAACAGCCACGGCTTCGATGTCATAAATGAACTCGTTCGAGTACCTAGAGAACAGTCAATCGAGGACGAGTCAGGAAAGCACCCAGCTGTCACTCTCATCTTAATACCAAATGCCAATTGACTTCCAACCCGGCGCTGTGTCCTTGTTAGTAAAGGGGAAAGGAAGTGATGGGTCTATGCCCAAGATGAGAATTGATCAGCGGAATAGAAATTGAAATGAAAAGCAGCAAAAAAGCAAGCCAGTTTGCCACAGGCAACATGGCGAAATGCGTAACAAGCGGAAAATGGCTGCAAACCCCAGTAAAGATAGACTCCCGCTCCCCAAAACGTCGCCTTTCCATGAAACAAAAGGGTATCTGATGCGTGACCAAAATATCTAAACACACGGGCATAAATGTTATGGTACAAAGAAACGTCCTCCCGTTTCTCTGGATCATATAATACACGTCGGAACGGTTCAACCGGCAGTGGATGTTGGTGGAAAGCTCAGCTTTCCTCGACCATACCTTAGCCCTGGACTGTCGAGCCAAGTTCCTTCTCCTTGAGTGTAAGGTCTTTGTCCATTTCAGACTGGGTTTTGTAGCCACCAATTTCCATAGCCCGCGCGTTGCTGATGGAGCTCGGGATGGAAGAGATATCCGGTCGCAATCGCCGGAGACGAGTAGCTCGCTCGCGCGACGCTTGCTGCTTTCTTTGCATCTTCGTCTGCTTCTCCTTAGGTTCCTGCGAGGGCCGTGTAGAGGGCGGGGAGTTCGAAGGCAAAGGAGGTGGCGGAGGGGGGGACGCTTGCGGAGGTGGAGGTGGCGTGGGAGGCTGATGATATTGAGCAAACCGAGGGTTCGTCTGGAAGATCTCACGCAGCTGCCATCTTTGCTCGGTATACTCATCATAATTTGCAGCAATAATGGTCTCCAAAATGCTGCACCGGGTCTGTCCTGACAAGGCGCTTGAGATCATGCGTTCTTTGAGAACTCGGTATGCCTCGGAGAATGACTTGAAGATGAGGGCAATCTCCCTGGTTCCACCGGAAATATCATTGTCCGCATTGTTTGGATCTTCAATAGAAAGACGGTCGTTGTTTCCCTTGACCTGGTATACTCTCTGCAGAATGAACCGTCAGCTGATGAAATGCATTTGATATTGACGAGGCGGGTGCTACTAACCTTGTTGAAATAGCCAGGCGGTTCCATGCGGATCCCAACCGTTTCATAATCAAACCTGTTTCCATAGAATTCAAAGAAATCCATGAGGATACTGCCCAAGTTAGGCGCGGCGTGACCATGGGGCAAGTGCTGTAGAAGGCTTGTCACGAGACAGATGATCGAAAAACCTCCTAGACCGCCGGTTGGGACTTCATTGAGACCGCGAAGGAGCAGGAATTGCTTAATCACGGCGACAATGACCGGAATGGCAGGGTATTCTGATTTCCACTGCTGAAAGGTGTTGTTGGCCACGAGTCCGCTGTCGTTATCGAAAGACAGGTCGACCCTCAACCCCGTCATTTTATCGACGAACTTCAGGATAGGAACCCGCGCATGTGCGATGGTCTCGATTGAACCGGGAACCGCGATGTCCAAGTTTTTGAGGAAAGCAGAGAAAGCGTAAATTTGGCCTTTCCGTTCGCCAAACGTTTTAACTCCGGTACGCATGAAGTTAGTCGAGAGCATAACAAGATCTATATCAGCGGTGGGCAGGTAGAGTCCGGAAGCAAACGAGCCAAAGGCACGAAGCTGCACGCCGTAATACCGATTCTGGAACGCGGATTGGAGTCTCGACACCAGATCGGCCCGAACAATTTGCTCATACTGAAGAGGCTTAACCCAATGATAGAAGCTGAGGATCTCATTGTGCAGCCTGTAATTACGGTCAGAATGAGTCCACCATGTTACGCCCCAAGATTCTGTTTGAAAACTCACCTTGAGCTCAGATGCAATGAAGCCTCCGTCTGGCTGAACCACGGCGTCCCTGATTCGGTGGGACGTCGTTTCCACTCGTCGATGATTGACGCATCAGAGTAATATCTGCTCAAAGGCTTGCCTGTCTTCTTAGAGAGCCCCTTCATCTCATCGTCGTATGTTCTCTTCCGGTTTCCAACCGCAGATTCCCCTTGGCTCCTTGGACCCGAAGGTGCACCTTCTGGAGGCTTGTATTTGGCTTTCTCCTCGTCGACCAAGCCGCCAAACGAGATGAAGTCTTCATTATCCTTGACCGCATCCGTTTGCGCCGGCTTCTGAGCATTCGCCGCAATGCGGGCCTTGCGGATCAACTTGACCACGTCCACCCTTTTAGCTTGACTCTCATCCGGCGGCGGTAAAACGGTGTACGGATCTGGATTTGACCACTTGGGGGCGGGGGGCGCTGCAGGTGCCGAGGCAGGTTTGCTGTCGGACCCCAGCGCGCGCTTCTTGCGAGGGCGGGAGGCCTCGTCGTTGTCTGAAGAGGAGACATCCATGTCGGCTTCTTCGCTGTCACTGAGGTTTTCGATGGGCGCGAATTTCATTGCCGGTTGCTCGTCGTTCGTGGTATGGGCGACGAGCTGCTCGGGGGTGGTTTCTCGCTTGTTTCGTAGGAGCGGCCGTTCCGATGTGGAGGGTCGCGAGTAGCGGAAAGTGAATTCATGTCGGGGGTGATGTGACCGTCGGTCATGATTCCCTCGAAACTCAAATGCTGGCGGTGGCATGTTGTTAGGGTGAATAGGGAGAAACCAACAGGCGCCACGCGTGAAGAAGGCGATGATGTCGCTAAAACTGTATCCACAATGTAGTGGGAAAGACGCGATGGCCTTTCTATCTACTTTTTTTTTGGGCGGTGGAGTGGGTAGAACCTACTTATGGCAGGCGGTCAATTTGCACCCACGCGGTCTACTGCACGTTCGGATGGCCTGACCGCCAACCCGACCGCCAACACTGACACTGTGTTTGATGCTACTGTCGTTTGTGATGAGTGCCAACACTTGTGTTTTCCAATTCACTAGAATCTGGGCTACTTGACTAGTGACTTAGGAGCTATTATGGGCTCATGCCTGCCCTATTCTCAAACTTTCAATCCCTCCTCCAGCTGGTGAATCAACTTTGAATCCACGGCCATTTCCGAGAAGCTGACTCGGCCAGTATGCCATTCAAGCCAGTCTTCAGCTCGAGCACCACTTTTCGCTTGCAACAGACCGACACTCACATCGATTAGTAGAGGCCGCGCTTCGCAGTGCCAGAAAACAGTTGCACCGCAACGGCCACAGAACTTTCGGTAAACCCCCGGCGAGCTCTCATATTGCCTCATGGTACCAAAGCCAAATGACAGCACAGTACCGTCCGCATTTTGGAGGTTTGATAAGGGTATGAAAGCCCATGCCTGGATTGGAAACCCGCTCGCCAAACGGCACGATCGACAGGCACAAGTCCCAGCCAGATATCTTTTGCCTTCGTCTCGCAACCACCATTTCACATCCTCGGTATTTGCGGATGAACCTGAATAGTAGGGAACCAGCAGGTCAGGCCAGGGGGAAGACGCGTCGGTCGAGCTGGGATCCGGCGATGTGACGTAGAATTCAATGCCCCCACAGTGACACCCAGCTGGCAACCGGCGGTCATTCTCAGTCCATTCCTCGATCTTTCTCCTTTCCTCCCAGCCTTGTTGGCAGTGTGTATCTGCGTGCAGATAACAGCCGGGGCTGGTAACTTCTGTTTCGGCGTCAAGGAAGGAGCTCATGCCACCGTCCCGAGTGTCTTGCACCTGCCGATGTCGTATCGATTGGAACGAGGGTGGATGTTCCTCCCATAGTCCCGCAGCGACATAATACTGCTCCGTGTGTTTTTGACGGGCGAAGACATGGGCACCGCAAGTTTTACAAAAGTAGCGGCTTATACAGGGTGATTCGTGGTATTCGCCAAGGGAATCTAGGTTTGCCGGCCGCATGTGCAGGTTATAATATGAAGAACACAACTGCCCGGTGACGGCGCGACAAGTGGTGCAGTGACAGAGCTCGAGAGTCGACAGGCCTGACGACGGTCCCAGCACGACCTCCTGCGTGACCTCCTTGCACAAGCAAGAGATGCGACCGGCCATTTGACAATATCTACCCTACCGTTCTTGAGATCGACTCACTTGATCGGAGGTAGATCTGTGAAGAGTAATGTGTCACACTTCGTAGTTGACTGTTGATTTGTATGGGATACTCCACAAGAACGTAAGTAGTATTCTACGCGAGGGTCAGCAGGGAAGAACTAGACTGACATCAGGTCGGCAATATTTGGGACAATGTATTGAATCCGGTGGCGATGAACGTTTGGTCCAGCGAGGAGAGAAACTGTTCAAGATAGCGATACCCTTCAATCTTAGGGGTATCTTCTCCCCGGGCACAAGACGGGCTGTTTATTGACCTGGCGGGTCGATGGAGTGCCAAGATCAGGCCACCAGGATTCCTCGTGCGTCCTCCGGTGCATGCAGTATTATTCGAATGCACGTTGAGCTGCTTCTTTTGGAATTGCTCGCAGATTCCAAGGATACTCAGATGGGGATCGACCAAACCGAAGGTGTTGGCCACTGTAGCGCGAAACTATCAGGACTTCTGCACATCCGACCACAGCATCAGGGTTATTCTGTGGCAGAGCAAGTCCTTGAAAGTTCGAACCAGCGAAAATGAAATCATCATGGAGGGCTCAGCCATGCAGCACATGGCTCTCCAAGAGGCCAAAGCACAAAGCGCGCGATTCGTTCCACTTGGACACTAATTATGAAGCTAGAGCAGCTGAAAGGTCCATTTGACGGACAGCATGGCCATTCAGAGGGCGCGGCGGGAAGTCTGGTTGCAGAAATCTGCTCATACTAACATAATTATTATGATAATAAGAATAACAAGACTGGGGGCGTGCGAGAAGGCGAAGGCAGGCAAAGGGAAAGAGAGAGGGAAGGTGAAACAGCTAGCGTGGTGTATAAATACCCCGCCCTGTCACTTTCTTTCCGTCGACTCAAATCACCTCCAACTACCTCCATCCATCCCTAACGTTTCTTGATTCCTGCAATCTCGCTTCACTCTCATCATCATGGGTAAGTGGCTACTCCTTTGCTTGTTTGTCCCTCGACCCTTGCCTCGCCATCTATAGAGACAGACAACTATACATAGGCTTTGTTTGTCCTGATCCTGGGTGGGGTCGGATGGCGGGGTATTTCTGGTTCATGAGAATCGCTCTTCCTGATGGCCCAGGAATTTTGCACGAATAAATAGTCACTAGTTCTGACCGTATATTCAAGGTTCCGATCACACTTGCAGCTGTGGCTCCTCTTGCCAGTGCCCTGCCGGACAATGCCAGTGCCCCGTACGTCTTGAACTGTTGACCTTTTCACCTCGCGTGGGTGGTTTGTTTCCCCAACTAACTAGAACTCGTTCCGCCTCGTCTAGAAATAAACTCAACGCGATGGCTTAGCTCGTCGGATTAGGGGAGGAACATGGCATAAACATTATACCAGGCAGTGGTGAGGGGATGAGATACCGAGGGAAATGGGATGCCAGTGGAGGACATGACTTGGCGGCCACTTAGATAGAGCCAATAGCACGAAGCTGACGTTGACAACACCGACAACTGTTTATCCCGCCGTACGGAGTAAAGGTAAAGCTGCTTAACGAGAAAGATAATAACAACGATTACCGTCGTGCCGATCGACCACCGACCATATGACGGAGGGGCCCCAGTGGTGAGATGTTGATCGAGTACGCATCAGTAATAGCCATTTCAAATCGAATTGGGCAGATAACCCGAGCTTTAACTTTTCCCAGTTCCACCTTGGGCCTTTGGCTTTCGATTCTTTTCTTTTTGCTTGCTTTTCCTCGCGGCTCTCGCGGGTGGACCGGAGTGCTGTCCTCCAATTCCTCCCAGCCCTAGCAGTGCGTCTTTTTCCCCCTCCCTCGTCATCGTATCCTCCTGAATAGATTTCTTCCGGTTTCATGTTCTGCCGATGAAAGGAAGACCTTTGCGTACGGTGTAACGCCCAAAGCCAAGTCCACGCAGTCGTTCTGCAGCCGGCTCTAGAAGGGAAAAGATTGTTGTTCGGAGGGAATCATCGCGACGATGACGGGGCTCCAATCGCCCCCTGATAAGATGGGATCTTGCATGGTCATTTTCAGTTAATTAGTGGTCTCCGGTAGTATGGATGCTGCATGTCGTCATCTGCATGGGTAAGCAAACTTAGGCAATACATCGGAAGCTTCATGGATATGCGATATTCGGGGAGACTATCAAACAACGGAGACCAGTGAGCCAGTCAACTTAGCCTGATCATGGGCAGCCTCACTTTCTATTCCCCCTCTCTCGTCCCTTCTCCACTTGTCCTTTCATTCTCCAACGTGTCTCCAAGGGCAGAGGTTCCCTTTGGACCACCACGTCTGGATCGACGTGGGCCGACATCCACGCAGCTACGAAGGAAACGGAAAAAGAAAAACAAAGGGGCCGCAATCAAGAGGGGAAGGACAGGGAAGATGCAAACTGTTGGCTGTGAATGGTCAACTGCACCCATCCTAACGAGGGAAAAAGAAAAAGAAAAAGGGAAAAAAAGGAAAGCAACACTCCACTCGCATCCCCCTCCTTTGCTCGTGGGCTGATTGTGATCACCAGACAGTGGCGGATGATCGGAGATGGTCCCTCGTCCATTCGTACTTCCTTGTAAACACCGACTTCATAGATTAGTTACGCAGCCTGGGCCTATAAAGACCCTCACTGACCCCTCCTCCCTCTCGCATTCTCTTACTCTTTCAAGCGCCACAATCTTTTTTGTCTCTCACTCTCCCTTAACTACAAAAACTATACCTATTTTCCACAAAGGAACGCCCGTTCGTCCCATCCTCCCAGCCAACATGTCTCCCTGCACGTGCAACTGCTGCTCCGGCGAGTGCAACTCCTGCTCCTGCAGCAGCTGCAAGGTAAGCCAGCCAGCGTGCAACGTTCCATGTTACCTCGAGTGATTGATCTGGATCATGGCAACTGACCTACCTCCCAGCACTAAATGAATCCATCCTCTCTCTCTCTCGGTTGGAGCTTGCATGGTGGGATCGCGCGTTGCTTGTGATGTCTGATCTTTTTGGATTTGTGTGATCAAGTGGTGGTGCATTCCTTTTATCTATTTTGGATTCTTGTGGATATAATGCTTATATGATGAAATACCGTGGCACCAGATTGCCAGATTGAATTTACAAGTTTTGAGATTTGATGACCATCCAACGGTGTCAGTTACATCGCGCGTAGCTGCGTAACCTGAGTGGATTTCAGTGCAGTAGCGGCGTGCATGCTGGGAATCAGACTGCATGTAGAAAGGGGAACTTGGATTTCAGATAAGCACGCTGCAGGATACAATGCAGAAAAGTGAAGGGGAAAAAAAAGTCTTGCTATACGGTTTGTGCGCTATGACAAAAAGGCGTTCCAAATGCATCTCGAAGTATATTCAACATGAACCGTACGCTCGGCTCTCCTGTCGTCTTCCTCATAGCTCATCCTTGGCTCGTGGAGCCTCGTTGTTTCCCTCCTCGCCTCCGGGACAGACGGCCGGGGTGGTGACAAGCATGGAATAGACGCACTTCTCATCCTCGGCGATCTTCAGGATCTCATTCTCCTCCCCACATTCCAAGATGACGGTGGTGGACCGTGCCGGGCCATTCCAGCAGGCTTGTCCGTTGGTATACTCGAGGGAGACCCTGTCCTGAGCCACGATGTCGCCCGACTCGGTGAGTTCATCGACGGCAACGGTGCCGATGCGAACGAATCGCCCCATGCGCAATGACGAGCCGCCCTTCTTCGAGTTCTGCTTCGTCTGGTCCAGGAAGCAGTGCTCGTACGTGTACTCGCCCGCGTCCTTGGAAATGCAGACCCCCTTGAGGGCACGGAAGATGGAGGCTGTACCGTAGTCCGTGTCCAGGTCGGCCTGGTGGTCCTTGATCTTGGATTGCAAATCTTCAACGGTTTTCTGGGCGGCATTGAAGGCGTCACGAGCCTCCGCCACGGCTTTGGACTCGGAGGCGGAGCCCTCGGGTCCCTTGGCCACGATGCCGTTTTCTTGGAGGTAACTTCGGATGGCAGTCACCTTGTCCTCCACGAAGCTAACGACAGAAGGTGGGAGGTAGGCAGCGAGCTTGTAGACTAGAAGTTCTGGTTAGTTTCGACTCTTCCTGATCAGAACGATCATACCTACTAGTATCGACTTCACACGCATCATCCTCGTTCTCCCAGTGCTCCCAGTTAATACCAGACTGGTCATCGTCGGGCTTCGCGATCTCATCCAGATCTCGTTCCCGAGCGCCATTCTCAAGGCTCTCCGACGTGCCGCGGACGGCGTAGTCTTCCCAGCTCCGCACAGCGCGCTTGACACCCTCGTCATTGAAGTTGGGGTTATATTCGACCTTGAACTTGGAGAGAATCTCCTCAAGTTCCTTTACTCGGGAACGAGTCTCATCCCTCTCCTTGCGGACTTCACCCAGGGCATTGCGGAGTTCCTCGACGCGGCCTTTCGCCAGCTCAGCCAGCACATTCACCTTGCCCGTCTTTTTGCCCTTAACCACCTTGCTGCGTTCCTCGGTCTCGATCCTCTCCAGATCCGCCTCCAGGTTCTTGACCTTGATCTCCTCGCCCTGAAGCTCGGCCTCGAGGATTTTGATCGCATCCTCGACCTCTTTCTGTTGCCGGCCAGCGTCCACCAGAAGATCTCGCTTCTTCTTTAACGCGGCGGTCATAGATTTCTGGCGCTGCTCGTCCTTCTTCCGCCACGCCTTGCCAATCTCCTTGCACCGGTCTTCGCACTTGGTGCCGCCAACGCGGGCCCACTCGTCACTGCCATCGCAGCACTGCTCATAGTCACAGATGCCATCATTGACTCGTTGGAAGGGGACGTAGGAGGGCTTGTGGCCCTTGTTCTTGCAGTAGAATCCCGGCAGAGATAACGTGAGCTCCAGCTCACTGTTTCCAGGGCGATCAGCGACCGTCAGCACGGTGTTCCGGGACAGGTGAGAACAGGCAGAGGTTCCCGGCTCGTCACTTCCGTCCGGACAGTCGCAGAAGTCGTCGTTCACTGACGAAAAGGGGATCTGGATGGCCGGTTGAGAGATACAATTGAAAGTAGTGGTGTCCTTGTAGAACTTCGCGACTAGTTAATTCGTAAGAGCTGCGTTAGCCTTCCAATTCCCAGATGAGGGCAAATAAGACAAAAGCGAGACCGAATCTCAGCGCCATAGTGTACATGACATCCGATCGTACAGAAATGAAACTAAATCGCATTCAACAACTTCTATACTCACATTCCGGGCCGACTCCTCGGGGTCGTGTCGAGCCGTCGCTCGCAGCAGCCACGGCGGTCGAACAGGCGACCAAGCCCGCAAAGAAGAGTGATCCCTGCGGAAGTATCATGATGGTAGCATTGAGCTTGCTGGTCAATGCAGTCCTCACCAAACAACACACACAACGTGTAACTAGAAATGCGGAGAGAGCTTCTGGCCAGCTGGTTGATAGCCGGGATCTAATCTGGGGGGGAAATGAGCCTTAGTCAGCCCGCCTTATCGTCCTCATCCACTTCTCTCTCTTCCAGTGGCGAAGACCGTCGAGTCCACTTCGACGACGTTGCGCATTATATTTTTGACAAGGGTTCGGTCTGCAGAGCAAATCATGGGTAACGACGGAGGAAGGTAAGATTCCCCGCACTGATAATTCCCTATATTCTGGTCTCGGTACACTAACAGAACCCATCTATCCAACAGTATCCCCACCCGCCGCGAGCTTGTCAAAGAAGCCGCCCGGGCTCCCAGCACGGCGCAAGTGAAAGAAGCCCAGCGCGAAGTCCAGGAGCATTTTTGGACGACCTGTCCGCTATCGCATAAGCTCCTCATCCGACCGATCGTCTCAGACTCCGCCGGGAACCTCTACAACAAAGATGCCATCCTACGATTCCTCCTGCCCAGCGACGAAACCGACGGCATCAGCTCCAAGGCCGATTGCGAGGAGATCCTCGGTGGTCGCGTGAAGGGCTTGAGAGACGTTGTCGAGCTACATTTTGAAGTCGACACCGAGCGCGAGGGTCACCCGTCGTCGAAGAAGCATGAGAAACGCGAAGGATGGATCTGCCCGGTCACAGCGAAGCAGCTGGGCCCAAACGTGAAATCGGTTTACCTTGTTCCGTGCGGCCATGTATTCTCCGAGGAGGCGATTAGACAGATCAAAGATGATAAGTGTCTACAGGTAAGTTTAATTCCGTTCTTGCGGCGATTGCGCCGGACCTCTGACTCTGATTTGCTTTCAAATAGTGTAACGAACCCTACACGGAAGAGAACGTCATCCCGATCCTGCCGACCAAAGAATCAGATAAACAGAACCTACTAGCTCGGTCGCAGAAGCTCTCCGAGCAAGGTCTCACCCATTCCCTCAAAAAGGCCCCCGGCGCCAAAAAGCGGAAGAAGCATGCCGGCAATGGCGACGCCGCCGAAGACGGTTCCCAATCCAAGAAAGCGCAAAGCACGGCGACGAGTCGCAGTAACACATCAACGCCAACGCCTAGTGCCCCGAACGGTATCAAGCACGCAGCCACGGCGATGCTGACCGCGCGTGTCCTCGAAGAGGAAAACGAAAAGAAAAAGCGAAGAAAGATGATGGGTATGAATGAGAATCTGAGTAGCCTTTTTACGAAGGATTCTAAGGACGGGACATCGAAGAATGGGGACTTTATGACGAGAGGGTTTACGCTTCCTACGGCGGGCAAAAAGTGATTCATGATTTTATTTGTAATGCATCATAGGCGTCTGGGGTAGACATCGGCTACTGGCCTTGCTTTGTTTTTATCTGGTGACATGGTATTCGCGAAAAGCTACTAAATTTCATGCTAGGAGATAAACTCAAATTAAAATATCAGTAAGATCTGTATATAATGCGACATGTCAGTGACCTGATGGATTGGCATTTCTATAGTACAAAAATAGTCTCTCAAAACATGCTACAAGAACTATAAAACAAACAGAGCTCTCCAGGCAGCCTCTTCAGGCAGAAAAAAGAGACTTAAATAAGTCCCCTCTCGTAGAGCTCATGGGTAATCAGCTTCTTCCGACCCAACTCCTGATCCCGGTCACATCGCTTCTGTCTCTTCGCGAAAACCTTGACATTGGGTAGGGTCTGGACACGATGGCTACCCGCAAGATGCTCAGCCACCTTTGTGGGCTTCGGGTTCAGCGCCTTCTGGAGGTGTCGCAGGACTTCCTTCACCGACGAGATGGAATGAACAGTGGGGTCTGAGAAGTAGTGGCCGCTCAGCTGGGAGAATCGCTTCAGGAACTGTGAACAAGTTAGTTAACATAGATCCCCAAGTGAGAATGTTATAGAAAGGGCAACTAACAGCAAACTTGGTCATGGGGTCATTCAAAGACAACTCCAAGTAGCCCTTGTTTTTCAAATGACCATAGTTCCAAAAAGGCGGGTTTCGTCTCCGCGATGTCGGTCCTTGAGAAACACCCTCCTCAACTTCCGTGGCCTCCTCGGCCTCAGCAGATTCCTGCTCCACGGCGGCAGCCTCGGTCTGGCCTCCAAGCTGTTGGAAGATGTACTCGAGAGCGTTCTGTGTCTCCTGGTCGGGGTAGACCAGGGCTTCCTTCAATTGGCCGGTTTCAGTCGACTTGATCTCGCACTTTCTGATCAACTCGTAAACGGACTTTTCGTGCTCAAAAACTTCGCAAATGTTTGTCAACGGCTTGTTCAACGAGTGCAGCACGCAAATCTCAACCGCGGCCTGCTGGGCGGCCAGATTCAGGTGAAGCTTCCGGGTGAGTTTCTTCTTGACCATGAATCTACCAATTCCATTAGTACGGACGTAAGTGGGAAAAGAACCATCAATCTTAAGCGTCACATCCAGAATGCCTATATCAAGCGCATGGCTTGACAAAACCACCTCCGCGGGAGGCCAAACGGCAGACAGAAGGAAAAATTCATGGAAACCAAAAACTTACGAGTCATAGCCATCAGCCTCCGAAGGAGGAAGATCTGTCCATTCGCCCAAATGTCCAATATGAGGGATTCCTTCCCACGTAGTAGCCGGCTCGTATGCGTCTCCAGCGGCGGCGTCCTCGACAGCTTCACTGGCCTGGGGGTTGGTCTCGGCGACCGAATCGTTCTGTCCCTCGGGCTGGGACTTCTTGAACTTCCGCTCGAGGACTCCCTCGCCTCCATACGGATCCTTCAGACCGGGCGGGTTGTCCGTACCCCAGAGCTTCCGGCGCACTCGCTCGGTGAGGGGGGTGTTGTAGGACGACGCATTGCGCAGGAATTGACGGGCGACCAATGGGCGAGGGAGGGCTTCGTGTCTGCACACGGAGCAGACATAACGGGTGCGAGAGCCCTGGAGGGACGGAACCTCCAGGTTCAACAGGCGCAATGAGGCTCGCATGGCGGTGTTGGGACCAATTGGTGAGGACTTGCCGACTGTTCGAAAAGTTTACAGGGCCGGTTCGGAGAGAGCGTGTTTGCATTGTCCACGTGACCGGACTTTGGGCTTGGCGGCCTCAGGCCACAACGAACGACTCGGTATTGGAATTTGTCATTTTTGCAATCTAGCCCTCTTTGTTTTAATTTCTATTTTATTCATTTCTTTTTATCTCTTTCTTTATCTTGAAAACTTATTCTTCAAATGATACATAAGTTGTATAGTATTTACGCTGATATCATGATAACGGGCTCGAATCGTAAGAAAACCACTATGTACACAAATACTTCAATCAAACCCAATAGGTAGCTGCTTTTACTCCCGAACGAACATGCCGGCCATTCCCATACCGGTTCCAATACACATGCTCACGACACCAACTTCCTGGCCGGTGCGCTCCATTTCCGGCAGGAGAGTTGCCACCTGTCGGGCACCGGTGGCACCAAGAGGGTGGCCGATGGCGATGGCACCACCCTTAGGGTTAACCTTCGCCTCGTCAATGCCCAGCTTGCGGGTGCAGTAGAGGGCCTGGGAGGCGAAGGCCTCGTTGATCTCCCAGATTCCAACGTCGGAGACGTTCACGTCCAGGAGCTGCAGAAGCTTGGGGATGGCGACGGCGGGCCCGACGCCCATCTCGTCAGGCGCACAGCCAGCAACGGCCGTACCGACCCAGCGGCCCTTGATCGAGGAAGTCAAGCCCAGTTCCGTGGCGGTAGAGCGGCGCATAAGAAGAGTAGCAGCGGCTCCGTCGCTGACCTGCGAGCTGTTTCCGGCGGTGCTGGATCCCGTCGCGGAGAAGGCGGGCTTCAAGCTGGCCATCTTCTCGACGGAGATGTTGGGGCGGATGCCGTCGTCCTTCGCGACGGTGATTTCCTTCGGGGCAGCATCGGGGTTCTCGGGGTCGAAGGAAAGCGTCTTCACGGGGACGATTTCGGGATCGAACAGGCCGGCGTTCTGTGCGTCCGTGGCCTTCTTGTGGGATGCGGCGGCGAAGGCATCCTGGTCGGCTCGGGAGATGCCATACCGAGAAGCAACGTTCTCAGAGGTGATTCCCATGGGCATGATACAATCCCGAGCATCCTGGGAGTGCGACTCCTTCAATTCGGGCCAGAGCACGGTAGGGATGGCGCGCGAGCCGTAGTTCCGCGTCATGGACTCCATTCCTCCTCCGACACCGACGTTGATCGCCCCCGCACGGATGCCATTGGCGACGGAGGTGATGGCGGCCAAACCGGACGAACATTGTCGGTTGATCGTGTGGAAGGGGACCGAGTGAGGGAATCCGGCGTGGATCTGGGCCATGCGACCTGCTTTCGCACCGCCCAATTCTTGGAGCACGGAGCCAATCGCAACGTCGTCGATCAAAGCCGGGTCTAGTTGCGGGTTCGCCTCGAGAGTGGCCCGGAGCACGTTGGCGAGGAGCTCTTCGGGGTAGGCATCCTTGAAACCGCCCTTCTTCGCACGAGTGACAGGAGTCCGAAGGGAAGAGAGGATCACGATGTCCGAGGGGGACTTCTGGAGGACCTGGCGGAGGCCTCGGGGGATTGGAGAAGCCATAGTTGACGGAGTGTAGGAGAACGTTCTGAACACGGAGAGTTGTGCAGCGGAGAAAACGGGGCACAGTCACATTAAATATCCGTCACCAATTTTAAGGGGAAAAAGCGCCTCCGAACAGAATTCCGGGGCTCGGGATCCATCGAGGGTGGACGGAGCCATTGAAGCTGCCATCCAAACTGCCGGCAATGAAGATCGGCTAAGGGCTCTGCCGCCGAAGAAAAGGGTTGGGGAAAGCAATCCGAGTGTGGAGAAGATTTGGCAATCTTATCGCCAGGAAGTGACGGACCGCGGCTGTACTTGTAGTCAAGGGGGAACTGTTATTATACTTTTGATGCTTGAATGTCTTTCTCAGACTGTTATTCTTTCATTGTCTCAGCTTCCATTCGAGCTCTCATGAGTATTTCATTGTGTAAACATTGTGACAAGGAAGTAGAAAGTGAAAGATCTCCAATTCCGCCGGTCGGATGCGGGTGATTATGTCAGCACCGTCGGAAAGGCAGGTCGGAAGATAGGATTTCCAGGTGGACACCAGACAAGACTTTGGTTGCCACTAACGACAAACACGTGGGAATCCCGAATCGTACATAATTAGCTAGTGTTAGTAGCTATATATACAGGTTCCACTAGCTAGTAGTAGCTCCATATTGAAGATATTGCGAAGGAAATGTGGGAAAATAATCAAACAGGTAAAACCATCCCAAACGCCTAAAACCACTACCACGAGCATAAGGTTGGTAGTATTGGTGCATGACTCCTAGTGCCGTAGCTATTCATAAACTGGGGGAGAAAAAGAGGAAGGGGGGTATAGGGTATCAAGTGTCTGTGGTTGGTTGAGTGATGCGTGATCAATGTCGTTAAAGAACTGAAAGCGGACCGAATCATGAGCGGATTATATGGCTGTAATGCCCCGGGACTTTTTGATGGCATTTCTCGCAATCTGCACGGAATCCCATGGAAAGGGTGGCCTTCTTGTTACGGGGCTTTGCAACAGGGTTAGGCCGCGGATGCAGATGGGCAGATGACTGCCATAAACTAGCTCTATCAGCGGGAGGCGAAGACGCAGTGTGAGATATACTGCAGGCCATGTCGACATCGCTAACTGAATTCATGCTGCTCAGAAGGCCATCTTCCGATTCACTGACTGGGCTTGGAAGACGCTGGTCCTGCCACGATGCAGGGTCCTGTACCTTCTCGGGGTTTGGTTCATGATGGTATGCGGGGTTTAGAGAGTCCCGCTCGCCCATATTCATGTCATGTCGCTCGGTGATGGTGAGCGACTGGTTCACCAGACTGTTGGGTATTGGCGAGGGTTGAATGGCGCCATTGTGGTTTGCGGTGACTGCCCATACCGAGGGGAAAGTATCTCCTCCGCTATCGATCTCCATTCCCGTTCTTAGCGTATGCGACTGCGAGGTTGACCGAGGAAGTCGGTCCGTGAGATTACACTCCTGGCATCCAGCATCATTATCGTCGTCGTCATCGGAAGACTCGACGGGGGTTATGGTGGATAAGCCGGTTCTAGAAGCAATGTGGTGGGTTTCGATGAAGGAGGGCTTCTGGGATGCATTGGGGGAGGCACGTAAAGGCAGAGGGCAGAGTTTCTAGATTTCGAGGGTCAGCGACAGACGGGAGAAAACACAGGGCACAAGGTTGGTGAGGCGGACCTTTCTCTCATGGCATGCATTGCTGTCGACATCAGCTAGCTCCCCGTGTTCCCTCTGGCGTTTGGACGAAAACCCAAACATGACCCTAAAGGGGCAAGTTGACGAGGTAGCACTGGGTACGAGGAGCAGATCGATAGAGGATCTGAGCTATCAACAATGCATGAGGTTGCACTCCGGTATAGTTTAGTGCAATGTGCTTCGAGACCGATTCAGCGGACGAATGCGAGGGGGAGGGGGAACGGAAGGGCGTCGGAGTAGCTGGGCAAAGGAGAGGGTAAGATGGGCATTGGTGGGTACGAATGCCGCTAATGCCAGTGGCAGAGGATCCCTCGCAGATGAGAGACGTGGAGCCGGGAGACAGGCAGGTTGAGTTTTGGGCTCACCTCATTCACTAGGGATGGGAGGAAGTACTAGGAAGTAGCTTTGAGGTCGATTGTCGGTAGAGGCGACCGACCGCCAAGCCGAGGTTTGTCAGGGTCGGCGGTGGCTCTAGCAAGGAAGAGGTTAGCGCAATGGGCGGACACCATGTGGGTGAGGATGATCAATTGATCAGTCGGATCTATCAGTCTGTAGCAGGGACACTTGGTCCATGCCAGATCTTCAAGGGATTTAGTGCGTCGGTCTGTTTCTTGGATAGATATTGTATATAGTCCTAGAAATATTTCTATATATATCTCCATGAATGTGTAGATAGTACGGAGTATACTTCGGAGTACTATGAATGGAATCATGCATGGACATAACTGGACTGCGAGGGCTGAGCGGTGAGAGTCGTCCAGCCAGCCAGCCTTCTGCGGGCTGCAATGCTTCATTTTTGGAATCAGAATTATTCCATTCCAAGCGGTGGTTGCGGTGACGTATCAATACCGCATCTGGAAGTATGTGTGTATACCACGCAGGGAAGGAGACATACCGCACCTGCCCTGGTTGGGTTGTCCACACCGACGGAAGGTCATCCTCCCAGGTACATTCTAGGTACATCCTCCCTAACTACTCCTACTACCTCCCACTACGACTCAAGTGCTCAGGCACATTCCAGATTCCCTCGGAGAACGGAGTAAAGGAGTCACCTACTAATCCTCCACTGTTAGTGGCCAACCTAAATTTTTTTTGTGTGCGCCGACTAGTCATTGGCCATCGCCCCACCTGACATGCAATTTTACCAAGTCGATCACCGTTTGGCGCCCGTACCGAAAATGGTCCAGCTCTCTTTTCTTTCCCTCTTCGCTCTGCCAGGGATTGAGGCATTCTTCGTCGTATAAGAACACTTCGTCTGCGTCCTTTCTCCGACGTCTCTCTTGGTTCTTCCTCCCTCGGATCCGTGCCAAAATCTTCTAGTTCACCACCCCTCCTGCCTTGACTATATTTTTAAACTGTCCTACTTTTGCATCATGCCCCTCATCAAAACGACGGAGATTAACGAGGACACTCGCGGTGAGTCACCATCGATTTCTTCAGTCCTGACTGCTTCGGAAGCATCATGCTAATTGAGATTCCTCTTGCATAGTCCTCGGATACGATCCCTTGCTGTCCCCCCAGTTCCTTCAGACCGAAATCCCCGCTGTGAGTCACTCCCCTCCGACGACCGATGTATACAGACGCGAAGACTCTTTCCATCCGTCTCCCATTGGAGTAGCCTTTCTTATCCTGTCTTACCATCGTTTCCCTCTTCTATACTTCCTGTGTACTAATTAAATTGAACCCTAGCCCGACCATGCCATTGCCGCCGTCCGATCCGGCCGCAACCAGGCCATAGAGATCATCGAGCAACGGGATGACCGTCTCCTGGTGGTCGTCGGTCCCTGCTCTATTCACGACCCTGCCACGGCCTTGGATTACGCAGCTCGCCTGAAGGAGCTCTCCACGAGACTGTCCTCCGACCTCTGTGTCATCATGCGCGCCTACCTGGAGAAGCCCCGCACCACGGTGGGATGGAAGGGCTTGATCAACGATCCGGATCTTGACGAGTCCTACAACATCAACAAGGGACTTCGTGTCTCCCGTCAGCTGTATGCCGATCTCACCAGCATGGAGATCCCCATTGCAAGTGAGATGCTGGATACCATCTCCCCCCAGTACCTTGCCGATCTCATTTCGCTCGGTGCCATCGGTGCCCGTACGACCGAGTCGCAACTCCATCGTGAGCTGGCCTCCGGTCTGAGTTTCCCCATCGGCTACAAGAACGGTACCGACGGAAACCTGACCGTTTCGATCGATGCCATCGGCGCCGCCGCTCACCCCCACCGCTTCCTCGGTGTGACCAAGCAGGGTCTTGCCGCCATCACCAAGACTTCGGGCAATGAGCACGGCTTTGTGATCCTGCGTGGAGGTAGCAAGGGTACCAACTACGACCGCGAAAGCATTCGTGGTGCCCGGGAGGCCTTGCGCGCCAAGAAGCAGCGCGAGGTGCTCATGGTGGACTGCTCGCACGGTAACTCGAACAAGAACCACCGTAACCAGCCCCTGGTCGCCAAGGAGGTTGGTGACCAGCTTCGTGAAGGCCAGGATGCGCTGGTCGGCGTGATGATCGAATCCAACATCAACGAGGGTAACCAGAAGATGCCGGCCGAGGGCAAGTCGGGCCTGCTCAAGGGCGTCAGCATCACGGATGCTTGCATTGACTGGGAGACGACCGTTACCGTGCTGGAGGACCTCGCCGATGCCGTCCGTGCTAGACGGGCCGTCAAAGCGTCCGGCAAGGCCAACGGCAACGGTGCCTCCCACTAAGTGGCTGAACTGCTTCCGGTCCAGTCGCTACATAAAAAAGAGCGAATTTTCCTTTGTTCCAAAATGATGCCTTAGATACCATTAATAGTGTCTCTTTACTTGTTTGTTTGTCCTTGGGCTTTGGTTTCGGCAATGGGCATTTAGATGACATCTTCTTGAAGCCCGATAGCGGTGACTCCAATAAAAGAATAGTCGACAGTTTTGAAACTCGATGATTTGGGACATGACGTCCTCTTGGTTCCCAATGATAACCATGCTCATGCCGTAGGTTGCTTCTAATATTCAGTTCTTGTATGGAAGGCTGTAACCAAGGTTTGGGGAAGTATATATGTACACAATATGGTAGCGACCCAGTATTACATTCGGTTCCAAAGACGCGAGAACACCCGAATAAGACGCCGTAACCCCCGGGTTGGTGGAGTACAGAGGAGGGATCAAAGGGTGAGAAACTAATGATAACACAATAGGAATGAAATGGAAGGAAAGGAAAGGAAAGGAAAGGAAAGAAAAAGGAAGACCAACATGCTCATGCACACACCATGGAAAAAAACAATCGACCCCGCATCATCAGCATTGCATTTTGTTTTTCGTGTTGAGTTAGTTCTCTTGCCCCATTCTTACCGCCCCGTGAACCAGCTCTTCCAGCTCCGCGCCGACTGCTTCGCAGCACCTTCCGCATTCTCCGCCAACGCATCCAGTTGACCCGATGCCGACGACTCTTTCAACTGCTGCTGGGGCTGGGATTGAGAAGGAGCACCTTCCAGGGCCTTTGCGTTAAGCGCCTCCAACACCCTAGGCTTGTCCTCCGAAGCCTGAGGGTGGGGTTGGACGTCCTCCGACTTGAGTCCGCCAAGCAGGTACTGCGTGACTTTGTTCCAGGGCCGCTCGGCCTTGGCCTCCTCCTTCTTCTGCTTGAAGATCTCGCCGATTTCTTCGTTCTTCAGCAGTTCCAGCTGCTCCGGCGTGGCGGATCCGTTGGCGCGCGCGGTCTTGGCGTCTTGCAGCTTCTGGAGCTCTTTTTCGATCCATAGAGTGCGCTGTCGGCGGTTGTATAATGTTAGGGAGACGAGGGAGTAGACCGTGAGAGCTCCGCAGACACCTAAGGGAGAGGAGTTGAGTTAGTCGGTTGGTTAGGTATCGGATGCGTTTGGATTCTTCTGTCCGGAATGGGTTGGTGTTGGTGTTGTAAAGGGCAGAGAAGGGAGGGAGCAAGTAAGCACCCTCTCCCTCGGAGGACATGGAAGTAGGTAGTCATGATTCAATCAAATAACCTACCGGACGCGGTAATCAGCGAGTACACCATCACCTTGTGCGCTTTATTCGCAAACCGCCGTCCCACATCGACCATCTGATCCACGCGAGAGGTCGACTGGGCCGTCCGAGCCGCCCGGGCCTGTGCTCGCAATCGCTCGACCTTTTCCTTCGGGGTCTCCGGCTTGCCCCCCGGCCCCTGCGGTTGGGCGTTTGACGAGGCGTTCGACATGTGGCTGGGCAGTTTGTAGGGCGCGTTCCCGGGCTTGGAACTGGCATAGGGCCCGGTGGCCGTGAACCGCGTAGCATCGGCGGCGGATCGGGACATATTGGTTGATGGTGGTCGGGGTGGTAAAGTTGGTGGACACCGATAGGATAAGGAGGGAGAGACGGAGAGGAGAGGAGAAAGAGTGGGCGTCTGCACGAGGCGGGGAGGGCAGGACCTATCGAAGCAGGTTCATGTAAAGAAACGCACCGACCGTCGACAATTGGGGGGGAATTGAAGACTCGGAGTTGACGAGAAATGAGAGGGGGGGTTTCGTTTGCTGTGACGGAGCAAAGCGACGCAAAGCAGAGCAAATCCGGGCAAATTTTCAGCAGCGAAAGAAGGCTAAAAGCCAAGACCCGCCGCAGCCAATCGGGCTCCGGGGAGATCCTCCGTTTCGCTGCCTTTGCGCATCATGCGATTCTCTTTCCTTTCAACTCCTTCGTTCGTTTTCTAGTTCCTAGGGTCAGCCATGGCTTCTTCGCACGATTACAATGCCGCTGACTTGACCTCCGTCCTCCGAACGCTATCCGCGCTATCAACCCCTGCCCTTCCCCCGCAAGACCCGCCCCATCCAATCCATCCCGACCATGATGCATACGAACCGACCGACGCGCTGCCCCCAGCTCCCGTACCAGCACCAACACCGTCGGAGTCCTCTACAAAACGCTCCGGTCCAGATCCCACGTCTCAACCATCACGACCTCGAGCAACCGGTAACCCCGCTGCTACGCTCGGGGACACATCCTCCATCACCACCTGGCCGGCTGCATTGCGACATGTGATGCGCGCGGTGTCGCAGAGCGAAGACCTCCTGCAGCGGATCCGCTGGCTGATCCAACGGCAACACGACCACGAAAAGCAATGGTGGCAGGGACGAGAGGCCCTGTTGAAGAAGCAGAGGGCCCGCGTCGACAAGAAGAAGGAATTGGATGACGTCTTGTGAGTACCTGTCTCTGTTCCTGCCTGGCCTTCTAGCTCCCTGGTCTCTCTTCGCTCCTTCTAACCTCGCTCTCCCCTCTCTTCTAGGCGCTCGGTCGGAGCACCCGTAGATAACACCAAGCAAATCTCTGTACGTTCATGACCGACCGATATTTGACAGAACCGCATTCGATCCGTTGGAGAAGTCAGCACAGCCAACTCACTTACTAACCATTATGTACTGTCGCAAAATAGACCGCCGAAGAAGATGAAGCGGAATTGAAAAGGTACGACGTCAAAGTCTACCGAGCATCGAAGCAAATGGCCGAAGCAATGACCGCCGAACTGCGCGGCCTGCAAATCCCTTTCTTCAGCATCAAATCGGGTCTGGTCGACTCCTCTTCGAACACTAACCCTAATCCTTCATCGGGGGACCTTCTCTCGCGAGATGAACTATCGGCGATGCAGCGCCGTATGCTAGAGCTGCTACAGGATCTTTGCAAGGAGTGAATCCTTCGGGCTGAAGGGGTCGCTTTGTCGACGTCACTCATTCTACTGTTTGTTGCAAGCATTACAACGGTCAGGCAAGGTGCGCGGTTTTTTCGTGGCACCTCGTCGGGTCTAGGATGAACAGACTTTCTTATCCACCTCGGGTAGGTAGTTCCAGGCACTTGATGTGATTACTATTATGTACACCGAGCATCTCTATCTCAGGCCACCTCGCCGAACCGTCTATCCGTTCGCCTAAGGATCACGCGTTGCCTTCGATTCATCGCAACGCATCCAACAAGAACAAATGCATCAGTCGCGCAGATGGGACTAAACATGCAAAGCAAGATAAAATTGCTGCAACCTCCCAACCACCCAAACGCGAGCAAAGCCATGTAATTCAGAAACAGGTCACTTGTGGTGCAAGCAACGAAAGGCAACGGAGACCAAAACAATTAACTCCATTTCAAATGCAAGAGACGTAACGCCTTGGATAAAAAAAAAAAAAAACAAGCCCTTCGAGATTAGAAGGAGAGGAGAGAAAGGAAAAGGGAGACTCGCTGGCGATAGTCAGGTGTCGCAACGAGGAGCGGTCACGAACGAACTCATTCCGACTTTTTCTCAGCCACTGCGACTGCGACTGCAACGGCTGCTCCGAGAATCGCACACTCAGGTGCAAGTTCTAGACTGACAGAAGCATCTTCTTGAACCCCTTGAGACACGTTGGTCTCCTGTGTGAGCTGGTTGATATACCCTTGGCAGCGGTCTCTGAAGCCGGGGTACTTGTTGATAACACTGCCATCACATGCGATGGATAAACTCCGAGGGTTATCTTCGGTCTCGATTACGGTCACATCCTGGCTTTGCTTGATTGAAGATGCCGTGGAAGTCGTCGTGTCGGGGGACTCAGCCTCATTACGCAAGCACCACATACTGTGAATGGCCGTGGCTAGATACCCTGCTGACCGTTTCGAAACAATTTGACAGACGCGGCGCAAAAACTGCAAGTCCTTTGTTGACGGCACAGTGGAAAATGAATGTTCCTTCTGGAGCAGGGCGGCTGAAGACGTGAGCAATGGCGTCGTGTCGGCCTCGAGAGCGGCGACAATGCTAGTATCGAACGAATAGGCGTCCCGCATAGAGTGAGGAAGCTCGCCTCCGAACAACTGAGCTGTTTCAACCGCCTCCATCATAATCAGACGAACAATTTCTCCGAGGTAGCGTCCGGTGATCATGTATTCCAAGGGCTGGTAGTCAGGCCGGAGATGTGTGCTATTAAGAACTTCATCCCACCGCGTCATGGGCAGAATGCCACCGCCAAACATGCTCATTTCGCTGTTGACGATGACGTGCTTGGCATAGTCAAACCAGCCCAGTGGCCGCGTACCGAATTTCGATAGTCCGATCTGGTGCACGGGGTAGTGGATCGCAACATTGGTTCCGGTTCCCAGAATGAGGGACATGCGAGTCTTGGGATCGACGTAGGCTCGGGACAAAAGGGTGGCAGAGCTGTCGTTCACAATGGCATCTACCTGGATGTTGAGATGACGCTTTTGGCAGGACTGAACGATGAGATCTCCTAGCTCCTGTCCTAGGGTGCCATTGGAGCACATGAAACCCTTGCCCATATGGATAACCAATCCACTGCTGTTGGATGTCTGCTCGATGGGGAACGACCACGACAGACCCATGGACAACGGGACAGCCTCACGGCCATAGTTAGCACCGACTTCACTCAACATAGCTTCAATCTTCTCCGCCATCCAATCAAAGAAGAGAGTTCCCTCTAGCAGCTTCACGTCGTTGTCAATGTACGAGGAGGAGACCTTGACGATGTGCATGTCTCCCTTTCCGCGTAGTTCGACCAAGGCGACTCGGAAAGTGGATCCGCCCACATCAAGCGCTAGAAAAGTTCCTTGCTCTTGTCCTGACGGAAGCGCATGGTTGTAGGATGGTAGCATGCACACGGGGCTGGACTGTAAACAAGTCTTGAATTGCTCTCTGATCTTCCCCGACATTGCCATCATACTCTGCATGGACAAAGGCGCGGTGAAAAGCCGGTCAATCTCATCGGCAAGATCATCCAGGGTCCGGCGACGCCAGTAGGGCCTGTGGAAAGGCTTCTGTCGTTTCCGGGACGGATCCCGGAATAGCGAGGGGAACAAGAGCACTGCCTCCAGGGCAGCAACAATGTTGGAAAAAAGTTCCTGCATCCTGTGCAGGACTTTAACGAGAGGAGCTGTCATTGTCAAGGTGGTGTATGTTGGGGGAGGGGTGGCGATGGTCCCTTTGGACCTCCGAATGACGACGACACAAGGTTGAGAAAGAAAAAAGTTGCGACAAGGGACAAGCGGGGCTTAGATATAAGAATCAAAACAAGACCGCTATGAGCTCATGAGGATAGGCATCTGCAGAAAGGAACCATGGGTTAAAGGATTAGGCTAAATGGATAGTGAGACACCAAGTGATCACGGCACGCATGGGCAGAGATGCAGATGAGGGAAAAAAGGAGGGATTGAAAGGTGGTGAGAGCAACGAAGGCTCTATGGCAAGAGATGGTGCCAAGTCGTGGTAGTATGTAGGAGACTTAAGGTAGCACCGGCAGAAAAGCACTAATCCCTGCTCAGCCTGCAGTGGAGATGGGGTTTGGAGAGTCAAATGAGGGAAGGGAGAGAGAGCGTGCGAAACCCAAAAAAAGAAAAAGAAAAGAAAAGAAAAAAAAAACGGAGTCAGGAATTGTGGGACCCAAAGCGCAAGAGAGTGAAGAGACAGGGTGACAAACTAACAGATTGATAGACGAACGGAGTAGTTTTCCCACTAGAGTCAGGTAAAAGCCAAAAAAAGATCGGTCGTAATGGATCTGGTGGGACGAGATGGCGAGGTGAAGTAAGAGAAATCCACAAGGAATTCCTAATCGGAAACCCCCTGAAGGTGGTAGATCCGGTAGGAATGGTGGTAGTCGAAGAGGTGAACGGAGCAGCTCCGTCAATCGGCCAAGATTCGAAGTAGGTAGCGGAGATAATAAAGGGCAGGCCAAGCAGGTCGGGCAAGGTAACAACCGATCGGAGTCAGAGTGTAGCAGTCGTAGTCGGGTAGCGTACTGGAGTAAGGTAGTGACCGGAGAGTGACGGGACCACGAACGTCGGCAGCCTGGGTCAACGCGTGTCCATTCCTCGATTGCTTCCCAGAATGAAGAACAGGGAGAGCGAAGGGTCTCACAGAAGGGGAGGATGGAAATGGGAAAGAATGGAAAAGAGGGAAGATGGAATGTTTGGGGGACATTCGCAGTACTCTACTGTGTACCTAGGTAAGGTACCAGGTAGGTTGTAACCGTAAGATCGGGTACGGTACCTGCCTGTCAGATCAGGTCATTTTCCTGCGTACATACTACATATATCTATAACGATATATCCAAATACACGGTGATATAAGACCTATTCATATACTATCAGACTAATCCAGGATGTGTTGACATCTACTTCTCTCTCTGCCACCCAGATGATACCTGTAGGATTAGATGAAGCGACTTCCAGGAACATTCCCATGCACTAGACCAGAAAGAGCTAGCGTGTTCAGAGTTACATCTCCCCAAAGACACCCCAACAATCTGTATGGTCCTGTAAATACGGTCACAGACATCCGGTCTACGGTGTACCTTAATAAGTTAATCATCTTCGACCCCAGCCTGCGTCTCTCATGCTGGTCGACTCCGTAATCCGGGGAGGGGAATAATTCCGGTGACGAATTTCTCAGGCCGCAATCAGAAGGGGGCGGATTCCCGGCGGTGGCAATCATTCCTTACCAGCATGGAAATTCTGGCTCTCCATCCGGTGGGACGTGACACTCGGTGGGTGCAACGGTGGTAATCGATCTAATCACAATGGCCGGGACCGTTACACTGAGCTGGCGCCCGCCGTCGTGTCCCGCCTTATGATTTGTTATAATGTCGACTTGCGCTCCTTTCGTTTCATTCGCTTTTCTCCTTCTATTCTCTCCCGTCATACTCCATGTTGATGTTCCCCTGCGGGGTTATTTATTTGGATCGTGTTCCTGATCTTTTTTTTTTTTTTTTTTTCTATTTTCCTTCGACACCCTGCCGAGTCTGGCCTGGAAATCCGGAGTAGAGATGGAATTCAAGAATTGGCCTGAGCCGCCTATGCTACTTGAACGTAAAGACTAAAGACTCCGTAGCTCTATAGTCTCAAGTCTATACGGTGTACACCGTACACCGTAGGCATGCGGTTCTAGAACCGTCTCAGAATTGCCGAATGCGGAAAGGCTGAGGATGAACTACATATTGGGATGCAATCATGCATCAGCCTCGCTGCAGGCCCTTACCTAATCACCCGGCCAGATCGTGGATAGATGCCTTAGATGGTCCCGTCGCATTGACCGTGCCTGTCCACGGTCCATTGCAACCACATGGCTGTGGGTGCGACTGTGGTGACTGGAGAACATCGCCAGGTCAGAGCTTGTGGCTGAAAGAAACGCCAGGTTGGGGGTAAAGGCAGCCGAGGAGAACCGCTGTCTGTCATGCCATGCTCCAATCAATCCGGGGCGGAGGCGTTGCGCCAACGAGGGGCTCGAGGATGAGGCTGTCGCCCAAAGGAACAGGATATAGACTGCCTCAGGCTGTTGAAGCATCGTCACGTGCTAATCACGCCTTCATCGTTTGACCTTTAGCCGAAGAGCCTCCTGGACTGTGACTACTCCGGTGTCCTCGAAACGACACAACTCCGATTTCTCCATACAACAGATGACTCGAGACGCAACTCGGTCTTCGCTATGTGGAAGGCGATCCTCAGCCGAAATTGAAAAGGACTCCACGGAACTGCTCACGCGGTCGCTCGCCGTGAAGTGTGCATAGCGGAGTGTTGAATTAACGACACGAGATTAAGCATTGGAGGAAACGGAAGGCTATATCCATCCCATCAATCATGGCCCGAAGACAGGACGGACTTGCGGGTCACTGTGGAACGATTCTCGTTAATCGCTAAAATCCTTCCAGACTGGGACACTTGAAACCTCGAATGGTTTGAAGTTGAGGTGCCTAATAGCCATCCCCTGTCCCCTCCGGCAGGCCCGTGAACCATATCCGCCAAGCAAACGGGTCATATACGCAGCCTCAAAACGGAGGTCGCGATAACCAACAATCTGAATGTCCTGGCGTGGCTTAGGTAATTCCTTCGCTTGGTTTTCACTCCGTGATCTGGCCTGTCCCAAAAGAAGACGTGGCCAGCCATGACCTGGGGGAAATTCGATTGCCGAACTCACCGACTAGGGGCCATGGAATGGGTCTGTCCACGAGTCTCGAATTTCAATGACTCCTGCATCGTCGCCATTCAGCAATCAGCGTGTTGCGAACCTTGACGAAGTTCTCCGGGGCCCGCAAGCTCCACCGTCCGAAACGCTGCCAAGACCGTCCGCCTCTGGTGATCGTCAGCTTCCATCTCAGCACTTACGTTGTCAGTGGCTACTGTCAACCGGAGATGGTCAGAATCTTGAAAGCTTGGTCTTACTGTTCTTTTCCCTCCTTCCTTTCCTTTCACTCCTGTTGTGCTCCCTCCAGTTGTCTTCTTCTTTCCAATCTCTCCCCCGTCCACCCTTTTCGGCCTCATCTCTCTTTTATCGCTTAGCCGGGTCACTCTTTGCCTCCAGATTCCGTACGCAGTAGCTGCTATCATTTCGTTTTCTCCTTCATGGATTAGGTAGATTACTTTCAGGAATAATTGGATTTTTAACTATCGAGTACTTGGCGGGCAATGGTTGTCTTTGCGAGCTTAATTTCTCGTATTGCACATTCCTTGGCCAACTGGTGATTTTTCTGATATAATCTTTCCCCCTTTTATATTCATTCCCCTGTGGAGATATTTCTCTCCCGGTCGATCATCCAAGATGATGTTCCTCTGCCTCTTTCTTTTGTTCATCATTGGCAAGGTCATCGCGGAATCAGACGATGATTTGATGAGCTTTGTCACGGTATGTATGAAGAGCACCGTGTCCCATGTCGCTAGTGACTGACAAAGTCTAGCTTCCACACGTGCGAGCGTTGAAGCTCAATATCGCTTATTATGATCGTGAAGCTGTAAGCCCGGGATATTGGTTCGTTGCGCCGTACGGCGTGATTGACCCCGAGCCACCCACGCAGCAGTGGAAGCCGTGTCAAGTCGGCCCGTATATCTACGATGCGGATGGCGTACGTTCATTCTTTGCTGATACAATATACCAAAAAGTCGCTTGCACATGCTGACGAAAGCTCGATTACTAGGTTCTCATCTGGGCTGGGTCATGTATGTTTGAAAATCGCGGGGTCTTCGACTTCAAAGCCGTGCCCAACATCGATGATCAGCCCCATCTGTCATTCATTCTACAGCACGGATACTCGGGTAGTGGGGATAAAGGGCATGGCTACCTGCTCGATCAACATTATGAGCCCGAGAAAGTGGCCCCGGTCACCAACGATCTCTCCGCGTTCAACATGCACGATTACAACATCCTCGACGGTGGGAAAACAGCGTTGGCCTGTGCGTATAAAAGTGAATACATGAACCTAGGGGAGCTTGGACGACCGGAGGAATATGGCTGGGTGATCGCCGGTGGCTTTGTTGAAATGGACACCAACACGGGGGAGGTACTTTTTGAATGGCTTTCGACTGGGCACATCCCCATTCATGAGTCGGTGAAAGTACATGAAGATACTCCAGCCTCAGACCGGCCGGGATGGGACCATATTCACGTGAACTCCATCGACAAAAGCCCTGCCGGGAACTATCTACTGTCTGCTCGGTTCACCAACACGATTTACCTGATCTCCGGAGAAGACGGACACGTTATGTGGCGACTTGGCGGAAAGTTCTCGGATTTCGACCAAGACTTCACGTTTTCCAAACAGCACCATGCGCGCATCATCGAAGCCAACGCGACGCACACGACCATCTCGTTCCTCAACAATGCCTCGGACGAGCTCGAGCAGGGAGAGGACGTCTCCGCCGCCCTCTTCGTACAACTAGATACCAGCGCCTCTCCGATGACGGCGCGGGTGATTGGAAGATACAACCGGCCCGATAACGGACTCACTCGGTTGCGCGGCAGCGTTCAGAAATTGGACAATGGCAACGTGTTTGTCGGCTGGAGTGAGCAGGGATTCCAAAGCGAGCATTCCCCCGACGGAAAGGTCCTGATGCAGTCGATCTTCGCATCCGGCCGCTTCTCGACCTATCGATCCTACAAGTACTCCTTCACTGGCCGCCCGAGCCAACCGCCAGACCTCGTGGCGTCCGTGTACGGGACGGAAGAAGCGGACCTCACGACCATCATCCACGTGAGTTGGAACGGTGCCACCGATGTGGCCTCCTGGAATTTCTACGCCAGGGCTAGCCAAGACGGTACCCCCGAGCTGGTCGGCAACACCACCAAGTACGATTTCGAGACGATGTATATAGCGGACGGATACCTTGACTGGATTTCCGCCGACGCCCTTGACTCGGACGGCAACGTCCTCGGCACATCGTTCCTCCACCGCTCTACCACGCCCGGGAATTGGCATCTGGCTGGATTCCAGGGAGACGAGGACCCAACGCCTGCCGATCCTGCAGCCCTAGCTGATGCGAAAGAGGAAGTGATAGAGCAGGCAGAGGCAGAGGCAGAGGCGGAGCAGGAGGAGCAGGAACAGAAGGAAGCGGAGGAAGAAGAGGAGGCAGAGGAAGAAAAAGAAAAAGCAGCAGAAGAGGCCGCCCAGGCGGCCATGGATGCCGAAAAAGCCGCCGAGTCAGCCTTCCAAGCGTCCGAATTTGTTCACGCAGTTGGAGGCTTGCTGATTCTCATCCTGGTCGCATGCTCTGTTGGAGGACTGGTCGCGGCGGTGGTTTGGAGCCTTCGACGACGGCGTATGCAGGCTGCGTACCTCGAGGTTCCGTCTGAGGAACGGCCCCAGATGGAGGAGTGATATTTGACCCTGCAGGTGTCATGTTTTGTGATGGGCGCAATGAATCTTCAGGCAGATGCACCGAGAAGCGCCTATCACTCGCAGTTGCTATTGCTTTTGTTGTAAAAATGCTTGATTTGCATATTTTCGGCGTTTTTATCTTATTCGGCCGTGTTTCTTGGTTTACAACACATGCACATATTGACTACAGCCTTATTGTTACCTAGACGGAGCTGATAAAACCACGATGCATTGAACTTTTTTAAGTGGACTTTGTAAAGTGCGTGTACGGTCCAGATAGGACGCAGGACTTGTGTACGCAGGACTTTTGTACATCCGACGTATATGACGGCGTCGATGCAAGCACTCCCTCCCTTGAGAAACCCGATCAAACCAAACGCAAATAGGCTAAAAAGAAAAAGAAAAAAAAAAGTACAAACTTTTGAAAACCGGGCTCGACGGCCATACAAAAGCAGAGCATAGAAATCCTCATAAATGACAAAACTGCAAGTAACGAAAAACACAAAGGGCCCTTTTTTTTTTTTTCAAAAACCAAGTCTCAATACCTTCCTCGCCTTCAGGGGCGGCATCAACTGTCTGGCCAGTTTTTCATCTTCTCTGATCTGGAACGCCTCTGGCTTCATGATCCTTTGTTCAATGCTGCGCGAAACAAAGGTCAGTTTCTGTTTGTCGAATCGGGGCATCAGCAGATTGACCCCCGCATAGTCCAGCAGGGGTTCGTGTTCGCCAAAGACCAACAGCGGGAAGGACCAGCGCTCTCCGACTTCCAGCTGAATGGGCCAGTCGTGCACGACCAGGAAGACATGCAGAACACGCAGGGCCTCGAACTTCTGGCAGATCTCGTCGCAGACGAGAAACCAGGCCCGGTCGCTGCGGAACTTGTACTCGCGGAACTCGGTCAGCTGTGGCTCGTTGTACATGGTGTGGGAGAGCTCCACGTGCTTGATGGCGGACTGGGTGTCTTTACTGGTGGTCTTCAGAAACCGAGTAGCGGTCTTGATGCATCTGAAGACGAATTGCATGTTTGAGTAGAAAATACAGATTGTTTCGCAGTATGTCAGTCTGCAGGTGAAGATGAGAGCAGTTGGCAGTGGCGTACGAGGATAGAATGGCCGAGTAAAGTGCCTCCCTTCCTTGGGAACGCGCTGGGACTGGGCATCACGGGGTGCCAACTGGCGATGACAGAGACGGTAGGGGGCAGATTTCCGGGGTTGGGACCTTTTCTTCTTTCTGTCTTTGCGGCGAAGGATCTCGACACGGCGTGGATCGAATAGCTCCTGGTATATCTGCCAGCGTATTTCTGGTGGGAGAAGCAAGAATGAGGCCTTCTTTGTCGTGGAAGAACTCGAAGTGCCAATCTTAGGGGTCAACGCTGTCGGGCTCTGCGGTTGAAGGGCTAGGGCCGTGGTAGGGTTGGCAGTCAAAGGACGCTCTATGCGCGTGTCGGTCTCCTGTTTCCTGTCGGCGTCGGGAGAGGACGGGGTTTGACTGCTCTTGGGGTTCAGCGATTGTGGAAGGGTCGTAGATTTGAGGCCTTTTGATTTAGGAGCAGCAGGCACGCGAGCATTACTGTTGACCTGAGAGCATCCATCTAGTCCTTAGCTCGATTATTATCAGGAAAGAGAACTGAGTTTACCTTCGGTCGGTGCTTGCTGCTTGCATTTGCCAGGGGGGGTGTCTGCTTGCGACAGAGTTAATAGTGGAACGAGGTTTGTAGATCCGTGAGTGTGTGCCAACCTTCATTTGACGATCATTCGGTTGTCTTGGTTGAAAGCTCGTCTTGCTTTCGGCTTGCTGGGCCTTCTGGGCCTTCTTCCGGGCTCTCTTGTTGCCCGCCATTGTAAACTTTTCGGGGGTGACCTGTTGTGGGATGGATGAAGGTGTTGCAGGAGAAGAGTCAAAGCGTCTGTGAGGTGGTGGAGGACTAGCAAAGGTCTAGGCAGCAGGCTCTGGTTTGGTACTTGATCAGAGAAACAATCACAAAGCAATCAGATATCGAGACCACGAGGCAACGAGCTCTATTCTGGTAACAGAGAAACGATGGTTTCATTACCGGCTCTCTCTGTCTTCTCACATATGAAATTGGCAACTCACCAGAATGTTTTCAACAAGTGAGGCGCAAAGTACTGGCAGAACGTTGAGTGTGAGACTTTTGGACGCCCGGAAACTGGTTCCGATATGTGCCCTAAGAGTCCTTCTTTGCAACTCTCTCTAATCTTGCCCTCACACTCCACCAGAAATACAAGTGACAAAGCTGACTTTTCTACTCCGTAGTACGAGTTCTTTGACTTTTACCAAGTGACTCGCTTGTTTGGTGGCGTACTCTCCCCTTCCTAACGAGCTTGAAGAGGTGGAAGAAGTGAACGGAGTTGATGAAGGATATAGAGAACACGAAGACAGAGAGGCCAATACCTTATAGTAACAAAGAATGTGAAGCAAATGCCACATTCTTTAGAACAATAGTGTGCTTCTATCATTTTTTTCTCTTTTCCTTATTCTTATCTTCTGGGGGTTTCCTTTCTAGTCACGAAACTCGAAAAAGTCCTCAAGTTTAGATTGAACCGCCTTGTCGACCTTGGTAGCCATTGCGGCCATCTTCTTCGTTCTGGTACAAGAGCCATAATCATCATCTTGATGAGCAACGTCGTCCGATGGGAATGACTTCTCGCCATTAGGGCTTCCACGAGCTTCGGCACAGGAGTCTACCATGTGGACAGCTCTGTGCCCGTAGTAGGTGTGGAACGCTAAGCCCGATGCGGCCCATGGCACCCCCGTGATGTCCGCCAGAATCGCATTTTCCGTCTCTCTTTTTTCCCTTTCTCTCTCTACCTCTTGCTCTAATCCGGTCGTCACACTCAATTGGATCTCTTCTTCTTCTCTCTCCATGTCTCTCTCTCGCGCGGTCCTCCGTCCGTCAACGTTCCCGATCCGATCCCGAGTCATCTCTTCCTTCGTTGAACCCGCCCGATCATCACCCCGACCCCACCATCTCCGACAACAACAATCACTTCTTGCTCCATACTGCCGCCCCTATTCTTCTCCGTCTTCTTCCTCCTCCTCTTCCTCTCGCAACACTTCCTCGCAGTACAACCGCTCTCAATTTAAAATCCTCCCCTTCCTCGCCATCATCGGTCTCGGTTCCGGTTCTTACATCTTCCTCGTGAAATCCCGCACCGGTGCTCGCAAACCGAACCAGCAATCTTAAAAAAAAAAGCACATCCCTACCCCTCCTGCCAGCCACATCCTCGAAGAACGCTTTCTACAAAACCTAACACGAACTCAAAATGGCCAACACCGCTGAACAATCGAAACCCCGCTTCTCCCCCTCCGACGTCACCGTGGTCTTCCTGCTGGGTGGTCCCGGCAGCGGTAAGGGCACGCAATCCTCGAACCTGGTCCGCGACTATGGCTTCGTGCACCTGTCCGCGGGGGACCTGCTGCGGGCCGAGCAGGTCCGCGAGGGTAGCCAGTACGGCGACCTGATCAAGACGTATATCCGCGAGGGCAAGATCGTGCCGATGGAGATCACCGTGGCGCTGCTGTCGAACGCCATGGCGGCCGAGCTGGCGGCCGATGCGGCCGCCCCCGGCGGCGCGGACAAGAAGGCCCGCTTCCTGATCGACGGGTTCCCGCGGAAACTCGACCAGGCGGTCTTCTTCGAGGATACCGTCTGTCCGTCCGAGATGACCCTCTTCCTGGACTGTCCCGAGGAGGTCATGGAGTCGCGGTTGCTGAAGCGTGGCGAGACCTCTGGTCGGGACGACGATAATGCCGAGTCGATCCGGAAGCGCTTCCGGGTGTTCGTCGAGACGAGTATGCCCGTCGTCAAGGCGTTCGAGGATCAGAATAAGGTCGTGTCGGTGTCTGCTACGGGCTCCGTGGATGAGGTCTATGCTCGCATTCGGGAGGGATTCCAGGCTAAGGGGCTTAACCCTCAATGATTAATTGGATTGGATTGACCTGCGCAAGGGAGTGGGAACGGAATGCCGATCATCCTCGCCTCCACTCTCTCCCTTAGTTATTTTGTATCTAAGAACTGCTTGGTGTTCGCAGCAATCGTGATTCTACATATACGTCTAGACATGCATACTTTCTTACTTCCCTATAGTTGATACATCTCCGGATCAGCCGTAATTTCGTCGTTATCCTCGCATCTAAAGTTCGGGTCCCAAAGTTTCAACATAACATGACTCGTGTCCATTGTTGGGTCCAGTTCCGACAACCATGCCAGGCACACAGGACAAGACCCTGTCTAGAAAACAAATAGCTACCATGAACCGATAAATGACGTCGCCCGTGGGATACAATAAGATCAACAGAAAGAAGTAGAACAAGGAGATAAAAACGTAAAAGTGAAGAAAAAAAAAGGGTACCAGAGAAGAGACAAAAGAAGAGAAAGATATGGAACGAAGAAAAAAAAGGAGACCAAAAGTAAAGAAAAGGAAACACAAAAAAAAGGGGGGAAATAAGAACACCGTTTCCAAGCCATGACACAAAAACTTTTCTTCTTTTTTTGCTTCATCTTTTTGTGTTACGGTCTAACTCTTTTGGATTTCATTAACCTCTGCTGCTCTCTACCCTTGAAAATGAACCAATTTATTCCACAGTGACCGGCTCGGCCTGGGGCTGAGACTGTGACTGCGACGACTGTTGTTGCTGAGTCTGTTGGTTGTTTCCGTGGCGCTGTCGTCGATCGCCGGACTTGTTCTTGTCACCCTTACCCTGAGCGGCCTCCTCGGCGGCGGCTTGGGCTTGCAGTCCCTCCCGAACAAATCGCTCGCGCTCGCTGCGCACCGTACCCAGCACGTTCTCCAGGCTGCGGCGCCAGACCATCAGACGGCCCTGGACCTCGGCCCACTGCTTCTCACCGAAGACGCGGTAGGTGGCGCGGTGCACCAGGAATTCGGACCGCAACTGGGACAGCTTTCCTTCGACCAGACCGGCACGGATGGTGTCAATGACCCACTTCTCGACATCCTCGGCGGGAACCCGCAGAGAGGTGGCGATGGTCGAGTAGGGCAGCGAGCGAGAGGGGGTCGAAGCAGCCAGCGAGGCCAGGGTCAGGAGGCGCATCTTGTTCTGCAGGGCCTCGCCGGACTCGGCGAGAACGCCGCCCGAGATGCCGGACAAGGGCGTGGCGGAGACGAAGGCCTCGTAGGCATCGAGAGTATCGGCGGTGAAGATCTCCAGCAGCTCGAACAAGGTGCTGTCGCTGGATCGGAGGGCCTGGACCGCATCGGATGCCGTCAAGGGGGTGAAATCGAACACGGCGGGGTGAGTGAGGGCAGAGGTGAGGGCGCGAACGGCCAGCTCGCGGGCCTCCTTCGACGACGCCTTAGCAGCGGGGATGGTCTGAAGCGCCTGCACAATGTGTCTCTGGGCCAATTCCGGGTCACCGGCAGCCTGGGCCGCGTCCGCCACGGCGAGATGTAGGCGCTGGGCCTCATCCTCGTCCAGTTCCCAGGCGGACAACCACGTGGGCAGTTGGGCGGTCAGTTGAGGCTTCAAAGCTTCAAAGGCAATGGCGGAGCCGGACTGGCGGATCACGGCAACGATGGCCAGCAGAACGTGGAAGCGGCTCGAATCATTGGCGCTGAGAGTGTTGAAGATAGTGGATAGGATCGAGATGGACAACGACGGGCCGAATTGGGCGGAGGAAGTGATGGGTTTGGCGAGGTAGGTGCAGATGCGCGAGAGGAACATGTCCGGGTCGGAAGCCTGGTGGACGAGGTGGATGAGGAGGTTGTAGGAGGGAGTGATCTCTGTTTCATGGTGGGTTAGAGTAGTCCGTCATACTTTTCTTGGATGCCGCAGAGATAGAGAAAGAGAGAAGAGTCGGAATTCAAGAAAGATTGCAAAAAACCCCACTCACCCTTTTCGGGAGCCGTGTTCAAGGCGGCGGCGGCGGAGACCAGTTTCTTGAGAACCTCATCGCGCTGTTTGGCATCGGGCTGAGCGTCGGTCTGCTCCTGCTGGCGGAGGGGCTCCAAGAGCGGGGAGATTTCGGCCTGGAGAGTGGTGCCCTCCTCGGTCTTGCGCAGAGCATCGATGTACTGGGCAAACTCGTCGGCGAGCTCGCTGAAGGAACCCTCGATGAGGAGGGTAGTAGTGGGGGCGGGCATGATGGATAGGACGGTAGGTGGAGGAGGGAGGGGAGGCGAAAGAAGGGACGGGAAATCAAGGCAAAGGGAAAGGGAAAGGAAGAGGAGGGAGAGAGAAGAGAAGAGAGAAGAAGCGAGTTTGAGACGAATCGAGTTGGTTTGGATTTGGTTGGCGGTGGAGAAATTTCAGTTGTGGGAAAAAGTCTTGGCGCCGCCCTGCCTGGCCCGCATTTCCTTAACTCTTCTACTCCGTATACTACGCAGTATGTACTCCGATCCTACAGAATCACGACGATCTCAAGACTTCTCATTCAAGGAGTGACACATTAAAATACATAATTGGATGCAATTCATTAACCCGTGGCGCGAGATCAGGGGGAATAGTGCGATGCATGGTAACGCAGACGATAATCGCAAATAGCAGCAAGCCAGTTACCAATGGTGTTCGGATCCCGTCATAAAATAGGAATTAAAAGAAAAAAAAGTCACGAAACTAAAAAGGGGATGACCAAAGAAGAAAAAGGGGGAATGAGAACAACCAAGACCCGGCGATCAATAGAAGAATCTCCGTGCTCCATCATATGATTAACGGTTTCCCATCCCTTCGCGTTATTCGCGGCGTGGGAGGGATTCTTTACAATGCGACGCGAAGCGCCAGGAAGAAGACCGTCGCCAACACGCCCGTCGCATGGTCCTGGGCCATGCGCACGGCGGCATTGGTGGCCGAAGCGCTGCTTGCAGTGCTGGAGCTGGTGCTAGTCGCGGAGCTGGTCTCTTCGTCATCGTTGGAGCTGTCGGATGAATCGGTCGCGGTGGGCAAGGAGGTAGCAGAAGTCGTCTTCGAGGACGAGGACGACGCCTCGGAGGCATTCAGTGAACCGCACTCGCTGCGAGCTTCCTTACACTTCTCTTGTTCGTCCAGACCCGGGGAGCGCTCGATGCACTGCGCGAAGTTCGCCTGGCAAACGAAGTAAGGCACGGTCTGCTGGTAGAGCGCAACGTTGGCGGCAGTGCCATTGCCGCAAGTGCAGGTGAAATCCAGAGTGGACTAGGGTTAACGAGTCAGTCGATAGGAACGGGGAGAAGAAAGAAAGAGGCGTTGTTAAGATCGACCTACAGGATCACAAGAGTTGGCGTTGGAGACTCCGCCGCAGATCTTAGGGCAGGCGTTCCGCTCCGCAACACACCAGGAAGCTGATTCAACGTCTTAGTTTCCATGTCGAACCATTGAACGCGCACAAAGATTGGCACGACCTACCTCGTTCCGACGAGTCAACCTTGTTCAAGTCAAATCCCTCGGGGAAGGTGTAGTTGTTGGCGGCCGTTGCCGAGGCCACCAGGGTGGAGAGGAGAAGAATGGGCAACATGGTGATAGTAGATGGGAAGGATTTCGTCGAGAAAGACGGGATTAAAGGCAAGAGGAGAGGGAAGCAAAGAGCTACTGATGCTAAGAGATGCAACAACAAAGCGGACGGGAGGAAGATGAAAGGGAAACGGAGCCAGAAGAGAAGGTGACGAGAATTAAAGAAGAAGAGGAGGAGGCAGGGGAGAAGGAAGAAGAAGAGGGGAAGGGGAGAAAAAAGGGAAAGCGCGAAAAAAAATAGAGCAGACCAAAACAAGGAATGTCGGGGAATTATTTATTTATTATTATTTATTTATTACTCGAAGTCTCCGGTCCTTGGGAGCTATTCAGTTTTCCCTTCGCTGTGCTGGAGGCAAGAACTAGTCTTGTCTAAGTCGGGGACTACTGCATTCAATTCCTGGAGCAGGAACGAGCTAGACGATTAGCAGCTACCAGCTAGGGAGGGAGGAGAGCGAGAGAGAGCGAGGGAGAAATGATGATCAGCTGCATGCGGGCGAACTTTGCTGGGGGAGAATTGTTTTAGTTGTGCATATTTTTTTTCCTTCATGTCCTTTCCATACCTACCAGCGGCCAGCGTGCATGCCCGGAATTGGCATAACTTGTGCCACGGAAGAAGGTGGAAAGGGAAGTAAAAGTGGAACCCCGGAGGTGCTTTTAGAATGGAATGTTCAGCAGGCTAGCAGGTCAATAGCCGGCCCAAAGAGAGACCCGTGGACGCAGGTCCGTAAGCTAAGGGAATCTCATAAGGTAGACTCTCATAACAGGCAATTGTCTTAAGGCGAGGTAAATAAACGACCTGAAAACTCCGCAACTCTGCAAGCCTCCCCGGCCAATCAACGCTCGTCCGCCAATCACCAAGTGGATCCCCGTCCGTCGGATAATGCCCAGTGTGGCCTAGCGCCGTTCGGGTTATCTTACCGTATCTTACCGAGGTGCATCACCGTGTTTCATCGCTTGTACGATGCAAGGACTACCTAAGGACATCATCTCCATCAAACCCATCGGAAATTAAATCATCCCATGATCCATCCCTTCGCCAATCCGATCTCTACTTCTGCACCGGACTTCCTCTGAGTGAAGTTGTCAATATCCTCGCGTCGTTCATTCCCAAGGTTTGCGCACGGTGTATTCAACGGAGACAATCGTCTTTCGACCTTCGCGCGCAACAATAGTTTCTTCTACTTCGCCTTCTAATGCACATTACCTCTGCTCCTCCATTCTGTTTTGGATACTACCCAGTCTTTTGACTTCTTCCCACTTCCCCGACACCTCTCAGGAATCAGGATCCCCGGAACAAAAACTGCATATCCTCGGGAGTGAGCTTTTCCAGAGCCTCTCCCTGATCCTTGTTGATCGTGCCGTTGATGAGGTTTGCCTTCTTCTCCTGCAGGAGAACAATTCGGGATTCGACCGAGTCCTCGATGCACAATCGGGTGATCACGCAGGGTCGACGTTGACCGATACGATGGCATCGGTCCGCGCTCTGCCATTCAGCTGCCGGGTTCCACCATCTACCAGGTTATGTCAGCATTGGGCCATTGGCGCACCGGGGGGGAGGAAAGGATATCAACATACGGGTCAACGATAAACACCCGTGACGCCTCGACCAAGTTCAGAGCGACTCCGCCCGCCTTGAGGGACACGAGAAACACCTCGACGTCGACGTTGTTCATGAAGTAATCGATGGATTTCTGCCGCTGAGCCGGCGTCATCGAGCCGTCGAGCATGACCGTGTTGAACCCGGCTCGCCGCAGACGCCACTCGACGAGTTGGAGCATCGAGGTGAACTGCGAGAAGACGATCGATTTGTGCGTCTGCTTCTTGCTCCTCAGCTTGTAGAGGTCGTACACAAGCATCTCGATCTTCGTCGACGAGGTCCAGTCCTCCATCCGGATTCGGTTGATGATCGAGTTCTTCTTGATGAACTCCTCTTCCTGCTCGATGTCCGGCTGCTCAAAGTCGATGGACAAAGGGATATGACACCGCGGACAATCGACAACCGTGTCGGCATCAAATGACCGCATGTAGTCCTTGGCACACCGGCGGCAGAACTCGTGGTGGCAACGCGACCGGATGGCTTCCTCGGCTGGTTCATCACAAATGCTACAAACCAGTACGTTTTGCCCACTGGCGGCATGTTTCTTCAAGATCAAATCGGGGTGGTTTGCAACCTGTCGCATTTGCATGATCAAACCGAAGATATTGGCATAGTTGTTCAACATTACTGCAGTTTGCGTAAGTAAGCATCAACTCCATAACTGTAAGTGCCGCAACAACCGGGGTGACGTACCTCCACGACTCACGTACGTGTCGAACTGCCTGGTAGAGTTAGTCATAATACTTCGGGAGAAATCACGTTCGATCTCGCCGAAAAATTCGTTGTGTAGAATAACCCTATTATTCGTCAATGATAATCGGATGAGGGAAATGGAGGAACACCGACCGTTTGGGCGGCAATTCCATGGAAGCCGTGTGGTCACGCTTGACACGCCTGAGCATAATCCTATCGGTAAGAAGGCGCAGCTTCCCCAAAGCCTCTCTGCGGGCCTCGACGTTATCCCTTTCCGTGACTGGGCTGTATTAGAATGCGAACGACAAGTTGATGTGTAGACACTCACTTGGATTCAAGATCTCCTGGTTAAAGACCGAGACATGACTAAATCCGCTAGAAAGATTGTTAGTATGAGAATGACACGAGCAGACCAAGCAAGGAATTTCCAGGATACGGTACCTGTGTCGACATTCGGTGCATCGTTTCTCGGCGTCTTGGGACCAATGAAGTTGCTGGCATTTGCACTGCTTACAGAAATAACAGGCAAATGGGCGAACTTCCAGGAATCGCAAGAGGGAGAAGAACTCGCCAATTCGATTTTGCACGGGAGTGCCGGATAGACACCATTTGTAGTTGGCTTTCAGCGCAAAACATGCGCGCGCAACACTCGTGGTGCGTTGCTGGAAGCGTTAGCAACGAGAACCCCGGTCACAAAAGAGTTTTGGCTTACCTTGATACTGTGTGCTTCGTCGAGAATGAGCCGATGGTAATCGATGGAATGAATCACACCTGTTGTACGTGAATATCCGAGAGCCCAAGGCGCACGCCGAGCGACTTACTGTCCTCCTTGACAATTCCATCATCACGGTTCCACCCTTTCCATTCCTTTCGATGGATCGACTCCAGACCAGAATCTAAAAAGAAATGAAATGTCAGGTATGTTCCTTTGCGCTTTCTGCTCGTTGGGAGTATAGAATCCTACAAGATATCATGATAACATCATAGGCCTGTAGATCTTTCTTTTTAAAATGCTTGACCTTAGAATTAGAGTTGTGATAAACCAGGACGTTCAGTTGGCCATTCGTGTATTCCTAAAGGGCAAGTCAGATTGACACTATCATTTTCACCGTTGCAACTTACCTTGATCTCGGATTGCCATTGCATGAGAGCAACAGGAGGGACCACAACAAGAGACGGCTTGCCGATCGGATAGTCAGACATGAGGAGGGAAACCGCCTGGATGGTCTTGCCCATGCCCATCTCGTCACCCAAGAGACCACCTTTGTATTCCGATTTCTCCTGTTGCATCATCCAATTCAAACCTTCGAGTTGGAAGGGCTTCAGGGTTCGCGATATACTTGAAGGTTGTTCTGCGGGCACCGGTGTTATTGGGGGCGCATTTCTTAGATCCTCCCACATCTTTAGAATTAACGGATGCTGTTTTTCGAGCTTCTTTCGCTCTTTGAATGCCTGATTATTTCGTCAATGAGCCGTCATGTACGAACATCCGACTGAACTTACACGGTAGCTCATCCACGTCTGTGACGCAGTTGGGGCTTCAGAAGACTGCGCAGGTTGTGCTTGTCTTCGACCTCGTCCACGACCCCTAGTATTTGCCGTGCTCCGATTTCTAGACCCTCTCTGCGAGTATGAGGGCCTATTCTCATTAGCCGGCGTTTGGCCATTTGGTCCGGAATCGCTTTGGTGACTTTCATCGGCCTCCTCTTCGGACATATCCTCCGTATCGAAATTACTATCTTCGCTGTCTGGAACAAGTGCTTTCTTCGCCGATCTGAGGGAGCTGCGAGAATTGCGTGGCGGCTGCCACTGCTCAGACTCGTCCTCATCCATGCTCATATCGTCTAAGTAAGGGAGCTCCGTCAAGGCGCTATCGTCGGAATCTTGAATCTCCAATTCAGACTTTCCCATTTTTTGCCGTTTCGGGAGTGGTGCTTGGTATTCTTCAAGTTGAAGGGCGCGGGCTAGAGCGACATCCGAGGCCTCAGGAGTAGTATCGTCGGTGGCGATGGCCGATGTGGCTCTCTTGCGCCCCCTGCGCGGGTTGAGCGACATGGTGCTTGCTTGTAACTCCCGAGTCCGAGCAGACGCACTGACCCTTGTCTTCGGTCGTGAAATATCTGATGCTGCGGGAGTCATGGCAACACTGGTCGCCGGGGTGGTGTAATCGTAGGCCCCATCTCCAGATGAATCGCCCGCACGATTCGATGTGGAAGATGAGCGGGAAGATGAGGGCTTCTTCAAGGGAATGGCAACTTCGAGGGCCGCAGGTATCTCATCTTGACGGGGTCCGACAGCTTCAATCGGCGCAGCGACGTCTTCACGTGTGGAGTGATAATCAAATTGGCTCGCATTGGCGGGAGCGGACGACGACTGGGCCAGTCTCAACGAGGTGCGTCGGGGCAGTGACGAAGAATCTAGCGACGTGATAGTTTTGAATTGATTAGCCAGATTACAGGAAATGACTGGCCGATAAACTAGTCGATACAAAAAGGCATTGAGAGAGTGGGACTAAAAGCTTACCGGCCGCAGAGGAGGGTCCAGGCCTCGCTGCGGATGCCCTTCTAGCCATGATGCTAAGGGGGAGAAAGGATGAGGGGGTTGAGATGCAGGCACCGAACAAGAAAGACAGGAAGAAGAGTAGACAAGTGAAGAAGTGGTGATTGGCAGGGGTTGACAGACAAGGACCTGCAGGTGGCGAGGTCAGGTTCCTTACTTTGCCTTCTGGCCGTCTCTGCCTGGCAGGCAACCAGAGGAAAACAACGTGAAGGCTTTTCAGGGTCCGGACCCAAGGAACAGACACGTAATTGGCCACCGACCTCACAACTTGCCTGTGATTTCAAATCTGCAACCCCTGTCCTTCCCGAGTACAAATCCCCGGCATCCAGCTCGATATCTCCCCCTGGTTGCGACAAGGTCGAGTCTCGCGTTAAGTGGAACGCGAATTCACTCCGGATCCTGTGACCTCATTGGGTCTGACATCACATCTTCCCGCTCGCCCTTTGGACTCTTTACTCTTTTTTACTATACTCCCACATCGTTTCTTATCCAAACAACATGTATGTTTGATTCTTTTTTTATTATTTCTTTTTTACTCTCCGCCGCCTCTAAATTGAGTGCTAACGGTGGTTTCTTCAGGGCGGACCGACGGCGCACCAGGAACAACAACGTTCGAGGCCCGTAAGTCTTCCTTCTACCGGCTCGCAGAACAACAACTAACCATGTCTGCAGCCACTCTGCGCTTACGGATTTCCTTGCGGTATGAAACGACCCCCATGCGCAATGTCCTTGTCATAATCGCTATTTCCATCGCTGACCGATCCTTGCCCAGTCCAACAACATATCTGCTGCCCAAATTCACGATGACCATCAAAGACGCCTCAGAGAAGCCGAGCGCCAGGAGGCTGCGCAAACCCCTCCAGATGCTGCCGAACCCTCGGAGGGCGAGAACACCAGCGAGTCGCCCGAACAGAAGAAGAAGCGCAAGCGGAAGGAGTCGGCCACCCTAGCCAAGATCAAACAAAGCAAGGAATTTGCTCGTCGTAAGAGTCGGCGGACTGGCGAGCCTGATGGCGATGATGACTTCATTGCAAGGGAGATGATGCATGAGAAGTCTCGTCCAATGCCAGGCCAACTAGAGAATTGCGAAATTTGTAGCAAGCGCTTCACGGTCACCCCATACAGCAAGACTGGACCCAAAGGAGGTCTTCTCTGCGCAAAGTGTTCCAAAGAAGTGGCCGACAATGAAAAGAGCTCAAAGCCCAAAAAGCGTGCCCCGAGGACCGGCCGTCGCCAAAACCAGAGCAATCTGCTTGACGGGATTGCTCAGCACGGAGCATTGAGCTTGGTCGAAATGTGTACCAAAGTGAGTACCTTCCATTCTGGACTACCTGGGAGTGCGCCGCTGACTTTGCTCTCCTTATTAGAAAGTTGCCGACAACATCAATGATATCGACGAGTTTGGAGATTTGCCGTCGAAGCTGCTACACCGTCTTAGCCAGATACTGTCCAGAAGGAGGGCGATGACGCCGAGGACTTTAAATCTATTTCTTCGTCCGGACATGGACTCTATTGATATCTACGACTCTGCAAAACTTGAAACCGACGATTTCCAGAAAATTCTGACATTCATGCCTTCTCTGGCCCATATCAACCTCCGCTTTGCCGGTCAGTTGAAGGATCGAGTTTTTGAGTACCTGCTTGATCGGAACCTCCCGATCAGGTCTCTGCAGTTGGACGCTGCCAACCTTGTGTCAGATGCATACTGGCGACGAGTATTCCAGCGATTTGGACCGCAACTAGAAAGACTTAAGTTGTCCAACCTTGACTTTGCTCTGGATGATGAGAGCGTCGCCTTGATGTGTGAAAATTGTCAATCACTTCGCCAGCTGAAATTGAAGTACTGTTGGAAGATGGGCGATGGTTCTCTCCAAGCCATATCGACCCTTCCTTTGCTGGAAAGCTTGTCCCTGGGCTTTGTTAAGGAGACCAGGCTCGAAAACCTTCTCGAGGCTGTGTCCAGGACTGGTTCGGGTCTGCGAACGCTGTCCCTGGAGGGGTTTACCAATGCGGACGACCGTGTTCTCGAAACCATTCACGATCATTGCAAATCGCTCACCAAGCTTCGGTTTTCGGACAACTCGGTTTGTACCGACCAGGGCTTTGTGAAGCTGTTTAGCGACTGGTCAAACCCTCCATTGCAAGTGGTGGATCTCTCCTCGACGCGAGATGTGGACAATAACAATCCCGACGGTCCGACAGACGCAACTGGTCTTGCGTCTGGGGGATTCGTCGCCCTGATGAATCATTCGGGCGCTACGATTCAAAAGTTGAACATCGCATCTTGTCGTCATGTGTCTCGCGCCGCTTTTGAGGAGGTTTTCTCGGAAGAAAAAAGATACCCCAATTTGAGGGAGCTCGACGTCTCGTTCCACACCACTCTCGATGACTATCTCGTCGGTCGGCTTTTCCGATGCTGCCCGGCCATCAAAAAATTGGTGGCGTTTGCTTGCTTCAACATCCGAGACGTGCAAGTCCCTGTTGGTGTCGCATTGATTGGGGGATTGAAGGCCCAGGACTCGATCCTTGTCGAAGGCGCGTTGTAGGGCGAGCGGGCGACGGAACCGGGCTCTAGCAAGTTCATGCAGCCGGCGAGAGACCTAGTCACCGACAAGGAAATCAACACCGAAAGAAAGAAGAAAAAATAAAACAGGAGGAAAGGAAGCTATCTGGTGCTGCTACCATATTTCCGATCTTGGCCGCAAGCAAAGCAGGGAAAACAAGAGAAACTTGATACACGTTAATATGTTAATTGACGTCTTCCGAGCCTAACAACTCCGTACATTGTCTAGTATTCAGCTACGTAACTGTAGATGTCCTCTTTAGCCACTCCAGTAGTTTCTCTAGCAGACATATTCTTCCAGCTTACTCTCCGAATCTTCCCCCGTTCTGGAGTTAGAAGGCAACCGGATCGAGTTCAGAGCAAAGTTCACAGCGTGCGGCTGGAGCGGATTTCCACGACATATAACACCTAGCATGCATATATAAGAGGTACGTACGGAGTACACCGTACATACGGTGAATAGTTATAGCAGGGACTCGACCACCACGAGAGACAGGCATGGCCATTTGCAGGCGTCCGAGCAGAAACCAAAGTCGAGGAGATCTGCGGTGTCATAATGTTGTCCGAATGGAGGCGGTTGTTGGATGCATTCAGATCGAGCATTGAGCAAGGAGGCGGGCGTCCGATCCTCAGGCGGTCAATGTCGGAATGGGATACTTTGCCCTGTAGGCTGTACGGTGTACACAGTATAGTAATGTGCATACTACCCCGTACAGTGCACACAGTCGCCAGAGAAGGATCAACTTCTTCGAAAGAGGGGGAGGACGGAAAAGATCTACAGTCTACGGTCGTCATTGTGATTGACGATTGTATAATGTTCGAAGTTTGGGCCCCAGGGACCTCCGGAGTGCTGGACGGAGACTGGAGGACATCCGGAGCGATCAGCAGCTTCCGGCTCCACTCGTTCGGTCGGACAATCATAAGATTCTTTCTGGGTCCAGCCATCTTGAAGGGGGATTGACATCAGAACTACGGAGTACAAGAAGAAGAAGAAGAAGAAGAAGAAGAAGAAGAACAATGATGAAAAAAAGAAGGGAAGGGAAAGAAGGGAAAGGAAGAAGAAGAAAAAAGGAAACAAGAAGGAGAAGGGAGAAAGAAAGAAAGAAGAAGGCGAGTTGAAAAGATGGCCACCCGTCGGTCCATTTGAGTTTTCTTGCCCCTGATGGGTGGCGCGAAGGGAACCGATCATTCAGAAGTATCGGTCGGCTTGATTTATCCAAGACAAAAGGGAAGACTCCTAGTGGGTTTGACAGGTAATATACTCCTACCTTCAGTGCTCCCAGAGACTCCGGACTCGTAAGACAATTATTATATTTATATTTTATAATAACCATCATTTGGGCATGCTGTAGGATAAGCAAACCAATCAGTCCTTCACGGTCCGCCCGTACGGCTACCAGAGGAGGTACGTACTATATTTGGACTGCTCCACACTGCACTGTGCAAGGCCATCCGAGACCTTTTTGTTTTTTTTTTACTCTGTCTAGCTTTGGAATTGATTGATTGAATTGACTTTGAATATGGAAATTTTTTTGGGATTTTTTCCTTGGGGATGGTTCGTTCTCCGACCATCTGATATTTCGGCTTTCATAGTCATAGTCATAGTCAGTAGTCATACGGAGTAAACTAAAGTTAGTCGGTCCTCCAATTTTTTTTTAATCATTTGTTTTTCGACTTTTGATTTTTCCCCCCTTCGCCTTTTCATTGTTATTTTTAATGTTGATAATTATTCTCATCCTGAATTGATTCCTTCCCTTTCCTTTTTCCTTTGACTACCTATTATTATCCTTTTTCCCTCCCTACCTCTCTCTCTCTCTCTCTCTCTCTCTCCATCTCATTCCTTTCACTAGAGCGCTGTCTTGTTTTTCTTCTCCCCACCGATCCTCCTTCTCCGGCTCTGTTTACATTTTCCCAACCCGTCCGGTGTACTAACGACTCCAAGAGTCTAAGAATAATCATTTTGTCTCTCACCAGCCCCACTGTCTGTAAGGTGAGGATTTGACCGGCCGTGACGGATTTGATCGATCGGATTTATCTTATACAACACTATTACCACTATACATACTACGCGCATACCTCCCATTACGGAGTGCCCGTGAGCCAGAAGCTTCTGGCCACCTCGCTCATTCCCACCCCAGTCACCTCCCATTCTCCTCAGCCCGCCCCTTAATGAAGCCGAGAAACCCACCACCAACCGCCTCTTTGACTCTCAGCTGTCTCTGTCTCTGCCCGCCCGTGACACTCGCTTCATTCTGGGCATCTTATTGATCAAGGCCCCACCCGACTCCTGAGATTCGACTCGTTTGAGTGGTTTCGGAACGCTGGCCCAGAACTACTAGCCCAACCCATACACACCCCTCCACCCGTGGCCTTGTGTCTATGGGCGACGACTCAAACGAATAGCGCATTTACGAAAGGGGGCCCTGGTCTTTTTTTATTTTTCTGCCCGCTTTTTTTTTTTTCTATTTTTTTTTAAAGCTACACGGAGATTGAGGAGCTGGGATAGCTCACTAATTTCCTTCTTCGAAAGTGGTTCCGGGTTCACTAGCACCGATGCCAATCAAACTCCCCAAAGGCTTTACCCGACGGAAATCGTCTGGTAATGCCCTAGAAGAGGTAGAAACACCTCCTCAGCCGTCCTTCCGTGTCTTCGAACGCCCTTCTGTCGATAAGAAATCCATGAGCGATGGCAATCTTTTGTCGAAAAGACTGAGCTCGGGACAACCTCTAGATTCACCTACGGACGAGAACGACAACATCTTTGCCGCACCCCTGAATCATCCGCAAAGACAATTGTACGTTCCCCCCTCCCGCCCCTTCTCTTGATTGTTGTCCTATTAGAGCAGATCAACTAATCCTCGTGGTGGTAACAGAGGCGTCTACGACCAGTCGTCGCCGAAACGTCGCTCAACGGACGGACCGCTTCCATCGGACAACTCATCGCCACATTCACGAAACCTCTACGATATACCCATACCTCCCATTTCCGGTGCGTTGCGGGCAGCCGGTCGGACCTTTTCTTTCGGTGGGAGATTTTCCAAATCATCGGCACATCCCCCGCAACAGTCTACTCCTGGTCCTTCGCGGAACAGGGCAATGACCAACAGCACGAGCAGCACCGCAACCCCTCCGAAACTCCCGGACACGGAACTGCAGATTGGTCAAATGGGGGACGAGTTTCACAACATGTTTGACGATATGGGGAAACGAGGAAACGTTGCCCAGGAGACCTCACGGAACGGCTCAGTGGATACGGTAGGGCACCTCGACGCAGACTGCCGCGCGCTTCTAGAATCAACTAACGATGCTCGTTACCAGTACTCCTCCACTCCCCCCGAGACGGGTTTCCGCAAAGAAGAAAAGGTGCAGCGCCCCGCCCCTATCAACACGGATCGGTCGAAAGAAGTCGAGCCCTCGCCGTACTCATGGGGCAGCCGACACTCAGAGGAGGGCCTTTTGGCCGCGGTTGATTCGCCGCACGAAGAACCCCCGGCAACCTATTCGGGGTTTACACCATACCGGGACGGGCGACGGAAATCCCTACCTCTCTCCAACGCAGCGCCTATCACCACGACGACCCACCGTTCCCTTGAAAAGCCGGAAGGCACAGCAGAGAAAGGCCTACGAAGAAGTGTCTTATACCCAAACAAGAGGGATTCAACCCCCGTTGAGGATGAAGATGCCAAATTAATCATGTCATCTCTTTACACAAGCAGGCGGAACTCCCAATTGCCTTTCGCATCTGACCATGAGGACTCGGATGCAGAGAACGAGACCCCGTTGTTCACCAACAAAACGCCCGTGAGCCAGCAGGACCGGCTCACACCTCCGCCTCTGCAACCTCCAGCCCACAAGTCCCCGGGCCTGAACGACGATCACCTCGACCCTTCTATTGCGGCCCATGCGCGGTTGGCCGTGCAATACGAGAAGACTCCAGCGCCGATGCCATCCACCAACAAAGTAATGACACCCTCCCAATTCGAGCATTATCGACAGCAGCAGGAGCTCCGACGGTCGAAGAGCGACGCTTCGAAGAGCGAGGACTCCGAAGAAAGCGATTTTGACGAAGAGGACGAGACTGAGAAGAATCGGGAAGCGGAGAAGCAACGGCGAAAGCAAGAAGCCCATCTTTCCGTCTATCGGCAGCAGATGATGAAGGTGACAGGCCAGCAATCCCCGGCACCGTCTCTCCGGCCAGAAATGGATCGGGCGAGCAATAGTGCACCGAATCTTACCGCGCAATCCTTCAACCAGGGGAACAGGTCAGGAAGTGGGAAGAGTAGCGAGGGCGACGAGGATGAGGAGGTTCCTTTGGGAATTCTAGCAGCGCATGGTTTTCCAAATAGGAACCGCCCGCCGAGTCGCCTTGCAATGTCGAACTCAATCCCAAATCTACGGGCGTCTTTCCATCAACCCTACATATCGTCTTCCGGATCGGTTGCGGAGAACGATGCTGGCAACCGCAGTAGCCTGCCTGTCTTCGCACGGAACTTACCCCGGGACCCCTACTATGGAGCGGGCTTGGTGAACTCGTCCAACCGAGAGTCACTGGCCTTCGGAGGAGGCGCTTCCGTTTACGGAGGACCCTCAGCTCCTGCCGGCCCCCCGCCTGGATTGCCCCCCGGAGGGTTAATCGGCGTGATTGCCACCGAAGAGCGGGCGAGGGCGATGAGGCGAAGAAGCCCAAACACCCAGGCTATGCACGACTTTAATGCTGCGATGCCCTCCGTCCCGACCCATCCTAATGGTATTCCGAGGCCCTATACCATGATGAGTCTGAACCCACCCAATGTATCTGCCCCTCAGCAAGGGGTTACTGCCACGGAGCAAGCTCAGATTCAACTTTCTCAGCAAATGTCGAGTATGATGCAGATGCAGATGCAATGGATGCAGCAGATGATCCACATGCAAGGTGGACAAGGTCCACCGCCCCAGCAGCCGATGCCGATGCCGATGCCGCCAGGCGGCTTTCCTCCAGCAGCCGCCTCTCCAACCATGCGACCTTCTTCGATGCCGTCCGCGGGGCCTAATACCCTCATGCCCCCCGCATTTGGCGGCGACCAGAGAACCTTCAGCCTTCTTGATCCGAATGCGTCATCCCGGCTGAACGCTCCGGCGATGCCGTACGCCTCTGGAGCGAATCGACCGAGTACCCCGGCGGGACAAGGCTATGCGCCGTCAATCGCGCCGTCGGAGCGGAGCAATGTTGGATTGGCGCCTCGCTATCGTCCAGTGTCTACCCTCCAACCGGACACTGCCTCGTCAGCCTATCCTCTGGCTTCCAAACCTTGGAATGACGAGAACCAGAGATCTTCCGTCTCTATCGCTTCCCCGGCCCCTTCGCAAATGCCTAAACCGATCCCCCGTCCTATTTCCAACGGCGGAAAATCCGCACTGGCTCGTGGACCTGGCAATGGCATTGAGCCAGACGATGAGGATGACGACGAAGGGTGGGCCGAGATGGTGAAGAAACGAGAAAACAAACGAAGCAATTGGAGATCAAAAAAGGAGACGTCGAGTCTCGGCGACTTATTGAACACAGTACATTAACTCGTTCATAGATGATATAGATCCGCGTCTTGTTCACTGAGGTCTTTCCCCTTCTCGCATCCACTTTCCGACTCTAGCCCGAGCTTTGGCGCTTCCCTCTTTTGATATCTTATCTGTCTTATGTACTTGATCATCTTTTCGCTATATCTGTCTTGTTCTCTCTCTCCTTTCTTCCCTTACTCCCTTTATTTTGGGGTACATCAGTTTGGCATCTGAAGATTTGTATTGCATCATGAATGTTTTTACCCGTTGACCCGTCCGACTTGAGCAAAGGCATGGAGTTGTGCAAGGCTGGCGTTTTATTTATTTTCCTTTTGTTTCCTTGCCCCCTTCTTGTCTCCCCCCAGCCCTTCATTCGTCCATTATCAGATTTCAGAGCTCAGCGGTTGTATATTGTGTCCTTCTAACTATTATCATGTTGTATTGGGTAGGTATATGATAAAGTATAATATACGAACAAGCCTCGTGAGGCCACCAGGAACCTCTCCATTCATTGAACTTACGTGCTCTGAATTCATCGCTTTCCATCCTGCTGGGGTCGGATCGGGGTCGGATCGGGGTCATGATCCTGCAAGCCGTTGAACTGCGTCCCTTGCCTCCAGCCGTACTTGATTCAGGATCTTTGCCGCGGGCATTGTCACTTTTACGAGACCAACTCCACTGCCAGCGTAGGTGGTCAACCGCCCCCCGGGGCCCCATCCCGAATTTCCCTTCTCCAACTCTCTTGTATACAACCTGCGGTTCTCTTCGTCATCCATGCCACATTCCGTAGCATCCGTGTAGCTTCGATTGATTACGCCGCGTCCATCGTATCGGCTCGGCCAGCCCTTGATCCCTCTCACCCGATCGTACACCGTAGAACGGACGGTGCTGACACCCCCATCGGACGCTCGTAGGATCTCGTACTGGTAGCCACGGGCGATGTTCGCTTCCGCCGAGGCCAAGAAGCGCGTGCCCATGACGACCCCGGTGGATCCCAAAGCCAAAGAGGCGGCAATCCCTCGCCCGTCGATGATCCCACCCGCCGCTACCACGGCGATCGCACTCTTCCCGCGTTCTTTGAGGGCATCGCATACCTCGGGGACTAATGTGATGACGGAAGCCGAGTGGGCCAGACCGTGACCACCAGCGTCCGAGCCCTGGACGATCAATACATCCGGACAGAGGGTCTCTGCCGCAGCCACCGCTTCCGCGACCGTGCCAACCTGAATCCAGATCTTGGTCCCTCCGTAGGTGGCGGCGCGCACCCGGTTCACCCACGGAATCAAGTCATCAGGATGGGTCTGAGGGCCGAAGAGCCACACGGCGCACGGCCTATATCGCTTGATGGAGGCAACCGACGACTCGAGGTCCGCGCCCCACGTGAGAAAACCGACCCCGATGGGTAGAGTACCGGTGTTATGAAAGACTGATCGGATCGATGTGTCTGTCCGTTCTACGAGATAAACCGCCTCCTGGAGGTTGCGTTCTAAGTTGGAGACGTCGTATCCTCCAGCAAGAAACCCTATGCCCCCGGCGGACGAGACCGACACGGCGAGCGAAGGCATGGCAATGTTCAGCATAGGAGCCGACGCTATAAGCGGGGTCCCGATCCAAGGATAGGTAGACTGCCAGGAGGGTTTGAAAGATGATGAAGATGCTGGTGCAGGTGTAAATGCAGTTACTGATGGAGGCATGTTTCTGGTTAAGTCTGTTGAATGAACTAAGGTAGTCAATACGCGATTCTAACGGTAGTTAGTGAATGTGGTAGTGATGGTGATAGTAGTAGTAGTTAATGGTGGGGATGGACTATGACGATGGGGGTGAATCACGTGGGGGTCACGGGATGCGGCAAGAATCCATCCATAGATATCGCCCGGCATCAAAGAACCTCGCCGTCAACCTTACCTCCCTTCGTTATACCAGTCTAGACGTGCCACATTCACGTTGTTGCCTATCATTTTTGGATGTATAGATTGTGACTATTACTTATCCCTCCTTCTTTTCTCTGGGGCATTATTCCTTATTCTTTCCGGTAATCCTGTTGGATTAAGTCTGAGCCTTTCTCACACAAAGGAACAATCCAGTTAAAGAGAACAGTCTGCAAGTACTTAAAAACTCGCACTGTCTTGAGAACCTCAGTGATCAGATTCTACGCTACATATATATTGTCTTAGGCCTCTTGGATATCAATTAACTAACTAAGAACACCATGAACGCACCAGACCGGTAAGATCAGTGACGCCCTTTTCATCTGTTTCTTTGCTCTCTTTGTGGCATCAGTCATGTTTTGTTTTTACTGTCATTCATCCTTCTTCCTTTCCATCTCCCCAGTTCTCTGTCTATTGCCTCTCTTTCTCTCCCAGGGCCTGGAGATGAATACAAAGCAGCGGGTTGGGGGAGGTTGCCCGAAAGGGAAAGAGAGGGCACCGGGAACAGCAGACCCTGATATTACTGTTGGAACAATTCCATCATTATCCCCGCACCTCTCACTCTCTTTCCTCTTTTTCCTGACTACTACCGTCCACTCCTCCCCTTCACTCAGTGGATTGACGTGTTCTACTCGTGTTCTTCTCCCCTGTCGATACTTCTGAGCCCTCCAATATGAGTCCACGTAAAGAGCCGCTTCTCCCTCCGGAGACGGCCTTCGCACGCTTGCGAATCACCAGCGGCACTACTCGTTATGGTTGCCAGTCTACTGTCAGGGTGTCGCATGACCAGCAGCCCAGGTCTGCGCTGTTCTAGCTCTATGATCTTTTGTTTCTCTTCAGATCTCTCTCAGTTCCTTCAACACGTTCGTGGGTATGACAGGATATCGCACAGTGCTGATTCGTCCCCGACTATAGCTACGAGTCCTTTGTGCTCGCCAATGGCGAAAGCAAAGTGGAGATGGAAATTGATACCCGTACGTCTCTATTCTACTCCTGAATTTCGATCGTCACTTCTACTAAACTGTTTTCGCAGGTATTCCATCCTCAGCCATCTTCACCTTCAATAAAGAAGACCACACCCTGGGTAATCTGATCCGCGCTCGTCTGTTGCAGAGCGCTCACGTTCTCTTTGCGGCCTACAAGGTGCGTTATACCGCGCGTGCGAGTGTCCTAAATCCGCGGTGCATTGTAAATAACCAGTGAGCTACAGGTTCCCCACCCTTTAGTTCCCAAATTTGAACTGCGCGTCCAAACCGACGGTGAAATCGCTCCCAAGGAGGCCGTAGTGGCCGCCTGTCACGAGCTGGTTCGGGACTTGGGGATTCTTTCTCGCGAGTTTACCAAGGAGTACGAACTACGGAAGATGGTGGGAGCAACTCAGCAGCAGCAGAACGGGGCTGCGGACGGAATTTAGGCAGTGTCTTCTTGCCTGCAGCATTGGGCGCGGCTGGCCATGCGTCTTTTTCCTTTCTGATTCCTTTAAAATTCCATACCCCCTTCACCTCGTTCTAAATATGGATATGAGCTGGCTCGTTCTTACTCGTTCTTCGTTCTCGTTATTCTTTCTCTCAATCTCGAGGTGGCTTTAATTTGCTTTTGTATGTATTCACCTGGGACTCCTGGAATCCCAAGCGGGTTGCAGTCATGTAATGTCGGGAATATTTCCTGAGGATAATTGTACAATGATCCTTTCGAGAAGCAAAGCAACCGAATATCCAACCGTAGCAGGTAGAATGTCGAGACAAGCTTGAGGTCCCTGGAGACGCTGACTCAGCAGCTGACCGGGAGGGTTTAGCGTGGCTCCGCGTGCCTGGCGTCTGCCGTCATCCTCCCTCCTGAACCCCAAGGCAGCCTCTCCTCTCCTTTTCCCATTTGCTTCCGGTCGCCTGGCTTCTCCTTCTGTTCTCTCTTTGTCAATGCCTGGACCTAGCATTTCTGCTTAATGCCAGTGCCATTGTGGTAATGTATTCCTCGTCAAATTCCTTCCTCGGCGGCGCCAACAGCGCTCGCCCGGGACAGCAGCCACCTTTCATGCAGCAGCATCAGCAGCAGCAATACTCGCCATTTCCGACCGGCCAACAACAGCCGGGATTTGCTCCTCAGCCTACTGGCTATGGATCTCAAATGCCTGGCTCGCAGCTACAACCTCAACCAACCGGTTTCCCCGCGGGACAGCTGCAACCGCAATTCACCGGCTTCCCTGGCGCCGCTGCCCAGCAATCACACCAGCCGGGCTTGCAACCACCGATTCCGCAGCAACCCCAATTCACGGGCTACCCTGGCCAGCCTCAAGCTCCCCAGTTCCAGGCGCCGTCAAACACCGGTCTCCCTCTCCGTCCGGGCTTTCAGACGTCTTCAGCGATAGCCGACTCATTTCGAGATGGGAACGGCGCGGCTCCCCCGCCGCCCCCTAAATCCTCGGGCAACAAGATTCCCAACATCCGCCTATCGTTCATCACCGCCCAAGACCAAGCTAAGTTCGAGCAACTGTTTAAGTCGGCCGTTGGAGATAACCAGACAATGAGTGGTTAGTAGGATTCCTCCCTTCCCGGCTTGGTCGGTCAAGCAGAGTGTCCTGACATCTCAACACACTATAGGCGATAAGGCCAAGGAACTGCTCCTGCGGTCAAGGCTCGCGGGCGGGGACCTGTCGAAGATATGGTGAGTACCTGGGGAGAAGATGGTTACTTTGCCCCCTCGATGCTGACGGTCCCAGGGTCTTGTCAGACTCTACTAAGTCAGGCCAGCTGTTCTTCCCGGAGTTTGCACTGGCTATGTATCTGTGCAACTTGCGAATTACAGGCAGAGAACTGCCCGACGCTCTCCCGGAGAAAATCAAAAACGAAGTGTCTAGTATGGTGGATATCATCTCGTTCACTGTTCCCGATACGCAACCGGAGCCGCCCGTCTCCCGGACGAATGCACCAAATTTCGAGGCGCCACTGCTTGAGAACAAATCGGCTCCTCCAGCTCCTCAGCAACCGCAGCCACAGCAGCCAACGAATTCGCACCTCCTGACGCAACTCACGGCTCAGCCTACGGGATTCCCCCAGGCGAATAATTTCCTGTCGAACCAGGCCTTCTCTGGCCAAAATTCAGGCCTCACGCCCCAAGCGACTGGATTCCCCGCGCAGGCTCAGTCGCAGAACCTCCAGCCGCAACCCACGGGGCTAATGGCCAATCCACAAGCGACTGGCTATTCTGGGCCTCGCCCGCCGATGCCGCCGATGCCTACGGGTTTCGCATCCGGACTAAGCCCCGCACAAACCGGCGGCGTACCGGGCCTGGTCGCGCAGCCTACTGGTGTCCCTGGCCAATGGGGATTTGTGAATGCACCAGCGTCTGGCCTGCCCAACATTGAAGCTCTCAAACAGCAACTCATGCCCCAACCAGGCCGCGAAGGCGGATTCTCTGCAGTCGGACTCTCGGGAAATGCCCATATCCCGTGGGCAATCACGAAGGAGGAGAAAAAAATTTACGACGACCTGTTCCGAGCGTGGGATGGGTTCCACAAGGGATTCATTGGCGGTGACACTGCCATTGAAATTATGGGCCAGAGTGGCTTGGATCGCCAGGATTTGGAGCGAATTTGGACATTGGCGGACCCGCACAACAGGGGTCGACTGAACATGGATGAGTTCGCCGTTGGCATGCACTTGATTTATCGGAAGCTCAACGGATACCCGGTACCAAATCGCCTACCGCCGGAACTTGTCCCTCCCTCGACAAGGAATCTGAATGACTCCATCGGAACGGTCAAATCCATGCTTTCGCAAGATGCCGAGTCCCGTAAAGCTTCGGGCGCATTTTTGCAGCCCCAGAAGACTGGTGTAAGCTATCTCAAAGAGCACTCTTTCCGTGGCGGCACGTCGTCGCCTGGCTTTGGTCGCAAAGATGCTACGCTTTTCAAAAACAACGACGAAGCTGCTTCTGGCTACCGGTCTAGTGCTCGCCGCCGAGTCGGAAACAACGCTCGCACTCCATCACCCGCCGCCTCGTCTCAAGCATCGGAGGAAGAACTGTCTTCTGAGCAATTGAAGAAAAAGATTCGTGAGACTCAAATCATGCTTGACGCGGTGGATTTCCAGGATGAAAACCGTGCCGAAGAAGACGATGCTATGGACCGTAGGGATCGTCGCGAAGCGGAGAGCTTGATGGACAGAACTCGACGCGTCCAGGACGACATTGACACTCACCCAAATGCCTCACTCCGGAACCTCGACAATGGAGCCGAACGACGAACCTTGCGACGCCAACTACAGTCTTTTGAGGACCAAGTTCCTCAGATTGCTTCCGAGGTCCGTCGGATTGAGCGGGAGATTGCCGAGGCCAAACTGGAGCTGTTCCGCTTGAAGGATGCGAAGGCGCACCCTAGCAGTGCATCGAACATCGTTGGTACTGGCCCCGGTGGCACGGTGACGGAGGCCGACCGCATTAAAGCCCGCGCTCGTGCTAGGATGCAGGCTCGCGCTGCCGAGCTTGCTGGAAGACCGCCACCTGCCTCGCAAGACGATGATGGAGCTGCTTCTCGGCGTCTTGAAGCTGAAAGTGCAAGCATCAAGGCAGCCAGAGAGAAGAACGATGCTATGACACGTGATGTGGAGGACAGCGTCAAAGACTTCGCTCGCGGCCTTGAGGACAGCCTCAAAGATGAAGGGGAAAACTCCACTCGCGAGCATGAACGGCGCCGATGGGAAGATGCGCTAGGCGTGGAGGATATCATCCGTGACTTCATCTATGACTTGAAGCGTGGCAGCCGGACTGCATCTGTCCGCAAGGAAGAGTAAGTTGATTGTCGAGCCCTGCCCGTGCCCTTTCTTCCCTCCTACGTATGATAGATACTGACAACAATCTGCAGAACATCGAGATCATTCCAACCCCAGGAACAATCGTCTCAGTATGAGTCGCCCAGGGGTAGCGCTGAAGCCGTTCGCCCTTCCCCTCCGCCGTCAACCAGCTCTCCAGCATCGTTGCCCGGGTCTACACATGAGGACCGAGTGGCCGCAGCCAGAGAACGCGCGCAAAAGCGCATTGCCGAACGTATGGCGGCTGCTGGTCTGAAACCTCACAGCAATGATTCGGCAGAGACCCTTCTTCAGCGTCAAGAACGGGAAAAGAAGGAACGCGAAGAACGGCTGCGACGAGCTGAAGAAGAGGATGCGAAGCGAGAGCAGGAACGGCAGCGTCGCCTGGCCGACGAGCAGCAGGGCCCAGCGTCGCAATCCGCCAAACCAGCTGGCAAGAAGCCTCCCCCGGCGCCGCCTTCGCGGAGAGTCCGCACCGACAGTGCGGGCCAGGCTGACGCGAAGAAAGCAGCGGAAGAGGTGACCAAACCGGATCAAACCGCCCAGGAACAGGCTCTCAGGGAGGAACAACAGGCGCAAGAGGACGAGAGGAAGCAACTCGAGTAAGTAACAGAATTCTTTCTATCCCCATTCTTGCCATGTCTGCTCCTCGGCTCGATTACGTACTTACACTACATTCCACGTCTAGAATCGAAGCCAAACAACGAGAAGAGGAGTACGAAAGAGAAAAGCAGGCACAGGAGGCCCGCCTACGTGCACTTCAAGAACAGGTCGAACAGGGCAAAATCAAAAAGCAGGAAGAAAAACGTCGAAAAGAGGAGGCCAGTCGACAGGCAAAAGAGCAGGAAGCTAAGCTTGCGGCCCACCAAGCTGAACTTGAAATGGCTAGAGAGCGAGAGCGACAACTTCAATTGGAGTTGGAAGCTATGGAAGAGCAAAGTTCTTCCGACGACGAGGGTCCGGCCAATGTTACGCCACAGGATAGCACACCGACGCAGAGTCAAGTTCTCAACACGGCGAACGCTCCCTCTCCCCCGGTTATTAATGAGCCAACAACCCAGGACGTTCCCAGTCCTGTTAGCTCTCCATCCAGCAGTCGCGCAGCCCTGAACGCGGACGCTGAATCGAAGAACCCTTATTTCAAGAAGATCAACCAGTCCGGCGACGGCCAGGCCGCTATCACCTCTCCTAAAGCTGACGCTCCGTCTACCAACCCGTTCCACCGTCTGACCCAGCAGCAAGAGACTGCCAAGCCAGCATTCACCGCACCAGGTCCATTGGAACGCAAGTCTCGTGCGCGTCCAGAAGATGATGATGATTGGTCCGCGGCAGGCTCGGAATTCGACTCCTCTGACGATGAGGATGAACGGGCAGGCGGCGGTAGCGCAAAGCAACTTGCTAGTATCCTGTTCGGTACTATGGCACCTCCGCGACCTCTCTCTGCCATGGATGATAAGTCCCCTTCCAAATCGTCCACCCCTGTGCAGGATACCCCAGCGGTGCCTGAACCGGAAATCGATACACTTTCCGCCCCTGCTGCCCCTGCCCCGCCGCCTCCGCCTCCGCCACCACCCGCTCCTGCTCCGCCAGGTGACTTTGGGGCGCCCCCTCCCCCGCCCCCTCCGGGAGCTCCGCCAGCTCCCCCACCTCCTCCGCCAGCGGGAATCCCTCCCCCACCAGCTCCTCCCTCCGCTTCCGCGGGCCCAGGTGATCGCGGTGCCTTGCTAGCTTCCATTCAGGCAGGCAAGGGACTAAAGAAGGTTCAGACAAACGACCGGAGTTCTAGCTCGTCGGCAGGTCGGGTGCTGGGTTAAAAGATACAATCGTGTCCTTCGGTTAGCATCTACTGCTCTTCCCACTGTTGACAACAGTAGCTTGCCAACAGATAATTTTATTGCGCCCGTAATATATATTCTTTTCTTTATCTGCACATCTTTAAGTTCAATTCTTTTGTATTTCGCCTGTATCAGAGTCTCCATCTCTTTATGTAGAGAGAATCTTTCCAAACATTGTTCCAGAGGCGGTTACATTCCATAATTACACAAAATCCATTTACCCATCCTTAACTTATATATCTTAATCCTTGCAATATATATATCCAGAAACTGACGTTCTATAACGAGCATTCGGATCCAGATTGAAAAGCGAAAATAAAAAGAAAGAAATAGAGAAGGAAAAGATATAGAATAGAGAAAAGCTAAATTGACGATGGTGCCAGCCAAGATAAGCAAAAGAAAAATAAAATAAAAAGCAATGAGAAAGAGATATAACCGTCACAATCCAAAAACAGCTCAAGCTACAAGTTCAGCAATCACGTTAGCCAAGGTGCTGACGCACCATAAGATAACCAGACCCCAGCCAATCTTTCTATCCATCCTCCACTTATTCAGAGGGATGACAATCAACAATCCCACAAGGGTAATCAACAGCGTTGCACCGCTGATTATGAGAACATTCGAGATGGCGATCTCGTAAGACCCTCCAGTTGCAATGACCGAGTCTGGGCTTGCGTTCATGGTCATATATAAACCACCCAATCCGATTCCTAGAAGGATATTTAACATTGGCCCACCGAAGCAGGCACTGAGCGCCATAACCGGATACCCAAGGCGTGCAACAGTGATGTCGGCAACCAAATCGCCTAGGGAATTCCCAACAGCGAACACGGTCAGCCCGAGGAGAGAATCGCTGATATTCAGAATGAACCCCACTGTCTTGAGGAGGCTAACAACTTCTGTAGCTATGGTTGCAATCCAGAATATAGCGACCATGAATCCGAGTAAGGCTAGGAAAGGGCGCCATGTGTTGGGAATATGTGAGTGTCCACTGCGTCGCGTGCTCAAGAGAAGGCATGTGAGACACACAAGAGAAAAGAGGAGGGAACACAGAAACGGTAGCAATAAATTGCGAAGTTTGAGTTCGGGGTCCATGGCCGTCCAAGATATTAGAGTCACAAAGAAAGGGCCAGTGAAAAGCTGTATCCAGACAAGCCATTGGCAGCTTTCTTTGGTAGAGACGGACGATGTGTCTTGCTGTTGTTGGACAGCGGGCAGCTCAGAGTCCCACCGTCGCCGATCATATGACGGCTGCGTTTTACTGTTCTGGTTTGTTGCCTCATTGGTAGTGTCTTCTCGATCAATGGCGTGAATTAGTGGACTATCATCTGGAAGTCTCACGAGAGGCGCTGTAGAACTCTCATCGTCTGTTGGAGATACGACAACGGTGACTGGACCTGTCGGCGTCTGGGGTTGTACAGGTTCGACTACAGGCAGAGTTATGGTCAACAGCAATACACTGGGAGCGGCCGCGATTCCCAATAGTCGCTCCCAAAATGTTTTAGCTTTCCAGCCATCCAGGGTGGGGAAAAGCGTGGAGAGAACTGTCCGAATGGGCAATGCCGCCCACCAAGACCGACATTTGGCTTGGACTCGACGGCGAGGACGTCCATCGTCAACGATACCGTCGTGGATCTGAAGCGATTCTGTGGGGCTAGAAGCAGCGGGCAAGCGTATACTCGGGGGTCGAGGTGCAGAGCCTGGTATATCGAAGGCAGGAAATGGACTCGTCGGAGCAGAGTTACCGGGCGATAATGAGGTTCCTCGCGGGGACAGCGGAAGGGGGGATTGCGAGTGACGTGTTTCTGTCTGATAGTTTGGAGACTGGAAAGCATTTGAAGGGGCAAGTAAAGTAGGTGGCGTATGAGGCCGGTCCCTTGCCACGGGGCTTAGATTTGGTGATGGATGCCCTGACTCTGGCGTCGAAAGTATTAAATCTGGGTGGGGACCGGCCTGGTGCGTTGGTTGTGTGCTTGAACTATCGCCCGTGGGTCGACTAACAGTGACAAGGGGCCGTGTCATGGAAGGATCAAGCACGCTGGTATCCAGTTTCAGTCCGGCAGCGTCGTTAGCAGACACAGCCCTAGTACGTCCGGGTCCACTCGCACCGTACGGTGAGAGATGATCTGTCGCGGACGATCTGTTATCTCTCGGGTGGGATGCGACTGACATATTGTCGTGCATGTGTGACGGGCCCTGCGTTTCATAGTCGCGGTTATCCGAATATCTTGGCAGGTGGATCGGGCCGTTTTGGTGTGTGCTCCGTGATCGCTGCAAGGAAGAAAGCACCGACTGAAACTCCAAGGCGCCAACGAGACTAGGTCTTATTGGGTTCAACGTGTTGCGCCTGTGTGCAGTAGGACGGATAACATGCATGTTATCTCGTATTTCGGCCAGGTAGCGGTTGCGGGTCTCGTCATCCTCGTCTCCGTCCTTCCAGGCAGGCACACCGGCCCTTTCCAAAGAATCAAAGTCGACAGCACGAAGGAGACTTGTTGACTCGGATGCCACTCCCGGGTCATCCTCTTCGACTTCCTCGATCTCCAATTCCTGATTGTCTGGTATATGGAAATGTGACCGCGCCGCTAGATTTCTCTCATAGACTCGGCGTTTCCGTACAATGTACCAGTGCCAAACCACGACCAGACCGACATAGAAGCAATACAGACCAACCATAGTGGCAGCTTCCCAGACATGAAGGCGACCGTCAGCTAACAGCAACATGCTAAAGCTGACAGCCACGATGAAATACCCCACATCCCGAACAAAGCTTCTCCGTGCGACCTTAAATGGGCGAACCAGCGCCATTGACCCCGCGACCACAGATGTGATAAAACTTGCAGCCCCGAGTAGTTCACCAATGGCCAAACTGCCGCTGTTGGACCTCATGGCAGCGAACGTGGAGAAAACATCGGGGCTTCCGTTCCCAAACGCCAGAAAAGTGACGCCAGTCAAGCTTTCGCTCAGTCCGAGAAAACTAGCTAAGGTGCTTAAGTCAATACACAGAAAGTCGCTAGCGGCAATTCCAATGGTGCTGAAGAGTAGAGATAGCCACAAGATAAGGGTGACGAAGGCAAGTGGTTTGGCGTCTGCGAGGGTGCAATAATAGAACTGAAGATAGGAAAAGAACCCATCTTCATGATCTGGACAGTTTATGCGGACAAAGGAGCATTGATCTTTAGCGTCACGAACGAGACGGCACTAAAACAAGTCAAGGCAAATAAAGTATGTGAGCATCATCAAGATATGATAGGAGCTAGACTTATAGAAATTCAGGGAAAGAGGGGGAAGAATGTGATCAGAAAGACAGTCAGACCGTACCTCCAGTTCAGTATTCCGTGCGACAACCTGATGGGTAATGGGACTAGCCGATTGCCAACCGCGGGTTGTGAGCTGCGTGGGAAGGCTCCCTTCGAGGCGACCAAGACCCCATTTCAAGACTGCGAAACTTGTGAACGCCAAGAGAGTCCAGTAGAATGGCCGCGCAGAATATCGACGCTTCTGGCCGCGCACAGGACGACCCCAGCTCGGCGTCAGTACTCGGGGCATGGTGGATGATGCGGCAGTGGTAACATCATGGGTATCTAGTAATAAAGAGTCGCTGGCGGAGAACAGGAGCCCAGGGAGGCCAGAATGGAAAAGCTGCAAGGGATAGAAACAGTTGACAGGCAGCAGTCAATGGATTTCGGGTGCGGTGAGTGATCTATTGACCAAGCTCGGAGACAGAGTGACGAGCCATGCGGGAAGGTTGTCAATTCAGTAGTGAGCTCACGCTCGTCAGTCGTCGTTCTGTCTACTAGCCACTGATGTCAAGAGAGTGGAGACGGTGGCTTGTCAGGTCATTGGAGGGCCGATGTGCACAGCCTCATCGGCAGATAGGAATAGATCGTGGATGCGATGAATAATGATAATCGATCAAGTGATCCATTGAAGAGAGAGATCGTGGCCTAGGGGAATTGGCATGAAGTGCCTATACTGGCCAAAGTGCGATGGTAGCCAAGTTAATTTTGAAGATGGAAGGAAGAAGAATAGCAGAGGGACGGTGTGCTCCGTAGGTGCTGCGTCACGGGAGTCAAGTGTCACATGCTTGAGTGGTAACCCGATCGGGACAGATATAATCACGTGACCACAGACACCAGATGGGACTAGCGGCTGCGCTGTGGGCGACTCTGCGGCGCCGTATGTTTTTGTTGATTTCCTGCTTCAAAGGGAAACAAAAACCGTCGGCAAAGTGGCGCATCGCAACCGCATCGTTGAGTTCTTACGCAACTCGCCTACCCCTCTCCAAATGAGAAGGTTTCTTGACCGCCATCTAATCTTCTTCCGCTAAACCTGTTGAATCATCTTCGTTACACCGCTGAGGAAGGGATACAGCGAGTGTTGAATCAGCCCTTGCTGCTAGGGGAAATCGTTCACAATGCCCCGCGTCGCAAACCCCAAGCATCGCCGCTCCGGCGGCGCTTCAACCCCCCACAAGAACTCGCCGTTAAAGTAGGTATCTGTCTAAGGCGTGTCGTGCTTTTTATATACGGTCCAGACTGATGTGATGGTATTAGAATTCCTCTCAACGATGACTTGGGCGAGAAGGCGGCCCGCATGGAGGCCCGTCAAGCGCGCCATGACCGACAAATGGATCAGATTAAGGCCGCCGTGAAAACACCCATGCCCCCGCGCAGGTATTCGAACTATGACCGCGCATCTAGTATGAGTCCTGCTACTCCCCGAGGGTCAGGCCATCGAGGACGAGATAACGATGCAGACGGCCGAAGAGCTGTGACCCCGATGAAGCGTGTCCCAATCCTGGCTAATTTCGAGGAATGGATGAAGATGGCAACCGACAACAAGATTAATGCGAATAATTCGTGGAATTTTGCTCTCATCGACTACTTTCATGACATGTCCCTCCTGAAAGAAGGCGATGGCGTGAATTTCCAAAAGGCCAGCTGCACCTTGGACGGCTGCGTGAAAATTTATACGAGCAGAGTTGATAGCGTTGCTACAGAAACTGGAAAACTTCTCAGTGGTCTGGCCGATAGTCGCGATAAGAAGGCCCGCGAGGCTGGTGCGGAGGGGGAGGAGGTCGACGACGAGGACGAGGAAGGCGAGGAAGGCACAACGAGAAAGAGCCGGCGAAAGGTATAGTGCTGTGTCAAAGCCAGATGTGTATCCGATCCACTGACTGAAGCTATAAAGCAACGCTCCCATGAGGCCACATTGGCACCCTCTTTTGCTGCCCTTCAACTCAAGAAGTTTGAGCTTGAATTCTCGGTCGATCCACTATTCAAAAAAGCATCCGCAGACTTTGATGAAGGTGGCGCCAAAGGATTGCTTCTGAACCATTTGGCAATCGACGGTCAAGGGCGCATAGTATTCGATAGCAGCGACGATGCTACCGAGGAAAGCCCGAAAGAGACGGAAAGTGCGCGCCAGGATACAGAAGACCCCGATCGACCGGACTCTCCTTCCCCTTCGAGACAATCCCCTGGCGAAGTGTTCGAGGACAGTATGGACATCGACATCGGCCCTCTAGCCAGCCATTTCTTCCCCGACCTAGAGCGACTTGAGGAGCAAGACATTTGTCCTTCGCTGAAGAATTTTGACCTTGGAGATCCGAGTGGATCCTTGGACATCCCCTTCCTCAAGGCGCCCGAAGATTGGCGAAATGAAAAGGAGCAAGGTCGCAACGTCAATGACGCATCTGGAATCATGCTCGATGATGATAATGCTGTAGGTTTCGATGACGATGACGATGCGACTTTGGCTGGCTTCGACCTCACTGGGGATGCAGGCTTCGGAGATGGTGGAGAAGTATGGGCTCGTGAAGCCGCACTTGAGCCAATGCTTAAGGTCCATCGGGTAGATCGAGACGGTGATGAGAACCAAGATGGCGAAGAAATCGACAACGATGATGCATATGCCATATCTCTTACTCATCAGCCGGATACTCGAGATCACGAGAATATTCTCAGTTATTTTGACAATGCCTTGCAGAAGAACTGGGCTGGGCCAGAGCACTGGAAAATCCGAAAAATCAAGGAGCATGCGGCCGCTAACACCGCGAATGTGGCGCCAAAACAACGCAAAGAGAAGGAACCCTTTGAGATCGACTTCGGTGCGCCTTTAGATCCGTCTGTGGCTGAACTGATTTACACTCCAGCTAGCTCCAACTCCACGATCTCCCTGCCCAAAACGCAATGGAAAACCAAAGGTCGCAACCTCCTTCCTGACGACAAACATTTCAACTCACGCCAACTACTTCGCCTTTTCCTAAAGCCTAAAGCTAGAATGGGCTCTAAGAAACTGTTGGGGTCACGGCAGTTCAGCAATAGACGCCCGGACCAGACCTCGGGCAATGGAGACATGGACGAGGCATTCTGGGCGAATCATAAAACCGAAGCCGACGCAGAGCCTGGTGAGGAAGGTGCTCCCGGAGCGTATGATGCCAACTTCTTTGCAGATGATGACGGTCTTGCGTTCCCGAATGGCATCGATTTGGGTGACGATGACGACGACAATCTACCGTTTGCAGACGCCAGGGAGATGTTATCTCCACCAGCTGATGGGGCTGCAGGGCCGTCAGCTGGGGAGGCGGGCGGCGCTTCAGGTCTGGCGGCACTCCTCAACATGGTCGGGTCAACCCCTGGCTCGGCCCTCCAAAATGGCGCCGGCGGATTTGGGTCGCAACTTGTAACACAAGGTGGTCGAAGAGCAAGACCTGATTATGTGGCCTACGCACGGGTTGCGAAGAAGGTCGACGTGCGACGTCTCAAATTGGAGATGTGGAAGGGTATGGGTGACCGATTAATCGCTGCCACACACTTTGATGCTCCTCACGAAAGCACTGTCAATAGCCCTCCGGAGCCCTCTCAACCCGACGCAACGCCAACACCCACACCCACATCCCAGGACAAGGTTGCTGACGAAGAGAACAATCGATTACGCTTCACCCATGTCATGAACTCCTTAAAACAAGTCTATGCTCCGGATACATTGCGGGACATTAGTACCTCATATGGGTTCATTTGTCTGCTTCATCTGGCCAATGAACAAGGGCTTGTCTTGCACAATGATGACCGTCCTGGTGGTGACGGCGAAGCTAGATTGGAAGAAATCTTCGTCGTGAGAGATGCCAACGCAGTCATCGAAGAAGGAGCTATATAACATTGTATATCATGGATGAAGGCATCTGCTCCCTTGTTTTAATGGTCATGTTATGCTCTATGAGGTATGCTGTATGGGTTGGAGTTTACGCAGGCTCTCAATATGTGCCGTGGGCGGAGTTTGTAGGGTCGTTCGTTTCTCTGTCGTGATGGATGGCGTTTGGTCGGGCCGTTTGAATGGCTCCTTCGATTTATTTATTTACCTATGTTTTTCTCTTCAGTTTTGGGCTGGGGGCACAGTCCTGTGCTCGATTGGCTCGATTTCTCATGTACCTGTTTTATCTTTCGGGTTTAACACTTCCTCTCCGAAGGCCGTACATAACTACATGCAATTTCTGTTTCTTTGATGTGGACTCGAATTCGGTTTCTAAGAACAATAGTGATCAAGGCTTGCTGTCTGCTAAAACTCTTAAATTACTAATTTTCGGCATACATGGCTGGTGTCTAATTATCGGCTTGGCTTGTCGTCTCCAATGAGACGACGGCCGAGCAAAACAGTCGGAAATGGAGGAAGTAGTGGTAAAAGGAGTAATCATAATAGAAGAGATGGTATATGTAACATGATGTAAATCAAGGACACGATATCAGCAAAGAAAAGAAAACTGCAAAAAAACGAAAGCCAAAAAAAAATCTCGTTCACGCCAAATTGTCGACAAGAATGATTCGGACCTGTGTACAAGGCTCTCTGTCTGGGTTGCATAATGGGCCAAAGATCCACAACTTCCGAGCTGACGCCAACTATTATGTTCGAAAAATCATATGTATATTTGCATGCTTAGGTATCAAATATTCGCGATTGACAGCTCAATCCCGAACATGCTCACCAACCAATCATGAGTCCCTTATTGGTGGTGCGTTCCTTGGGGAAAACCGGGGCTCATTGGGCTCGCATAGGCGCCTGGGATTGGGACGGCTTCGTAAGTCCGCTCACCGGGAGCAGCACCCATATGCTGAGAAGAGCCCTGGATTGACGTGGCCGCAGGAGGAGGAGGTGCAGGGAACTCCTCCTGTGCAGATTTGGGGGTTGCGTGCTGCACGCGAATCGGAGGCGGCTGCAGTTGGAATGTAGGTTGCGGCATGGTTGGCGATCGAGGAGTAGCAAATTGGGTCGAGCACGATTCTCCATTTTCCGCTGCAGAATAGGGGTCTTGAGGAATAGACGTCGTCACAATGGGGGTTTTGGCGGCATGGGGAAACCCAGGGGTGTTTGGTGCCGACTGGAGACGAAGCTGAGCCAGGTACAAGTCAGATCGAGCTTTGTCGCGGCGGTCCATAGACTTTGCGAGCCGCCTTTTGGTCCAGAACCGATAGAACACGACTGCGTAGATCAGGATAATCATAACTTCGAGAACTATCTCGATGATAGCGCACACTAGTCCCCAGTCCTGTCTTCAAGGTTAGTAAAGCGGTGAATCACTGTTGAGAAACCGCAGCATCGGCTGCCTAACGCACCTGAAGACGGCAGAGAAGGGCGTAATCAATGTCATTGTGGAACAATTCCTCCCGAGTATTCTTCTTGCAGGACCAACCCCACAAGTCCTGGCCGTTGCCGGTGGCTTTATCGTTCTGGTAGAGCGCAGCTGCAACGACCCACATGATCAGACTGAATGTGAAGAAGCAGACCGAAAAGATTGAGTAGTACACGGCGACTTTTTCTGCACGCTTATGGCCGCCCTTCCAATATCCCCAGAACACAACCAGACAAGCGAACAGCGATACACAGGCCACCGACAAGAGTAGGTACTGTGTCCACGGATTCGTGCCGTTGGCCCACGCAGGGAAGCCACTACGGGATGGCAACGATTTTGTTGCGTGGAAGATGGTCAAAGTCGTCCCCAGGATTGTGAGAACGATAAGACTGCACGAAAAATTCACAAAGCGAAGGAAGATCTTCGCAATTCGCACCCGGAGTTTAATGCGCTATACGTATGAAATCATATGCGTCAGTTTTTACCCGGGCCATGGCCATAACATACACACTCACCAGGTCTCTAGCATTCTCCTTGTCCGCTGATCTCTCTTGTTTCTCGACGTAGAATTCTTCGCGGAATGTTGGACTGAGCGGATTGAGCGTGCGTCCGGGCGTGCCTGGAACCTTCAAAGCACTCTTAAGGGGCGAGGTAGGCGGGACCTGGTGCGACGCATGTTGTGCAGGATCGCTTGCCGCGACATATCCAAACCCTACATCAGACACATCTGGATGAACCTGGGGTTGGTTGGAAGGATCTGCAAACGGGGAATTGCGCGCGTCAGCAGGGCCAGTCGGGGAATAGACCGCCGTTGCCTCCGCAAAACGAGCTGTCCGCGGACTCCTGATAGATGAGGACGAAGTGTCCGACGAATTTCGGTCCTCGACGGTGGGTTGCAGTGCTGGCGCCATTTGTCTATGATTGGGGCCTCGAACGATGTCTAGGGGGGTAACCGGTTCGTAGTTGCGGGTAGAACTCCTTTGGCTATCACCGGATATCGACATCGGATAGGCGTATCCAGAATCACGGTTATGGAGCGGGCTTGCGTTGTGCGAGATGTATTAGGAACTTAGAGAGCCAGCTCTCAACGATCCTATCCTGCCACCGGATTACAGGCGACGGACTCTTTGACAGTAATATGTGGTTGTTGATCAAATGCACGGTGTGCTCTTGTCTCAATCGAACTCCATGCGTTACCTTTGGGTCCCGTTGTCAGCTAGACCAAACGGGTCTGCGTTTGTGTGCTGCGGACGAAGGCGCTTAGACTAGAAAAGGGCCACTCACCAACAATCCGATTCTGTTCTTTGTTGACTATCTCGTGGAAACACCCTGCGAATCCTGCGCTGCTCAAGCCAAGGTGCAAACCGGCACGGTAGAAAGACTCAAGGTACGGACAGATGAAAGTCGGCGGGAAGGAGAAAGAAAAGAACAGAGAGACTACGATCGGACCAGGCCATTTTTGAACGAAGTGAGCACCCTGGATATCTATGAGGTCCATTCAGCGGGGGAAACATGCAACGACCGTGTGAAGGGCAGAGGTAAGCGCCGGGAAACCTGCAGAGCAATGACGGCAAGAACTTTGATTGGCGGAAGGCGAGTGTAGGTGAATCTACGGATGCGCCATCCAGGTGATGATAGGAAGAGACGGGGTCAAAAGGCACGATGACTGGATGTGAAGGTGCGTCACTAGCGCAATCATCCTGGCTTATCACAGCGGGGGAGAGGGTGTCCATCAGCATCAACATCACCATCTAGCTTCGTCCAATGCAGGTCTGATCACCACCGGAGCGAATAAGCAGGTGATTTGGCTCCCTCTTCCCGGCGCCAATGTTGATCGTCTCGCAGAACAGCCAACCAGACGGGCTACGGAGCCGCTGGGCTTGAGAGCGCGAGAGAAGAGAAGAGGAGGGGAGAGATAGACTGGCCGGACGCTGGATAATTCGATTCAATTCAACTGATGACCCCTTGACAAGGTAGACTATCTATATGAGGTCAGACTCTTTACATCCAGGCTAGAGAACAAGTTTTATAAAGAAAGAGATGGTCCCTGACCAACGGGATGGTACAGATACGGACGGTGAGGACTTGAGGGGTGAGGTATGAGGAGAGAGCAGAGAGTGGATCCTTCGAGAGGGTTGCTTAAGCGCCTGCAAAAGTGATCACTGTTTGATCACACCAATCACGGGGATGACTAATGCACTCTCCTCACCAGGTTCAAAATGCCTCATTCTTTGCCCTTTCCGGAAGGGCGGCGGCAATCAAAGTACGGTGTAGGGAACATAGCAAGGGAACACAGGCAAAGAGACAAAGACCGACTCGTCTTCTCTCCCTTTCTCTCTCTCATCATTCTCTTTCTTCAATATCTTCAATGTCTTGAAGTTCTTAAGCCAATTCAATGCCATGGATCGTTTGATCGGTGTGGGTATGCTGAGTCACGGCTGTGAATAGATTACCTTATTGTCTTGGTCCGATTGAATTGTCATTACCAATGTGTTCACCATACTCTGTACGACCAAAAAACCAAGGATTCAAGATTGACATTGACATGACCATGAGATGATTGTTTTACTATTGATATACCTCGGGGGGGGTGTACGGTGTACAGCCACCCCATCCCCACCGATTCTAGATTGTGTGCGCGGGCTACGAGTTGGTCCAGCCACCAATTATCCTTCCGTTTCACGATGGCAACGGGCAAGCACCGCCTCAGGATCCGTCCGGTGTCATGTCTTCTAGTCTTCTACACAGTCAGAGAACCTCCTGCTGAGTGCTGCGCCTCCCGTAGACTTAAAAAAGCATCCGTCTAACCAGCCTAGGTTAGCGTTACCGCTTAAGGCGAAAGCGTCCTTACGGTACTGTTACCACAGTACGGTCGGTCCGAGAGATGGTCCGAGTGCCAACGCGCCCCGTGGCCGGGCAGAGCCTCTTGAAAGTTGGTCACGGCCGGTAATGGCCCAACGCGCTCCAGCCACCTCGTGTCAAGATTCATCCCGTCCTTCTGCTTCTCCAACAGTGAAGACTCCCATCTTCTCTCTTTCTTTCTTTCTTTCCCTTCTCTGCAGGACCCGTCCTTACTTGCTCCATACTCGCTCGGTACAGCTACTGTCAGGGTCTGTCAGTGTCTCCTGCGCTTTCTCTCCCCTCCCCCTCTCGTCCGGCTGAATTGATTCTACCGTAGTACGGAGTGACCAGTTCCCACCCCTCCCTCCTCTGCTTCTGTGTGGTTCATCTCCGCCTCCGCCGTCCCCTCCCAAACATAACCTACGCTCGTTACTACTGACTACTAACTTGGCCACTGCATCATCATCTCCTGGATCCATCCATCCATGCCTGTTTGCCATTCTCTTACATCTGGATTTCAATACTGCCCTTCTCTCCCTCCTTTCCTTTTCCGGTCTTTTATCTTATTTTTATTTTGGGTACTTTGACTTGGCTCCTCCTATTCCCCCTTCTTATTTGGTTCTCCTTCTGCCTTCGATCCCCGTCTCCCCCACACCTTAGTTAGATTCTTATTGGTATTTTTTTTTTTTTGTTTCGGTCAGCCTCGTGAATGAGGCTTGGTCGCATCTGTACCCATCTCTCCTTCCGATCTCTTCCCTCCCGACAATTCTAAGATTCCTCCCCCCTTACCTGGCCTCTGTCCCGGGTGTTTCGCCTTACCTAGACGATTATCCGTTGACTACTATTTGTCAGACGGGTTGGTGTTGCATAGCCTCTTTTCACCCACCCCTTTTGCAGCAATTCTTAGTCTCGGCTTCTCCTGCAGCCTAACTGAGCAACTTCGATTCTGCCGCACTTCCGCCACGGATTCCCCAGATGGGTTGACCCCCAATTCAAACCGATCGATCTTTGGCTGATAGCAGTGTCAAACGTTTTGTTCTTTAATTGGTTTTATTCATCCTGCACACGCTACTGCTATTTTTGTATTCCTGCAAAGCCCCGGCCTTGTATACCAGTGGGACCCGATCGTCTGACAAGGCGTCGCGAAAGCTGAACCTTTCCGTCAGCTTGCGCCACACTCCAGGTGAGCGCCATCCATCCAACTCTGCTTCCCATCGTTCTGCTTCCTTCCTCGCATCCTCTTTGGATCCTTTCTGTCAAAACCCCCCGTCTCTCTTCTAGTTCTCTACTTTCTGGGTATTCTCCAGTTCCCTTTGATGGCTTTCACTCTGTAACCGCTCCCGCTGAACCGCGAATTACTGACATGGGCTCCACCGAAATAGCTTCTTCGTTCTTTCGTCAACCACTTTTGGCTGGCGTGAAACCTCCGTTATCCATGGCTGCATTGATGCAATCGAACAACGAACCTGTCGCCATCTCCAACCCTTTACCAGGGTCGTCCACAGCGGCCATTCCCAGTCCCCCCGATTCCATCGCTTTTCTGAAACAATCCAAACCCGATTCGAACCTGTCCTCCATCGCAAGCGCTGGACTGAACGTCTCTCGATCTAGAGACTCGTTACCGCCGATGACAGCAGTTCCGTCAGCGGCCAGTCCAATGGATCGGATATTAGAGCATGAAAAGGAATCGGAGCGAAATAGCTCGCAAGTGGCAAGGGAGGCTTTAGGCGCCAGCGAAAAACAGCAGGGCACGCCGGGAAACGATCCCATGCCAATAACCTCCGATCAAATGCAGGTCGATTCGCATACGTCCCCGAACAATGCTCCTGATGCATTCGGGACTTCCGAGAATAACGCGTCACTCATGAACACGGCTACTGTTGCCAGCCCCGGTCCAATAGACGACTCCGTTTCCCACGATGGGGAACGTTCAGGCCATCGCGATGAAGTGGAATTGTCACAAGATACAAGTAACAAGGCCTTTTCCTACCCCATGCCCACGACAGCCCTCGGTGATCCCCGCCGCGGTCTTAGTTTGCCTGGTTCCGGGTTCCACAAAGGTGGTCAGCGCTCGCCGTCAACAAAAAAGCATCGTTGCCCTTACTGTGCAACCGAATTTACAAGACACCACAACCTCAAAAGCCACCTTCTCACTCATAGCCAGGAGAAACCGTACGTCTGCCAGACATGCCAGTCACGATTCCGCAGACTTCATGATCTGAAACGGCACACGAAGCTCCATACTGGCGAACGGCCGCATCTTTGTCCGAAATGTGGGCGTCGATTTGCTCGGGGCGACGCTCTGGCCCGTCACAACAAGGGCCAAGGGGGCTGCGCCGGACGCCGGGCGAGCATGGGCAGCTACGCTCCTGAAGACGATTTTGGCGATGCAACCGGCCACGGTGGTGCTGAGGATACGATGGACGGTCTCGTATATGCAGAGCCAGAGCGCATGGATGAGGAAGATGAACGGCGGGTTAGCATGCCCAGCATCAAGAAGCACGACGTGCCTACCGAGTCAATAGCTCGCTCCAACACCGCGACGAGCTATCAATCCCGACAGCCGAGCACATATCCCCCGATCGCCGCAGGCCGACCCTCTCCTGGGGGCTTATTCCCGCCTCCCACCAGTCACGGTGGCTCTAGCGCATCAACGTCGCCCATCTCTCAATCGGGAAATCTGACGTTTCCTCCTCCAGGCCAGTCCTCTGGGGCGTCGGTATTTCAGTCGACAAACATCACTGAAAGCCCGAAGCCGCTTTCGCCCAACGCCTTGCCTTCTCACCAAATGGGACCGGGTCCTGATGGAATCCAGCTCCACCGCTCTCATTCTCCTGGCCTGACTTCGTCATTCCCGCAGCAACCGTACTCAAGGGCAGGGCCATCTCAGACATCCACCAACCATGCTTCCGGATTAGGCCTTCCCCCGCCGCAGCCCGGAGCACCTCAACTACCCCCTCCGCCCGGCATGAGTTCAGAGACCCGCTTTCCGCTTCACGCCCAAGGATCCGTCCCGCCACCAAGTGCCAAACATCACTCATCGCACAGTCATTCTAGTAATCACAGTGGGCCGCTGGCATCGAAGCCAGGCCAAGAGTTGGTAACCAGCAACGGCAGTCATCATCCGGGGGCTCACGACTCGAGCTATAATGAGCAGGGCCGAGATCGAGAAGATTCACTTTGGGCGTACATTCGTTCTGTCCACGAAGAATTGGCCAGTCTCAAAACCGAGGTAGCCGCTTTGAGGGCGCAGATTGCATCCTCGAACGTCAACACGTTAACCGCTTCCGGTGCCAGCGTCGCCCAACCCCAGTACGAAGCGGGCACCATCGGAGCCGGACAACGATGAATGACTACACCCTTCCATAATACCCGTATCCTCTATCATCTGGTGTCGATTAGTGATTTTATACCATGATCCGTCTCTCTGTGTTTCTACTACTCTTTCTATCAAAGCCTTATGCCGTTAATGATTGCGACCTCCTATTAAGCCCTCGCCGCGACTCCAAGGGTATTTCTTCTCTTTCGATTGTTGTTGTTGTTGTTGTTGTTTAGGCGCCAATTTCTATCTCATGTTTATGTCTTTGTAAACTCTGCCGTTTCCCGGATCTTTGCTTCTCTCCCCTGGCCGATCTTATCGGTTATCTCTACCCTCTGATACATACGTGAATATAGCGATGCAAAATTCGCCACCTGGTACAGGCCACGGAATCACTATCTCTCTTCGAAAATCGGTTCTACTGTTATGATTAGTCTTTTGTCTAAACATTGCCGGCATGGGTCATTGTACGGATTCAGCATCATTGTCCTTTTGTCTTTCCAACTCTTTGTCTTGAATTGTTTTCGATAGTTAGGAGAGCTGGGAGTACAGGATAAGAGCATTGCTGTAATCCAATTCCCTTTCTTTTGGCTGTTAATACTTAAGGAACGTCAGATGCCATGAGAATTTCCTGTTCTTCAACTGTGTTTCCACAGAAGCGAAGTTCTTCCGTAAGGAATCAATGCCTCTCTAAACTAGTCCATAGAGGAATCCATTGTTCAAGATCACGTAGACCCAATGTGAACGAGCAATCTGTTCAGGCACCCTCGTCGGACCCGTCACATCTTTTCTACGGGGTCACGGAGCGTCCAGCTGCTGTTCTCCGCCGAGCCGTCCAGGCGATGAACAGCCCCACGTCCGCCACAATAGCTTTGGGAACTCCGCCCAACGTCCAACTCCGCTGTACCCATTGGGGGATAGCCCCGCCGGCGTCCGAGGTGGTAGCCATAGTCCACTCGACCCGGTCTGCAGCGGATACCACCTGCTCCACACTCGCGTACGATGCGAAGATGGTCCCACGAGGCGCCGAGGCGGTGATCTTGGCACGCAGCGCATCGGGGACGAGGCCCCGACGATGCGTCAGGGGGATCTGAACGGTCACAAACCCGCTGGCGGTCTGCTCGGGGAGGCGGGCGGAGATCGAGAGGGAGATGAAGGATCGGGGAGAGATCAAGGCGGTGGGGTGGAAGGTGTGAGTGATCATATTGACTACGCCATGGATATAAAGTCAGTCTATATGTGTCTTGGCGATGACCTCCCCAAAAAAAGATCCCCTGTACGCAACATGAATATGTACAGTACGGTGTGTATATATGATGTGGCGTTGCTACCTACAGAGTTGACTTGCCTTGAACGTCCACTTCCGTCCAGCCACCCTCAATCTCTCTCTCCGGTGGCCACTCCAGCAGTCTGTCCACCGCCGTCACACTCGGGGTGTAGGCCATCTCGTTCTCCGCATGGTTCGATTTGAGCCCGTCCTGGAATTCCTCCCATGTCGCCGATCCGTCGACCGACGCATCGGCATGGATGCTTTTTCGACAGTACCAAATCTCCTTTTTGGAGGTGCCGTCTGGTTGGGAATATTGGACGGTGCGGCTCGAAAGCTGAACTGCTGCGGAGGCCGGGGGTGATGGACACTGTTCTCGGTTCTCGTGGAATGTGTCGGGAATGGAGACCAGGAAGTTATGGGCATCTGCTAGGATGGAGCAGAGGAACTCGCGAAGGGCAGGGCGCGACGAAACGTCGTCAAGGGATGGATGGCTAGGAAGAATAGAGAAAGGGTGCGGGATGCGATGAAGGAGCGACGGGCGCATGATTGAGAGTTGGTATGGAATTGAATTGGATAGGGGCAAGATGGAGTTGGGATGAGAGAGGAAGAGGAGGCAGGGGATATTTTATTTTTTTTAGTCATCTTTCAGATAAAAACAATCTAGTATAAGAGTTGGTTTAAGATATATAGACGCGGTAGTTACTCCGTACACTGACATACTATCCACAAGGATCCGCTACCTCGCTGCACCAAACAGGCCTACGCTAACATTTTGAAATCGCTTAATTTGAGAAAGATGAGGGAGAGAAGAGAGGTGAAAGTCTGGAAGCCTGTTTGCAGGATTCGAACTCGCCGAGAAAGGTCATGGGAAGGTCATGGGTAAATGGACGCACATTGGGAATTATCTTGTATTGTTATTGTACTGCTCATGGGACTTGAGATATTTGGGCATTTGTATGCGAAATCCTGCTTCAATTGGCGGACCTGCATAGCTTAATTTTTTAATGGGTCGGCTCTTTCAGGCTTGTCCTACCCTGATAGGTAATGGATGGATAGATTGATTGACAGAAATATAGATTACAGATATATATAGTTATATATAGGGTCGGCAGTATACGTTTTCTCGTGTTATACATAAAAAGGGGCGCAGGATGGGCACATTCTGAGAAACCTGTCGTCTTCAAAGACAGCGTATCCCAGGCCCAACGCTGCCTGTATCGAAAATCTCGACCAGGCCGGCTCCGATGGCCTCCTCTACTATCCATCGAAAATTCATCCCATAGAGAGCTTTCCACTTTTTCGTTCTGCCCGGCAATATGCCTGCAAATTCACCCCGTCCTCTTTTGGCCAAATCAAAACTTTTCTCCGTCTCGATCGCACCATCCCAGCGGTCTCGAAGGACGTCGAGGGGCACTTCAGAGGAGCTTGATTTCTTCAAGAGAGATAGCAAGTGCGTGCGCCCGGCCTCCAGAAGGCGAAGATAAGGCCCTGTATTTGGCAAAGAGAGGAGAAAGGTTGCCGTATGGAATTGCGAACGATCGAGAGTTTCCGTGCCGTTCGAGTGGGCAATACTATCACTTCGGCTAGCTGGGTTCCCAGCCGGGGACATCGACGGAAGACTGGGAAGCAAGGTCATGCCTGATGACCCTTGAGCCAGAGACGAGGAGCAGACCAGAAATCCAGCGTGAATCAAGGCCATGTATTCCGGCGCGGTGAAGGCTGCGCCGGGCACCGCGAATTTATTACCGATCCGATTTAGCACACTGAGCAACTTTTCTGCGAGATGGTCAGTATGTTCGGTTACCGTACTCCCCCTAAGGAAGGCATACCCTTGATGGATGGTTCCAGATCACGGCAATCTTGCACAAGCCTCTCCCAGTCTTCGGACAGGACAAGGCAATCCCCAAGCCCCGCAGCACCGTTCCCTCTTCCGGGGACGACCAAGCGACGCACGCGGCCGCTGGTCACTAAGTCTATGATCTCTTTTTCTACTTTTGTGGGTGCATCTAATAGGGTATGAACATGGGCCACCGAGACTAAGGGGGGCAGCGAGCGGCGAATGCTAAGCACTTCGGCGATGCGGGTACTGTTCATGCCCGCTCGCGCAGGGAGATCCTCAAACATGCTGTCACGAATGTGACTAATAGCGTGGGCAACATCGTTGACCGGCGAAGTCTCTGGGACGTATCGCGACAAGCCCAGGTCCGGCAGAGGTTCTCGATCATCTTCTTCTAGGGATGCGTCAGATTTTGAGGCGAGGGGTGACCGCGTGGTGGCTTTGCGGCGAGCATGACTGGCAAAAGGGGAGACACGAGTCTTTGCGCTCGTTGTCGCCCTTTTCTTTTTGACACCGGAAACGGGGGCAGAGGTGATCCGTAAGGGCATGACCAGGAGCGTGCGCAGACCGAGGCGGCGGAGGGGAGAATCGGACTTTATCTGAATAGTGAATAGACACCTCAGGCAGTCAATCGATAAGAAACCGCCGATAGCATCACGTGTCGTGGTCTCTATGACGCGGAGGATCTAAGGACATGCCACTATTGATACATATGGTCATTTTAATATCTATAACTCGACATTACTACAGATTTCATGACAGTCAAGCATTTGCTTACTCGCACGGTGTCCCTCAATCTGTGCTGAAGAAGTGAAGCACAGAAGAACGGTGGGCCGGCCATTCACATGACGTAGTGATGAGCACAGTTCAGGCCAATAATTCAGGCCGTCGTTCGTCTTGTTCCAACTTCAACTTGAATTTCTCTCGGCGTGTTTTCTGTCTTCATTCTTTGCTCATTTTTAGCCCCTTCGCTCTTCGAGGAAGCCTCGACCACGAGGATTTAATCTGATCGCTCTGCTTGTTACTCACCAGCCTCGATCTTCGCGCCTCGTATTCTGGTTGGGGACTTCCTTTCCCGTATCTTTCTGGATCTCCCCACGGTGCCGGTCCTGGCCTGAATTTGCAACGATGACGATCTATATTGCCTCGCTGTATGTGGCTCTGACTTGACTAGATCTTGTCATTTGGGTTAGGTTTACTGACTCGGTTATTGGGGAATTCTAGGTTTCTTCCATACACTGTCAATTTCGACCTCCAGGAATCGCGAGACGCCCCGCCCCGCACCACAAGTTCGCCTTCCCCCAAGCCTTTGGTTGAAACTGCAACACCAGCTCCCCCCACCGGCGTAAGCCTGTTCGAACAACAGACCACCCCCCAGAAAGTTGGCCTCACACCGGGCGCCACGACCGAGCATGAACGTATCTTTTCGTCCACTCTCGCCAAGGCGGAACAGGAGCAGACCGGGTATCCGTTCCCCTCTCAGGCAAACGAAACGCATCTCACGGCAGGGAGCGAAGGTCATTCACCTGCGTGGGGCTCTACACTGTCCTTGAATCAACCCAAACCACGGGCGGCAATTCCTCCGTCGCCGTCGATTCTCAAGCATCAGGAGCCTATCGTTCCCGCGCCCGAGCCTCCTCGCGAGAGACCGGCCAGAGAACTACACGCTTCCTCCATACAACCAATCCATTCTCCCAGCCGTCGCAGGGACTCAACGCGGAAGTTGTCCTTTTCCGGAGCCCGTTGGACCATCCAGACAGCTGAACAAGGTAATGGCGGGCTGCGCAATGCGGTGCGGTCCGCGACAGATGCCGGACAGCTGGAAGACCAGGTCTGGGTCGGCACGTTGGGAATGCCCACGGATGCTCTATCTGCGTATACCAAAGCGGCAATCGCGGAAAAGTTACGTGATGAATATGGATCGTTGACCGTCTACGTTAGTGACGGTGATTTTGACGGCCATTACACCCACTTCTGCAAAACGATCCTCTGGCCGGTATTTCACTACCAAATCCCGGACAACCCGAAAAGCAAAGCCTATGAAGACCATTCTTGGATCTATTATGTGAAGACCAACCAGGCCTTTGCCGAACAGATCGCGAAAAATTGGAAGCGCGGAGACTCAATATGGGTTCAGGACTACCACTTGCTGCTGGTTCCGGCCATGCTCCGTAAACTTCTGCCAGATGCCCAGATCGGATTCTTTCTTCACATCGCTTTTCCGTCGTCCGAGGTATTCCGTTGCTTGGCGCCCCGCAAAGAGCTCCTTGAGGGAATCTTGGGGGCTAACCTGGTGGGATTCCAAACCGACGAGTACTGCCGTCACTTCCTCCAGACGTGCAGTCGCATTCTCTGCGTTGAGGCCACAAATGACGGCATTCAGCTAGAAGATCGATTTGTCAACGTGAACAAGTTCCCCATTGGAATCGACCCCACCTCATGGGATAAACGCCGCCAGGCTACCGACGTTGAGCACTGGATTAAAACAATTTCGGAGCGCTATGAGGGCAAACGACTAATCGTGTCTCGTGACAAGATTGATCAAGTCCGGGGTATCCGGCAGAAACTTCTTAGCTATGAGCTTTTCCTGAACACATATCCCGAGTGGAGGGATCAGGTGCGTGCCGAAGCTAATGCTATTGTCGTGTGAAATGCACACAACTAACCTCGCCCTCTCCCTTTAACAGGTCGTGTTAATACAAGTGGCTACTAGTACGACCGAACAACCGGAGCTCGAGGCGACAATATCTGACATTGCTATGCGCATCAATTCCACCCATTCGACGCTCGCGCATCAGCCTCTTGTTTTCCTAAAGCAGGATTTGGCATTCCCGCAGTACCTTGCGTTGATCTCCATTGCTGACGCTCTCATGATCACGAGTTTGCGAGAGGGTATGAACCTGACGAGCCATGAATTCGTCTACTGCCAGGATGGAAAATATGAGACACGAAAATACGGGTCTTTGATCTTGAGTGAGTTCACGGGAAGCGCGTCAGTTTTCGGCAATCATGCTCTCTTGGTCAACCCTTGGAATTATAGACAGTGTGCCGAGGCGATCCACACGGCCCTCTCCCGAAGTGAAGAGGAACGACAGCAGGTGTGGATGCAGCTACACCGAGCCGTCTTGGAGAACTCGACCGCAAACTGGGTTAAGACTTTCAATGAGACCTTGAGCCGCGTATGGAATGAGCAGTCGTCTCGCGAAATCATGGCAGTCCCGCGCTTATCAGTTAGCAAGCTCGAGGACCTGTATCGTCAATCCTCCCGCCGGCTCATCATCGTGGACTATGAAGGTACTCTTGCCTCTTGGGGCTCGCCGAAGAGTATCATCGTTACCACGCCGCAGCGGGCGATCACCACATTGACGGAGCTAGCCGACGATCCAAAGAATATAGTTTTTGTCATGAGCTCGAGGATGCCAGAAGAGATGGAACGCCTCTTTCGCATGGTCGCCGGCCTCGGTCTCATCGCGGAGAACGGCTGCTTCGTGCGTGAGCCGGGAACCGAGGATTGGTTCAAGCTGACCAATAAAGCACGGACGGATGCGTGGAAGGAAGCAGTCCGCCAGATCCTCAGTTACTATCAGGAACGGGCGGAGGGAAGTTGGATCGAGCAGCGCCACTGCTCCCTGATGTTCCATTACGGGACGGCAGAGGATCAGGTGGCCGCCTCTCGGTTGGCATCCGAGTGCGCCGGACACATCAACGACTCGTGTGCCAATCAAGGTGTGCATGCTGTTATGGTTAACGGAGCGTTGGTTGTTGAGCCGGCCGATACCAACAAAGCATCGGCCGCGGCCATGGTCTGGCGACATTGTCTCGAGCGAAGTGAACAGGATCCGTCGATTGAGCGGCCGGATTTCCTGCTTGCCATCGGAGATGGCCGCGACGACGAGCCGGTGTTCAGATGGGCCAATAAACTCGAACACGCCAATGCGGTTAAACATGCCATGACGGTGACCCTGGGGTCTCGGAGCACGGAAGCCAAGGCAACACTGGCGCAGGGCGTCACAGGTAAGTTGATCCTTCATGCGTGGGTGATGAATGATATGATGATTGTGACTAACTGTATCTATTACTTGGTAGGCGTTCTTTCTTGCCTGGAGAAGTTGGCTGCCGCCACGACCACAGCCACCGGACCATGAATGACGTTTCTCCGTCTTTTCTCCTGTTCTTTCTTGTCAAATTCCTTTCTCCACTACACTTTATACGGATTACTTGGTAATATAAGCGGCATAGTTACGATTATTGGCGGGCGTCTAAAAGCAACCGAGACGGCGTAAGAGGCATCTATGGATGATGATCCTTGCCATTTGGTCTACTAACAACTTACATAACATGACATGAATAGAAGTGGGCGCACAAAATCTCGGTTTAGAATATTATGCTTTCTTTCTCGCGTAGGTCTACTTAGGCAGTCGTAGGCCCTGCAGGTAGTTAGATAACCACCCACTAAGTCGTTGATTAATGATTAGTAGTTAACTAACTGTCCAAAAATTGAGTTAGTCAGCGCTTCGGCTTCTCTCTGCAGTTCAACCGAAGCCGAGGCTTTGCGTTCGGATGCGCATGAGCATCACCCACCAGGATGTCCCCCTCCTTTCCATTTGCCTCCTGCTCTGCCAGGCTTAGAGTGCCCATGATATTTGATTCAACCCTCCGTCCACTTGCAAATTAGAAAACCATGTCAGCTTCCCCGGTCAAGCCCCGCAACAATGACAAGCCGACGTGGGAGGAGGCAATCCAGGTGACGCCCCTCGACTCCCACCGTTATGCCGCGTTTCTACAGAGCGAATGGTGCATTGGGACAGGTACGACTACCCCGATCGCTCGTCCGCCCGAATCAAGCGTGTCATTAACTGCAGGACTCCAGTTCCCCACGGTGGCTATACCACCGCCGTCCTCTACCGTCTCGCCACAACCCATTTCGCTCATACCCATGCCTCTCGATACAATGCGCCGGCAACGCCCATCTCAATGCAGCTCCAATTCCTGCGCCGCACGTCCGCCGGACCGGCCGTGATGACCGTGCACGACACGAAGCTCGGCGCCCGAACCAGTACCATCCACGTTACGTTATCGCAGCCCCGCGAAAAGAAAGGGCCCGCCGCGGAGGGCAACGGCGGCGATTTGGAGGCTAAAGTCACCGGATACATCACCGTCAGCCCGGCCACTGCCGAGGTGGGCCTCTCCGCGACCACCGGCTGGAGTCTGTCGCCCCCAGCGGCCCCCGGGTCCGGGGCGAACGGGCGCGTGGACTTGGCGACCCTGGCACGGACTGGCCGCGACGGCGAGTGGAGGCGCGTGGCCGCGCCCTTCCCCAAATTCCGCCGTGCGACGCAGCAGGTCGATCTGTACGGGCCGGACCCGGCCCTCGGGAGGCGGTCAGTAGTGGATCAATGGGCGCGATTCCGGCCCAACGGTGACAGCGAGGCGCGGTGGACCAACGAGGCGGCGGTCTACCTGACCGACATGTTTCCGATGGCGCTGGACGGGCTCGACGCGATGGCCTCGGAGGCGGCTTCGGCGGGCACACCAGGCACCCATTGGTATCCGACGGTCACGTTGAACATTGACTTGAAGAAACGGCTGCCGCCTCAGGGGGTCGAGTGGCTCTACAGTCGAGTTCACGTGAAAGTCGTGCGGGACGGGCGAACCGATATCGACGTGGTGATATTGGATGAACAGGGGGAGGTGGTGGCCTTGGGTACCCAGGTCGGACTGGTGTTGAGTGCCAGTCGCAACGTGGGGCAACGATCAAAGATGTAGACAAGAATGTATATATTCATGATAGACCTATATCGGTAGACTACTTTTCTATATACAGACAGGAATTAAGGACATGTGGGTAATATATATAACACCCGCCTAGCCACCCGCTCACACATACACCAATGTATAAAGAGAGTTTGCAACGAACACATCCCTTATCGCTAGAGATTGGGAGAAGTCTGCAGCCAAAAGGCTATAGCATCGGTGGTGACGACCATGCGGGAGGGATCGGCTTCGTCCTCCTGCAGCAGCTGAGCACGAACCCAGAACTTGCGACCGACGCGAGCGACCAGCTTGGCGCGGGCGACCAACAGACCGGGAGCTGAGACGGGTCGCTTGTATCGCACGTCCAACTGCGCCGTGTAGAGTTTGCCGCGGGGAGAGTGGGAGTCGGAGTGGGAGTTGGGGTCCAGCTCGGGCGGCGGCGCGTGCAGAGTCACGGCCAGGGACATGGCCTCGTCCAGAACGGTGGCCACGATGCCGCCGTGCACGGTGTCCGGATGGCCGCAGATGCCGGGGGCCGCCAGGTCCAGCAGCATGAAGACGTCTGCGGGACAGGCGCCGTCCGTCGCGTCGGCCGTGGGGGAGGGCCACGAGGGAGCGACGGCGGGGAGGGCGGGCAGGTCGCGGCGACGCAGCGTCAGGCAGTGCGGGATGGTGGTGGGCGTGGCCAGGGTCCCCGCAAAGAGTCCGTCCTCGCCCGTGGGTTTGGGGAGACGTGACCAGGTGCCAATGGCATAATAATCGGGGCGTTGCAGAAGGGCGCGGGCATGCGGATAGGCCTGGAACGCTTGTAACGTGCGACTAGTGTTGGTATTCTCCGGAAGGGGATCTTGCATGATCGACGAGGGGATCGAGGGGGCGGGATCCGACATGGTGAACAAGGAATGTTGATTATTGACTCTTCATGCATTCTGTACAGACTACAGAGTATATACTGCAGGATGTTCATACGGGAGAACTTGTACCTCGGGTATATTCGGCTGATTATTAATGGAATCCCTTGCATCTGATCTGATAAATAGGAGAGTCTACTATGTTGTAGTAGTAGACTGTATACTTATACTTATACCTATACCGATATTAATCCTGAAACAGGAAACAAATCTTGATTCTTGGCTGACTGCAGCGGGGCCACGTCGCTCCACTCTGGTTTCCCTCCGTAGATTCAGTTTCGCCTTACATCTTCAGCCCTTCAGCCCAGTCAGCCCTACGAGGATGACCACATTCCGGCTTGATGATGTCAGTTCCCCTCCTCTCCCTCTCTCTTTTGCTTTCTTGCATCTCTCGCATCTCTGCTCTAGTTCCGCCCTCCACAGATAAACATCTTCCATTCTCTCCCCATCCGACTTCATCTGTTCCTCACGAGACCCGTTAGCTTTTTTCATTCATATCCATCGTCCATCACCCATCACCCATCACCCATCACCCATCACCCTCATCTTTCCCCTTCTCCTTAACCCTGGCCAGATTCCCCTCGATCGGCAAAGCTTAGCCTTGCTTAAATGTGAACCGAAGGAACCACTTTTTTTCTTTGGTTGTGCCCCTCCCTCTCCCCCCAAACGAGTAAATGAGTGCCTGCCCCTTTTCCGTTCCTTCGCGTAATTGGGGGCCATTTTGCCTTTGGCTTCATCATCGCCGATTCATTATTCTTTTCGCCTCGACTTAGCAGTCTGTCGGTGGATCCTCATCCCAAGCCATGTGCTGGATTGCTGCGGCTCCTTAGCAGTTAGCACGGGCGGTTCTTTGTTCTGTTTAATTTAATTTTGATTTCTATTCTTTCCTCCCTCTTCCCAGGGCTGTGCTTTTATCGTCTCTCTCCCTCGCTCGCTCTCTTTACTTTCTCTTTTCTTTTTTTTTTTCCCTTTTCGGTTTTTTTCTTCTCCTTGATTCCTGCCTTTCTCCGCCGTGGTGAATTGGTAATTACTACCGTCAACCACTCCACTGCTACCTACTAAACTAGGTAGGGGTAACCTAGATCCGCTGCAGTGGCCCGCGTATTTGCCGCTAATCTTCCGAGCCCATTGTAGGCAGCAGCAATACTTGACCGCGACCAACGCGCAGAATGGACGACGTCCACCCGCAGGCTCGGTCCCGCCATCTGGTCGACAAGTATGGGCCGAAATTTGTCGACCGGACTGAGCAATTCCAGCATCGGGCCGTCACGATGAAAGCTGCTCCCCCCAATGGCAAATCGGCCCATCAGGGGCCTGCCGGGGGTTTCGATAGCACCCCGTTTCCCCATGCTCCTCCCGGCTACACCCTCAAATTTACCTTCCACCGCGGCATCAATCTTCCTTGCGCCGATTTTGGCACCTTCTCCTCGGACCCCTACGTTGTCGCCCAGCTGAATGTCGCCCTCCCCCAGCGACACAAGCAAGACCCCGGTTTTGTCTTTCGGACTCCCACGGTGCGCAAAAACCGTGACCCCGTATGGGAGAGCGAGTGGATTGTCGCCAACGTCCCCGCCTCCGGTTTCACCCTCAAATGCACCGTGTACGACGAGGACGCCGCCGACCATGACGACAAGCTGGGCAATGCCTACGTCGAGGTCGGCTCCATTCATGACGGCTGGAATAGCATCAAACAGCAGACCTTCAAGGTCAAAAAGCGCACCGGTAGCAAACGGGTCTATCTGTTCGGTAATATTGCCGCTTTGGCCTCGGGGCGTCTTGACACCGGCTCGCATCTCCTGATCAGCGTTGAGCTCCTCGGAAAAACGCCCGGAAACGAAGGCGCGCAGATGTACACCGCGGGGCCAAACTACTGGTTCAAGCACTTCTCACCGTTGATCGGAAGACTGGCTGGCACCAAAGATGAGGTTCAGACTCAGGATGGTAAAAAGGCCGTCACTCGATACAAGTACGTGCACGCCCCCTCCCCTCCCACTTGCTCGAGGATCGTGCCCTGTGCCCTAACCCTCTTTATCCGTCAGTTTTCAAGCCATCCAGATTCAGCTCACTGGCCCTGTACCCGCGGAACTTTACCATCGTTATGTCGAGTTCAGACCCTTCGTCGCAGGCATGTTCACGTCCCAGAGCCTGCGGGGGCGCATCCTCAACCGAGCCTTGCATCACCAGCATCAGCGGATCTACAACTTTGATCGCACCACGCTTAACGGTCGATTTGACTCTCCATGCGTTGCGCTTACGCAAAAATTCTTGGAATTTGTTCATTACGCTCAAGGCGGACGCATCTTCACCTATGTCCTTACCCTGGACGGCCAGTTTCGCTTCACGGAGACCGGGAAGGAGTTCGGCATCGACCTGTTGAGCAAGCATACCATGCATAGCAATGTGTCCATCTATATTGCCTACTCCGGGGAGTTTTTTCTGCGTCGGCGCCTGCACCGCTCCCATCATCATTCCCGACTCTCGCGCACATCGGAGACCGAGATGCCCACGGAAGATCAGCCCTCGGACGAGTCGGACATTTCAACCGACCCGGCTGACTACGAGCTGTTCATCGACAATGACAGCGGTACATATCGTCCAAATGGCCAATATCTCCCCCTGCTCAAGCAGTTCCTCTCGAAGAGCTTCCCGGAACTCAATATCACCACCTTGGACTGCACGGAAGATGCCGAACAAATGGCAGCGCTGAAGGGCGAGCAACGGGATTTCAAAAGAGAAGGGGGTCAGATGACGTTCCTACAGCAGAGCAGTACTTCATCCCTTTCCATCTCGAGCTCGGACGAGGAGGAGCTCGACGAACGCAGCGGGATGGCGCGCAGAAAGCGGGGAGACCTATCCCAAAAAGTGCACGACATGCGGGACGTAAAGGGCCAGTTCAAGAAGTGGGCGCAAGCGGAAAATCATGAGAGTATCAACGGTCCTGACCACTACTCGTCTACTCGAGGGGTTCCAGTTACGGATCCAATCCCTGCAAAGCCCGCCGAAAGAGAGGATGTCAGATAAGCCAGCTTCCGGTACGGCCCATCAATGACTATCGAATGCACCACCTTTCAGGGGATATCCAACGGATGGAACAACGACATGCGGGACAGGTTTTTGACCTGTTACTTCGATCCCCGATACCATGATACCCTTCCCCCCTTCCATCATGGACGGACGGTTTCTCATATCCTTATCATTGGCTCTTCTTCTTATTCTTAATATGTGTATATCCGGGTTTGCCTTCTGCCTCGGATCGCGCTGAGCTCATCCGGAGGCTCTTGAACATTCGGCCGAAGTCTGTTACATGTCTATATATACCTATGTATATCTTTAATACATTCATTTTTAACCTCCCAAATGAAAACCAATTCAGCTGGGAGAAAGCCAAAGATTGAACAGTAAAAGGGAGAGCTGAATGTGGGGACAAACGGTCGAACAATGTGCAGTCGTCGAGGATGCAGGATGCAGGATGCAAGTGGACATGAAGGGGCCGTGGGTGTACCCGCCGTATAAGCTTAGCGCGAGCGGGACAAGCAATCATCCTCAGGCACAACACCCGGTCTAAAGGCTCTAAGCCCCCCTCTCCGTCCAGTCACACGCTGCGCCCTCCATCTCCTCCCTCCCTCCCTCCCTCTCTCTCCCTTTAACCCGTCTCAGCTTCCTACTCACCCTTCTCCCCCCCCCCGCCTCTTTATTTTTCTCTGTTTTGCTTTGTGTGTATGTGCGTTTGTTTTACACACCCCCTTCTCTTTTTCTTTTTGCGCCCCCTGCCCTTTCTTTCCTCTCCCGCTTCCCGCTTCCCGCTTTCCTCTTTCCCTTTATCTCACTCACCTTTTGACAAAGTGGGGAGGGGAATGTCAGACTTTTGATCTCCCTATTGCATCCGCAATAATTACAACTCCTCGCTGACCCGGCAGCACGTACAAGCTTGATTATACCCGTGGCTTGTCTTTTCGTATATCTCCTTCTCGACCCTCTAGACCTTCGTTCGATAATACCGCCGCCTCGCGTGTACTCGAGTCCGCTTCGTCTTGCAATTTCTCGATCTGTTCAAGCCTAACGAGTGATCATCTCAAACATCTGGAACGATAAGAATACGGATTGAATGAAGGCCCATCGGTCGGAGTACGTTGACGGCCATCTCGATCTATCCTTACCTCTCCGTTCGACTTCGGGCGCGCAGACCGTCGATGATCACGTTCATTCGTCCCGGTCATTCTTCCGGACCTACTCTCAAGCGGTAACTTGATACATTCGACTTGTCTCAACATGGGAAACGTCGGGAGCCGCTTGGATGATTCCGGGACCTTATATTTCAAGGATCAGACTAGGTGTACGTCCATCTTTCGCGCGGTTCTGATTCGTGTCGCCATATCCTTTCTCGCTCCTTTCCTCACCTTCCATTTTGCCCCTTGGCCTTTTCTCGCCTTTTCATCAGAGTTGCTGATTGATTGTATCTGCGCCAGTTACGGTCGCGTCCGTGACAATAACCAATTCCCGACGTCGGGTGCTTTTGAATTTAGTCCCAAACTCTTACCCAGCCACTCGATACTCCGCCAAGCGCGATGTTGGGGATGACAGCCCGATCGAATACGTACAGGTAGGTTGAAACCCTCTCATTATCACTCTTCACCCAGCTTCTCCCCATCGTTTCCATTGCGATTGGGTCGGAGTGTTAGAAGGACAGTATACTTATCTCCTGCTTGACTACCCAGGACCCCGACCTTTCTTCCTCCGCCGCAGCGCCGACTTTTCTTCTGCGCCTGTCCAACGATGACGAATTAAATTTCAACTTTACTTTCATACTCAGGCAAACGCAAACCGGAAATGCCGCAAGTTCTACCGTCAATGGGGTCTCAACTTCGTTACCAGAAGTGGCCGATACGGTACTCACCGGCCTTACGTTTGCGCATGCCCCCAACTCGAAGGAATTGGACAACCTGATCACTCGGGAATTCCATGCCAATCCAAACCTGCAGAACAACTCCAACGTGCAGTTTGTTGGGGATTACTCGACGGGAGGCAGCCCGTCCGTTCAGTTCGATTGGTCTTGGAAATGGAAACCCCCGAAGACCGTGGAGGACAAGGGAGGCGGATGGCGCAACAGTTGTAGCTTTCTGGACTATGATCAGAGAGCTAACCGATTGAACACCCTCGCTCATTTTTCATTTTGGGTGCAGAATTCGGTACGCGCGTTGCCGAGCCCGCAAATATTGTCCCCCAACCTGGACCTCCTTGTCCCTCCACCCCGTAATCGGGTACCCTCCTCCCACTCCATTCTTACTCATTCCAGTGAAGCGGACATGTTGCCCAACAACCCGGACCTGCCAAGCACGCCACCAGAAAATGGCGATGCCGTGATCGCAACACAAGCTTCCGCGCCTCCTCCGGTCAAAGTCGACCTTCCCCAGCGGCCCGGCGAAGACATGAGTGTGGTCGAAGACGGCCCGCTCTTTCGGGCTACAATGAAGGCCATGGAGCAGAAGACGGGCAATATGCGCGCCAAAATCAAGAAAGTGTTGAAGAAGGCGGAGGCGGCCCAACAGGCGCAGATCGCTTGCAACGATGCGTCGGAGGCCTTCCTATCTGCCCTGAACGATGCATCGACCTCTAATGCGAATGCGATCCAACCGGCACTGGATCATTACTTCGAGAAAATAGCCCGGCAGATCTTGAATTACGAGCGACTGAACACTATCCAACTCCAAAAACTCGTCATAGAACCCTTGGTCAAACTCTATCATAATGACATCAAGCAGGCTGAAGCCAAAAAGAAGGAATTTGAGGAGGAGAGCAGAGATTATTATGCCTATGTTAGCCGTTATCTTGGACAACGCCAGGATTCTTTGAAGGAGAAAAAACGAGCCGAAAGTGATTCGAAATATCAAGCGAAGAGACGAACTTTCGAGTTAAAGCGCTTCGACTACTCCTCGTTCATGCAGGATTTACACGGTGGCCGTAAAGAACAGGAAGTTCTCTCACATCTCACCAGATTCGCTGACACGCAAGCGAAAAGCTTCCTGGCTGCCGCCAAGAAGATCGATGACATGACACCCCAGCTGGATGCTCTCATTCACGAAGTCAGTCAGGCCGACAAAGAGTTTCAGTTTCAGAGAACCGAGAGGGAAGAAAAACGACGGGCTTTGGAGAAGAGCAGTAACACTTACGTGGAGCCCGATTCTGTGGCTAGTTCAACGATACCGTCGGCCCTGCCGGGCAATGGCAACGGGAACCAGAAATCCGACAGCGAACTGGGACGCGCGGATAGTACGGGCTCTCAGCTACGGAATGTAATCAGCAACACTTCTTCGCTATCATCACAGGCCAATCCCTCAAGTGTGAATAATCCTCCGGCGGGACCGCCTTTAACACCATCAACTGGCTCAAGCGGTATGTCTCAAGGCTTACCATGTGAAATGAACGCAGGCGCTCATGATATAATAGGTCAGCAAAGAAAAGAGGGGCTTCTCTGGGCCTTGTCCCGGCCAGGGTCTCATATTGACCCTAAGGGCATCAATAAACAAGCCTGGCACAAGTAAGTCCCGAAGTCCCACGCTATCTGTCATGTTTCTAACCTTCTGCCCCTCGTGCCTTTGCCTTTCTGTAGGTTCTGGATTGTCCTTGATCAAGGCAAACTTTCGGAGTATAGCAATTGGAAGCAAAAGCTCGATCTACACATGGATCCAATAGATCTTCGGATGGCCTCGGTGCGGGAAGCTCGGAATGCAGAGCGGCGATTTTGCTTCGAGGTCATCACCCCTCAGTACAAACGCATTTACCAAGCGACTTCTGAGGAGGACATGAATAACTGGATCCGAGCCATTAATAACGCTTTGCAAAGCGCGGTTGAAGGCCGGGGCATGTCTTCACCTCCGCTTTCGGCCGGCAACGATGGTTCGTCCGTCGGCCGTGACATTGGCTCCGTCTTGACGGGCAAGAGCTCCTCGTATTCAGGACAGCACAACACGTCGACGGCGTCCAATAACAACGTGATTCGCCGCACCACTGTTGGGGCTCGGCCAAGCTACGTCCGTGATAGTCACAGTTTCGAAGAAAACCCTTCCAAGTTGCTTCAGACCGTTCGAGACGCCGATCAAGGCAATAATTGGTGTGCGGATTGTGGATCCACATCAAAGGTTGAATGGGTTTCGATCAATCTCGGCATTGTTTTGTGCATTGAGTGCAGTGGCATTCATCGATCCCTCGGGACGCATATCTCCAAGATCCGATCCCTTACGCTGGACGTTAATTCCTTCTCCAACGACATTGTCGAGATCCTCTTGCAGATTGGCAACCGTGTGAGTAACATGGTCTGGGAGGCGACATTGGATCAATCCCAGAAGCCCATGGAAACGTCAACCCGGGAGCAGCGGCTCAAGTTCATCACTGCTAAATATAGCGAGCGAGCCTTTGTGCAGCAGCTGCCCTCACCGCTGTCACGCTTCGCCTCCCCGGACGAATCGCTTCTTGCCTCTATTAAACGGAATGATATCCAGGGCGTGCTTTACGGTATCGCGCTTCGCGCCAACGTGAACGTCACAGATCGCTCCCGCAATACACATGCGGTTTTCCTTGCTCTGGCGGCTGCGGATCCAGCGTCCCCAGGGTCGAGTTCCTCAACTCTTCCGCCAAGGCCGAGTACTGCGACTTCCGTTAAGATCATCCCGTTCCCGATTGCCGAGCTTCTTGTCCAGAATGGAGCCGAGATACCCTCGCAGCCTCCCCCAATCCCTTTGTCCTCCGCCGCTCAACTGTACCTCAACCAGCGGACCGCACGGGTGCCAGCTTTTGGGGTCCCCCCTCTACAGCCCGCATCTGGAAAATCAAGTGGCAATACCCTGGGCACTCTTCCTAGCCTACGGGGCGGAGGAAATGATACCGTGCCATCGTCACAAGGACCGAGCTCCTTGGACAGCAAAGAACGCGAGAAGCTACAGAAGAGAGGCAGCGCGGGTGCCAGGTTTGCCGGCAAGGTCGCATCTTTAGGCATCGACCGATGAACGGACCGCTTGATGCCGTTGATCTCATGACTCCTTTCCTTCTTGCTTCCGCCTCTCTTCTCTCGATCCTCCCTCTGCGTCCCTAACCTCTCTCGATAACCTCTCTCGACCTACCTCTCCCTCAACCTCCCATCTACCATTTAATGACTCTTTCTGACCTTCCCACCCGCCAACGCAGCGGATTCGTTCTTAATAGTAATTATAGTTCATGAAGCTCAGGTGAACATGACGTGATGTTGGTACTCCGGTGTGAATGGGTTAATGATTTCATTCGGCGGGACGTCGGTTGGCTTCTGCATATTAGAATTCGCATATGTCCTGTTTTTGTTTCACTGTGTATATTCTCCCCCTTTCCTCTTCTGTGGAGCCAATCAACTGCCTGATGGGTATGTTGTGTACGTTCCCAGGAGGGATTGATTTGTATGCCCTTCTATACCATTGTTCAAGGAACTTCCACCCCGCCCCCGTTTACCTTACCTGTACGTCGCTTCTCCGGCCGTGTCTTCGCAATGACAGCACCGGATGCGCAGACTTAGTCTAGCTAGCGGCTCATTTGTACTGTTTAGAATCCCGGTGCGATAACTGGATTGGAATGAGATGGATGACTAATCCCCGTTGCCGCGAGATGAATGGGCTCGTGGCCGTTGAAAAAGGCAATTTTCCACAGCCGCTCGGACGAACTGCGTAGCTGAGTAGGCCGTGGATGTCTTCAGAGGTTGAGCTGCCCGACCAGGCTGCCGGGAAATTTTTTTTTCGACGGGAGTCATGCCACAAAGCCCCGTCACGCACCGTGACGCAGGGTCGCAGGAACGGCCGTCGACACGTAAACTCGCCAACAGCGGCGCTGGTGTGTGGAGCGACGAAACTCCTCTCCAAAGACGCCGCAAAGCGCCGAGGGGCCCAGTTTCGCCACCGCGTGACCCAGGGAAGTGGGTGACGCTTGCGAAAGCCACAATTTCATGATTGACATTCTATTTGCTGATTTCTTTTCATTTTGCAGGATGTATGGGTGTACACCGGTGTACTGTGGTGTACACAGTTATGTACCTACGGAGTAGTCCGTGCTACTCCTGCGGGCATGGTCATAGTTGAGATCGAGGAAATTTGCGCAGTCCATATCCATGACGTCATCTCATCTGCAGATCGGTTGGTGGCGGTCCCTGCGAGTGATAGTGTGTACACTGTACGGTGTACATCGGTATCTGCTGTGGAGTGTGGTACAGATACAAGACCAAAGTCGAACAAAGGGATTGAAAAACTAAAGATAAAGGAAGCGATAACGATAGCGGCCAACTGATGATTACTCCCCAACGGCCATGCATACCCGGCGGTGGGAAGAAGGGGAAAAGAAAGAAAAGGCCCCTGAAGGATTTCCATGGCCTTTGCAGATTCCATCCGGATGAAGTATCCGCCGGGGCTACTCGGGACTACAGGGACCAAGTAGGCAGTTACTCTATAGAGTACACGGAGTAGAGTGTACTCTGTACTCTGTACACCGTGGGCAGGTACCTCTCGTACCTCCCTTCTACGACAGAGGTACCTCTGGTCTAGGTACCCGGCCTCGGGAACGATTGGCTGGCATGTCAGCCGGACGGGTGGAGGCGGGCCTTGCTGGTCCTGGGACTACGGCGACCTACCGTTTGCTGGCCGTAAACCAGAGTCTAGACACTACCTAGACACTTACCCTACTCGGTAAGGTAGGTAGAGGCCGTGGAGATCGGGCCCTAGTGGGAATGCACCCCCTGCCGCCATTCTTCCTCCCTAGCGCCCCCGAATGGTTGTTCCATGTTCATCCACTGTTCGTGGCAAATTCCTCCTCTCGACTGCGTACACCGTACCCAGTACTTCCAGTGTGTACTCTGTATACTGTACTCGGTGTACACACTCGCAACCTTCAACGACAGCGTGATCGGCCTAGCCCGCTGGCCCGGCTCGTTAGGAGATTTATTCCTTCCCAATGGGTATAGACGTTCGGTGGTAATCGCAATTTTCTCAACAGTCACCACGGCCACTGGCGGATCCATCGATCAGAAACCTTTCACCTCGCCCCACCAACTTCTACTTCCTCTTTCTTCTTCGTCCTCTCCTTGTTGCTCAATTTTATGCTCTCCGATCTTCAATTTTCATCAACTACATCGTTATTGTCATAAGGATTTGAATTATCTTTGGTTGGCCTCGCTAGATAAAATCGGGACGTGCGATGGGGGGTGTCGAACCGAATGATTCGAAATGGATGGGGATGACAAAAAGTGGGAAATTGGCGCGATAAAAAATAATCCTCGTTTTACGGATAGTATTTGTCCCTTTTTTGCCACAGGATCTTCTTCGTCAATGGTTTCATGATCCGTGAGGCCCATACGGACGAAAAAGACTATTGGGACTCCTCTGCAAAGCGCCAATTGCATAGATGCCTTCGAAGCTGTCGAAAGGGCCGGTGGACCCGCGGTTCCCACCAGGCCAGGGGATACTTTCATGGTACCCAATCACACCGAGCAATGGCCACAGCCATCGATGCCACCGGTGCATATCAGACCCGTGCTCGCTGCATTTTTGTACGGGTTCCAGTGTCTTGAGTGTTGAGAGTAGAAAAGAAAAGAAAACAAAAATGGGAGGGGGGAAAAAAGCCTTTATGACGAAGTCAAGGCACGTTGCCCAATCTCCGCACGTCCGTCAACCCTCCTAGGCTCCTGCTAAGACCCGTCGCAGACCAGCTTATGTGGATTGCCTCCTCTGTGTTTGCGCAGGCAGTCTTAGACGATCAAACCCTGATCTTTGGCCCGGCCTTGACCTCGCCGACGCCCCATGATTTTTAAACGGGTTCAATAAGATCGGTCTCCTGATCGATTGGCTTGTAAATCGCTAAAGCCACTGAAGTCAGACCTCTGATTCCTGCTATATTTACTTTCGGGACTATCTCTATTTTATCTCTTCTTTCCATATTATCCGCAAGGTATCCAACCCGGCCGGCAAACCGTCAAACCACCTATACTAGAGCCAAACATTTTGGGGGAGCATCGAACAAAGGGCACTCATTCCGCGCTATCACGAGCCAAAAAAGACAAAGAAAAACAAAATAGAACAAGAAAAAGACGAAGAAAATGAGCGGCGCCTAAGGTCGTCATTCTATGTATAAAGGAGAAACAATGAAGAGGAGGGAAGAGAGAGAAAAAACCCATGATCTCATTTGATCTTTCTCATCGTGTCTCCTCGAGTGCCACCGAGTCGCCCACACCTAAATATATACCTACCTTGCATGCCTAGGCTGACTGCCAGCTGGTGGTATACAACTTGCCGGAGGGCAACAACAGCCCTATTATATCCCATCTAGACTCGCCTACCCACGGAAGCACGTCGTCCGAAAGCCCGAATCCATCTTGTCAGACAATCAAATGCACTGTCAGATCTCTGCCGAGTCTAGAGGGTCCTTGTTGATTCTCCATCATTGCCGCTTCAGTCTTAGTGACCAGAAACCAGAGCAGCCACAGCTCTCGATGTGGATTTAGCACAAATCATTGGCACAATCCGTTCCTTTTTTTATTCTTTTTTTTTTCCCTTTCCGTTTTTCCCACCTGCCAGCCACCCCTCTCTTGCTCTCTGGCTCCTTTCTCCTTCAGACCCATTTTTTCTGGATATTGATCTTTATTCCCCTAATCTCATTGCATCTCCGTCTCCTACGGTGTACCTTATCTAAGCATTTGTTTTACTCCTTGAAATTGAAGAGGTGAGTAGATTCAAGCATGGGGCCTCCCTCCCAGCTCTCTTCTGCCTATCTGTTTCGTATTGCAATTCTTATTACCCTGTTCTCCATTCATTCCACCTCAATCTCGCACATGAGTTGCCCCATGCTCCGGTCCGAGAAGACTCCAGGGCCAGAAAACACGCAAATTCCTTGACTGGTCTGCTTTCTCTGGCCTGGAGCCATGTCCCATGCTCTTATGGTGTGATGCAAAACGCCACGCAGCATTATTGCACACACCAATTATACCCTATCTCAAAATGTCACCTCTCCCTCTCACCCTTTATTTTACACCCACTTCCTCACTAGCACATACTTCCTTTCGTTCCGTATACTCTACTGCCTTTGCTGCCTATTTGCCTGCCTTCCTTGGTCCTTATCTTCCCACTTTTTCTGGTGTTTTCTCCACTTTAGCTGCGAAACCCCCAACTGTTGATCATGGACATGTGTGAGTGCGTGTGCGTGCGCGTGCGTGGCGGTTGTATATTCACAAAAGCATTTTCTCGTCCACACACCCCTCTCCTATTTTGGACCTACAGCAGTCAAGACAACGCCCGGCGCTGGCGAGAAGTTTTCATGCTTAGGTACCCTCATGCTATCGTTCACTATGATTTCCCCTTCCCACTAGGCTAGCCACCCCAGCAGCCATGACCTTTCCATTCTTGATTAATTATAATTGTCAAACATGTCCTCTTGCCTCTGTTAACCCTCCTGCATACCCACCCTTGTGAGGTGTTCTTTTACCAAGCCTTGTTCCGTTGCCGACCTTCACTGGTGTCATCCAGAATTTCCGACATTACTACTTTCATTGCCTTCAAATAGAAATATTGTGCCCGATTATTTCAGGTTCTAACACAGCTTGAGCGTTATATAGGTGCCATTGATTCCGTTTGCTGAGAATTGCGGGTTGGAAAGGTTGCCGACACGGCGCAGGCCAGGTATGCCTCATGTTAACCCGGTTTGCTACCTCTATCAAGAGATGGAGTCACCCCAATGGAGGAGCCATGCTGACGGTTTTGCGGGTTTCTCTTTTGTGCTTGTATCTTAAAGTGTCTCTCCTAGAAACATTATGACGAAGCCAACGGACAATGTGCCCGCCCGGCAACTCGACGAAGGATCATCAACATCGGATGAGAAGCATGTCTCTGAACCTGCTCATCATGGCGGTATGTGCGATTGATATAGTTACAAGTATGGAGGAAATTCGACTGAAACCCGCCTCCTCTCTAGACGAAAATTTTCCACGCCCAGAAATCATGCACCGCCATGCCGAGCCTACTCTTTATGTGGCGCCCGACACTCATGGGACGCCTCCATCTATGCTGAGCATGAGCGAAATGAGGGCCATGCTGCCGGTACATACATATCATTACGACCAATATCATCCTATGCCGCAACAATTTGTCCCGACAGCTCATTCGCATGGTGTCGTGTACTCATTACATCCATTACCGTCGTATGCCGGCTCACACCAAAATCCAACTTCAACCTCTTACAACCACCAATTTACCCAGGTATATCCTCATTATTTCCAAACCCAACATCAAAGCACACCTCATTCCCATAATTCTGTGTACCACTCGCTGAATGCTACCCCGACTCACTTCGGGGTCCCGGTTAGCGGCCAAGCTGTCGGGCATGGGCACAACCACTATTATCAGCGGCATCAACAGGTCGCGAAGCAAGCGTCTACGCTCTCGCATCGTACACCGGCCCACGTGGGGATACACGCCTCTTCTGCACTGCAAAAGCCGGATACCACGACCCAGCCACCTCGCGATGCTAGGTCGCAAGCGTTGAGCACGGACTACGATGTCTCAAAAACCATTGTGGATGGGTCGACCCCTATGAAGTCAGCAACAATTCATTCTTCCTCTGCGGGTTAGTATCACGGGCCGTGGGTTGCGTCGTTGGGAAACTGATGGCATACTAGATTCTACCTCGTCCCACCCAAATCAGACCCCATCGTCGTTGGCCCCAAGAGGCCCATCAAGAAAACCGAAACAGTCTGGCCACGCTTTGTGGGTTGGCAATCTCCCTCCGGGTGCCACGATTGTTGATCTTAAGGACTACTTCTCTCGAGATGCTACCAAGGACGTGGAAAGCGTGTTTCTCATATCGAAGAGCAACTGTGCCTTCATCAACTACAAAACGGAAGCAGCTTGCAACACAGCGCTAGAAAGATTCAATGATTCCAGATTTCACGGGGCTCGTCTAGTCTGCCGACTGCGGCGGGGCTCAATGACCCCTGCTTCCAATGTCGACCCCTCAGGACCCTCAACTCCCGTGCAGGATGGCGACAGACGGACGACCACAGATACCAGCGACGGGCCACAAGCTAGTTCTGGCACCAAGGGTACAACCGGAAGCGAGTCAAGCCCATGGGTTCCCAACCGATACTTCATCGTCAAGAGTCTTACCGTTGAGGACCTTGAGTTTAGCCGACGCAGCGGGATTTGGGCGACCCAGTCTCATAACGAAGACTGCCTGAATCAAGCCTACGAGGTGAGGCTTCTATCGCATATCCCGGAAGGGACGATCCATCCGCGACAGCCCGAGTGAGCATGAACGCTGACCAACACATTCAGAGTGCAAATAATGTTTACCTTGTATTCTCTGCCAACAAATCCGGGGAATACTACGGGTACGCCAGAATGATGTCGCCGATCCAGGAAGACGATGCATTGACCCTGGCGATGCCCCCTCGGCCTGACCATGTCCACCCGGAATCCCCGATAGTCGACACGACTCCGACCCCGGCGACGGAGACGGCGCCCACGGGGCGAATCATCAACGATGCCGCCCGAGGCACCATCTTTTGGGAGGCCGACTCATCTTCGGACGAGGAGGAGGATGCCAAGAGCGAGAGAAGTGTCGGCGAGGTTGTCGAAGAAACAGCAGAGCCGGGGTTTCAATCGATCGGCAGGCCATTCCGGATTCAGTGGCTGTCGACCGAGCGGGTTCCGTTCCACCGCACCAGGGGCTTGCGAAATCCCTGGAATGCTAATCGGGAAATCAAAATTGCACGAGACGGGACGGAGATTGAACCGAGTGTTGGAGCGCGACTGATACAGCTCTTCCACCCTCCCGGTGCTGGATAGGGGAATGATCCGTCATTGGGGGGGAAGGGATGAAGGAAAACAAGCAAATACGATGTAGTTACCATATACTTTCTTCTTGGACATGGATCGATCCATATCCGTACACCGTGCAGACCCGTTTTAGACCTCTGGAAATATGGACGAACCTGATTCTGATATACTGAGTAACCGTAAGGGAAGGCGAAGATGATGAATCATCGACCCCGGAGAGGCTAGACCCGTTGCGGCCCACGGTCAGCGGATGGGAATTTTGTGGGGTAAAACCGCCCGTCGATCGGTGGACCGTTTCATCATCACTTTCTCTTCTTCCTCTCCTGCTTCGTCTCCCGTCAAAACAATGGCCTCCTTCTGATTCTTTCATGTCACTCACTGTCAGTAGGAGGCTCGCCTGCATCTCGATCGATTTTATTCATACCCCCCCACCAAACTCGGAGACGTCCATCGAAGCTACCTACGACCCGGGGGTGACCAGGGAGCAGCAGTCCTTGGCTGTCTTAAGCTCTTCTAGCTTCCCAGGACTTCACCTGCACGGGGGACCGTTTCATCCAATCACCTCTCTCATTTAGTCAATCCATTCCCATTGCTTGATTGATCGATTCCCTACGTTGTGTCCAATCTCCCTCCTTTTTTGCCTCCCCGCTTAACTCTGCTTCGACAATCTCCCTCCCCTTGGCTCCACCCCCCTCCATCCCGTCCTGTCCATATCTCTCTCCATTCTTCCTTCCTTTCCTCCTTCCTGCCCTCCTTCCGTCATTATTGTTATCGTCTCTCAGTCATTCGCCTCCCAGGCCTCCCCCCGCCGCCCCTCGCATATCTGTTCATATCTGTTCATATCTTCTGCCGCCTTTCCTTTGAATCCTACCTTGATCCAAATTATCCTTCTTTTTTGTACTTCCATCTAGGCCAGAGAAGCCACCATTCTTGCCCCCTACCCCTCCTTGAATTCTCCGTTGTTCTTTTCCTTTCCCTTAGTTACCACGCCGTTTGAATAAATTCTTTGAATCGCCTTCCAGTATCTGGGAGCTTCCTCGCCATCTTCCTTTGATTGTTATGGGGCCCATCGTATGATTGCGGCTCAGGAGCTCTGTCCCGTCTGACCTCCGCATCGTTTGATCTAAACTCGAGAGAAGCAACGGTGTGCTTCACTCCTGGAGTCCAACTCGGCCCCGCCTCTTTGAACCCTTTCATCATCATTATCTTCTTCTTTTGTTCACTTCCTCCACATAACATCCCAATCTAGAGAACATCGACTTCTTTCCGTTTTCTCCTGATATCATGTCTAACGACCGTTCGACCTCGCCTATATCTGTACCGCCTCCTTCGGGACGCCAGAGGCGGGCCTCCTTAGCCTCCTCCTTCACCGATTATCTTTCAAAGTCTGCAAACCCCGGGAGCGGCTCCGGCTCATCGACGGGTCCCATGGCCAGCGCAGTAGCCAACGCGCAATCCAATCAAGGCCGGAGGCTCTCGATCACTACGCTAGGACTCTCGGGTTCTCCTACTCAAACTTCTTCGTTGGGACCCAGGAACTTCCGACAAGGCAGTGTATCCAGCTCCGTGGGATCCAACTCGGCGACTTACGAGGATGCGGTCACCGAGGATAGCGAAAACGGCCCTCCCAGTGCCACTCCGAGTTCACCGTTCGCCCGGCGAGTCTCTTTTGGCGCACAAGCTCTACGTGATGCCCGCGCAGGAAGTATTGGCAACGGTAAATACCCCCCTTCAGAGCGAGTCTTTCCTGGGAGACGACGTCAAACTGCGTCATCGACCAGCGGTACCGGGTCAATTGCTGCAAGTATAGATCAAGTTGCTTCTCCGAACGAAAGGTCTAACTCCTCTGGGCGACTCTTAGGCGAAGGCTTCAACTGGTCCGAAGCCCTTCGAAGCCGAGCCGAGCGTGCACCTTCATTTGGTGCCATTTCTCCTACTGGGCCTTCCAGCCAGAATTCGGGCTATGGAGGCCAGTCTGCCCATCACCAACGTGCGGCTTCGATTGCCTCGATGGAGCAGCCTGCTCGGGAGCTGCCCAAGCAACCCCGGCAGAACAAGCCTGATTTCTTCCAAGAGAAGATTCTTCGAGGGGATTTTATGGATTAGGTAGAACTCTTCCTATCTCTCTCTTTTTCCCGTAACGCCTTTTCTCTTATCTTCTTTCTCTTCCTCCTCTTACTTTCTTCTGTTTTTCTGCCCCTCGCTTTTTCTTTTTCTTTTTCTTTATATCTTTTTCACTCCTGTCGTACATGGTTTTCACACTTTGATAGTGCTCTAACTATTAAACAACACCACCGAGGTAGGTGGGAGCTTTACTGCCACCAAAATCGTCTGTCGGGTTACTTGAAGGAGTTGGTTTTGATGTTTATGAGCGGATCCAATATATTGTTCTTGTCATTCCATGCGTTTCCGGGACAGGTTGATGACTTTATGCAAGGATTTATCTTAGTAGCCTCAAATTGCATCAGAAATAGTTTAGTTGAGAGTTTTCATATGCACTCAGTTTTAAACTTTGTTTTCTATGAGACTCGTTCTACATTAATTGTATATTTCCAACGCTGGACTTGACATTCAAGAGCTGCTCCGCTGCTCCGTCATGGAAACACGAGTAGCACCTATATCGTGCTCATCTCCTCCAGTTTCTTTCCTGACTCTTCCAGCGCGAATGCAGTCGACAACCCGAAAACGCCATAATGAATCCGGAACGGTCGCATGATGAGTGAGAGAGAGAACCCAGTCACAGATACCCACACTTAGGAACCCCAAACGGCCCCAGGTGGATAGCTACATACAGACGAGCACGGCCCCGAAGGAAGGAGTGTTGGATGTCCAGAGTGAAGGGCCTCAATCGAGGCGAAGATCATGAAGCAGCTCTGCAGCCCTGATATACACATTCGAACTAATCGCCAAGGAGCAATGGTCCCGCCTCGAACCGGGTGATGAGCCATGTTCACGAGGTATCAACTTTGGGTATCGAGGTATGGCTCGTTTCAAGGGGCGTGCTACAATCACCCCGATTTACAGTTTAAGTTAAAAGGGGGGAAAGCGGAATAGCCATCAGGCTTGAACTGTGTTGGATGGCAAGCCGTCATCGTTTTCGATGTCGTAATATCAGGTGGGATTACATGGACAGGAAACTATACAGTAAAGATTGTCTGACTTGCGAGCTAATGAGCTAGGGCGAGACGAAATGAATGAGAACAAGAAAGGTAGAACGAGATAAACAAATAGAGAGAACTCATCCTCTTCCTTTCCCTCTAGTACGGTATACCATTGGTGAGCAGCTGGAACTGATCGTATCCCTTGGTAGAAACACTCATGTAAGATTTGCGGACAAGCTCTCGCATGTATTCGGCCGCTTCTCTTTCACTCCGGTCGAGAACAAAACGGTCACGGAAATTCTTCAGGGATTCGGGTTTGAAGCATGGGAGGCCACTGTCGAGCATCAGAGAAACGATGTGGGACAACCTTGAGCTGTAGGGGCGCGATGCGAGGAACGCCTTCACCACTAGCGACTCAAACCACCGGTAAGGCTGCGTCATCGTCGGGTTATGAGATCCACCACCGTTCTGACCAAACCCGCTCATAACGGCCACCATCTCGGAAGTGAGCTTGAAAGGCGCGCGTTCGAAGCGTACACCTCCAGGGGCAATGTCAAAGCAAAACCCGAAATCGATGTGTATAATATGGCCCGCATCGTCGACCATGATGTTTCCGTTATGACGGTCCTTGAATTGCAGGAGATAAGAGATGACGGAGTAAGCCGCCATGCTCTTGACAAAGTTGGTACGTGCTTCCTGGAAACGTATCGAATCCTCTCCTCCATACTTAGACACGAAATAGTCGTAGAGGCCATTCACTGCCTCCCTGCCTAGCATGTCCCGGGAGATAGAATTGGGGAGGACGTCGATCACACCACAACCAGGGGCGGTCGAGGTGACTCGGTAAGGGAACACCCAAACATCCAGCCCAACGCTGGCAAAGATGCTGCGGAATGCGGCAATCATTTGTAGGGCCAGCATGTCCTGACGGCAGTCATCGCCGACTTTGAAGATGGCCGACTGCCAAACCTCATATGTCTCCTGTTTCTGGTCATGGGTAACAGCGCCCGAAGATACAGGCTCGGAGTCATGATCAGGAGCATGAGCTGCTGGGGCCTCAGAGACCCTCGCTGGCCCAAAGACTGTCTTCGTCTTTTGGATTCGGAATGTCGCCATGTATGGCGCTTTCGCATGGCTCTGCAGAGGCTTTCCGGATTTGCGATCGATCCCAACAACAACTCCATCTGGATTGCTTGGGAGGTAAACGCCAACCTCCACCTTAATCTTACGGAGTTCTTCTTCAATCTTCTCTTTTTTCTCCGGCTTGCTCTTTTTAATATACGGCCGAAGTTTCCCAGATATACCTGTGATATCGTTGAAAAAGGAAAATTCGCGTTCGTAAAAGCTTCGCTCCTCGCTAGTAAAGCTCGCTACCAGGTCATCCATGAATTTGTCCAGGGTCGGCTTGAGCGGATCCGGCTACGGATTCAATTTTAGTGAGCAAGCCATAGGGTTCGGATTGTCATAGACACTCACCACTTGAGAATCCTCGTCCTTATAGGAGTTTGCCTTCATGTTCCATATCACCTGGTGCGCAAATAACTGAGACAGTTTGGCTGTCTCCAAGATGTAGCGCTCCACATAGCCCAGTGCATCATATCTAAGAGCCTGTACCAACTGCGGAACAAAGTAGAAGCGGACATCGATGGGATGGCTTTCAAGGGCCTTCATCGCGTACTGTAAAATGAAGGGGTGATTGCCATACGCGGGAAGGAAATAAGTCAGGGCTTCGGTGGGGTTGACAGGCGCCCAGTACAACAAATACTGCACATATCAGCCATAATCTGGACCTAAAATTGATCCAGGAGCAGGGGTTCAAACCTTCAATTGGAAAGACACATCTGCGGGCAGCGAGTCGCCGAACATGATCTCAAGGCCGCTAGGTTCATCGATGACCTTTTCGGGAAAGTTAAGCAGTAGCCAACGAATGTCACTTTTCAGCTTCGCAGACGGGAAACGGGTAGCGAGCTGAATAGCTAAGCCAGAACTCTCAGCCCAAGCAAGTCGCAACAAAGACGTAGCCTCCTGAGAACAGATTAGATTTGCCTTTCATGTCAAGAAGTGGCGACAAACCTCAGTATGATTCCGATTGGTAGGCGACTGAGACATATAATGTTTGCGGTCCGGATCCAACGGATACAACCAAACCTTGAGTCGAGATCTCTCGTTCTCCAAAAGAACATTGAGAAGTTGTTGCTTTGCCTGCAAGGACTTATACGGTCCGTGTGTGTCAAATGAAATGCTGGCCGTCTTCCCTAAGGCAGATATCACGTCGATGAGTATCTTGTCTTCGGTCTTGATTTGTAGTCGGTTACCGCCAAAGGACCATCTGCAAGATTACAGTTAGAAAGCCATCCTAGGTATCTAAGTGGGGACAACGTACCTAGGAGCGTGTTTAAACCAAGTCAGGGCGCCAGAGAGAATCTGATCTTTAAGCTTCCACAAGCAGGGGGTGCCGACTGAGCCAGAATGCCCCAAGACGTTCAGCCCAAATAGAACAATGCGGAAATGCAGCTCTCTGGCCAAAGGGTGGCCACTGGTATGCGCGAGACCAGTGGTTGTTCGATCAACAAGGCGACGAAACAGTCTTTGATTTTGCACATTGCCCAAACGGATAGCATTGAAGTGACTCTCAAAAAACTGAAGAATGCGCAAATGCGGTGCCAAATGACGTTGGGCATCTTGCTGTTTTCTGAGAATTAAGGCTTTGTCAGTTGGCAAAAGTTCGATCTTTGCGTACATCGGATCCACATAGCTAGCACAGACACTCGTTAGTATTGGTTGCTAAGACAAATCGTGCTATGTGTGAACATACTCGAAGGATGGATCAAAGAGTCCTCTTTTGCGTTGAATTGTCCTTTCCCAGGCATTTAGAATTTCCACTAACACCTTTGGCTCCACTCTGGGATTTTCATGGATGGCCCCCATCCAAAGAGAAATGCCCATATTGATCGATTCCTCAGAGAAGATTTCGAATGGCAAAGATACCAGAAAATGGGAGATGGAGGGATGAGGGTCAATGCTACTACACAAAATAGCGGCTGCACTTCGTAGCGTATCGCGGATTTCCGTAAGAGGTATGTCATTGTGCCGCCTGACCTTTTGATGAAGTTCAAATAGCTTGTTTTCCACTTCACTGCTTGACCCCGACAAAGTGACTGAACCCGTAGAGACATTGAGACCTTCATGTGTATAAATTAGCTCGCTGAGCATCAAGCAACCAAGATATACGAACCGTTGTTCCCAGGTGTCAGCCGCGCACCTGGAAACTTATATTTCTGACGTGTAGAGTACTGACTTATGAAGTCGGAGGCAACATTAGTTACGCCTACACCGTGAGTTTCCAAAGACCCTAAACACGCATTAAACTGTCAGGCACGATTTCTCCATGAAAAAGTGAACGCCGAAGCCTTACCAAGTCGTTGGTCACTTTTAGGAATAAGCGAGCCCATGTTAAGCGCAAAGGAACGGCCCATCGATATTTGATCAAAGCCAATCCCATCATCAGGCATGGACAAATACGTCTAACTGCTAGTTAGGCACGAGTTGTTGAGTGATCAGCGAGCGACTTACCTGGAGTAAGCCTTTTATGTCTAATGATGCCACATTGATGACTGCTGTTACCCATGCTGTGGCTCGCTCAAGGAAAGTATCCAAAGTCTTCCTTCGGAAAACATAATTGTCAGGTAGATCAACACTGACAATTCCCATGGGCGAGGTAAACGAAGGTTTCCATTCAAACTCGTCCATGTCCTCCTCAAGGCAGGAGTTCCACATCACGGTCAAAAGTTCAAGTAAAGCAAAAAGCGAATGTTTTGCACACAATGCTGACGGGCATTCTTTTATTATTCTGTTGGCGCAGACAACGGCAACATGTTGCACTCTTTCTATGCGATGGCAACATGCCACAAAAAATCCGGCCAATTCTTTTGACAAGAATGGAACAGAGAAGTTCGTGTGTTTACCAGAAAGGGTCAAGGCGAGATAGTCAGAGACGATCTTTTCTGCAATGTCACCCACGCAACTAGCCATTTCAACAGTGGCTAGGGCCGGATCGCGAAAGTAGTCGAGGATTTTGGTGCAGTGCCCAGACGAAGCACGAAGACATTCAATCAGCAAGACTGCATTCAGAAAAACGGACTTTGGGTAATTCAGGCGTTTTATGTCTGATTCGCGACTGGGAAGTTCTGAAATCAACATCCTCTTTTGCTCCAGGTGACGTTGCGGACCCATTCCCCTTCTGAGGATTGTATTAAGTTCAACATCGCTTTCCAACATCTCCATGCGATCTTCCGAGACAAGGGGGGGAGAGTTAACTGCAAGTAAGCCCAACACCTTGTGATGCTTTTGAGCGACAGTTGAACTAAGAGATATTCCATGAATAGCAAGGTTGAACCAGGCATCACGAAACAAGCTAGCGACAGCCTGATCATAATCCACGATCGCTTTGCCGTTCCCACCAGCCTGTTCGGAAGATACAAGTAGTGCCAATGGTTTTAGCAACGGGATAATATCGTCGGGTGCTAGAACGATGTCCTTCTGCCGCTCGTTTTCAGAATCCGTAGCATCACCCTTGTTAACGATACTTTCGAGTAGGTGCACCAGATATACTCTATAGAGTGGAGAATCCTTTTTCAAGGAGATAGACAGATACGCCATTGCGCTTTGCACCGCCTTTGTTATGTTGCCATGTCCCTTTATGACGCCATCCCAATAGACACGGTCATAGAACTTGAGTAGAAGCTGAAACTCGGCTTGCCCAGTGCTCAAAGACAACGAAGCGGTCTCTTTGATGATACATGCATCAACTGCGACATTGACTTTACCGATCTTTTGTAACAACATTGATTGGGCCAGGGCACTAATTTTCTCATCACAACAGTTGGTCGCAATCGTCACAATAGCATGGACAACACTTCTGTAAGGCACCTTGCCTTCCTCGCCGTCGAACGAAAAGGAAGCTACACTGCCATTTCTTTGGTGCGAGGAAGGTGAATCGGTGTTTCCATGCCCAGAAGCTTCTGTCATCAACTGGCCATTGTAGATGTTTTCACTGCCTGAGCCGGGACTCAATACATTTCCCAGCGAGTAGAGCGTAGTGATAACCGCATCTTGTGAGAGGATTCCAAGAATTTGAGCAAGACACTTCGCAGCAACGCAGCTAGAAGATCGACTGGGCACACCTCCTTCGACAATGTATCGTAAAAGTGAGCGGCTTCCAGAGGCGGCCCCACTCAGAGACATTTTGGCAACGATCGCTATACTTTTCAGAGTAGCAGTTGCCAGTTCCGAGCAAGACATCTGATTCGGGTCCATTAGTACATCCTCTAGCCAACCTTGAAAGTCCTCGCTATTGGTCGTGTTTCCACTGAGAATAACACACTGAAGATAGCCGATGAAGGCGTATGCCTTGACGAAAAAAGCGAGCTTTTGCTGCAATGGTGAACTGAGTTGCAAATAATCGGATCCATCATCCAGAAGCTGAATTTGATCGGCGATGACTTCGGTTATGCAATCGACAAGATTGACCTCGGCCTCGTCGTGGCTTCGAGCAATACCAACTCCGTTCATATAGTCGTCCAAAAGCTCGGCATCAGAACAATTTTGCGCACCAACAAGAGACGTAGCGCAGGCTTTCACGAATTGCATTAGACCTGCCTGCAGCAGCATAGCTCCCAAGGGCCGCCCATCGGCAGAGTATCGCCGAGTGTACTTTCTCCAGTCTCTAAGCCCATGATCAGATGTTCCTGCATTACGCATTGTGGAAGAGGCAGTCTCGACGGCAATCATGAACCCTTCGGACAGGATTGTTCGCAGTTGCTGGAGTAACTGCAACTGTTTCGTGGCAGTCCAGAACGGAGTAAACATAGCCGAAGCTTCTAAGAAGCCAACAAGGGAGACAGCGATTGAAAGAACACCGACAGACTCGTGAACCGCCCCATGCTTTTCTGTCCCAGAACCATAGTTCAGCAACGGCATTGCAACATCGATTGCCTCTGCGCAGTTGTCCAAATATCCATTGACAGCACTAGCGACTTTCTCACGTAGTTCCGGATACTCTGAGCCGAGCCTCAGAAGAGCGGAAGTGATGTTGAAGGTAAGAGCCTCCCAAGGCGATGGTTTCACATTGTGCAAAAACGGCGACGGGCGAAAGAGCTGGCTGTGTGATTCGGGAAGATATTGGGATAATTGTACAACCAGTCTGGATGCATGTTCAAATTTGTTGACTGAAGAAGATGCTTTGCATAGCGCCACAAGAACATCGAATTCCCGAATGCCCTACACGCTTGAGCTTAGTTCACCCGTACTTCGCAGAATCGGGGTTGGAAAGGCAGACCATAGGCACTCGGGATGTCGGAGCTTGAGATCTCAAAGTACCATTTAAACCACTCGAACAGTTTTCTGGGTGCTGATAATGTCGAGACAGTCGGGCAATATCTGATCCCTCATCGTTCGCTGGAGCTTGAACAGCAAGTGTTGCAAGCTTCTCGAAGGCCGAGAACCTTACGTCTGCGGAGAAACTGCGGGCAATTAGGGAATGGTTGCTGGATAATTCGGCATATGAGTCTATGAGCACTCACTCATCCATCAATATGAATCGTCTTCGTCGATATGGTGTGTGTTCGTTCGTTTTGCTTTCCTATGATAAACGGGGTAAGTCACGGAGAGTTCAAGCCCCTGGATGTTGAAAGCCCACTTAATCTAATCCCGAGGTACGACAAGCACATCAATACAATATAGTACGTGTATTTATGCACTGCACATACGTGGATGTATAGAATCGGTATAGGTACCTAGTATATAGGTACAGAGCTGGCACTGTTCATACACTGTATATATGTGGACAGCACGGCACCTAACACCAAGGTAGATATTAATTTTCAAGATGATTCCTGTCACCTTGCTGTTGTGGAAGAAATTCAACTTGGACAAGGTATGAGCCAGGAAATATTACGTCATTGCCTATAAAGCACCTACCTACCTAGATTCTGATACGGAGTATGTACAGTAAATATCGCGGATACCCATGTAATACAGTATCTGGCTGCAATTACCTCATGGATACATGTACTGTACGTATCTAGGAGGTGCAATCCGTCCTTACTAACATTGCTAACTAGGCAAGGTACAGGTGCAGGTAAGTATCTCCGCTTTGTTTATCCTTTTCCTCCAAGTTTCAACCCTCGGAATCCATAAATCACCTAGTACGGCCGCCCAACGATGAATTAACCTACTCGGATGGCCACCCAGTGGTGTTTTCAACTCTCTCTGCTCACCTGTACTTTGTTCGCCAACTCCTGTCGGGTTAATTTGACTGGCTGCTTTCCAAACAATCACAAGACATGAGAATTAATCAATGAGAAGCAATGGCACCTCGAAATGAGAAGAGTTCTCTCAAGCGGAACAGAGTATGTGATGACAATTCAGAATCTTTCAAGTCACTAACAATGGATTGGATAAGATCAGCACCGACGAAGATTCGCAGGATTTGAAAAAGCTGCGACGGTCACAGAGATTGTCTCAGAGTCAATCCCCCAAAACTCCGGTCAATCAGTCCTATCTACCTACCCCGTTAACCGAGCAGAACTCAACTGCAACCGACATCAGAAAAGAAGTAACAGCGACTCCCCCGAATATCTCCAACCAGGTGCATCCACAAACCCCATCACGTTCAGAGCAGCCTCAGTCATGCTCATCCCCCCCGGGCGATACCCAAGCTCTTTCCCAATTCGTGTACCCTCCCAGGGCGTTTGCAGACGAGGTCGAGGATGAAGCTGCCGAAGGGGTCTGGGGCTATCTTATACCTCTCGATGACAAGTTTCAAGACGCGCTCGTCCTGAGAAAACGGGACGGCTGCGAACGCAGAAACGTAACGCCCGGAACTAAAGCCGAGGGGAAGCCTCAGGCTCAAGGCGGGAAACCCACAAAACAAACGCATTCGCCGGGGGGTTACTTGGTCGGCCGTCATCCCGAGTGCGGTAGGTCGAAAAGCCTGTATACGTGAGTCCATTAAGCAGCTGACAAGACCCAGATCTGGTCATCAACAAACCTACCATATCCAACCGACATTTTCTGCTATTTTCCGAAAACAAGAAAGGTGATTTCGTCGCCATCATAGAAGATTTGTCTAGCAATGGAACATTCGTCAACGACGCAATCGTCGGGCGCAATAAGCATCGTGAGCTCGAGGATGGCGACGAGGTCACAATCTTAGACGAAGCGCGTTTTGTGTTTCGGTACCCTCGGACACGGGATACCCACGGTTTCCGTCAGCAATACAGAATCCTCCAACAGCTTGGTAAAGGGCATTTTGCGACCGTCTATCTCTGCGTAGAGCGGGCGACCGGAACTAGATATGCCGTGAAGCTATTCGAAAAACGCCCTGGTGACTCTCAAAAGTCGCAGGCGGACCCCTTGCACCAAGAAATAGGCCTTTTAATGGGCGTCAACCACCCTAATCTACTTTGTCTTAAGGATACCTTTGACGAAAGTGATGGCGTGTACCTTGTTCTGGAGCTTGCCCCAGAAGGTGAATTGTTCAATCTCATAGTCAGCAAACAAAAGTTCTCGGAAAAGGAGACGCGACACATATTTCTCCAGCTGTTTGAAGGACTGAAATACTTGGTAAGCAGCATTCTTCTCGTTCTTTACTTGGACACAATGAAGCTAAGGACAGGCTACATAGCATGATCGTGGGATCGTTCATCGAGACATTAAGCCCGAGAATATCCTAGTTGCCGACAAGAAGTTAACCGTGAAACTTGGCGACTTTGGGCTTGCTAAGATAATTGGGGAAGATTCATTCACAACAACTTTGTACGTAATGAATCTCACTCGTTTCTGACTAGGTTCCCTGCAACATACTAACGAATTATCCTGGTTTCATAGGTGCGGAACCCCTAGTTGTAAGTCGCTCATGAATCTTGTCTCCATTGTTGCATACTAACTCTGTAGATGTGGCGCCTGAGATTCTCCAAGAGACGCGTCGTCGCAAATACACCAAAGCCGTAGATATTTGGTCCCTTGGCGTCGTTCTTTACATATGCCTTTGCGGTTTTCCTCCGTTCTCCGACGAGCTTCATACCCCCGAAAACCCATACACTTTGGCGCAACAGATCAAGATGGGCCGATTTGACTATCCTTCCCCGTACTGGGACTCTGTGGGCGATCCAGCCTTGGATCTAATTGACAGGATGCTCACGGTTGATGTTGAAAAAAGGATAACAATAGACGAATGTCTCGAACATCCGTGGTTAACTGGGAATTATCCGAGTGTTTCTGATAGTACAGATGGGCTAACAGGAGCTCTGGGGAAGCTAGACTTCTCGAAAAGGAAGATGGCGCGCGAGCGAACTTTGCTCAGCAGCATCAATGATGTTGATTTTAGCGAGCGCAAAGAAGGGCCCGGTGCACCCGTGAAGGTCTTTCACAAGAACAGCGTCGAAAAACGCGTACATAATCGCCCTGCGAAGGCCGCTGGTGACCATGAAGCTTCGCCTAATCAGAACAGTGCTCCCAAGGATTTTGCAAATCTCGGAGAGCGTGGAGATCCAGCGTTATTCGAGGAGGATCCGACAAGTCGTTACCACTAAAAGGCTCTCTTGGACGTTTCTTCTCGGATGCATTTGTATGATTACCAGAAAAGGGTAGCGCTTTGCTTTTTCTTACTTTTTCCATTGGTTTTTCCTTCTTGGTCGCCCTGGCGTCCTCCCCTTTATCAAATATCCAACACCCCCAATTTTGTTTTCCTGGTTTCATTGGCGAGCTTTGCAGGCACCTGGTAAATCAAGTACTCGTTGCATTCACCGGTTATGCATTCGGCCTGTTGATACCCATAGGTAATATAATATTATTCCTCCCCTTGATTGTACCGACTGTCGTACGAATATATTCGGGTCTGTCCATAGTACAGAGTAAACGAAGTAAATACACCGTACTCCGTAGAGTACTCCGGAGTATGTACGATTGTATGCGCATAGACTACTGTTAGTGCTAATCATTAGCGCCGACCTCCAGGCCCATGGAACCAGGTCCACACGCGGGCGGGTCGGACTTTTTTCCCACCTAACAGTTCGTATTCACCGCGTCTCCTTATCACCCTGGGAAATTTTATACCAACGCCATTGACTTTGCGAACCCTTCGGACTTCGAGGAGAGTGCCTCACAACGAGACACTCCTCCAATTTTTCATGTTACCTTTTAGTTGAAATCTTCCTCTCCGCTATTGAATCATGGGCTTCCTGGCCGTTATTCTAGACAACCTTCATGAGCGTTGCTCAAGTCTGTCCATTGGAACCCTCAGTGGCGCAGGATTGATAATCTTGCTCGCCGCATCTGTTGTTCTCAATGTCTTGCGACAGCTCCTATTCAGGAACTCAAAAGAGCCCCCCGTTGTTTTTCACTGGTTCCCTTTCATAGGTAGCACGATAAGCTATGGCATGGATCCGTACAAATTCTTTTTTGAATGTCGCGCTAAGGTATGAAGAAGCCCTGAGTGTCATGAAACCCTCTTTGTCCCCCTCGCTCACATTTTTTACCTTGCAGTACGGCGATATCTTCACGTTCATTCTTCTTGGCAAGAAGACGACAGTGTATCTGGGTACCAAGGGAAACGACTTCATTCTTAACGGCAAACTCAAAGATGTCTGCGCCGAGGAAGTTTATTCGCCACTTACGACACCTGTGTTCGGCCGCCATGTGGTATATGATTGTCCCAATGCCAAACTCATGGAACAGAAAAAAGTAAGCCGTTACCTCCCCGTTGTCCCTTGTTCTCTGAATCAATAGTAACATCTGTTACTGCGCATAGTTCGTCAAATTTGGCCTTACATCCGACGCACTTCGCTCATATGTCCGTCTGATTACCGACGAGGTGGAAGACTTCGTACAAAATTTCCCCGCTTTCCAGGGCTCTAGCGGTGTCTTTGACGTTTCCAAAACAATTGCTGAAATCACTATCTATACTGCTTCGCGTTCTTTACAAGGACAAGAGGTTCGAAGCCGGTTCGATTCCACGTTCGCCGAATTGTATCATAATCTCGACATGGGTTTTGCCCCCATAAATTTCATGTTGCCCTGGGCTCCCCTTCCCCATAACCGGAAGCGCGACGCAGCTCAGAAAAAGATGACCGAAACTTACATGGAAATTATCAAGCAGCGCCGGGAGGCTGGAAACAAGGGAGACTCCCTAGATATGGTTTGGAACCTCATGTCTTGTGTGTACAAGAATGGCACTCCAGTCCCTGACGAAGAAATTGCGCATATGATGATTGCTCTGCTTATGGCTGGCCAGCACTCCTCTTCATCCACCGCTGCATGGATTGTTTTGCGTCTCGCTTCATGTCCTGATATAATGGAAGAGCTCTACCAAGAACAGCTTCGTGTACTTGGGTCCGATCTACCCGCACTCACTTATGAAGGCCTGCAGAAATTGGATCTCCATGCCAAGGTTATCAAGGAGACCTTGCGCATTCATGCCCCAATTCACTCTATCATCCGAGCTGTTAAGAACCCGATGCCTGTTGAAGGCACGCCCTATGTCATCCCAACTACGCACAATGTTCTTTCTTCGCCTGGCGTCACGGCTCGGTCAGAGGAGCACTTCTCCAATCCTTTGGACTGGAATCCTCATCGTTGGGATGAAGTCGCCGTTTCCAACCCTGACGAGGAGGAAAAGATTGATTACGGGTATGGTCTGGTCAACAAAGGCACCAATAGTCCTTATCTCCCATTCGGCGCTGGTAGACATCGATGCATTGGTGAACAATTCGCCTATATTCAGCTGGGAGCGATAACTGCGGCTTTGGTACGACTATTCAAGTTTCGCAACCTGCCCGGAGTCGAAACAATTCCGGACACGGACTATTCGGTAAGTCTTGGATAGAACTCCGCCTTAAAAACCGGCCTAGCTAACCCAGCGCAGTCCCTGTTTTCGAAACCTCTGGGCAAATCCTTCGTGCAGTTTGAAAAACGTGAATCTACCAAATCCTAAATCAGGCTTGCCGTTCTTTTCGCCGTTCTCCGTCTAGTTTCTGAAGATTTGCATCGATACATCAATGTTTCTAATATTCTATAGAGCGCACATAAAGACGATAATACTGGGGCTAGGGGAGATGGCAATAAAGGGCCGATAATGGAAGAAAAGGAGAAAAACTAGAACAGTACATATTCGGCGATACTGCATGTGTACATAAATCCATGGTCCTTCTACCCTACCCATCTCATCATCGCTAATACATTAATAGTAATTTGAATCGTCTCCATTCAATAGATATTGTTCAAGAAATTATATCATGTTTTGGAAGAATCCCAAACCACTAGTCTTATATGCTGCAGGAGTTGGAGAATTAGGCATTGTCATTGACGACCGTGTTCGTGAGTCGTTTTCGTGGGTTGTCGAAGGACCAGTCAAACAATGAGCCATAATTCCCCCCAACAGACTGGTTTAAAGGCATTCACACAATGCATACTATCCCACCTGTACCTTAGCAACTGGCATGGCTTCAAACTGCTTTGTAAAATAGCATGCTAGCAAGGAGAGTTTAAACATGGTATGCGCTTAGATCCGACTCAAGTACAGTACATCGATGGCAAGAATTAATATACAATTTGCAAGATTTCCAATTCAGGAAAACAGTCTTCAGGCTTTTGCTTTCCTCCTTTCCTCGCTTCTCTGCTTAGCCCTGACTTCAGCACGTCTCCTCTCTCCACCGTCCACCTTCTGTCCCAGTTTGTCTTCCCACATACCCTCCTCGGCTCGGATGATACATGCTTGTCCATTTGCGCCCTTGATCGGTTGTAAGAACGGCCCACGAACCATAGAGCCGCGGTGAATCTTCATGTACGCAAACTTCTTGAGCGGATTCGACGAGTCGTGGGTGTATTCGGTAGCATCCGGAGGAAGATTAACGATGGCTTTTCTCATGCCGGGGGACAAGGTAGCCGAAGAAGCCGAGAGCTTTGCGGACGAAGCGTCTTTGGCAAGAGCATTGGGATCCAAGGGGACTTCAACCACCCTCAGCTGCGCAACTCCATCCACAACGTGGTCCAAATCCCCACCGGGCCCGTGAATGCCCTGCCTGAATTTTTCTCTCTTGCGCAATAGGTATCGCCTCTGGCGCGCTGGCTCAATGCCCAAATCACGAAGTTCCGTCGACGAGAGCGCAAACAATTTGTCCCAGGAAGGGAATTTGCTTGCGTGCTTGACCATGCCGCGGCCAATCAATTTGAGAAAGGTTTGGACATCGGGAACAAACGGGGTCGGGGAAGGTATAGAAGGAGTCGGCGTATTATTGTGAAAACATCGAACACACTGCTTTCCGATTGCGAAAGGTCTGATTATTCGAGATGATAGAAGAGACGCGCTGCGCATTGTCATGGTTGAACACGTCGCGTCTGAGGTCGTCGCAAAGCCTCGTTACACCCGTTCAGAATCTTTCGTTGTGGGCAAGGTTGTGAAAATCTGGAAATCAATTGCTCGATTCGGCTCGACGGGCGATGGTTTGCTTCGAATGGGTAGCTTGAAAGGGACTGGCAAGTATCAAAGTGCTGCCACTAATCAATCGGTTTCATGCATGGGGCGGCCGGGAGAAATTTCGGTGTGCCAGAGGAACAATGAAGGTCCGAACGCCGCGGGTCTCCGGAGTGCTCAAGCTGCAGAGCTCTATCTTGCTTGGGCGGAAGGAAATATTGAAAGAAAGAAAGATCTTGGTATCTTTTCTAACTAACAATACAAAAGGAGTTGGAAGAAGGAAAGAAAAAGAAGACCAGACTGAGATCGTTCGATTTCATCTGGCTTCTTTTCACTCGCAGAATAATGCCATACTGATCAAGTTACCTAGTACCTACTTTACCGCACCTCCATGCACCAACGTGGCAGTCTAGCCTACAGCCACAACAAATCCATAGCCTGCTCATAAAAATGGCAGTGTCACCGCTGGTGTCCCGCTCACCTTCTGTTACCATATCATCCAACACTGCAGTGAGGTTGAGGAGTGTCGCCGCCGAGGACTCTCCTAGTGGGCAGGAAAATGAGACACCCCAGTTTGCCCAGTCTACCGACCGTGAACTTACAGAGCAACTGAACGATGATATCAGAAATAGATACATCAAAGGTGCAAACATCCTCTTCTTTATCCGTGCTTCCTACCCTCTTCGATCTGTGGCCCGCAGGAAAGATACCTTGTTATGTCTATAGCTAATATGTTACTTCTGCAGACAAGAAACTCGGCGAGGGTACCTACGCCATAGTATATCTTGGCCACCTTCGAACCGACTTGTCATCGTTGGTGGCAATCAAAAAGATCAAAGTCAATACTGAATACAAGGATGGTCTCTCAATGGATGCGATTCGCGAAGTCAAGTACCTCCAGGAATTGTCCCATCCCAACATTATCGCGCTGCACGACGTATTCTCATCGAAAGATCAAAACCTGAACCTGGTTCTGGAGTACTTGCCTCGTGGCGATCTGGAAATGCTCATCAAGGATGTGAATGTACAGTACGGCGCAGCCGATATCAAGGCCTGGATGGGAATGCTTGCGCGAGGGGTCTGGTTCTGTCACGAGAACTTTGTGCTGCATCGTGACATCAAGCCCAACAACCTTCTCATCGCGTCTGATGGAGAGGTGAAACTGGCGGATTTCGGTCTTGCGAGATCGTTCGCCGACCCCTACCTGAACATGACTCACCAAGTAATCACTCGCTGGTATCGGCCACCGGAGCTACTCTACGGAGCACGGCAGTACTCAGGTGCTGTAGATATTTGGTCCATGGGAATGGTGTTTGCGGAGCTTCTTCTGCGGGTTCCCTTCGTTGCTGGAAACTCGGACCTGGATCAAATCAGCAAGATATGCGATGCATTTGGCACGCCAACCGAGGACAACTGGCCAGGGGTCTCCCGATTGCCCACCTATTTCCCCCAAGAATCAACGAACATCACGCCGGTACAAGGCCGGGATTTCTTCCTACGGCAGTTCCCGACAGCCGGGTCTGTGGGTGCCGATCTACTCATGTCTATGTGCACGCTCGATCCCCGGAAGCGGAGTACAGCATGTCAAATCTTACAGCACAGTTGGTGGGTCACCGAGCCGAAGCCGACGGAGAAGGAGAACCTTCCAAACAAGCCTGGCGGCGCGAAGAAAATGGGCAATGATCTCACCAGAAAAGTTGGGGAGGTTGACGAAACCCCATTTAAAAATGCCGCCCGGCAATTGGATTTTAGCACCATGAAGCAGTAGCAAGCAAAGCCTTCACGTTTCCGTCCGAACCTTCTGTAGTACGATCTGAGATTTTCACCTCGGTTTCCTGGAATTGTGGCCCTCACTTTCGATGCGGCCGCCGTACAAGTCTTCTTTGATGCGCCTAAAAGAATAAAAAAAAAATAGAGACAATGCGTTCTTTGCGGAGTAGGCCCTGGTTGGCAAGTGGCAACTACCAGACTAAGTAGGATTTAGCATTCTCCACTAGTAGTTCGGCAGGTATTAGGTTGGTACTGGGGTGGATAGGGGGAAAGCCAAGCCGTACACGGTGGATGGTGATCACTGGGCCTACCTGGATTTCCCAAGTTCCGGCAGTCAAGGAAAAGGCAGTCAAGGCCCATGCCGTCCCTTCCGCTCCCTTAGCAGGTGGTGGTGGTACCTCGGGTCTCCCTGCCGACGCAGGAATACCCCCTAGAGGTACAGGTTATGTACAGTACCTACCTAGGTAGTTAGGTACTGTACCTTGGGTAACAGGGAGGTACCTACGGTGTACTAGGGTACCGCCCCCCGGAGTTACCGTGGTATCCTCCGTCCGTAATTTCAATTAAGGCCTCCCAAGTCCCACGCCAGATAAACAAACAACCTATTGATGCTTGTCACGGTTAATTAACTATCACACGCCTGATTGATTAATTTCCGAGTCAATAGGTCACTTCAACCCTTGAGGGGTAATAATGCATTTCGTTTACTAGGGACTGAGTGTTGCACAATCCTCTTCTCCGCAAGGGCATCAACCAGTGGTTCCCCTACAACAGGGGGTTGAACTACCACCACGCCTGTCCGTCCCGCTCCTTCAAGACGCGACTAGAACTAAAGAGCCCTCTCCCCCTCCCCCCTTCCCTCATCTCTCATCGCCCTCTTAAAAGTCAACACCTCGTGGCTGCCTTTGTCTAGAAGGTTTCGGTGTAATACTCGCGCTTTGCGATCACATTTTGTCCGTCACGTTTGCTCTTCTTTTCACCAGTCACTTTTGCCACCCCCCAAACATACTACCAAAATCAGACTCAATCCCTCTTTCTTCAGGGGCACTTCGCCCTATTCAGACTACCGGCTGGGAGGCATAAACGACCATTGTCTCGAAACCGCGGCATAGGAGGTTCCTCCTAACAACGACAAAGACTAAAGGGCACGTTCGCTCTCCTGCAAGCGCTTGCAGAGCCTTTTGGTCTTCTTTTCTTGGATAGAAGGTGCAATCATAAATAATCCAGTAAGCATCCAGATGGAGCCCCCTCCCCGGATTTTCCTTTTCCCCTTCAACTTTGGGGGTTCTTGCTCTTCAAGCCAATGGAGAATTCCCCCGGACTGAATTTCGTTCCGTCATACCTATTCGCGCCCAATGCCGAATGTTAAATTTGGGCCCGACTCCATCCAATCTCTACTTTGTCATACTATAATTGTTTTCGGGTTTTAGCATGGTGTTTGGGAGCTCTATCTAACTTCAGAATAGCGTGATTTCTTAGCCGGGGGCTTTGACAGGCCACCATTTACACCTTCCCATGAGTTTGCCTGCGGCCGACAAAGAAACGAACTGAGACTACTTGATTCCAAACACCTTACGAGCTCGAAACGCTGGTCGCCGAGGGAATATCTTCATCATGTCCACAATACCTCAGCCATCGAAGACAACCGGAACCCCTACGACTGAATGCCCATCTTCAATTTCCGCCCCGAAGTCACGAAGAAGCTTCCCGATCACCTCGGACGCATCAAGGACACAGTTCCAATTATCTGCCAAAGCGCGCACGCCCTCAAGTCCGAAACCCTCGTTGGGCAACAAGTCTCCTCTGAGCCACTCAGCTTCGAATGCCAGCGCGCCCAGGTCGGTTTCTGGAATGCGCGCGCCCAGCAGTCCTGAAAAGTCCCTGCGTCGAACTATCAGCATTGCAGCTTTCCCACAGCCACCAAGGGCTACCAGCCGTCCATCAACCGCATCGTCAATATCGGGGAATCAGAGCCTACATTCGTCCGGGAGCGTAAAAGTGAAGAGAGGATCCAGGTTAAGCGTCGGGACAACAAGCAGCTACCGAAGCTCGAAGACTCCTTCCCTACTGAACGGAGGCGCAGATGGCAAAGCCATTCTGAGTGCAGAGATTCGAGATCCAGAAGCCTCTCCCTCGCAAAGCAGAAGCTCCTCCGCCCAAGGATCATATTCCACGAGTGCAACCACTTTCGAAGATGGAGATGACGCGGCCGGCATATCCAGGTCGGATTCAAAGCCAAAGGAGGCCAAGGGTAACGTCATCGTGAGCGTTCGTGTACGTCCAGATGTCAACGGAAATGATCCCTCAAAAACGAGCGGGGATTGGACACTGGACGCACGACGAAGCCTTATATCTTTTCAAGGGAAAGAAGGGGGAGATTACTTTTATGGTAGGGCTTCTATTCACTGGGCGCATGCATGACTGCTCACAAGAGGTTAAACTAACTTGTCCTTACTTTCTGACAGATAACGTCTTTACCAGCCACGAACATAATGCCAAGGTCTATGACGCTGCGGCAAAGCGCCTTGTGCGAAGGGTAATGGAAGGTTACCATGGTACTGTCTTTGCCTACGGCATGACTGGGACAGGAAAGACCTTCTCAATGCAAGGCATTGCCACCTCGCCAGGAGTGATACCACTAGCCATAACGGACATTTTTTCCTTTATCAGGGAAACCCCACATCGAGAGTTCTTGCTTCGTGTCAGCTATCTGGAAATCTACAACGAGAAGATCCACGACCTACTTTCCGCGTCCGGTCCAAACGGTGCTGCTGGTCCTCAACAAGAGGAGATCAAACTGCGCGAAGATAGCAAACGGGGTGTGTATGCCACTCCTCTGAAAGAGGAAATTGTTCAGAGTCCCACGCAGCTTCTTCGCGTGATTGCAAGAGGTGACCATGCAAGACGTACCGGCAGTACTCAATTTAATGCTCGCAGCTCACGAAGTCATGCGGTCGTTCAAATAGTTGTGGAAAGCAGAGAACGGGCCCCCGCTAGCACCTCTCAGGACCGGCGATCTGGTATGGCCCCAGGTGGTGTTCGAGTCTCAACACTCAGTTTAATTGACTTGGCTGGATCTGAGCGTGCTGCCGAGGACAAGGAACGGCGCACAGAAGGTGCCCATATCAATAAAAGCCTGCTCACTCTAGGCACCATTATATCGCGTCTTTCCGATGACAAGGATAAGCCCGCCAGTACCGCTGACCGTGAGGGTAGGCATCTGCCGTATCGAGATAGCAAACTCACGAGGTTGCTTCAACCTGCATTATCGGGCAATTCTCTCGTGAGCATTCTGTGTACAATTCAACTCGGGGGTGCAGCCAATCTGCAAGTGGCCGAAACCCTCAATACTCTCAAGTTCGCCGCACGAGCAAAGAATAGCATTGTCAGTCATGCTAGAAGAGCGGAGGAGGCTTTTGGTAGTGGTGGTGGCGATGCGGGTAGTCGGGTTCTCCTGGAGCGTTATCGTGTGGAGATCCAAGCCCTCCGTGGTCAGCTGGAAAGTCAGACGAGAGCTCAGGCCGAAAAAGAGCTGAAACTGGAGGAGCAGCAGCTGGAAAAGGAAGCACAAACACGCCACGAAGAACAAATGCTCGAGATGCAATTGGCTCGGACAGCCCTGAAAGAACGAATAGAGCATCTCAATCGGCTGATTCTCTGTTCAAAGTCAACCGGTGTGAACATTTCGGGGTCCCTATCTGCCCTTGGTCGACTCTCTAGAATGTCCATCACGGAATCCGGCTCTCGATCATTACGCTCCTCAGCTAGCCAGTCCACATTGGCAGCATTCGGACATTCTTCCGCTCGGCCCATTTCGTTTCTCTCTATGAACAGTAACGAGGGCTCGCCGAACCTTCCCTTGTCCGGCGGGGCAGCTGGTAATGACGATGAGGAGGACAGCCTGGGAGAATTTGCAGACGGCAAGGCGAGCTCTCAACGGCAAATTGCCGCCCTCCAGGCCGACCTAGGCGACAAAAACCGATATATTTCCACTTTAGAGAGACGTCTTCTACAGGCTCGACGCTCAAGTCATTCTCGCATGTCAGTTGGTGTCAAACCCGGAAGCTCTTCATTCGAAAGCCCAGATGTGATGGCCTTGCTCCGTGAGAAAGACATGGAAATCAACGAGCTCCGTCAGCAGCTGGACGATAAGGACAGGATGTTAGCTGCGCTCCGGTCCGCTGCACGCCATCGCGATCTTGCTCATCTTACGACCGATGCGTACCCCTTGGATGACAAACATAAGGTCGATCACATTGACTTTCCTAGCAGCGCTAGCCTCGTGCCGTCGCCGAAGGGGGATGAAACTGACCGTCGGCGAAAGAGCATGGATGAAGTCTCCCGAATTCTCGAAGAAATGATCCAAGATCGAATCGAAAATGGCCACCTCGTCAAGGGCTCTCATGGAAGTGTACAAGTGGCTACCGATAGTCGTCGTGCATCTGGCTCTGTAGCCGGTGTACCGGGCCTGAACTCGGGCCCTGCTATTCCAGAATTTGGCCCGGGGGATCCAAATTCGGGCTGAAAAAGGATATCTTGATCGTCTCAACTGATCATGTTTCTGCGCCTTTCGCCCTGAGCACGTATTGCTTCACCTTCTTTCTACCACATAAGATTAGCCACCTCTTTTGTGGATACTGCGCTTGCTTTCTGCGCTTATATTTTATATTTCCCTTTATCTCATGTTGCTCTATCTTTTTTTGTTTCGACTTCTTGATTCCTTGTTTTCTTTGCCTCACTTTGCTTTTCTTTACAGATACCCAGGCTATAGCTTCTCTTGCACTTGTACCTCATCAAACATTCTTGCGCTCATAACGATTGAATCAGTAATTGTATAATTTGGGGGCAACCGGTGCTGGATAATTGAAATATAGTATGAAATTTGTCATTTGGCGATCCCACCAGTACCACTGGGCACAACATAGATGCCCTCCAAACCGGGCAAGGGCATTTGACGAGTATTGGGACTAATAATGAAGAGGCTATAGTTAGAGCAGTACCTTTGTTAGCCGATGACTCCGTCTTCTGTTGCTCCAAGGCGTCTACCTCACTCTTCGAGGGAGAAAAATCTGGGTGTGACTAAACTGTCTCATATACAAATATATGCAGATGTAAATTTATCATAGCTATATATTGCTGCAAGCCGCGAATGCGAGCTGCGGTACATGTAGGCTACAGTAGAATTGCGAGGAGAGACAGATTTGTTCCCCCACCATCCTGTATGTTGCGCCTCAGTTCTGTTCCGAAGTCGAGAGGCCCGATAATCACCAGAGTCCTTGCACCGAGCTGGAAGATTTGGCACATCATGCAACAATTTCGAGCTCTGAAACTCGGTCTTTGGCATATACATCCTTCCACTGTTCCCAGAGCCTTTTCAATTCCGACACGTACTGATCGTGAAGGGAATTGATATAATCATCATCGATTCTGCTTCTATCACGCTCTTGTCTGACCTGAATGGGGCGGCCCACAACGATGTTGAGTGAGCGGCGGTACGGCATCAGGCCCACGTCATAATTAAAGACCCCACGGGCATGAAAAAGCGGGATGGTGAACCCCATTGTATGCTTAATCAGCATCTGAAGCTTGTGTATGAGAGGATGCTGGTCCGAGCGGACTTGCTCATAAAGGTCATTTTCACCAAACGCTAAAACTGGCACCAAATCGGCACCGGTGCGAATGGCCAATTTTATGAAGCCCTTTCGCCGCTTTAGAACAAGGCGCAATGACGATGGCAAAGCGTCAAGGGATTCGCGGGCGCCGCCAATTACAATCGTAATAGCACGGCCCATTCCTTCGCCATCCGCGCCGCCTTTTGTCAGTATGTTCTCGCAAGACTCGCGAGAGACGCTGGCCAGACCCATGGCCAAAGCGTATTCTCTATAAAATGGGATCCGGAAGTTGGAGTCGAGAGTAAGTAGAGTGTTAGTGATTCCCGGGAAAAGCCTCGAGAAACCCAGCGCCTCCGTCGCGAATGCCGCAAAGGCGCCATGTGAGATGATTCCATGGGGGTGGTACCCAAATATATATTTCCGAGTGGGAATGAGGTTCTCTGAGCGATGCAGACGAGCAGGAAAATAAGAGGCGTAGAGTGACCATACTCTAAGCGAACGCAAGAAATTTCTCCGACCACTCAAGGATCCAGACGTAGCCGCCGTGGAGAACAACGAAATGTAGACCAGGTATGGTAAAAGCAGTGGCCAGGACAACGGTATTGCGCAGGTGAAGAAGAAGCATGTAAGGAATATGGCAATAGTCAGGGTGTGACAGAGAACCACAAAGGTTTGTAGACGTCGTTCAAGGCCTATATTTAACGGGGCCCAGTGAATGCTGGTATTCAAAAGTCAGACGGCTCGTACAGCAACCTTGTCCTTCCCTGTCTTCCCTATTCAAATGATGCATGCGACTGGAAAGAAAAAGGATTACTCACGACTTTTTGCCGGTTGAAGACACACGAGGAGCGTCTAGTTTGGTGTTCTCAACCGAAGTCAACGACTGAGCGTCAACAGATGGCATTTTGAGAAATTTACTCCTTCTTGGTTAAGAAAAGTACAATTCAGATCATCTGTGCTTTCACGCAGAGCCAGCCATGCCCGGGAACAGCTGGTGCTAGTTCTCGAAGCCAATATTTTCCGTTGTTTGCTGACTGGCCTGCGAGCGCTAGAGACAATTAGGACTTGGGAAGTGATGATGGTGGAAATTAGAATAGTACGAGAGGGAGAGGAGAGGGACAAGGTCATATGTTCCATGGTTTAAGTGGTGTTCCTATGAACGAATGATTAGATAATGAGGCATCAAGGCCCCTTATCTTATCAATTACAACTCCTGACATGTACGGAGTACACAGTACTGTACGTCCATACGGTACTTACAGCAAGATTGGCATACATACACGTGTGATCCCAGGTGCAATCATGTATTCATACCTTAGATTACTTGTCACAAACAGATGGAATGACTGAGATCTACTCTGTTCAACATCTTGCAACTAATGATACTAGCTATAATAATTCAGCGCAATGTTCTATATACAGTTTGTTACGATTTTATCATAAATATCTAGGCAAGGTTAGCATCAGGCTCATGAGGACCCAAGGACAGACAAGGGTAGGATATATTCACCTCATTTAGGGATTTATCATCCAATAGCGCTTTCTTCTTTTGCGCAATATACCGACCTCTGAGCATATGTTTTCCCAAGGGACGGCGCTCTCTTGATGGCATAGCTGTGCGCAGTGGCATTTCTCTGCCGCTGCTTGTAGCGGTCTGGGAATCCGATTCTGGTGCGTCCTCGCCGTGACTTACAGAATCAGTATCCTGGTCCTGCTCTTTTCGCTTTCGTTTTTTCTCCTTCTTCTCCTTCTTCTCTTTACTTTCTTTCTTATCCTTCTTCTCTTTCTTCTCCTTATTCTCCTTCTTCTCCTTTTTCTCCTTTTTCTCCTTCTTCTCTTTCTTCTCTTTCTTCTCTTTCTTCCTCTCCTTGTCCCCCTTCTTGCTTGTGTTCTCGGCTTGTTTCAGAGGCCCCTGTTCAGAATCGATATCCTCAATGTCTAGCGACGCGGGATTTCCTTGGCGATCTCGAGACTCACGCGCAGGCAAACAATTCTCTTTTTCCTGCGCGTCTTCCTTTTCTTGCGCCAACAAGCCACCGCTGATAAATTGGATGGTTTGCCACCTCGTAGAAATATACCGAGCCACTTTGATATCATCAACCTTGCGCTGATCTGCTGCAATGTCCGAGTCGGATTTTCCATTCAATCGGCCTAGCAACCCTCTAAAGGCGTCCAGTCCGGTGGGCTCGTCTAAGAGATCACGTTTTGGCCGTGCTCCAAGCCCCAGCGTATCGTCCTTCAATGAAACTCTGATATGGGATGCACTTGCAGCAGTGAACATATCAGCATGTGCAGCATTGTGCGCTCCGAGGAAACTGCCTGGAGTCCATCCCTGCGCGCTGAGGATCTTGTGGCCAAATCCACTTGTTGACCGAGCCCAATTTGTATTGTTTGGGTCGTGTGAAATCTTTGTTCTTCTAAAAAATGGAACAAATTGTCAGCTGAGCCGCCTGGGTTCGAGGGATGACCAGAAGTATTTTCACACGTACTTGCGAGGTGCCGCCAGGCCCATTTGTGCTATCCGGATGAGGGTCGACGGGGTGGGGGGTCTATTGATGAATAACGTTACACTCTTCTCCCAGTGAGGAGCAATGAAAGGTAGGGTATCAAGAAGGATATCTAACGGTCCTGGGTATCAATCGAGAGGAGATTTGGGTTTTTTCTTTTCTGTCTTTTTTTTTTTTTTTTTTTTTGCCATGAATTTACTGCGGAGTCAATACAGACCGCCTACGTCTTTTGACTATGTCGGGAAGTGCGGGACCCACAACGGCCAGGTACCTTGACTCAATGAGGTATGTATGTATATTACATTCGAATATATATACACCCCTATACCTTACCTACCTAGGTAGGTACCGTAGTACATAGATAAGGTATTATAAGTATTATATAGTACAGTACCAGCCTGTAACTTACATGTACTTCCCATACCTACTGGCCGGTGGATTCCCGCCCGCGTCCACCGCGGACTGCCCGCTCAAAAGCACCCTTGGGCTCCCATGTGTTGTTTACTACTCCGTATGTCTGCGTACGGAGTACAAGTTTAATCATTATCGTCCCAGACCGTCCGAACATGGTCAATTCTTTGTCCTCTTAACAATGTCTAGCTTGCGAATCCTTTCGCGAAATTACCCTGAACGTACTCTAGCTCTGGCCACTAGCGACTACGTCCTAATTTTCAAGCATAGCTCTACATTTTCCAAACCTAGCACCCAACGGCGAACTGATGCACCACGTTGTTTAGTTGAATTTGCTAGTCAGTCAGACGTAGATTTGAGCAGCTATCGAAGACTTGGCGATGGATACGGCACTCTTGGATTGATCACTCTTGGAGACGAGGTGTTTCTTTCCGTTGTCACTGCCCGCTCCAAAGCCGCAACGATCAGGCCGGGGGAGAATATTTCACGAATCGACAACGTGGACTTCTGTAAGATTCTCAGAAATTCCCTGAATGGCTCTATTCTAACTGCGACAGTCTGTCTGAATCACTCGGATTATGAGGATGGCTTTGACAACGAGTTGGGATCGTCCCCTGCAACCGACGACCTATCGCAGATCGCTGGCCTGGATGCCAAAGAGCTGGTTGCGGAACATCCCTTTTTAGCTCTGAAAAAGCTTCTAAGTGACGGTAGCTTCTACTATAGCCTTGATTTCAACTTGACAGACAGGCTACAGGACCGGTGAGATGATGGCGACGCGAAATGCGCAAGGGTTCAAACCTAGCTGACATAGTGTCAGCTCGGACAAGTCGGCAACTTTCGACATTGAGTCTCTCGATGAAGACATGCTTTGGAATTCCTACATGATCCATCCACTCCTTCTATTTAGGAGTCATCTATCGCCTTCCGAAAAACAGCAGCTAGATTCATGTCAGATCCTGACATGTGTGATAAGGGGTTTCTCCAGTACCCTAACCATTCCGGCGTCCGTCCCTATCTTGCCTCATTTGAAAACTCGTTACCCTTCTACGCTAAGCATAATATCACGACAGTCCTCTCGACGTGCTGGAACAAGGTTCAATTCCCGCGGCATCGATGATGATGGCAATGTCGCCAATTATGTTGAGACCGAAACAGTGCTCTGGATGCCGCCTGGTATCACCTTTTCTTATGTCCAGGTTCGTGGATCAGTGCCTATATTCTGGGAGCAGGCAACAGGGTTCCTTCCTGGCCAACAGAAAATCGACGTGACCCGATCTAGCGAGGCAACGCAGCATGCATTCGACAAGCATTTCGAGGGGCTTGAATTAGAGTATGGCGCAATACACGTGGTTAACCTCCTCAGTGAACTGAAGCCCGCGGAATCCGAGCTTTCGGCAAAGTACCGAGAGCATATCAGGAAAAGCCCCCTCAACCAAAGGAAAGGGCTCTCAGACCATGCACTCCTACGTGCTACGGAGTTTGATTTCCATGCAGAAACGCGCGGCCCGTTGGGATATGGAGCTAGCACCCTCGTCAAGCATGAAATATCACATTCTATGGATGGCTTTGCATTCTTCTTATCCGAGAATGGCTCTGCAATAAGATTCTCAAATGAAGGCCAGGCATTACCCATGGGCTCTTCTACTGTTCTTCAACAGGAGGGTGTCTTTCGGACTAACTGCTTGGATTGTCTTGACAGGACTAACCATGTACAAAACATCATCAGTTCAATGGCCCTTGAATCATTCTTCCTCCAACAGGGAGCCACCTTGGGCCCTGATGTACAGCTTAGACATTCGACTCTCTGGGCTGATAACGGAGATGCACTGTCTAAGATATATGCCGGTACAGGGGCTCTGAAAAGTTCATTCACACGTCATGGAAAGATGTCAATAGCTGGCGCGCTTGCAGATGCTCGCAAAACCGCCACTCGACTTTATGTCAATAACTTTTCAGACAAAGCGCGGCAAAAGACGATCGATCTTTTGTTGGGGCGTCTTACGGACCAACGAACCGTACATCTTTATGACCCGGTTAACGACTTGGTTTCGACGGAATTAAACCGGCGGGCGTCAGAATACTCTTTTACCAAATCGATCAAAATTTGGACTGGAACGTTCAATGTGAACGGGCAGCACCTGGGAGCAGATGTCGATCTGACGGCATGGCTGTTGCCAGAGCTTGGAACTAACGACCCCATGATATTCGCTGTCGGATTCCAGGAAATAGTTACGTTGAGTCCCCAACAAATAATGTCTACTGACCCTTCCACTCGTAAGACCTGGGAGGCCGCGGTTGGGAAATGCCTGAATAGCTCTGCGAGGTCCAGAGGAACCGCGAAGTATGTCCTCTTACGAAGTGGCCAACTTGTTGGTGCTGCCCTGGTAGTATTTGTGAGAGAAGATGTTTTGAAGGAGATAAAAAATGTTGAAGGGAGTGTGAAAAAGGTGAGTGATAACTTCGAGTCTACCGCGGCTTGTCTCACTTCCGTCACCAGACAGGTCTTTCCGGTATAGCCGGCAATAAGGGAGGTTGTGCCATTCGCTTGGAGTATTCCAACACTCGAATCTGCTTTGTTACCGCGCATCTCGCTGCGGGGTTTGCCAATTACGATGAAAGAAATAGGGACTATGAAACCATATGTCACGGGCTGAGATTCCAGAGAAATAGGTCGATCGATGACCACGATACCATCATATGGCTGGGGGATTTCAATTATCGAATCGGCCTCGATAACCACAATGTTAGGGAGCTCGTGCGGCAGCGAGATTACCAAAAGCTTTATGACAATGACCAGGTATCCTGCTGACTTCCACTATTCATATTTAAGCAAGATTAACCTGCTCACTGATTTGGTAGTTGAACCTACAAATGGTCAGCGGGCGGGCTTTCCAGTTCTACACGGAAGGGCCCATCTCCTTTCCTCCTACTTACAAATATGATATCGGGAGAGATGACTATGACACGTCGTAAGCCTGCACCCTTGCAGACCAACGGAGAAACCTCTAGACTAAAGGAACGCAGGGAGAAAGCGCGCATACCAGCTTGGTGTGACAGGGTGCTGTGGAGAGGAGCAAACCTCCATCAGGTAAACTACAATGTTGCAGCTCTACGATTTTCAGACCATCGCCCAGTCTGGGCCACCTTTCTTTGCGAAATAAGCACCATCGATGAAAATGCAAAGAGCAAGCTCAGACACACTCTTTATCATCAGAAACGGAGCAACCACGGTGATATAGTCGGGGAAAGTTTAAGGCTAGATGATGAGGAACTTACTACCTTTGATTCTGCTACGCCAGGGCTTCCGCCGGCCAGCTCAGACCATCAGAAGTGGTGGTTAAGTCACGGTAAGTCTTTTGCTTCGGGCCGATTGAGTTATCATGTCCGAAATTTACCTCCTGCTTGTTGTTTGTTTTCATACCTCGACTTCTAACTAACTTGGTGATAAAAGGTGCTCCCGTGAAGTCGAACGTGAAGCCCCCTGATGATGGATACATCCTCAATAGCTATCGTACTTCCAATCCTTTCTCGCCAGATAGCAACCCAGACTGGGTCGTTGGGCTTCAGCAAGATGGATCTGCATCCAGACCTCTACCACCTCCAAGGACGAATGTCTCAAAACCCCAAAACCAGCCAAGGTCGAACAGCGGCACGAGTGGAAGTAACTTAGAGAGACTGGAACGTGAAGACATGGCTGCTACGCACAGGAGCCTATCACGCAATACGAAGGCCACCCCCCCTATTCCACGAAAGCCTGTCTTGCTTGCCACGGCCCTTGGACAACAGCATGGGGGCAGTTTGAAATCCAGTGGTCTTAATTCGGGAGAAGATGCAGTGCATGGATCTGGCAGCATTTTGGACGATACACCCGATGCAACAATCGACTGGAAACCTCTTCTGCCTCAGTGACCTTGATTCCGTTCGGACAATACTCGACCGTGACCACACATTATCACTAGTCTACAAATCCTTGGTTTACGGGGCATGCTTATGCGAATGTAATCTTGAGAACCCCGTATTTAACTGAACGTATATACATGTGAAATATTACTTAAAATCTATTGATGCAAACTATGGAACATGATTTCAATTACTCATTTCGCACAATAGGACTCCCACCTTTGAAGTTTTAGCGACCAAAAAAAAAAAACCCAATAATGCTCCTGGCGCTGGAACCAAACAGATAATAATTGTAAATCATCTATACCCATCTTTCTCTGAGGCATGAGAAACCAATCTCGACATGCGAGAGGAAAAGCCATGCCCCCCTAGGGAAGCTCGAGACAGTGTGGTTCTATAGTTCTTAGCTCATTGTCTCAAATGTCTTGTTCGATATCCTGATGTATCGAATCGCAAGCGCCCATTCCACATTGAAAATCCCGCCATACGCATCTCCTCAATTTGGAGGTCTATAACTTGAGAGAACGCGTGGCTTGGAATAATCGCACCTTGAAGACAAGGCTCGTGGTTGAGTTGGGGGAATGCGCGCCAATTGGAGGCAACTGCTAGAGATCAAGATCCCAACTCTGTCACATCACGCGACAAGTATTCGCGTGTTGCTGTATCACCCTAGGCTTTTTTCCCACTTTTAAAGCCTTGTTTAATCTCAAGCGGTTACTGCCGACCATCCACATGGCAAAAGCGCCAGGGTCAGGAGCCTTTGCTCGCGGCTTTTTTGTCCCTATAAAACACGTTAATGGATCATACACAGCCTAGAATCATACGAAAGACAATCTGAACATGCTGAATTCGAAAGATACAAAACGAGAAACGCGTACCTGCTGGGTCTGCCTTCTTTTTGGTCTCCTCTGCCACAGGAGCAACGGCGGCGTCCTCGGGCGCAGCTGGAACATCAATGACAGCCGGTTCTTCTGAGGCTGGAGGTTCTGGGGGCGGCGGAGGCTCTGGGGTTTTCGGCTTTTCGGGGATTGGCCACATGTGCATGGTTATCGCCCAATCCGGTTCTATAACGGTTTCCCAGACCTGTGGTAGTATAATGTCACCATTAGGGCCAATTAGATCATAGTGTCCTTCAGCAACATGTGGACCAATGACTTCGATATGGAGAAATGCTTGCCGTATAAGCTCTTCCATGCCCTTGAGACCGCTGTTAGATACACGACTAAACTCTGCAACTCAGGAGCCAGGTCTTACCTGCCAAGTGCAACACAACTCAAACGGAAAACTGAACTTCCTGCCAACAGCATCCTTGAACTTGATAGGCTTTTTCTTCTCGGGGACGGGTTTGTTTGAAGCCGCTGCCGTGGCTGCGGCAACAGCTTCTGCTGCTGCTTGGTTGGCTGCCTCGGTGGCTGCCGCCGCCGCCTCTGCCGCCGCCGCCGCCGCCGCTTCCTCAGCTTCCAGTTTTGCTTTGGCTGCTTCCTCGGCTGCCTTTTGCTCCGCCTCAGCTCTCGCTTTTGCGGCTGCCTCTTCGACAATCCTTTTCTCATGCGCGGCTCGCTCTTCTCGCGCTGCTTGCTCAACGGCTTCTTGTTCTATTGCCGCTTGCCGGGCAGCTTCTCGCGCCTCTCGTGCCTCCCGTTCCGTTCTTTCCTCTAATATTAACTTCTCGAGTCTTGCTATAGCCTCATCCTTCGCTGCGTCGACAGGCGCTGGTGGTGGGGATCCACTTGATTCGACCTGGCTCGGAGATGGTACGCGGGGATACGGGTTGAAGTAAGGCGGCATCATCCCGGAAACCATGTTGTAGGGCTCCCTGAGCTGATAGTATCCTCCCGATTGGTAAGGGATGAGGTCGTGCGGGCTCAACGGAGGGCCACCGTAAGGGGGTGGACTATGCGATTGAAAGGCATGGGGGTGCGGCACAGGATGCTGGCCAGGACTGTGTCCGTCGGCCCGGTTGTGGGAAGATGCCAGGTGATGTGGGTGGTGCCCAGGATGGTGCTCCAGGTAGAAAGGAGGTATGGTAGGGCCGTGAGACTGTTGTAGTTGGTGATGGTGATATGGGTACATGGAGTTTCCGTACGAAGTTGGTTGGTTGACCTGGTCGTGGTGCCCTAATCTTATAAGCTGATCGGATGGTTGGTGAAAACCGCCTGGGTGTGCGAAGGGAGCATGCGGTGCAGCTCCATTTGGATACATATAAGAAGGGCCGGGAGAAGTGTTGTGAGGATAGCCCGGTCCTTGGGCCAGGGGTGGCCAGAGCCGCCGGTCGTGAGAGGTCCGAGCATAAGGGGCGCCATACTCATCCGCCGAATCCGCGCTTTCTGGCGACTCTGGGGAAGGATGACGGCGAGGTTGACGGGGATATTCTCGTTCCTGGATGATATGATGGCGTCTCGGGCCGGAGTGACGACGGCCCGATGACGAGCCATGGATCTGGTTGCGACTACGGGTTCGATGTGACGTTCTAGGTCGAGAGGCGGAATCGGATGGTTTCAATTCGTCGGGGTAAGGTAGGTGTGCCCATTCATCATAGGGGTCCTGGTAGTCATGGCTTCCTGAATCGGACGGCGGGGATACTTGCACACCGGACGAATCCTCTTCATCGGAAAAAGAAGAATGATCCGAGCCATGCGGGCTTGGCCCAATGGTGATATTAAACCTAGTTCATGGTTAGAAGAGGCAGGGACTGAACTGTGGCATTTCACACACGTCATGGAGATAGTTCATGCAATTAAAGCCTTGTCATTGGATGGTTTGAATCACCAACACCGGTGAATTGTTTTATGGCACAGCCCGTTTCGGTGGGTAGAATTAGGGCGGGGTAGAAACACCCCCATAGACTGATCGAGACGATGGTTGGAATCGGCGCCGTAACCAGATGTGTATATATGCTCTTTTTAGTCCGTGAAACCAAAACGGGCGGGGTTCATGGGTGTATCGAGTTTCCGAGTAAGATGACCAAGGTTGGCGTTGATGGAAATCAATTGACCAGGAACGTGGATCGGGCGTGCCGAAAATAAATGGCGACTGAAAGACGGGGTGGATGGGATGTTAAACAGATATCGGCCGAATTTTGTGGTTCAACACAGGCAAATAGCGTTGAAGTTTGTGGCTATATTTCAGACGGTAATCCTGTGGCAAACAGGATTAGGCCACACAGGGGAAACTCACGCTGGTGAATTCCTGGAGGGGGGGGGTGCGGTGGGGGAAGGGGAAAGAAGAAGAGATGGAGATGGGAGAAAATCTCAAGGAAAAGAAGAGAACGAGGAAGGGGGGTACATTACTAGTTGCCTGCCTAACCAGACTGGCAGACAATGATGGTTGGGCGTATGGTGGAGTTTGGGCACGGCAGTGAGGAATAAGGTATATTGTTCTTAGTTATTATTAGTAGTCCGGGACTTAGGTATTGTTGATTGTTGCAAATTGGTCGGGGTTGTCGCTTCATACTTTCTGCTTTCTCTCCGATTGTCTCTCTTTCTTCTTGTTCTTAATCGGACTATCTGTTTTTTTTTTTTTTTTTTTTTTTTTTTTTTTTAACCTTCTTGTTACCCCTAAACTGACCACCCTTCTCGCTCAGACTGAGCTGGCACCTTCCATTTCCATTCAAACCTACTTTAGGTAAGTACGACTCTGCTGCCCAAGTGCCCAATCAACAATTAACTCTCGCCCACATTCATGGAACCGACCGGGAGAACATCCATGGATGGAAAGTATTATCGAATCCACATTCTCGTACCTTCGCGCCTGCAAAAGTATTTGTTCTCCAAGACTCGGTGCAATCGAGATCTCACGCCAGCCTTATTATCGTCATGCATGCAAATCACACTTGAGCACCTTAGTTCAGGCATGCCTTCATACCACCAATCATGGTAAGATCAGAACGCCCAGTAGTCCGTACAGAGCCCTGAGAACCGAATGTCTTTCATTGATATGAAAACGTAGAAACCCGTTGGTAAGGCTATGCCTCGGTGTATTACATGAGTTCTTCGCCCTAGTTATGACCAGCTATCCACGGGCGTTAGTGATGGCAGAATCACATTAAGACAAGCTCCCGGATTTTCCCAATAAGAGGAAAGGGTGGTTCGACTACATAACAGAAGTGTCACTCTACCCTGAGTGATGTGACACAGTGACCGAAGTACGGTGGTTGGCCCTCTCTCTTTAACCAGATCCCGACATCCTACTGATCAATTCTTTCGCCGCAATGAGCTCGCCTTGGCCATAATCCCAAAGAGTATGGTCCATTGGCCTTTTACTGAGAACGGCCTCTAGTCCTCGTTTTGCAAAGACATTCAATCTCCGAATAGTGTCTTTTGAAGGCGGGCCGTCTTCTACCGTGATTGACCGGGCGCCCTCTGAATTATCTTTCACATCATCTCTCCCAAGCAAAGTCGATGTTACCTAAATGAACGTCAGCGGAGCGTCATGGACAGGACTACCTAACGTAGTTGTGATCAAGACCAGGCAAGAGCTAAAGACCGGAGTTGGAGGTGGTGTTTAGTATTGAGGTAGAGAACTCGTAAAGCTAGGAAACTAGACCGTCACCTACCAGAGTCAAGCCGTAAAGTCCTCTTAGATAATCTTGACAAAGCTCAATGCTTCTGCAAAAGTACTGCGTCGATCGGTATAAGCCCCGAGTGGAATCTTCTGTGGCCGATGAACATGCGTCGATATACAGCAATTCACCCAGCCGGGCATGGATCTAAACAGAGTTAATCATTACGAAGCTGTGGGAGAAGCATCAATGGGTCGGTCATACGTTCCACGCATTAGGTGCTATCAATAAAGCTTCCTCGAGGCTAAATACTGCTTGTGAGGACAACCCTTGAGACTGATATAACTCCGCTAGTTCACACCAGGCCTCCGCATCCGTGGGGACAGCCTTCAGGAAATCTACCAAGCTAGTAATAGCAAGGGCAGGTCTGCCCAGTGACTTTAAGAGGGTGACTCGGCGTTTTAGAATGGGCTATAGGGTCAACGTTAGCAACGCTGTTAATGACAAAGATACCCATACAGACCAGGTTGACCGGGTTTTCTGAGAGCAGATTATCGTAATTCTGCAGACATTCTTCAAGGCTAGACTGATTCTCGGCTACTGCCTCCTCGTAAAGTCCCGCAAGTCCCATTACCCTTTCATTTGACGAGCCAAACCGTAGTCTTAGCTGATCGAGGCACACCAGAGCTGATTTAACATCACCGGATTGCAGGCAAGAGAAGAACAGTTGCTCGATTGTGCCATATTCATCGAATGTTTCCTTCTTCGAGACGAGAGAAAATAGGGGGTTCTCGCCCAAATGGAGTTTCTGGTTCAAGATTAGAGGGGCCTGCTGCGCGAAGTGAAGAGTGGCAATTAGGCTTTGACTGTGAGTGGTATTGATATCAGAGGCAGGGTACGCCATTTTTCGCAGTACAAGCTGGCAGACGGAAAAAACCAGTGCAATAAGCAGAGACCAGCGTACTGGTCGAACGTTTGATGGAGGATATGAGTTGAGTTACGGAGCAATGGCCTAGGCAGCTCCTGATGGGGCATACTGCCCCGGGGCCGGGACCCAGGCCTCACCTGGCGCACGGAATACGGGGTACTTTAGACACCTACTCCGTACTCCGTACGTAATGCATGAGACTCTCGGTCCCGGACCCCTCTTGCGGACTTTCGTGATGATTGACCTACTCCACTAACTGTGGCCCGCGTTCGCGTCCGGTACTTACGCCTATCTCATATGCTATTCCAACTTCCGAGGGAACATCACACTTGGTCTAGTCATGTTCCAGTCGTTCGATCACTTAAGGCAAGAATAGGTCAGTAAGCTTGTCTCTTGATGGAAGGAGATCAATAATCGATCAAGAAAACACACTTGCCTGTGAATCGAAAGCACAAGAAAAGGCCAAGTAACAATGTGGGCAATCTTCCCGGAGGCTCATGGCCACTTTTGCTGAGAACAGAGCGACTAGGTTCGAAAAATCTCTCTACGACCTTATCAAAGGCCTACGAGCCCATAAGGGGGCCGAGGAAGACTATGTACAGGATAGTCTACGAGAGTGTAAGGCTGAAATCAAGCTGCAGGACATGGGTACGTTTATCACGGATAGGGCGGTTCTAGTTAGCAACTGACTTCCGTAGATAAGAAAGCTACCGCGCTGCTAAAATTGATATACTTGGAGATGTTTGGCTATGATATGTCTTGGGCTTCGTTTCACGTGCTGGAGGTTATGTCGTCCACAAAGTATTTGCAGAAAAGAGCTGGCTACTTAGCTGCGGTTCAGAGCTTCAGGCCAGACACAGAAGTACTGATGCTAGCCACAAACTTGCTGAAGAAGGTTTGGACCAGCATGACGTTTCTGGCCGACCATTTTGTCTGACACACCTATGCTACAGGATCTAGCATCTTCAAATATCTCGAATATGGCGCTGCCTTTGATCACTCTACCGAACATAATTACCCCCTCTCTGGCAATGTCTTTACTCCCGGACGTGCTATCGCGCCTTTCGCATTCCCATGCTGTTGTTCGCAAAAAGGCGATTGTGTGTCTTTATAGACTCGCGTTGGTTTATCCAGAGGCATTGAAACTGGCATGGCCCAAATTGATGGATCGCTTGACGGATGAAGAAGAAGAAAGTAGTGTTACCACAGCGGTCATCAATGTGGTCTGTGAGTTAGGATGGAGAAGACCCCATGACTTCCTTCCTCTGGCGCCGCGGTTCTTTGAATTGCTAGTGGACGGAGGCAATAATTGGATGGCAATCAAAATAATCAAACTGGTAAGGCTTGGTGTGCCACTCACTCTTCTTTGTCCTAGGCTGAAAGTAACTCCAGTTTGCGACTCTAACCCCCTTGGAGCCACGCCTGATACGTAAGCTCATCCGCCCGTTAATAAGTATCATTCAGACGACAACTGCCATGTCGCTACTTTACGAATGCATCAATGGGATCATACAGGGGGGTATTCTGGAAGACGACAGTGGACTCGATGGAAGAGAAGAAATTGCCGGACTTTGCGTTGGCAAGCTCAGAGGCATGATAGTTACAGATTCTGATCCGAATTGTAAGTTACCTGGATGTGGTATCTAACGACGCTGACAAGATTGTTGAAAGTGAAATATGTTGCACTTCTTGCTTATAATCGAATTGTGGGCTCATACCCTGATCTGGTATCGACACATCAAGATGTCATCATGGATTGCCTAGACGACCCAGATATTTCAATAAGGCTACAGGCTCTTGAGCTTGCCGCCCGAATGGTCAGGAGCGATTGCCTACAGTCGGTAGTAACCCGACTCATTGATCAACTTGTTGATGCACGCCAAACCACCGAAAGTGTGCCTTCGAACATTGGGCCAATGGAAGGTCTAGGCCTAGATAGCCCAAGCTCCCGGAAGGCGCCGTTTATCTTACCTCTCGAATACAGAGTCGAAGTCTTACATCGGGTTCTCGACATATGCTCTCACAATAATTATGCCGAGTTATCGGACTTCGAGTGGTATGTGGAGGTGCTAGTAAAACTAGTCGAGCTGGCTCCTCCGCTCAATCATGGTCACTTACTGGGGCACGGGACTTACAAGGAGGCTACCAATGATATTGGGGAAAGCGTCGCTTCTCGAATTGGGTCCGAGATGCGCAATGTAGCCGTTCGGGTTAGAGATGTTCGTGCGGACGCCACCAGAGCTGCAGAATCTTTACTCCTGGCTGACAATATGAACAACATGTGCTCGGGGCTGTCTGATGCGGCCGGTGGCATTTTAGGGCCTTTTATTTGGGTAATCGGTGAATTTGCAGAGTGCCTTGCCTCACCCCAACAGACTTTATTAACATTGATTGATATTTCCACTGCCCTGCAGCCGTCTAGGACCCTTTGTCTTGTCGTACAGGCTCTTCCAAAAATCCTCGTGGCCATAATTCAGGCCAATTGTGGAAGCTGGGATGCCAGGAACCAGGGCGAAGTTTCCCTCTTACTGGCTAGAATCCTGACTTTTCTGGAGACTTTGGCAGCTCATCCGGACTTAGACGTCCAGGAAAGAGCTATTGAATTTCTGGAGGTGATGCGCCTAGCAGCAGATGCAATACGTTCAGATTGCTATGGACCGGGCGGGATACCGTTTTTACTATCCTCCATGATTCCAGGCTTATTTGACGGTCTTGAGCTGAACCCAGTTGCTGCCAATGCTCAGAAAAAAGTGCCCCAACCAGAGCACTTGTTGATGGACCGGCCATTCAACAACAACCTTCACGTCATTTTTGACCGTCGTGCAGATCACTGTTCTGAATTGGGTGCACCTTTGGCTTTTCAGGATTTCTATTACTTGAATGACTCGGCGATGCCAAACAAACAACCAGACGAGCTCAACTTCTTAACCTCGCAATTCAATGCTTCTTATCAGGACCCTAACAGTCCAGGAGGGGGGCCAGTCAGTGTGGCAAAGCGAAGAATGGGGCGCAGAGAGGGAAACATTGATGATCCGTTCTATATCGCGACAGAAGATGAGATCTCCAGTACCTCTACACCATTCCACCAAGCCTTTGTCGCATCTGGGGGCGCTGATTTGGACATTGATGCAATCCCTATAATTGATCTGAAGCTAAATGGAGAGGGGGCGCGTGCCACAGGTTTGACTGCCCGCAATTATCGGGGGAAAACCGAACTAGAGGGTAAAAAATATAATATCGCGTCCGATGAAACGATTGGACAAGATGACCCCTTGCCTGCCGAGAATCTTGATGGAGCAAGCAAAACCAAGAGATCACTTCTTCAGGTTGACTCCAGTGGCCTGGGGCGTCTTCCTGAAAAAGTGGGCGGTGCACATTCAAACAGCCGGCCACCTCCTGGAGCGAGCGCGCACGATGCAGAGATGTCAATAGCTATGCAGCGAGTTGAGAAATTACGGCTCGAGATGCAGAGGGCTTCCGAGCGAGTTCACACAGATGAATTTCCTGTAGAAGGAACATTGGTCAAGAAGAAGAAAAGAGTGAAAAGACCAATTTCTAGTGGACTCGCGGGGACTGCTAGCCTACCACATGGAGATGGTCTAGTTGGGGGTCTCGATGCGAACAGTGTGCATTCACCAAAGGTTAAAAAGAAGGTGAAGAGCCGGTCAAAAACACATCAGCCCAATTAGAAGAATTTGAGACAGCTTCCGCTGGATATGGCAATTAGCATTAGCCTTATTTAGAAAATTATCCGTTAAGCACTGTTTAGAGATTTGCGAGCAATTGTGAATTGGAAAGAGCTGATTATGATGACGATGATTTGGGTCAGTTTTACAATCTCAGCTTCCATAGAGAGCTCAAGTCCTGGATGACTCTGTAAACACAACAATCAAATACTACCAACAGAACACCGAATAATACAGAAGAGAAGGACCCTTCGTCCAGAGGGGTCCATACGGAACAATCAGGGCAGGCCCCTGCAGCCTGGGAGGGCTGGCACGATACACTCAGTTCGCCATCCAATATAACAGCCCCAGGAGTAGCTAGGCTAGTCTGCAAACTACCTCGGAGAAGCGGCCGTTATCATTACTACACAACGTGTTTCCCGTGGCATTTAGTCGGCAGGGCCTAGAAAGCCAGGCGATTAAACATTGAAGCAATGGTTGACCAAATCTCTGGAACAATCCTTAAGAGTTCAAAGGCCAATCCACCACAAATCACAAATGCAAGAAGTACTGAACCGTCGTTAGCCGCAATGGTCATGCAATCTGACTCCCAACCACTTACCCACCCACCCAGCAGACACTGGGGATTTCGTGCTCTGTTTTGGCCGCACCGTTGTTGTTCCTTTGCCTCGCTTTGCAGCCTCACTTTTCGCATATTTCTCATTTGCCTTGCGCTGTTGTGGGGTTTGTGCCTATCATATAGAGGTCAGAGAACATGGATGGTGCAGTGTAGGGTAGTAATGATTAGAACACACCATGGTGTTTGGGGTAAAATCGTTCACTCGAGACCGGTAGTGGGAAGTAGTGCAATTGCAGGGCTTTTAGGTATGCTGTGACTGGGCTGCTGATTCTAGTGTTCCTGCAATTGTAAGGGAGACTGTAGAGAAAGTCAATCACTTAATAGGAGGTTGTTACAGGGTGGTGTTGAAAAAGGCCACGTTGCTATGATAACTACTACCTAGGTACCGTAGCAAGCTTGTCTGATAGGGGGACCTGTGATTCGTGTTCTCTTTATTACCTATGAGGATGCTGTGTATCGCCTAATTGTGATGGGATATAAAGACAAGCTTACTGTGATTATATCAACTTGGTACATGAAATTATAGAAAAGTTGTTAGATGGTAAAGATATGTACAAAAAGGTCCAGGTATGGCTTGGTTCATGTTGTGTTGACGCAAGACAGTAACAGTAAGGGACCTAAGTAGGTATTGAGTTAGAATGTTAGATACAGAAATATACAGGCCTTTACCGTGTATTGTAATTTGTGGTATTGTCAGATCACTAATGTTGTCACGCTCCAGCTTCAGCAGAGCACATGACATGATTGATTGCTTGTGTCACTGGAAGCCTTGGGAACAGCAATGCTGAAGCCTCTGAGGCCTTCTGCGGCTTGGTCAGCTCAGCAATAACGTGGTTAAATGGTTTAGATAGTGGAATTGACAGTTGCATATTTTCTTTATATAATGATTTAATTGACTGATTGTTTAAAAGATTAAATAATTAATTTTTTTTATTAATAAATATTTTTTTCTTATATTTATATTTATTTTTATATTCGAATTATAATATATTCAAAATTATTTTCATATATTTAATATAATAAAAAAAATCAAATGTTTCAAATAAAATCTATTTTTTATAAAAAAAATTATTTACAAATTTTAATTACTTTTTTTAAGCTTTAAAATATTATTAAACAAATATATATATAATAAAATTCATAATTAAATCTTTTTTTATATTAATAATATTTAACAATATTTATTTAATTGATTTTTAAAATAAATTAATAAATTAAAATAATTTTTTTAAATCAAAAATATTTAACTGAATTTTAGAATGTTATTAAAATAATTATAAAATTTAATATAATTTAAAGAATATAGATTATAATTGTTTTTTATTTTAAAAAATAATAAAAAAATAATAAAAAAAATAATAAAAAAAATAATAAAAAAAATAATAAAAAAAATAATAAAAAAAATAATAAAAAAAATAATAAAAAAAATAATAAAAAAATTTATAAAAAAATTTATAAAAAAATTAATTATATATAAAAATAAAAATCTTTATTAATATATAATTTTTATTTAGAATTATGAACATTATTTTCAAAATAAATCTTATATATTTTAAAATAAAAAAATAAAAATCTTATATGTGAAAATATATTTTGAAAAAATATAGAAAATATTTAATATATATTGCATTTATTAAATATTTTAAATATTATTTTTAAAAATTTTAAATTTTTTTTTAGTTATATAAAAAAAAGCTAATTAAAATTAATTTATTGTTAATGGATTTATAAATTTTTAATAATAGTTTCAATAAATAAAATAAATAATATTTAATTAAATAATATTGTTTATTATATTGATTAATAAAGATATTAATTAGTTTTATATTGTTGGTTATTTTACTGCCTCCTGCTACCGCCTGTACTAAAAAACTAGTCTTGCCACAACCTAGATGATAGCATTATCAATGAATTGTTGTTCTTTGAATCAATTATTTCATTTTTAATTCAAAAATATTGTTTCGCGCTTTTCTATAAATTTTTAAACGCTTCAAATTAACATCATTTATTTAAGATTTTTTATTTTACTTTTTGAAATGATTGATATTCATTGGATTTTATTTAATATTATTAATATCTGCTGCATTCAATTTAATGTCATCAAAAATCATAAATTAAATCTCATATTAATTGTATTTATGCAATCTATTTTGCGTTTTTAACATGCAATTATATAATTAAACATTTTTTTACTATTATTTAATCATATTTGAACGTTTTAGAGTCATTTTGTATTAAAAATGACGTTATTTCTAATCAAAATTAATCTTATGTAAATGTGCAAATTCCAAAACAAATCTTAAATACATTATTTCTACTATTCATTTATTATTTTATGCATTAAAAATATCTATAAATATAAGATCACATTATCTCAAAATTCTAATCGTCTTAAACAATTGATTCAATCCAATTCAATAAGAATTCATTCATTTTTTATCAATTTTCTTCACTTTTTCTTGCCTGAGACACCTAAATTGTATGATCCTTGATCATCTGACATCACGTGACTATTTCACGTGACATATATTAATTATTATCATGAAATATTAGAATAAAATTTGTGATAATAAGTTAAATAAATTTTTAAATTTATAATAAATAAATATTTTAGAACTCTTATAAAAATAAAAGTTTTTATAAATTATTATAAACAATTTATAATAAATAAAAAGATTTTATGTTTGTATTTATAAATTTATAGATTATGAAATTTATAAAGTAATTGTTATTTAAAATTTGAATAATAATTTTAATGAAATTTATTTTTGTAATTTTTTAAAAATAAATTATTAGCAAAATAAAGTAATTTTACTTAATTAAAATAACTATTAAAGAGATTTTAGATTTAAATAAAATGATAATATTTAAAAAATAAGAAGTGTTATTTTATATATAAAAAGATAAAATATTTAAAAAATATAATTATTTTTAAGAAGATCAAAAATGAAATTTTTTTTATATAATAAAAATTATAAATGCGCAATAAATGTTAAATAAAAAAATAATAAAAAATAATAAAAAATATATTTTTAAATTTATAAAAAATTTAATTTAGTATTACTTTGCAGTATTTATTAATTATAATAAAAATATATTTATAGAAAGCTTATAATTAAATATTTATAAATATATTATTAAATATAAAAATAAATAATAATTTTACATTATTATAATTCTGGAAAAAGTTAAATTATACTTTTGCAAAAAACAAGATATTATTATTAATTATTAATAATTTTATTGATAGTCAAATAATATTATAATATAAATTATTTGAATAAAATTTAAAAATAATTAATTTAAATAATAAGATATATAACTACAATATATATTTTTATATTATTGATATTGTTAATTTTAATATAGTGTTTAATTATGATATTAAATTTTTATATAACGTTAAATATATAATAATATTATAATAATTAAATTACAATATAAATTGTAGATTAGCAGCAATTTATAGAGAAAATAAATAATAAAAAAATAAGTATAATAATTGTTATTTTTATAATAAGAAAAGATTTAATTTTTTTTGCACGATATTTGCAATATGTAAGAATTTTTTTAAAAAAGAAAATAAAATTTATATTTATAAGCAAAACAATTGTAAGACCCTCGCTACATGTATCTAGCTACAAGACCATTTGTGGATAATTCAATTACAGATTAAATCATCGCATACATAAAGTCCATTTTCGCGAAAGAATCACATTGACTTTTTTAATATTAATTTATAATATTGATTTTATTTTTGAAATCATTATTTTCACAATATCATTTTGTAAACATTATTATTTTTTACATTTATTGCAAATTTTTCAAAATTCAAAATTTTTATAATTTTAACATTCAATTATGCAATACTTTTGTTAAAAATAATAAAATCAAAAAAAAAACATATTAATAAATTGAATCTCGCGATAATTTGTTTTTGAATTTTTATTTTACGAAATGAAAAATGAACAATTTTTTAAAAACTTTGATAAAAATCTATTATTTGCAATTATTAATGTTAATTATTATTATTAAAATCTCGTTCATAAATTATAACAATCAAAAAATAATAAATTACACAAATTTATTTTTAAAAAAGTTTCACAAAAGAGCAAAAGCGATCGAAATTATTCATAAATAAATTCAATATATTAAGATTATTAAATAAAGCATTAAATTAATTTTATAAAAATATATACATATAAATTTTCAAGATCATATAACATTTTTTTCAAAATAATTTTTTTTATAATTATTTTTACAAAAAAACAATATCAAATCTTTATATACAAAAATTATTACAAATTTACATGAAAGATTTCACAATTCGAAAAAATTAATTAATTTATGAAAAAAATTATTTAAATTTTATAATAATATATTTGAATGCAATTTTGTAAAATTTATAAAAATTTGAAAAAAAAATTAATTTTCTGTAAAATTAAAAAATTTTGTAAATAAATATTATATAATTTGAACAAAAGCTTTTCGCATATAATTGCATAATAATAAAAAGT